ACCCAACACTTGTCAAACACAACGCCTATTATCCATTGTTACAAACCAACTTCGCTCCTTGTATTTTGGTGTTCAAATGTCTACATTCAACTCTGGAAAACATGGCCAAGATTACGGTGCTACTGTCAGAGCCTGTTTGTATCAAATCTTGTGCGATTTACCCATGCAACGAAAATTGAGCGGATTTACTGGATTTTCTTCTACGCGATCATGTTTCCGATGTGATAGATCGTTTAAAGTTTTTCCTGACACATCTAATTTGGATTATTCCGGCTTTGATGCTGTGCATTATCCTGCAAACGCCAATAAGAAGCTGAATGACATTCAATCCGACAAGTGGTTAAATAGCCATAATAACGCCGAAAGACATCGCCAAGACAGGGCCCACGGTATGAGATATAGCGTTTTAAGGAGTTTGAGGTACCTTGATCTTGTAAAAGCTACCACCCAGGATCATTTACATTGCATTTGGCTGGGTCTTGCAAAATCAATTATGTCAAAGTATGAAGAATTTGGATTTTTTAAACCACAACACTATCAGAGGTATTATAAATTTATGACACTATATATACGCAAATGTCATTACTAACCTTGTGTAAAAATGTTCCAGTATGGCCGCACTCGCTTCAAGTATCATCACGCCCAACGGTTGCAGCTCTATACATGCCAAAATAAAAGGAGGTTTTTCTTATATGAAGGGCATCGAATTCGAAATCTGGACCTTGCACTATTCCGAATATGTCTTAAAGTACATGATTGTTTCTGATAGATTAGTTGATGGATTTCATAAAAAGCATTATGCAAACTGGTTACAATTTGTGCAAGCTTGTAGAATTGTTGTACAACCCGCGATTACTACAGCCCAGGCATTCGAAGCACGAGAACTCTTCCGCTGTTTTTGCAAAGACTATGTGGTACTTTTCGGCCCTGAGGCAATCAAACCTAACTATCATTACGTCCTCCACCTGTCAGAAAATATTGAATACTATGGCAGTACATTCAACACTTCTTGTTTCTCTCTCGAAAGAATGAATGGTGTCCTAAAGCAGTCGACAGAGAATAGAAACCTTCGATCAATTCAAACTTCGTACATGACAAATTTTTTGGAAAGCATTCATATCTCGTCTCTCATTAAACAATTAACAAGCACCAATATCATTTCTAAAGATCAAGCCCACATTCTCCACAACACCAGCGCTATCAACCAATCCTTATACACAAGCTCCAGTCCTCAAGATCGCATTAATTTTTACAAATTGTCTTCCTATGAATATACCAATTCGGGAGGTGTGGTGACCGGATCAGAAATGCTATACTCTCATCCGAATATTATCCCTACTAACTTTGATGAAATTAAATCCACTCCGCTCGATCCTTCACACCATATGCTTCTTATTGAATATTACACTCTATGCTACCCAAATCGTTCATTCACCAATCTCTTTCATTTAACCACGACAAATCTATGCAACAACCATGGTAATTCACTTTCCAATAACATTCCTTCAATTTATGTTGGTGCCGACGCCAGAATATCCAAACAATTTCAATCTGATATTATGTACAAAAGCCGTATGGCAAGATCGATGAAAGGTGCGTATATTCAAACATTCTTTAAAAACAATCATTCGTCGGAGTCCGTTGCCTGCTTTTACGGCGAGATACAATATTTCTTTCAACACGTCGTAAATGTTAACGGCAGTGTTACCCCCCACACATTCGCTTTCGTACGGTGGTTTATCCCCGTCAACCCTGGTAACAACATTTTAGAAAATGAAACTATGGAAATATGCAAAGGCTATGAAAATACAAATGTTCATTCGATTTTACCTGTACATAGAATACACAACGCAATCACGGTTGCATGTAGTTCTGACAATTCTAGTAATCCACGAATTCAAAACGGCTGCATTGTAATAATTCCTCAAGAAAAAAAAATATATGTTTAAGCTAATTCACCTATGCCCTTTTTTAATTTCAATAAACCACTATGAATATGTAAAAAATTGTTGTTGGAAAAGGGGGAGCAGATTAAAAAAGAAGAAAAAAATTGTTTATTTACAATTCAGGAACTCGGGCCCAGTCGGGTGCCTGATTTAGAAATTCGGGCTTGATCACCACATGCTTGAAACGTCCCGTATCCTTTGTCTCCTTTTCTTTTTGGGCGTTTTTTCTCAAAATGAGATCATACTCATCGAAATGTTGAAAGGCGCGACGAGCCTAAAGACGAATTGATTTAGTATGTATTCTATTAATAGGAATACACTCATATTGTATACCTCATTTGTGCGCCAATGGGGCACCATAACCCGCAAGCGTGAGTTTTTTTCGGTCATCCCTATTTCCGAATCCGTGCTTTCCTCGTCACTTTGGAGTTGCTCTATCAAGAGCTTCTCTATGTCATCACCATAAGCATCTCTCATTTTTTTGCCATACTCCTCGTTGACCATCACGTTTTTTCTGTGCTTGCATTTCTACAATTATATTAAATATTAACCTTGGAAACGCCTTGCATATTCGTAACTTACAGAAATTCTTCTTCCCTTTCTTGTACTTTTCTTATTTTTTAAAAGCTTTGCTGCGGGAGATTGCTTTTCGTTATCCTGCTTACGGCGAAAGACATTTCTGATCTTGTTTTGAAGATCGTTGTAGGTAATGGATTCCGTCCAGTTCTTTTTGGTTGACAATGTGATTTGAGCACCAACAAAATCGATAATATTTTTAGTTATACGGGTGTTCTCTACCGTCATAAATGCCTTAGATAGGTTCCACTCCAGATTACCAACCTTCTGGTTAGCAATGGACGTTTTAATCCAGGCCTATAATTACAAGGTAGATTAGATATATGAACGGTTCTCTATTCTTGGTGACATACCGACAAACTATTGTAAAGTGCACCCCCTATTTGGAAAGGAGGTACATTTCCATTAGTCAATGCGGGGGTAGCTGAAGAAACAGCAGCTTCACCGGAAAGAATAGACAATATTTTGTCAATTTTATCTTCCACCATGTCAAGTCGTGCCCTCAAAATTTCTCCGGTAACGATGGCTTCCTTGACCTCATTTTTTATACTGTTCAGATCATTTTTAATTCCTGTTATCTGAAAACATTTTACAAAGGCACCAACAGTTGCTGAATCATCTCTGCTGCTTAATTGCGACGTATTCATGGGAGCAATAGATACCATATCTTCTTGTTGAATATTGTCTGTCACCGACGAGACGGAGCTACTACGACTTCTAGTTGCTCTGTTAGGCAAAGAAGAATATCTTGAAGAGGGGTTGGTAGGTCTAGTCATATTTAGAATAAGTAATTTCTGGATGAAAAACGTGAAATAATCATATATACACAGATGAGCTCTCATTCAATATTATGTTTTTTTGTGATATTCCAATTGGGACCGAAACTGTGTATGACCTTTGGTACCTGACTAGTATAAATGGACTTTCAATTTTTAGGGTTTAACGTGATTTTTATTGACAAACATACTATCAAGTCTTTTAAGTATTATTCCACTCATGCATATTACGAAGCATCAGTTGCCTCCGGTGTAGAAGAAAATATAAAAGAAGGAAACAATTATTTCGGCTTTTTTAATATCTTTTCTTTCTTTTTGTTCAAACTTTCTAAAATGTAATGCTTTACTCCCATACTTGTCATGCCAAATTTTTTAACCATATATTGCTTTATTTTAGTTCTTTGAAATCCAAACATGCATATCTATTATAGGCTATCATTTGGACGTATTTCTTAGGTGCACTTTAAATGTTTTTTATATCAGCTTAACCACCTCTATTCCCGGACCATTAAGTCAGTTTAACAGTAGGTACACAAAAACAATATCTTATTAAGCATACCCGTATCTAATTTTTTTCAAAAGGTTATGCAAGCTGTAAAAATACAGGAACAACGCGACTGCTCTGCGTAATTAATTCTAATGCTTGGCCGTAGCGAATTGCGCTGGTTTACTCTACTGTGAGGTCTGATACGGGAAATACTTAGACAAAAAGATACATAGCGCTGTTTTTCTACTATTTCTATAATAAAATAAAATAAAATAGAATATACTTTCCTCATAATATTCCCTTATACATCGAATAATTTGCTATATGCAACGAGTAACGTTTATGAAACCTTACCCTTTTGTGTATGTGTGTATATGTGTGTATATGTGTGTGTATGTGTGTGTTTTTGTGTGTTTTTGTGCGAGTAGTGTAGGATCAACCCTGACAATTCCCGAAGCGTTAAATACAAATGTTTATAAAGACCTCAAAAGTAATAATAGATTAAGCTTTTAGTTTCAGATACATGAGATCATTCAGTAATTAAGTTATTTGTTTAGCCACGATTTGCATCGTTTGTTTATTTGATGAATTGCATAATGTACAAAGTTTGAAGTTCCACAAAAAAAAATAACAATTGTCATCGGAGAACGTGATGTTTGCATAACTTTAAATAGTTGCTTGCAGCTTACATCACAAAATGTGTTACTACAAGATTTAAAGTCAACCCATCCCCCCACTATATTCAAGTTAAGCAAATTCGATTGTCAATCTTTGCATGGTATTGTTCCACCCGACAGAAATCACTTTGTCGGATTAATGTCAATTGTTTGGTTGGTATTGACCCAACCGATACCAAAACTGAGACATAATTGACTGCACGAAATTAATCTTTTAACTATGTGTATGTTCTACTGCCAATTACACTTGACAAACAAGTATGCATCTTTTACAGTAACCGTTGCATGATCTGATAAATAAGTGTCTCGTAATACTAAAGATTTATTAGAATACTCATGCTCCCGATCCACTGATATGGGACAACGTTATCTGGAAACAATTCTAACGAGTAGTATCCATTTAACCCAAGGCGGGAAACAAAGTATAGATCTATTCCAAAACCAGAAAGGTTGACTCATCATTAAAACTCAGGGGAGTTGTGCAATATAAAAAGGATCAATTATTTCATAGCAGCAGAGTTCTTTTAGTCTATTTTTACCCCTAATAAAAATTTACTTTTATCTCATTACTTTTCTATGTAATATTCTGTCAAATACCACAGAATTAATCCAATCATAAAGGCAATGACTGCTTAAATTTAAGGCACCATCGGACATGTATTATACCACCCAATGGTACCTTCACTAACAATTAGATAACCGTTTAAACCACAGATCCCAATAACTATAAATACCCTGCCTTTTACCATAATGTACAAGGTCATTCAGTTTTAAAACGAATAGTAAGAATAAAAGCCTACAAGCACTATTAATCTTATTTACCTGTTTTTTATCTATTTTTTTTTTTGTGTTAAACAGAGTTTCTCCACATTTAGTATGCAATCAAAAAAAGTAAACATTGGTGTTGAAAAGCTGTGCCAAGGCCCCAATGTTGTATCGACAATCACTGAAGAAGGGGAACGACTTGTGGCCAAATTTTTGGAAGACAGTTCGGTGGCAGTTCATTTCAGGAACGAATATTTGGAAGACAGTTCAGTGGCAGTTCATTCCAGGAACGAATTTTTGGAAGACAGTGCGGTGGCAGTTCATTTCAGGAACGAAGTCTTGGAAGACAGAGCGGTGGCAGATTATCTCAGGAACGAAGTCTGCATCGAAAATGGGGCTGATGATAACAGAATCTTTTCTCGGTTCTACCAAGAGGTTAACTGGTTCTCTCTCGTCGAAAAATTGACGGGTGAAAACAGTAGAGAGAACCGGGTGAAGTTGTATGACTGGGTCCACGTCAAAGGCAACAATGACGAAGTCATTTATGACAAGATATTTGACTGGACTCGTTTGTATTTTGCCAAGATACAAACCATTTTGGCCGACCCCACCCAAGACTACGACTTTTATCGGTTAAAGGTGATGGAAACAACAGCGTAAGCAATTTCATTTGAGTGTACAAAAATATTCTTACTTAACAGATTATAAATTATAGCATGGACATTCAGACTACAGGTCTGAGCTGCCTCAGTGACGAATCCTGTAAAAAGTATGCAGATACTTGGGCCAGGCTTGTAGTCATGATAATCCGGGCTGTTGATGGACGAAACGTGACGTTCTCGGACTTTGGTAGGGTTTGCCTTACAAGAGAGATGGAGGATTCCGCTCGACAATTTCTGAATTGTATCAAGCTCGAGGTGGTGGGTAACTCGGGTACGATCTGGCGCAAGATTCAGGAGTTTTTTCTTTTTTTGGTCTGTCTTCCAAACCCACCAGGTCATGAACGACACAAGTCGATGATTACGTTGTTCATGGCCTTCAGTCAAATAAGTCATGACGGACAATGGAAGCATCCTAATGCCGCAAGTGTCGCCCCTGCAAGACTTCGGTACTGCATGCGAAGCATTATCTTGAAAGAAATTATCGACCAAGAGTCACAATAAACCTTTTTTTTATCTTTTAAAACTCCCTTGATTACTATGTTAGACGAACTGAACCTTTTTGATGCTATTGAAGCATCAGCAGCATATACAAATCTCTATAAGACATTCTATATTTGGGATCGTATTTTATTCATTACAAAGATAATGAATAACTGATCAACAACAGCTATTATGTTCTACTGCCAATTACACTTGACAAACAAGTATGCATCTTTTACAGTAACCGTTGCATGATCTGAAGTTCTAAATCAGGATTTTTAAAGAAATAATCTTGTTGTTTGTGAGGGACCTAAGCCTTTGAATTTATATAAACACATAGTCTTGTTGCAGTTCGTTTTGTAACACATACAAATATATACACCGACAAAATAAATTGATTTATTTAGATAGAAGCAATAATAGTCAGATTGAGTTTTTAGCATTTCAACATAATATCTCTGCCAGATAAACCAGCATGTATAAGGGATTCTATAATACCAACTGTACACACCTTGTAATGTGGTGCATTAAAAGTAGTCACTACATTTAATACTGGATTTCCCTATACCCTTTATGGTTTGATCAATTTTAGGTCTTTCGAAAAAAAAAAATCATAAATTCAAAACTTATAATCCAATATGATATTTTCGATAATTATGAGCATTTTTTTTAGCTTGAAAGGACTTACGGGGACGACGATTTACTATATGCAAAATTCAATTCAAAACAGCGTGCTAAGTGGAAAAAAAGACCAAGAAAGTCTAGAAGGTCAATATTCGGTATACCATTTCTAATGGGAATATGAAATCGTTTTTTGTGGATCTTTTTCACTATAATCTAGCATAGTAAAAGTCTTAAATCTGAGGGTTTCCCCTTGAATAAACGTGGTTATCATTAATCTTGCTCCTTGTTAAAAAAAATACAAACATTATTCCAAGCATATACAAAAAAAACTTAGCAAATCATCTATCTTCAAAACCAAAAGCAAGAAAAAAACAATGCCTATTATGAACCCTCGAGCCCTTTAATCAGCTAATGGTCTTTTTTTTTCTGTATTAACCCGAAAACTAATCATAAGTCCCAGAATGCTCGCTCTTATCAAATGACCCATGAACACTGATGGCATTTTATCACACAAGTAATTTCGATTTAGCGCAGTAGTTTTCATAAGTCTAACCGTTGGTTAAATTTTCATATTTTATCGCTTGGTTTGGGGTTTCCAAGAAAACTGCTTTCCCAAATCTTTTTATATCATGGAGCACATTTACAATAATTGTATATACTGAGAGAACAAAGTGAATTTGTAAATTTAGATGGAAGGGTTTGTTGCGTATCCCTAAAACTGAATTTATAAATCAGCTATATTCTTCAGTTTAAATAAGACAATAGCCATTAGGGAGCGATTTGTGTTTTTGTTTTTTTAAAATGAAGTACTTCCGTATTTCCTACTTTAGCTCAATTAATTTTGTTTATAAGCTTTTATAGTTCCCCCTCTTCCTCTTTACTCTCCTTAATTCTTGGATTATTGACGCCAGAGTGAAACCTTACACATTGGTTAATTGCGTTTTAAGCAGAGCAACTTTTAAGGGGAGCAGAAGAAAAAAGTGAGCCTCCCCTTCAGACAACGGTCCATTATCCCTAGTTAGCTCAATAAAGTCTGTTAAGGTAAGGGCCCTCATTTTCCCCTTTTGCTTGATACAGCACTGTCTAGTCTAGGGGAAACTTCATTTTGATGTGTTTATACATAATTTTGACAGTTTGATGCCTATGACCTATTTTGTAAACCATTTGGAGAAAGTGCCTTCTCTGATGATAGGGATTGTATATTTGAAACCCAGGTGACTCTTTAAAAAGACAAACGTTGAAAAAAAAAACTCTTTGTTTTTGTAAGCTAGTTAAGACATACTATGGAGTCTTCATTACGAGAATATGTATGTGAGCAAATCACAGATTACTCTGATCAAGTAAAAAAATACTTTGATGCCTTGGCCTTGGTAGCCGAGTCCGCAACTACAACAGAAGAGCTTAATTACCCTGAAGAGATTATTGAACAAATGGCTGTGATCGATCGAAATTTGCAAGGAGCTGTTGAACATAGTAAAGTTTTGGAGAAAAGAAAAGAATAGAAAAAGGGAACTAACATTGATAACAAAAAAGTTGAACAACATCAAATACGTCAACAACAGATTATTCAGGTGCAAGATGAAATTCAACAGTATAACCTCGCGTTACTCGATGTGATTCAAAAGTTGGGATCCGCACGAGAAGAACTCGATCTTTGCCTGACACAGGCCAAAGTGGAATTAAAAGCCATTCAATATGCCAGTGAATGTAAGTTATGATTAAGTTACGAGTTCTCTCAGTCTAAATAATACTCATGCCCAATATACAGCCAATGTCAAATTTACCGATGTGTTATCGTACGCTTCGAAATTATCCAAATATACGTCAGCACCACCCAATTTCGATACTATGTCAAAGGAAACAAAGATCGATTTTGAGAAACCATACCCGGATGAAGAGAAAATGCGTCGAGGTATCTTGTACTGGCAAAATGCACCTCAACAAAGTCAGGAAGACAGATGTAAGTTGCCAAGATGAAATCGAGGCTGGTGCACTAATGAATCAATTTTTTTTTTTTTTTATAGTTGAGAGCTCAGATAGTGAAATGTCAGTCAATGAGGAAACTTTGGATTCAAGTGGAAATAAACAGACGGAAGATACGGGTGGAGATCCTTTCTGGATTTTAGATTTGAATCCGGATATGCAATCATAAATATACCCTTTTCTTCTTTATTATGAAATATACATTTATTTATTTATTTGTTTTTTTTTTTTTGGTTAAACAATTACTGGAGAGTAAAGAATGGAGAATATGTGATGCCAGAGTTGTTTCCGAAAAAGGAAAATGCATCTATAAAAGAAGAAAAAGACGGTTAAATGACGTTTGTAAACTAAAGACTATCACAAATAAAAGTACACTTACAGTCAGTGCTTGGAGGGAGGGTGGTAGGGACAGTCCAGTTATAGCCCAAATCGCTGACAGGGATGGATCCATTCGTAAGGATATTAGCAATGACCACCGATAGATAAAGAGGGTTACCTTGCATCAAGGAAATCGATTCAATAGTGGTAGCATTCACGTCAGTGACAGACCTATAAAAAAAAATGTCAAAATGCGTCGCGTAATTTTAAAAATAGACTTACCATTGAATTGTATAGTTCGAGCCAAGAGCCACTGTAGCCTATAAATGTGTATGTAATTTAGATTCAACTCTTCTCACCAGCAAGAGTTTTTTTTTATACTTACGTTTAATAAAGGTGCAGTGGTAGCAATACCTGCGGTAGATTGAGCAAGGGTCATAGCGAAAAGACACAGAGCCAAGAGAATTGTAAAAGCGAATTTCATTTTTTGTGATAAGTAAAGATGATGAAAAAAAAAAGAAGAATAATCGTAAACATTACCCTGAATATTTATAATGTTTTTATTATTTTTTGAAAGCCTCAAAGTTTCCTTTACGAGTCGGGCTGAATGAAAAAAAAAAATGTAGATGGAACAACTTAAAAGCAGAGTCTTGGCAGGTCATAAACCGTAACCTAGCAAACGATACTTTGGACCTGTTCTTTTTCTATATATATATATATATGCAAGAGATGTTGTTGTCAAGATGGTTGCTTGCGATAGAATAAAAAGCTTCTTGTAGTCCGGAATGCTTGTCGAGTTGACGATGGATGTAGATGACGCTATATTGTATCGATAAGCTACATATTAGGATATTCTCAGGTGATGTATTGTTTATGCCTTTCAAGAATAGAAAAACGTCTACTTTTAGCATCGTGCATTTTTTTTTTGTTTTTGTTTTATATCTTTTGGGCAAAGAGTGTATGTGATTGTGTGAATTTGACACTTGTAAAAGTAAGCCTAATAACCCCCTCCTGGCCTCTCTCGAACCCCCCTGAGTGGTACGACCGTAACATCTCTAACAATGTGAGTTACACGGATCTGTACACGATTTGCATAAATCTTGAGGGAAACTTGAAACAGAAAAAGTCTAATTATAGCCCCATTCAAGAATTCGAACCCTCCCCCCAAAAAAAACTTGCTCGCCCAATTGGTTATTATGGAATCTGCAGTCGTGTGGTTTTCTTTGATACGGAGATGAAAACACGCTGGTGTGACCTGGGTGTGGAGTCTTAAAATAAACCTTTATACTTTTTGTAGGATCAATCAACGAGGGTCGGTGTAACCTGTATCTAATTTTGTAGCACATTTGTAAAATAGACATTTGGGGACCTTCCCCTTCTCTCTCGGGGGTCATTTTAAACGAACATGATTTTTTTTTTTGTTGTAAATTAGAGTTCTATTAAGTAATAAAAAGTATAATGGGGGTCAATGAGGTAAGGGAAACTCGTACAGGTGCATGTAATAAAAAGAAAAAGGAGAATGGTTATGAATTGAGAACAAAGAAAACTCTTTTTTTTTCTCTGTATCTTTTTTAAAGCAAGAGAGCAACGGCACCAGCAATACCAGCAGCACCAACAAGACCGGCCTTGAGGCTGTTAGCAGCACTGCTTTCAGAGGCCTTGGGAGAAGAAGCGGTACCAGAGGTAGTACCGTTGGCAGAACCAGAGGCAGCAGGAGCAGAGCCGGAAGCAGCAGGAGATGAACCAGAGGCAGCAGGAGCAGGAGCAGCGGCGGTATAGTTGGTGGCAGTACCAGCAGGGACAGCCAAGATGGTGAAGTAAGGAGAGTAGGTAACTTGACCGTTATCACCAGTTAAACTGACGGCATCTAATGACACAATGTTTCTTTAATATCGCATGTTTCTTAATTTAAACTCTATCATCAACTTACAAGAGACCAAGGTTTCTTGAGTAACGGGAACGTTCCATTGGTACTCTCTGGCGCTAGCAGCAATAGGAGCAGAAAGGATGTTGGCGATAGAAACATCCAATGCACCAGAACTACCCTTTAACAAACTGATAGAGTTGATGTTGGCAGCAGGGCTAGCATAGTTGGCAATAGGATCCCTATTTATTATGTTTGATGTTAGCCATATATTTTTGCAATTACTCTTCCGCGCAATTCCTCTTACCACTTGATGGTGAAAGTGTTACCGGCAGTGACGACTTCCTACAACAGACGAAAAAAAAAGGTAAGTATCTCGGGGCAGGGACAGGGGTTTACCAAAGGGCTACTTACACCAAGACCAGGATGTGTGACAGCAACACCGGCATTAGGAGGAGTGGTTTGAGCATAGACAGCAGAGACCAAGGCAGTGAAAACGGCAGCAACAGTGAACTTCATTTTTGTAATAATTGAAAAGAGTGTAAAGAACAAGAAAAAAGGAGAATGACTCGAGAAAAAATTTGTCTCTAGTAATAAATCAAAAAAATATTCCGTGTAACGTAAGCCGTGCACCACAAAATATGAGAGATAAATGTCTAAATTATTAATAGATGTGCCCAATAGAAAGCGTTTTCCATCACTCCGCTTATGGAATAACAAATAGTTTTTTTTTACTTTTTTAAGCATGGCACTTTTTTCGGATTGGTATACCACCTATTGTGAGAGCGGTATATTTTATCGCTTTAAAGATTCTAGACATTCCATAGAGTTCATCTCAAGATTTTATTTATCTCCTATCGTGTTCATGAAAGGCCTTTCACAATTTAGGTGTATTAGACTAACTTACTGATAAACAATTTGCAAGTGTAGTATCACATTTAGATGTAGATATTCTGATGGAATGATTACAAGTCAATCACCATACCATCCTTTTGTAACTAACCAATTATCTCATACTGATGTAATAATACAGTCCTTGTTTATCATATCTTCCTACAAATAAAATCCGCGCGCTTTATTCTTTTTCTTTCTTTCTTTTTTTTTTTTCCTCTTTCTCTTTTATTACTATAATGAAAATACAACGTTTTAAGGATAGGTTAGTCAATAATGTATTCTTTTCTTTTTCTCAGTCAAATGCTAAAACATGGCAAAGAAGTTTTAATGTGTATCCTTTAATACAAGAAAGGTCACCTTATAATTTTGGCAGGTCGGCATCACGTTTGCAGCTAGTTACCACTAGAGCGTGGGCGAGGGAGGGGGTTGGGGGTTTCAATCTCACGTCTTGGTTTTAGGTAATTCATACATACATAATCAAAAACACATAATATTATGCCTAAATATTATTTTAAAAAAAATTTGCACGTGATTATATAACAGCGTAGAAAAATAATCTATTTCCAGTCACTATACTAAGGCTCCAGCCAAAATATACTGAGGCTTTCAAGTAAGCTTTTGTAGGAATGAAATAAAGAGTTTAATGATACGAACTAACTCTATTCTTTTTTTCTGTAGGTTGAGCGCAAGTTGGCCAATATCGAAGACAGTACTCCCGAAGCGCATACGAGGTCCTCGCTCAACAAATCGCATCAGTCTTAGAAAAAATTTCAGATATTTCCACTGGAAGAGACCCACTCCAAATTAACATTGAGTAGCCACAAGGAGAAAGCGATTGCCAGCCATTGATTCGTACAACAGCTGTAACAACCTCCAATACAACACAACAAATTACAGCCGAACCAAGTAATTCAAGACCTCCTTCAAGTTCATTCAGATTGAGTACCGGTGTATACACTGTCACAGATCTGTATAGGGAATAGAAAGAAGGTCTGGGTGGTAATTATTCCGTAGAGTTTATGAACGCTAACCACCCTGGTTGGTATTCATCCCAAAAAAGCTTTTACATGCGTAGAAGAAAAATTATCAAGGCTTGTGAAGAATACGCTGCTTCTGAAGGATGGACCGTTGAAGATGCTATAAGAAGAGCGGAAACTCTTCGCATCAGAAACAAAAAATCATTAGACTACCTTTCCAAAAATAGCGATCTTATTTTCTCCATGATTTAATAAAATTATTCTTTCTACAAATTAAAATTTTCCACTTTAAAATGTATGAATTTAGGTTATGTGGACTGATTTGCATGACGTTGACATTCATAAATGCATGTTGATCAAGTATCTGTTGCTTTTATAATAAGCTGTTATTGTATTACATAATTGACTTAGTTCTTATAAGTTTTAGTTTTCCGACCTTCAAATAACTCCAGTTACTGAAGGCTGGGGTTCAATAACTTCCATTGTACTACGTTACTCGATGCAAACTTAATTCGATATTTGAGGGGAAGGTAAAATACGTGGTTTTTATAAATTCCGAATGAGCATTGAAAAGAAATAATGTCACTGTTTATATACTAAATTGTGCTTTCTATAAGCAATGGTGTCTTTGTAGCCAGTAATTATAAGTTTATTTGACAAACATCTAACTAATTTGACCCTGTTAAATGCTCAATAATGAAAGAGTGTGATAGGGAGTACAGTACAAAAATACAGCTTAAATTCATTTTTTTTTTTTTTTTTTTTTTTTTTGTAAAGAGTACAATGGATATAACAATAAAAACACGTGCGAGTGTATATAAAAAAGAGAAGAACAAAGAGGGAATAAAAAATCTAACTAGAATTTGGTTTATACGGGCCAATGCAGAAAAAATGTCCCCTTGATCAAATTTAATTGGCGTAGAGTGAAATTCCTTGTTTATGATTTAGCATAAATTGATTGGAATGTGCTGCAATAGCAGTATAATTGATACGCGAATTTGACTTTATTTATTAAATTTCACTACACCACAAAAAAATTCAACGAAACATCACACAATAAAAAAAAAAATAGGAATGCCCGCTTACACTTGTTTACTCTGTATGGTTTTTCTCGAGAACCAAACAAAAAAAAAACAAATTAAAAAAAAAAAAAGAAGGATCCCCTTAACATTTATGATGGAACGGAACTTTTTTTTTCTTTTTTCTTGTTTATTTTCTATTTTTTTTTTTTTTTTCCTTGGTTTTCCTCTTCTTTTTTTCCTTTTCATCATTGTTTTTATCTTTCAATGAATTATAAATAAATCACCCTAATTTATCTTTTTCATCCTTTCTCGCCCGCATCATGTCTTTTCCATTGTAAGTAGACATTCTCTAGTTTAAATTTTTATTTTTGCCACCAGATCACTGACATTTTATTCTAGTCACGAGAACAATCATTCAGATATTGGTAGCACAACAAACACAAAAAAAAAGAAGCTCGAAATCTAACCCATCATCTTTTATATATAGCATCTATTCCTATTCAAAATCAGACAAAAGAGACACATGGAGAACCTACATCCGACACCATTTATACAGCATTGCGCCAAGACACACACTCCATCAGTGACTCTACACTCGCCAATAGCACTCTCCATAACGACAAATTATATCCTAAATGGAACACAGCCGACTCACCCATCTCGTTTCATGAGATCCACGACGTCTTTCTGAACCATGAACGAAAATACGGCTTCCAACACGATAACACTCGCAACATGTACGACCATCTCATGACTATGCTCAACTCAAGATCCGCACGCATGTCCCCTCAACTCGCACTCTGGACCTTACACGCCGACTATATTGGTGGAGAACATGCAAACTATCGAAAATGGTATTTTGCCGCTCATCTGGATCTGGATGATCGACGTACACCCAAAAACAGTCCTACCGGTCAGTTACTCGAGGAAGCCAAAAGGGAATGGCGGGAACGCATGCAAGGTATGTCTGATGCCGAACGAATATCCCATCTGGCTTTATTCCTCTTGATATGGGGTGAAGCAGCTACCTTACGCTTCACCCCAGAATTGATCTGCTTCCTGTTTTATATAGCCGAAGGCTACAGAGAAAGCTTTAATCATCAACATACCTTACCTTGCTTTTTGGATGATATCGTCTCCCCTCTTTACCAATATATCCGTGATCAGACCTATCAATTGATACGTGGTCATTATGTACGCCGTGAAAAAGACCATCATGAAATCATTGGCTATGACGATATCAATCAACTCTTTTGGGATAAAGGCGCTCTGGCCAACCTCAGACTCAAATCGTCCGATACCTTCTTTAAAGATACGCCCAAGGAACAACGTTATCTGGTCCTGACAGACATCGATTGGAAACGAGCCTTTCAAAAGACCTTTTTTGAAACAAGATCCTGGTTTCATTTACTGACCAATTTTTCGCGTGTCTGGATCATTCATGCTGCTTCCTTTTGGTACTACATGGCTGCCAGTGTCGATTTTCTCTACCTCGATACAAAGCAACGTCATGGTAGTGCAAAGGCAACCTCCATTGATTTACCTGTCAAGTTATCTGTGGTTGGCTTGGGTGGGTTAGTGGCTATCCTGATCATGGTGTTTGCTACCTTGGCCGAATTCAAATACCTGAAAACTTCAGTGGAAACCTCTAGTATTTTAATGACTCGTCTAACTGTCCTACTCTTATTTGCTGCATGTCATGTTGCTTGCTCTGTCTATGTCTTAAAGTTTGACCAAAAGAGTATGTTGGCCTTAATTTTATCTTCCTGCCAATTAGGGGTGGGTGCTATTGTTTCCATCGTAATTGCCATTTTACCTTCTGCCAGTTTATTCCATCGTCGTAAATCCAGTCGACATTTATCTTGCAAGACATTTACGTCGAATTTTCCCGAAATGGTAGACGATGATCGATTTTTATCTATCTTGCTTTGGATTTGTGTGTTTAGTTGTAAATTTTTGGAAACGTACTTCTTTTTGGCCCTGTCATTCCGTGATGCCCTTTCAGTTACGACGTTGATGCAGTTAAATAACTGTAGTGCAGATCCTTTACTGGGTCGTTGGCTCTGTTCTGTCATGCCCATCTTGACCACGGTCTTGATGTTCTCTGTAGAGCTAGTCCTGTTCTTTCTGGACACATACCTATGGTTTGTGATCTGGAATACCATCTTCTCTGTCTCGCAATCGATTCGACTGGGTATCTCCGTCATGACCTCCTGGCGACAATTGTTTGCAAAGATACCCGTCAACATGTTTTCCAAAATCACCGCCACCAAGGAATTCGTGTCCGTGCATTTACGTCGTATGGCTTGCTCACAAATGTGGAACGCTATCATCATTTCCATGTACCGTGACCACTTGTTGTCGGTCAATAACCTGCAGTCGTTACTTTATCAAGTGCACGAGCAAGAAAATGATGGAGGTCAAATGATCCGTGAACTGGAGGCGCCACCCATTTTTGACCCTGCATTATCCACAGATATGGAGGATTTTTTCCCTAAACATTCGGAGGCAGAACGTCGTCTCTCATTTTTCGCTCAAAGTCTGTCCACCCAATTTCCTTTACCCTGTTCGGTCGATACCATGCCCACTTTTACGGTATTTACCCCGCATTATGCCGAGAAAATGCTCTTGTCGCTGCGAGAAATTATTCGTGAAGAAGACTCCACTACCCGCGTTACTTTACTTGAATACCTTAAAAAACTGCATCCTGCCGAATGGAATAATTTTGTCAAGGACACCATGTTTATTGCCGAAGAAAACCAAGTGCCCACAAAACCTTCTGAGAAGGACGATTTACCCTTTTATTGTATTGGCTTCAAATCTGCCGCCCCTGAATACACCTTACGTACCCGTGTGTGGGCCTCGTTACGAGCACAAACCCTGTACAGAACCATAAATGGCTTCATGAACTATTCGCGGGCTCTCAAAATATTGCACCGCATCGAAAATCCTCAACTCAACGGCCAAGACCACGACCGCAAAAAACAAACGGAGAACCTCCTCGATGCCATCTCCTATGAAAAATTTCGTTTCTTGGTCGCTATGCAACGTTATGCTCAATTCAATGCTGAAGAGGCTGAAAACTGTGAATTCTTATTGACCGAATATCCGCATCTCCAAATCGCCTACATCGATCAAGAATTAGACGCTGAAGGACAAACCGTCTTTTTCTCTGTTCTCATCGACGGTCATTGTGATCTCTTGCCCAATAACAAACGCGTACCCAAATACCGTGTTCGTTTACCCGGTAATCCCATTCTTGGTGACGGAAAATCCGATAATCAAAACCACGCCTTGATCTTTTATCGTGGGGAGTATCTACAACTCGTTGATGCCAACCAAGATAATTATCTGGAAGAATGTCTCAAAATTCGTAGCATCTTTGGTGAGTTTGAGCAAGGCACAGAGGATCAACCTTCTCTCGATCAAGTGTACGCTCTCTACAACGGCTCCCATCGCCGTATCACCAAGGACGAAGAACCAAGACGGAAGAATGAAAATATTCCTCCCGTAGCTATTGTGGGTGCACGTGAATATATCTTTTCGGAAAACGTAGGTATGTTGGGTGACGTCGCCGCTGGTAAAGAACAGACATTTGGTACATTAACGCAACGTATTATGGCAAAGACAGGGGGTCGATTGCATTATGGACATCCCGATTTCTTAAACGCTGTATTCATGACCACACGAGGTGGTGTAAGTAAAGCTCAACGGGGTCTGCATCTAAACGAAGACATTTATGCTGGTATGAATGCTCTTTTACGAGGCGGAAGAATCAAGCATACCGAATACCTTCAATGTGGTAAAGGACGTGATCTGGGTTTCTGTAGTATCTTAAATTTTACGACCAAGATTGGTACGGGTATGGGCGAACAATTGCTCTCTCGCGAATACTATTATCTGGGGACACAATTACCTTTGGACCGTTTTTTGACATTTTATTATGCACATCCTGGTTTCCACATGAACAATATTATGATTATTTTTGCTGTGCAAGTATTCCTGTTCTGTATGACGCTGGTGGGTACCATGGCAGCTGGATTACCTCATTGTAAAGGAAGTAATTGTTTTGATGTCAGGCCTGTCTATGATTGGTTACAACGATGTATTCTTTCCATCTTTATGGTCTTCTTCATTGCATTCTTACCGCTCTTCTTACAAGAATTAACAGAAAAGGGTGCTTGTCGATCCATACTTCGTCTCGTCAAACAATTCCTCTCCTTATCGCCCTTGTTTGAAGTATTTGTCACGCAAATCTATGCTAATTCCGTCTTGTCTAACTTGAGCTTTGGAGGTGCAAGGTATATTGCTACCGGTCGAGGCTTTGCTACCTCTCGTTTACCATTTTCAGTCCTGTATTCTCGTTTTGCTCATCCCAGTATTTATTTTGGCGCACGCACCATGTTTATGCTCTTCTTCGTCTCCTTGGCGCTTTGGATCCCTCATTTGATTTACTTTTGGGCTACGGTGGCTTCTTTATTGGTATCGCCCTTTGTGTTTAACCCGCATCAGTTTGTATTCATGGATTTCATTAACGATTATCGAGAGTTCTTGGGTTGGCTTTCGCGGGGAAACTCTACACGATCTTACGAACATTCCTGGATCTCCTTCTGTCGTCAGATCCGTACTCAAGTCACCGGTAACAAGAAGAAGGCGCGTCAAAAGTTTGAGAACAAGCCCATTGTGGCTGTACCCCGTGCTCATCTTTCCAGTATCTTTTTCGCAGAGATCATGATGCCCTTGATTCAAGCTGTTCTTTGTGCAGCCTGCTACACATTCTACAAGAGCCGTGAACAGGTTGATGTCTATGGTGTACTCAAGTCACCTGTGAATACGTCATTGGGTCCTTTAGGTGCTTTGGGACGGGTCGTCTTGATCTCTGTGGGTCCCATTGTTTGGAACGCTATCATGCTCATTTGGATTCAGGTCTTATCGTTGGTAGGATCCGGATTGCGTCGAACAGGATTTTATATGGCCTTGTTGGCTCATGGTCTGGCCGTGGTGGGATTCGTGCTATTCTATGAAGTCTTTTGGACGCTGGAAAAGTTTCAAATACGATCCACGTTGTTGGGTTTATTGGCCGTGTTTTCGTTACAGAGGTTTATCTTTAAGACATTTGTAGCCTTGTTTTTAACAAGAGAACTTCATCATGATGCTACCAATCGAGCCTGGTGGAGCGGTAAATGGAAATCCAGCAAAGTAACGTTTTATATTATGTATTTTTAGGGATATCATCATCAGACAAACTAAAAAAAAAAAAACTTCTTTTTATTTCTAACAGGTTGGTAAACTGGCAGCACGAGAATATATATGCAAGATTGTTGAGATGTCTATATTTACGACGGATTTTATTTTGGGACATTTGATCTTGTTTGGCCTGTTTCCGATCACGTTGATCCCGTCCATCGATCGCATTCATTCACTCATCCTGTTTTGGTTAAGACCCTCTAAGCAGATCCGTCCGTCTGTCCTACCCACCAAGGAACGTAAAAGACGTCGCCATATTGTGTTACTCTATGGACCCTTCTTTATATTTGTTTTGCTTTCATTTGCGGCGTTGATTATTTTGCCTCCCAAATTAGCCCCTCGCTTACCTATTCAATATCAAAACTTTGTCAAGATATTCTAAAAAAGATAAATAAATAATTCATAAAAAAGAAAAATCTATATATATAACACACGCACATATTTACAAATAAAAAAAAAATTATACATATATATAAAAAAACGACATCATAACTAGTCTATTTTTAAAATAATATGAGAATAACATAATTACTACGCAAATCAAATCAAAAAAGTGCAAACAAGATGTAGTCAATACTGCGTATAAAAATAAAAAGCCCTTTTTTTTTTCACAAGGCTTCAATATTTCTTTCCTTCTTCTTCATTACAACAACAACAACAAAAATGCTTCTTATTACATCGGTAGATGATTACCTTGGTTACTGTATTGCCTCTCATCTCTCTCAAGTCAAGTCCGTTCGTAAAGACTTGCGTGTCTTGTACTCCCAACCTTCTGCCTGGATCAAGAACTTCCAAACCAAAGGTATCGACACTGTCAAGATTACAGACTGTCACCATCCTGACCAGCTCTCCAAGGCCATGCGTAACGTCTCTCAAATCGTCCTTACCTTGGGCTCACACCCCGACCGTGTCAAGCACTGTCAAAAGCTATTGCAAGTCGCCTTACGCTCTGGGGTCAAGTCGATTCTTTTTCTAAGTCATATCGGAGCGCAATCGGAGGAACATGCATCCTTGTATGACTATGGTCTTGTTGAGAACATGTTGATTGAGCAAGAAGAGCAAATGACCAGCGTGATTTTCCGCTTGGATTTTATCCAGCAATATTTTCATTTGTGGGCTGCGCAGGTAGAACAAACCAAACAATGGCGCTTACCCATCAGCCACGAGACCGAAATGTGCCCTGTTGATATTGGCGATGTCTGCCTAAGTATCGAAGCGTGTGTGATCCGTAACGATGCCTTATTGGAAGAATTGGAGGATTGCCATGTCGGTCAAGTGTATACTTTAACAGGCCCCGAGGCGTTGAAAAATAAACAGATGATGCAAATGATGTCTGATGCAACACGCTACACGAATTACAAAAATCACATGTGTCGGCCCATGGATACACGTTTCTATCTGGATGGTCTCTGTCGTGATATCTGGTTCGATGCTCGTATCAAGAACGAGACTGCAAAATCATATCGTGATGTATTGGAAACAAACGCCTATCGTACCAAAGCCTTTTCAGTCCCTCATCGTACGTATTAAAAAAAAAGAGAGATATGTATTCATGACTTTTATCTAACAGCTGAACACAACATACATTAGGCTTATTTAAGGATGCATGTATAGATTACTTTGATTGGATCAACAAGACTTCAGGAAGTGTCCCCGTCAATCATATTCAGCAATTCTCCAAGGTACCTAAAACTATGGGAGACTTCTTTCAAGAAAACGCCAATTCATTCAAGCCAAAAGTTTAAAATGGAGCAAATAATAATAAATTAATTTTTTTTTTTTTTTTTGGTTGGCCCGGGATAAAAATACAGAAATTTATAAATAAATAAATAAAAGGCACACATCTTTTTTTTTTTTTTTTTCGTTCCTATTATTTAACACTAAATTTAATCATGGCACCTCCACCTAAGGATTATTGGTTCCATATCAAGTACTGGGCAGTCATTATCCCTCTTGCCTACATAATCTCCTTTCTCTGTAAGTTTCGTTTTATGCATCCCCTTTTGACTCACACGGCCCTAAAAAAAACCTGACCTGACCTGTTAAAATAGACATGTTCTATCCTCTTGCTGGAATTCACAAATTGAACCAAGATTACAATATTGAATCCTGTGAAAAGATTTCCGGTGAGCCATAACTTTACAACTCACCAAGAAGTTTAACTTAACTCTTTTTTTTTTTTTTTTGGTAGGACCTGCTGACTTTCGTTACTGTGAAGATGTCATCTTGTCAACCACCGAACCTGGCATCGCTTATACCACTTGTGACCCCGAACGTCATTTACATAATAAAGTCATGGGCATTAGCTCTTTGGCTCCCGGACAAACCGCCAAAAGTGGTGGTTACTGGAGAGTTGACTACACACAGGCAAGTTCGCGTGTCTTGCCCCTCCCCAAGGTGTTTCTTTTATATTAACATTTTTTTTTTTTTTTTGACTGTATAGCGCCCTGCATCCATTGAACAATTTCAAGTAAAGGACTTTGATACCGAGACTGACTTTCACCCTTTGGGCATGACAGTGGATACCCACCCAGAGACAGGCGAAAGATTACTTGTGTCTGTAAACTTGCCTCATTACGGCGAGGCTTCTATTGAGTTTTACACCATCGATGATGCCAACCTGGAACTTCAACACAAACGTACGATTCGTCATGAAAAGATCTACAACCCTAACTCTGTGCATGTCATGAAGGATGTGCGTTTCAGAGCAGCTGATGGTACACCTTCCTTCTTCTTTACGAACGACCATTACTTTATGAAGGCCGGACTTCTCAAGAAAATCGAAAACTACTTTTTTTACTTGAGTAACGTGGGTTTCTATAACGCACGTACGGGGGAGGTCGAAAAGGGAATGAACGGCATGTTATTCGCTAACGGTGTGACAGGAAATGACCAGACCTTATTTGTGGCCGAAACTAACCGTCGCACCATTAAAAAGTATCAAATCTTGACTCATGAAGATGAGCAACGTGTGCCTCATATCACCCTCAGTTATCAGACTCAGGCCGTCTTTGATATGGCCGTCGATAATTTGCGCTTTCACGAAGAAAAGAATTTGGTCACTGTGGCTGGTCACCCCAAGGGCATTCAGGCTATGCAATACATGATGGCCAAGAACAAGTCTGATGTGACTAAACCTCCTTCTCAAGTCGATGTCTGGGATGTCACCACGGGAGAAACAGAGACGCTCATCAAGGACAATGGCGAGTTATTCACGACTTCCACTACAGGTGCTCTTGACTTGGTCCATTCTAAACTTGTCGTAGCTGCTCTCTTTGATGAAGGTTTATTAATCTGTGACATTTAAATAAAGAACAAAAAAAAAAGATATAATGTTGGGAGGAGGAGGAGGAGGGGGCAACTTCTATTTATTTTTTATATGTGTAAAAAAAAACAAACAACAAGAAAGGAGGAACGTGATTTAAAAAAAGAAAAGGAATTTACACTAGAATTAAAAAATGTTAGCGAGATATACATATATACAAAAAGAAAAACTTACTGGCATATTTCTTAGTCCAATCTCTTGCTGTAGCTTCATAACGTGCACGGTCGGTCTTGTAGATATGGGCCAACTCAGGGACAAGAGGATCTATTTTATACGTGTTTGTTAATAAGATGAGAAAAAAGGGGTGATATATATATGACGTTACCATCAGGATTAGGATCTGTAAGAAGAGAACAGACAGAAAGTAAAACTACAGATTAAAAAGAAAGTTAATAATTCACGCTTTAGAATGATGACTCTTTTTCTTAATTTTTACCCTTTGAGATTGTAAGTGCGGGTGACCATTGATCCTTCAAGATATCTAAACAGATGGAACCGTTGGAGTTGATGTTGGGATGATAAATCTTGGTGGTAAAGTTAATCTATTTTTACGAGTTAAAAGGGGATTATGTAACTGAAGCCATATTAAAATATTATATCCTTTATTTTTTTTACCTTTGGGGGCTTGAAAGGGTAATCAGTGGGAAAGTGAATAGACAAGAAGAAGACACCACCTTGGTAAGGACTATCTTCCTACAAATGAAATAAGTTTAATACAAAAAGCAACAACAACAAAAAAAGCATACAACACTTACAGGACCCATAATAGTAGCTTGCCAGTGAAATAAATCATCACCAATAGGTCCTGCAGAGCAGGAAGAAGGTGGGTCACGCTCGAGATCTTTAAGCTCCTATAAAGGTGTTAGTCCATCTTGTTTAATCTCGGTTTTACGTAGCCCTCATTTTTCAGATTAAAAAAAAAAAGAAAAAAAAAAGCCACACAAAAAGAAACCCCCACATATATATAAAAAAAGAGAACAAGTAGAAAAAATGTCTACATCTCTTTTCTTAGTTCATGTATTTCTTTTTTTCTCATCTTACCTTGTTAATACGCTTTAAAGCCATTTTTTATAATTATTTATTTTTCCAAAAAAATTGTATTTGAAAAAAGAAGTCTGTAGAAAAAAAAATAAAAAAAAATCCAATCTTATTCCACCCCCTCCCCTCAAAAAAATCATCCTCCCTTTTTTGGTGCGGTCATTTAAAAAAAATAATCATGAGTAATTGGGCAAAAATAATATAGAGTCAGGACATGTTTACTGTCCCACACACACACCTATTCTTTGTTTCTAATCAGTGACTAAACACTTACTCTTTAACTAATTATCCTGTCTGTCTGTCATATTCTCTCCATCACTTAACCGGGACTATGGGAACTACAATCACCTGATATTCTTTTACCGTCACAAGAACTTCTCTTTAATAATCTCATTCGGACGGAGAAATTAATCATATTTTCTTTTGCACATTCAGAATAAAAAATACACACGCACACATTAAAAAAGAGGCGGGTGCTCACGGTACACACTCTCTCTCTCTCCTCACATAAAAAAAAATAAAACTGCGCAATTTCAAATACATTGCATTTCATTGGTCACCCTGCAACCTACACAATTGTCGCGTCATTCTTTTTTCCAAATACGCGTTAATTCTTTATGCTTTTTTACAAGTACGTTTGATTGTCCTTTTTAAGACGTACCCCGTATCTTGGGATAATACGCGTCTACTAGCCGATATATTAAAAAAAAAGTTGTACCTAAATAATTCTCAGTTGGGCCTCTTTGCATCCCTATAGCAACGGTAACAACAGTCCCCTTCTGACTTGGAGACGCCCATCCTATTCCAACGTTTATTGTTTTTCATGCATTTTTATTATGACGTATGTAAAGCATGGCACAGTGCTCACTTTCTTTCTTCCCAATCTGTAGCGGCGATTTTTTTTTTTATTCTTATCTTTACAAACTATCTTTACTGACATTAAGGTTTGCAGCCCAAACTTATACGGGTCTATTTGACTTTAAATCTCATACCGATAGGGCTGTGGGCAGACTTATAATAAAAGAGTCATCATCTGTTACTTTCTATCATAACATTGAAACAACATTGGGGGGTAGCTGCCCTAGAAATGGTCTCGAGGCCTTGCAACATATTCAGGATGGCTCTCAGTCTAGACTAAACAAACGATAGGTCAGCCCCTCCCCCCCCCCCCTTTTACATATTTCAAAAGGAAACTAGGTCGTACAAATACCACCTCCCCCATCCCGACCAATGGTGACTTTTTTTTGCATGGATTACAAAAAGGGCACACACAGACACTTTTATGTCTTTTTTTTTTTTTTTGTTAAAGCGGAGACACGCTATATGTCAAAAACGCATAAAAAAAAAAGAGAAAGAGAAAACAAAAAAAAATGTACAAATTTCATGTGCTTTTATTGATATGATATTCTAAATAAACACAAAAAAGATTGGAAATATTTAAGCAATGAGCTCGACAACTAAGAAAGAAAAAGATAATTAGTATAAGAGGTAACAACTTTTCTTAAGCAAAAAGACTTACCACCACCAGCAGCCTTGATCTTCTTTTCGGCAAGAGCAGAAACGAAACGAGCACGGACAATGACGGGTTGAGAGATAGTACCCTTGGCCAAAACCTTACCGTAACCCTAATAACATTCAAAGAAAGGTTAATTCACATGAATAAAAATAACAGAAATAGTTGATTTTACCTTTTGGAGGGTGTCAATAATGGGAACCTTTTCAGTGTTCTTGTATTGCTCACGAACACCATCGGCAGCAAGAGTCCAGATCTTGTCAAGATTGACAATAGGACGCCAGTTGACGTTGTTCTTCAAGTGGAATTGACGCATACCGACCTTACCGAAGTAACCAGGATGGTACTTATCCATGTTAATACGATGATGATGTTGACCACCAGCAAGACCACGACCACCAGGATGCTTTCTGTGCTTACCGACACGACCGTGACCGGCTGAAACGTGTCCACGCTTCTTTCTGTTGTGATGTAATCTAGTAGGCTTTAGATGCTCATGGTTAGGATGGATGGATTCATCATGGATCGTTTCTTTGAGTTTACCATTTAAAAGATACAACAGTTGAAAAGGATGGGTTAGCTGTACCCCATCCTATTCATCTACTATAACCCTCCTCTCGCCCTTTTTTTTTTTTGTTTTTTTTACACCGACCCCCGCGCAGCACCCCCCACAACTGAATACTCACTGAATACTCACTCACACTCCAAACTCACAGCTACCATTTTTTTTTTAACGCCCAAGAATCCGATAGGCCCGGACCGGACATACTTACTGAGTGAAAAGATAGAGTCTATAGCACCCCCCACAGAAACCATACACACACACAAATCTGCACTTGGGCAGGGCGGGCCCAAAGTGTTTAGTTTTTGGGTAGATCCAGATTTTGTGTTATATTTTCCCCCTCTCTTAATTTAAAGGTAAACATACATCCAAAAAAAAAAATCCATCCATCAATCTAATCCAATGTAAAAAAAAAAAAAAAAAAATCAGATAATGGAAGCTGTCCAAACTTTCGGTCGCAAGGTTCGTTTTTTTTTTTTTGGTTTGGTTAATCGCAAAAAAAAAAGAGAGAGAGAGAGTTTGAACTGGAATGCATACACCATGAACGATTTTTAAATATACAACCATTGACATGACAACGACGAGTTTTTGGATTGAACAACACATGGACGACGCACGACACCCCCTTTTTTTATATATAATTGGACTTTTTTTTTTTGCATGATGGGGAAAAGATGGATTACATGGAAATATAGATTCAACATTCACTCACTCATTCACTCTCTCTCTCTTTTTACATTCAATGCGGGAATATAACAAAAAAAAAGAAAGAGACTAACACGAACTGTTAATAAAAAATAGAAAACCGCCACTGCCGTCGCTCATTGTAAGCGTGGTCACGGACTCATCCGTATCAATGGTTCTCCCATTGAACTCCTTGAACCCGAGATCTTAAAGTTCAAGGTTTACGAAGTCATTCTTCTTTTGGGTGAAGAACGTTTCGCCAACACCGATATCAGAATTCGTGTCAACGGTGGTGGTCACACCTCTCAAGTTTATGCCATTCGTCAAGCTCTTGCTAAGGCCATTGTTGCCTTCTACCAAAAGTTTGTTGATGAAGCTGCCAAGAAGGAAATCAAGGAAATCCTTGTCCAATACGACCGTACTCTTCTCGTCGCCGATCCTCGTCGTTGTGAACCCAAGAAGTTTGGTGGTCCCGGTGCTCGTGCTCGTTTCCAAAAGTCTTACCGTTAAAAGCGATTGTTTATATCTCTATTTTTTCGTTGTTTTTATCAGTAAAAAGTTATTAAAAAAAAAACAATCTTTTTTTGTGTGACCCTTCTTCTTTAAATCTGACATTCCTTGCGTAAAAAGATTACATCTCTTTTTTTTTACATCTTTATTTCTTTTTTTAAAAATCATGACTACCACTATTCGTATCGGCTACGGTAAACTATAACTTACTTTAAAACTATCACGTATTCATTCTTTTTGTTATATATAAAAAGTACCTGAGCATTTCTCAACCCCTTTATACGTTGCACGCGATCTTGGCTTGTTCAAAGACACAGGCGTAAACGTCGAGCTCGTTTTATGTCCCGGTGGTACTGGCGAGGTAAAGAAGTAGAAGGGTTTGTCTCTCATTTAAGAAAACTGTACTCACCCTTCCATGTCCTTATTATTTCTTTGTTAGATGACAAGTAAGTTACAAGACAAGTCCATCGATTTAGCCATTGCTTTGACAGAAGGACTTGTCGCTGGCATCAGTAAAGGTCAAGATTGGTACAAGATTGTCGGTACTTTTGTCGATGCCCCACTTTGTAAGTGTTCCTTTTTTTTTTTTTTTTAATGTTACGACACTTGAGCAATGTTCAACCCTGTAGGTTGGGCACTTTCGACCGGAAAGAATGCAAAACATGACTCGATTGACACACTTTACAAGACCAATGTGGCTATTTCGCGCTATGGCTCAGGGTCACATATCATGGCCTATGTTCTTGCCGAGTCTCGCGAATGGTTAAAAGAGAAGGAGGAACCCTTTCAATTCACGGTTCTTGATAACTTTAAGAATATGCGAGATAAGGTGAATGATGGTACGTGTGATTATTTCATGTGGGAGACCTTTACCACCAAGCCCTACCACGACTCTGGTGAAATCAAACGCATTGGACAGATCACCCCTCCTTGGCCTGCATTCATGTTTGCTGCTCATGTGGATTTATTAGCCAACCATAAGGAAGCGCTTGTCAAAGTATTAAAGGCCATTGAGAAGGCAACAGAGGTATTTATCTCACAAAAGGAAAGTGAGTCTGTGGAGCTAGTGATGCGCATATTGGATTACCCTGAGGAAGATGTCCGTCGTTGGTTTGAAACGGTACGTTATGCAAAGGATAGTCAACAGGTATCTCGTAAGGCCATCAAGGTCACTTTATCCACGTTGCTGGATGCAGGTGTCATTTCCCAACCTACCAAACCCATTGAGGATTTAGTAGACCCTGACGTTGCTCATATCACGGATTAAATATTGAATTGCTTTATAAAAATTTACATCGATAAGCTTTGTGTCACTAACACAATAATACGGGCTTCTTTTTTCCCACCCATGGTAAAAAACCCTAATCAAGGTTTGATCGGATTTCGTAAATGTAATTGACGTGCATAACCATTTTTTTACCCACACTTGAAAAGTCATTTTAGCAAGAAAAATAGATGATGGGCACTAATCCTTTTTGTGTGTGTGTATGTGTGTCTAAGGGGGGGGGGGAAGGTCCACAAATCTAGATTATTATAGAAATCAGAGAGAAAAAAAAACCAGTTCGGTTTCACTTGAGTGGCGCGGCCAACTTTTTTTTTTTTTTGGGTGGTTAAAAATAGGTATTTTACTGATTAAATGCATGTATATTTCTTATAGAGAGGAAACGAGAGGGTTCACCAGAAGGACCTCGTCTATTTATTATAGGTGTTTCCCCCTTTTAAAAAATTATAAATAACTGTGTGTGATACGACAGTAAGCAACAACAAGAGTACAAAATAAGTAAGTTTTTGCGGCTACACAAGAAAAAGGTAGTATATATATATATATATATATATATATATAAATATATACATGTAAAAAGGATAAATATAAAAAGGAAAGGAAAGAAAGGGTATAGGTAATATTTTATGCTTGCTGTTGTTGCTCATCACCTGTAATATGAAGCTTTCCAAACTGTTGCTGAAACTGTATTGAGCCAACACGTTCATGTCTTTGTCTCCCATGCTGCTGCTGCTGTTGTTGCTGTTGCTGTTGTTGTTGCTGTTGTTGTTGTTGTTGTTGATTCATCATATTCATAGCATGTTGTTGATACAAGTCAATATTATCCTCTTGTTTTAAATGATGTTCGCCTCGTTTTGCAAGCTCGATCAGACGCTCAAGTTCCTTGATCTTTCCTTTACAATTTGTCACTTCTTCTCTTAATTCCTTGATATGATCAACCGACAGTTTAAGAATAGTGCCCTTATTAATAGGCTTGCCATTAGCCCCGTTTTGTCCCGTTGCAACTGACATTACATTGGAACTGGCTGGTACGGATTCTAACAAATGCTCAGGTAGCATAGTAGAAAGCTCTAAAAAATAAAAGGTTAATAAATAGGTATATACATTGGCTTTATCTATTGGAGCTGAACCTTGAATTCTTTCATTGATATTGTCTCTTCTTCTTCTTTCAACCGCATTGTGTGATTCGCGTCTTCTTCTTCTCTTTTCGAATATTTCTTGATGACTAAGGGCATGTTATTATATATTAAAAGAGGGAGTGTATGTGATGGCTTACTTTCTTTGGCTAAGCTCATCATCGTCTGGACCAGCAGCAAAGCCTTCGATGATATGACCTGTAGAATTGGATGGTGTGACTAGAAGGTCTCTGCCACCAAAGACGGGAGATTGGCCAAAAGAAGAAGCGTTTGAATCTAAGCTTGTACTGAACCAATTTGTTGAAGGATCTGCAAAGCCTACATTATTGGAAACGGTGCTTGAAGGATTAATGGCCATAGGACCAAAATTATTATTGTTGGTATTGTGGTGAAGATAAGACTGCTGATTTAAACTGGTTCGTGTTCTTGGTTGATTGTTTACAAACATATCTCCATTACTATTGTTGTTATCCATATGAAATTCCTGTTGATTTGTAGAATACATTTTTTTATTGTAATTTGTTTAGAAAAAGAAAAGAAAGAAAAAAAAGAAAGAAAAAAATTTATTCAAGGTTCAAATATATCTTTCTCAGCTGATAACACCAACCTTGCCTTTTTTAGGGTCCTGGATTTTCCTTTGAACCTTCTTTCTTTTTTGTATTTATACCCGTTTCTTAGTCCCGTTTCTCTTTTAGCCTCTTTATCAACCTTGTTTCTTATTTTAAAAAAGAGAGAGATATATAAAAGATACAAAAACGCATTCACTGCTATTTATTTTATTTTTTTAATTTTATTTTTTTCCTTTCAATATGGCTTAAAGTAGCAACAAGGTGGCACAGACCATCTCATCTGACCTTTTTTTTTTTTTTTCTCTTCTTCTTGTGTTGACATTATATTTGTACATGAGAGAGAGTGAGAATGAGGGAGAGTTTGAACTCACATGGAAAATATAAACACAAACTCATATAAATAAAAAACTGTGTATCACCTTCATTGACACAACGCTGAACAATGACGTCCCAAGGAAGAGGGGAAAGGCTCGAAGGATGGCTCAAGCGCAGTAAGATCAGCAGGTACGATCATGAAATCATCAGATGTTGTACCTCAAAAAAAAAACACTGCGGTTAATAAAGATCTCAAGATTGCTATTTTATTAAAAATCCATTTACAGTGACTGCGTGAGGGATACCAAGATCTACATGAGTCTCCCCGTGCGTCTTAAATGACGTTACATAGTTGTTGGCGTCACTATTTTTTTTTTCGGTACCTGAACCGTGCCATGCCAACAAAACTTTGAATAAACATACACGAAAAATAGATAATACAGGTTTCGCATTTTGTATCAATAGCTATTGGTTAAAACCCATTATATCTTGCAGTCTGAGAAAAGTTCGCTTATCAGTTGCCCGCGCCTTCTTTTTTACACAAGTTGATACCTGTAACATTAAAAGCATCTGGGATGTATTTTTTTTTAAGGGCTGCATTTATTTAATAAATTTTAACATCCCGCGTCAAAAAAAAAAAAAAAATATACCTCATTTTGCCCTTGTACACACAAGCGGAGACACGTTTTTCCACACGAGTTTTTAATAGAATAAAACGTACCCGTGAAGAATCAGGTACACAACGCTATTATTATTGTGCTAAATACTCTCACTGTTCCGCCAGTGTCGTTGGTCTCAAAAGCACAACATTTACAGAGAAAAAAAAAAGCTATATATTCTCGTGCATACTCTTCGCACAAATCACTTTATTGTCGGGAAAAACAGCCCTATCTACAGCAGAGTAGTAAAGTAAAAGTGTCACCCATTTGCATGATTCCTCCGCGAGGAGTGAGCGGACACCAGACTTGACTTTCAAAATAGAGCGGATATGCAAAAACGTCTTTTGACATCTTTTTTTTATTTTCAAATCAATAACTTAACATACATTCGCTTCATGTTTACTTTTAGTGTTTACTAATCACAGGTTAAAGCAAAAAAAAAAAAATCTACAGTCAAAGTGGCTTGTACCGCAGTCAAAAAAGTTTTGGTATAAACAACAGCTACGATTTTTTTTTTTTTTTGTTCTTTACTCTTTACTTTCACCTCTCATTGTATGCTTCTTCCAAAATGATCAGAATGTGCAGGGTCCGTGTCGCTGCCAGTTAAATCTGAAGTATCAAGTATGGGACTGACGTGTGTATTAGATACTTATTCCAAACCCCCCACCTTCACAAACCATTGTGGTGGGCTCTTGCTTCTACACAGTGTGGTGTGGAACTTACTTCTTCTGCTCCTAAAAAAAGGTGGAAGTCCGTCCGTTGTTTGACCTTGAATGTATGAAGCGAGTTCATCTTATGTTTTATGAGAACTGTTGATGTGAAGGTTTAAAGAAAAGTGCTTTTTCTTCGGTAATACGTGGTTCTTTTTTTTTTTTTTTTTTTTTTTGTCAGTCTTGCTGAATGGGTGTAATAAGGTTTGCGTCTATTTTTAAATAGAAAAAGGGGGGAGGGGCTTGGTAATTATAGTTTAAAACATGTACGATTATGATCAGTAGACCTATCGGAAAACAAACATTTGCTAACCTCTTATAAAAAAGTAATTTAATTTCGACCTTTTCTTTTTTGGATATCAAAACACGAATTATGAGAAACTTCAACTCTTTACCTCTTGAAATCTGGAATATCATTCTATCGCATGCTGGAGAGTCTGTTAAAGATGCTCGATTGATGGCTGTTAATAAGCATTGGTACAATATTTTTCTATCGGCCACCTTTACCGATCCCTGTGTATCTCTAGATGGTAAATGCTCTACATATGATTCTATTATAAACTCTCCCTTTCAACCAGGACAATGGGCAAAAGCAATCACCTTTCAACGTTTTAAAATGGAGGATGATCTAACCCAAGTAAAACTTTATGCTTTAATGATACATACGCCCCATGTTGTACATGTAGCATATAGTTCAGATGAACCAATCTATGCGCAAGACTGGAGCTATTTCTATACGGTATTGAGAATGGCAAACGTCTGGAATTTATATCGTTTACCTAAAGAGTGGTATTGGACAAGCAGGAATATTCATTTGATTTATCCGATTTATTTAAAATGCGCAGAACATCTGAAGCACTCGCTTACTTCACTACGCTTGATTAAAGAAGTCTTACCAATGAATTTCGATTTTAGTTTTTTCCATAGATTTACCGCATTAACTTCTTTGGACATTAAAAAAGGCATTCTTAAAAATGTATACGATTTAGATACCCTACTGCAACATACACCTCAATTGGAAACTCTCACGGTAGATTTCAAAGGCACATGTTTTGTATCAGATCGACAACGCAATGGCGACGATAACGGAAAATTGATGAGTGGAGTGTATCACAACATAAAAACGCTTATATTTACAAACTTTATATTTCAAAAGGACAACCGAGTAAGCATGCTTTATACCAATTTCACAGGTCTTCGAAATATACATATTCAGTGTGCTCAAAGCATCCTCGCCTTAAAGAAGCCAGAAACATCAAAACGGTTTTTCAAGATGCTCGCATCACTTTTTTGGTTCAAAATTACATTTTCTGGAGATACTATTGATATTGTGTCAGATTTTATAAACGAAAATTGTCAACATAAAATGCATGCATCTGTATTCAACACCACATCTACTAGTGAATCAATCACCCTCAGTGGAGTAAATATTGGCATCCGGCAGCCAATAAGGATAGATTATTCTTTGTATGCCATCCACACAATCAGACATATTTTTTCGAACTTGGGTCAAAACATACAACAACTTGATTTCAATTTGTTGAAAGGGCAGGAAGCTGTGCTGTACATGAATACCCTTTTTAGTAACCAGCACGAAAACTTACGCTCTGTTACATTCTATAAATTTGAACTCACAAGGTCTGGCATAGAAGATGACACAAATACAGGCTACACCCAAAATATAACGTTTGAGGAATGCAAACTTTCTAGACAAGCTCTCCGTTTGTTTTCACCGCGCTTTGCAACATTAGACACGGTAAATATCAACGGTTGCAACTTTGAGGGATCGGGTGATGTTCCTTGGTTAAATATTACAATGCCAAAGACCGATATTCGCAAACTATGTATATCGTCTGACCCTACATTCCCCTGCAACCTTTTCGATTTAAATTCTAGTAATAATGATGATGATGATGACAAATTATCCAATCAGCATAATATTCCAAGTACTTTTCCTTTAATTTCAATCACTCTAGCTGAAGAGGGTGGAGATGTAACAAGATATTACTATACAAGAAATGAAGAGACACCAACCGTTGTAGAAACAACAAGAACACAATTCTTTCTACTTGCTCGAGATATACCATTTAAAGTTCTTAACAAAATTGTATGCGTCCACGTCAAGTCTATCCGGGAACTTTCTTTAAAATTAACCAGTGATCGATCAAACGATATTCAGATGGTTTTCTAGTACCCCCGCGATACTACTTATCATAAAAACTCGAATAAAACACAAGTTATACAAAAAAAAAAAAACTAACATCAATCAAATATGTTCTTCTTGAAGCATGGAAGAGTCAAGTAAAGGGCTATTTAACACAATTGGTAGAGAAACATTATATGAATCCCTGCACCTATTATAATTTTCTTTTTGCTCTTGCCCAACGATGCTTAAAGCATTGAGATGTGGAAAATAGTCCAAGGATAGTGAGATTACCAACTTTCTTAAGAGTCCTTCTGTAAAATTAAAATGACGAAATTGTAAATTTAAATCTGCTGTGGGTTTTTTTTTTTATGTAAACAAACTAACTGTTATTACCGAAATATCATCATTTTCATTTCATGAAAAAAACCCTGTACTTCAACAACAAAAAAGAACATATATATATGCGACTAAAAAAGTTTCAGACATATTTCCTAACACCTGTGCTTCAAATTAAGAAACGGTGATCTAATCTGAGTGCTTGTTTTGATGAACGGTATCTGTATTTGTCTGCAACATTGTTTCTTTTTATATAAAAAAAAAAGCTTATTCCATTTACTGAGGAAGGACATATTTACAACCCAATTTATAACATGTGCATAGAATAGCTTAAATAACAATTGATTGCTTAACGATAAGTGCTACATATTTGGTAAACTTGAAATATAGAAAAATGTAATAATAATTAGTAAAGGATGCATTATTATTCTTTTTAATACCCGTCAAAACTAGGTGATCTTTTTTTTTTTTTTTCGTATCTAGTGATGATGAACCTTATTTTTAAATACGCAAATTCAGGTCAAGTATCAAAACTAGTATGATTCGTATAAAAAACCGATAACCCTGAGTGAAGAGTTAGGCACGGAAGCTAAATATGACTGTTTGATACCATCATGTTTGATGGCTGGCATCTAAAACGAAAACCCAGCCATTGTTTCTTTTTCTTTAATATAATAAATAAAGAATGATGAAAGACAAACTAAAATAATTTGAACCAAAAGAAATCGATTTAAAAAAAAAAAAAAGCAAAAAAAAAAAAAAAAAAAATCAATTAAAAATTTTTAAAAAAAATGTGCTCTAGGCGAGGATCGAACTCGCGATCTTCGCGTGACTCTGGTATATTTTAACAATATAAGCACGACGCTCTAACCAACTGAGCTACGAGAGCATTTGTTGACGATTTTGAAATTAGCAAAAATATAACCCAATTACAAAATTTGTTGGCAACTTTTTTTAGTGCTTTTTATGAATTGCATGTTATAAAGCTAAATAAAAGGTGCAGAATTCGTAAAAAAATATTCAAATTTACTTTATTTTTCATCGATTTAAAGCGTTTCTAAGATTGGGTGGTCTGGGTTATATTTTATTTAGCTGGGACAAAAAAGTATTCAGGCGCCGATTTTTTACAGTTATCCACAACGATAAAATATTTCTGTCATTTTGAGAGTTTATACCCGTCTAAACTGTTTACAACAAAACAAAATGTAACTAAAAGGGTATATTTTTTCTTGAAATAAGTAACGCGCATATTTATAAAATTAAAGATATATGATTAACTCTTCGGTCAATCAAGGTTATTCATAAATGAGGCATTTTATCAACATTGATATCCTCATCTTCAATCAAGATCGCCATTACAAAACATGATCATGCGTATCAGTTCTTATTTATTTCTGTAGCGCAACATGCCGCTGTTTTTGGGCGCCTGTACCCTTTTTCACCAGAATTAATCACAAATTACCTTGTTATGAATGGACACATTATATGGTTAATGATTTCATATTTATCTTGGTAGGACAGATACATTATACGGCAAATTAAACGTTAAAAACATGTCTGATCGAAAAAAAAAATACCATTCTCCTTTGTAGTTACTAATTTTGTAACTATTTCCTGCAACAACATAGTATTTATACATTTACTTTCATTTAAATGTGCAATGTGTTCAGTATAGCAACGATATGAAAAAAAAAAAAAAAATTAGCAGATACAAAAACAGTGTCCATAGTCCTTGTTTCTTTTGTCCCGCACTTGGATGACATAAAAGAATACAATACTCAATTGACTAACCCTACTTTTAAAGTTCAAATATAAAATCTGTTAGAAAACTTTCAATATTGTAAGATGCTTATTTGAGGTAAGCTCTCCTCCAAAAATATGAGCTACAACTAGACAGTGCCCTGTGCAAAATCACTAATTTCACAAGCAAATATTGTACGTGAAGTCAAATAACGGGAGTTCTGTTGCTACGTGTATTATTATTTCCTTCGGTTGGCGGTAATACATAAACCTCATTCGGATTAGATGTTGATTTATTAAGAAGCCAATGCAGACGCCTTACTGTTAGAATTGCGCATTCCATTTAACTAATGCTGAAAACATTATTTTAAATATACATCTATATTCGTAGCAGAAGAAGTTCGCGTTTCCCAAGTGTCGATGCAAAGAATCCGTTGTTTATTGCTACATCACGAGTTGGTAATACTGGTTTCCACAATAAAATAATTGCTCTATGCTGCTTATACCTCAAACGTTGGGATAAAAGACTCGTCGATCCGCGAACAGAAATTTTCAATGATGGAACATTAGCCAGATTATGAGATTTGACTTGATGACAAAATCGTAATCCCTAATGCATTTCATGTTGACACCTACGTAATTTCACGAGAAAAAGAACCCCTTAATTTACATAGTTGCATCATTTACATGAGGACAAAAAAAAAAAAAGAAAACGTACTTGGAATGTAGTGTTTTCTATTTCTTCGGTAAGGATTGCATGAATTCGTGGACAAGTTTATAACTCCGTAAACGGGTGCTATCACATGAAAATACACTTATTTTTAAAATAGAATCCTCTGAGGTACTTTTTTTCATGAAAATACACTTATTTTTCAAATAGAATCTTCTGAGGTACTTTTTTTCAAACCAGACAGCTTCTTTTGGAAATAATAACGAATATTATAAGTCTAGAACAATGCAATACTTCTATTCTCACTTCTATCAACAACAAACGAGCTAGCCTTCGAAAATTATCAATCTTAAATTTCGTAAAAGATCAAAGTAGATAGATTTTATGAATCCAGATAAAAGATAAATCAACATATGGCATACTGAAAATATTTGTTTCAATAAAGAAGGATGCCGTTGAATCACTCAAAGTGGAAATTTGCAGAGATATAGGGTTTTATACAAAAGAGAAACAGAGACGACATACTTGACGGTAGATCACAGATAAAGTGCGTCTGAAAACATCATACGTAATCAGGTTTATGGCTGTGCTTCAATGTTCATAGCTTACTCTACAGAAAACTTCCCAAAAAAATATCTGACAGTTGTCAGTCTAGATTTGCACATGTTGAGAAAAAGACTATTTAAAACCCATGATGTGACCCTTACTTTTTATAAGAAAAAGGGACAGCCAACATATTAGAATCCATATTTACATCGTTAAAGAAAGAAACCGCAACTAAAGCGCTAGAGATCATTACTAAAATAAATCAACACACATCTGTATCAAGAATATGCAAAAAGAGTTAACTGTTTCCTCATGGATGTTACCTTTGTTTACAATTAAGTATTTGTATTTTTAATAAATATGCTTATTATAGCCCTTTGGTTTTGTTGTATTACTTGAATCTCATATTGCAAACGGCGAATGTATAAATGTTATTGATACAGATGATATTGCAATAATCGGATTGTTGGAAGAAAGTATTACTAGCTTGTACGCCCATTCAAACAAAGAAATTATCCGTAAACCGTTTTTAAATTATTGTATGATGATGTACAGATTTGACCCATGATACGCATATGATAAATGAAGGTCATTTTATTTAAAGTTATTGCGACACCAAATATAGTTCTACATTCTATTACTTTTAATCTCTAAAAGTCTCAATTTCAAATATTAGACTTCAAGAGTACAGATGAACTGATTAAGTTGCTGAATTAACAAAAAAACAAAAATGGAATTGCAATTATTAGATTATTATCTTCTAATCTGCCCAGAAAAAATAAAACCTTTTGACAGAGATCGTATTATAATCAATTAGAGGATTAAAGCATTTTTTGGAATCTTACAATCTAATAGGAACAGACCTGTATTAACCTATTTTATACATTGTATCAGATGTTAGAGTATTCTCCCGAGCGCCCTTTGTTTTTTAATAATGAATGCAATTAACCATATAAAAAATATACCCATAATAGTAGCTAGAGAGACTACCTTATTTATAAATCTTTTGTTTAGTTGAACCAATTCATTATTTCTTATTGGGTATAAAGAGATAAATATCACAGGCATATAATGGTATCCATCTTGAGCCAATACCACCGATTAATTGAGGCAGACCCGAAAGTAATAAATGCTTTCTGAATAAATAATTGGTTCCTGAAGTAAAGTATTGACTTAAATATAATATCCAGAGCATACTACGAGCTTTGATAAGTGCTCAATGATATGTTATTTAGACAACGTCATCCACTCGATCGTATTGCATAACAATTATGAAATAATGAATTGTTAGTGGCGATGATCATGCACTTTTTCAACACCGCGCAGAGGATGACTAAAATGATCACATCAGTTGATGGCGTTGAACAAAAAAAGAAATAAAAAAAAAAAAAACGTGCACACTCTGTAGCTTAGTAAAATGTTGAGATCTGAACCCATTCAAAAACTTTATATTTTTGAAGCAGCCACATATTAATTAAAAAGACCCTGTATGACATAACAAAGCGCGCTTGAGGCAAATTAAAAAAAAAAAAAGTATAATGTTAGCTTGACCTTTTACAACATGAAGGTGCCCCGGCGTTTTACCAAATATAGCTTTCGCGAGTTAATATGAATTGGATATGTATCGATAGACTTTGCTAAGACGGATAAAAATGGGCGTCTTTCTGACACATGATAGGGATTGAAAAGAAAAGCAAATGATACTTCCTTTTATCCATATCGCTGGTTCTATCACCTCCTATCCGATGCAGAAAACACAAACACAGTCAAGTCTTGACTTGCGAGAGGACCAGTAATAGAAAGAATCAACTGATGATTTATTTGACCCACGATTTGTTTGTATCACCACAGCAAAATAATAAAAATAAAAATAAAAGACAACGGTGATCCTTGTTATACGGATTTTTGTTTAGATTTTCTTTTTTAAATTTGTGCATGTATACAAGACAACAGCCCTACTGATTCTTGATTTTCCTTTTTAGATAGAATTTCTTTCGCTAACCGTAAGAGATACACTTGTTGATAACGGGGGCTCAATGTGGTGGTACAGATCAGTCCCATGGCTTTAAAACCACTTGTGACCAAGTCTGATCTTTCCGCAGTGTTTATATAAATGAAACAGCTAACATCATAACAGCGGAAAAAAAGAAACATTAAAAAAAATGAAAATAGAGTGATCGTCAATAGAATGCTAGATGAGATCGAATGGGGTACGTTGGCTTCTGTTGTGATGTTCAGTACATGTCGTATTTCTCTGCGCTTTATTGATCGTCATGTAACCAATGGTAATAAAAGAACCTTAAAAAAATATAAAAAACTGGAGACACAACATTGTGTATTTCATATATAATACAATGTTTTTATCCTTCTCTTTTCTTTTTTTTCTTTCTTTCTTTATAATTTTTTCTTATTTACAATAAAATGGACAGCGGTAGAATTCATCTTCCTCCAATTCAAGACATTCTTTGCAGGCCATTGTCATTTACAGATAGCAAAGGTATGATTACAGAACGCAATAGAGTCTCTATATGACTTTTAATATGAAGTGCTGTAATAGATAGTTATGTTCCATCATCCAATAATTACCATAGCGACTGGGAAAAACAAAGATCAGCAAAAGAGCCCCTGCATCATAGCCGATCTTATTCTGATCAAATTTTACCACGAAGATCATCTGCATCAGGTTCTTCCATGGTGCAAGCAGTTGATCCTCCTCACCTCCACCGACGTACAGCATCTGACACCAAAAAAATATTTGATGAGCAGGTACCACCGTTGCAGATTAACAATAATCGATATAAATGTAATCAATGTTCAAAAACTTTTTCGAGACCTTCTTCATTAAGAATTCACATATTATCGCACACTGGAGAAAAACCACATGTGTGTCCTCAGCCAGGATGTGGTAGAAGATTTAGCGTCCAGAGTAATATGCGAAGGCATTTAAAAGTACACTACTGTAATCCACAACATCCGTCACAAGAAAATTACATTACAAGATTACAGAAATAATCGATTCTGCTCTATTTTTTATACCCTTTCTAATATTAATAAATAAAAAAAAAAGTTGTACAGAGAATGTTTTTATTTTAGAGATGAGGGTATATCGATATAAATGGATTCATTTCCTTCTGAATCAAATTGGCTAGTCACAGTTAAGCCTTTCAACATTGATTGTGCCTTTTTATTGAACATGAGTGATTTTAGGCTTGTATCTTGTACAGTAGCTAAACCAAGAGGAATTGGACTTGAATTAAAATGTGATAGTACGTCACGAGTGAAGTGCCGATGACTGATAGTTGATAGAATTCCAATTGTTTTCTTCTTCGAGGAAGATATAACAGTACTGCCGATTAATTGTCTTAAATGGTCAGGCGTGCAACCTGTCTTCAAATTTTTACATTGAATTATGACTTGAATGTTGTTAAACCAATGGCCTCTCAAGTCAATGCCACCATCGCCCTTACCACCCACATGTTGTAAACTCATGCCAGCAATTGTTTCTAAACATTCTAAAGTTTGTAACTCAAATAGAGTTCCTCGGTATACTGTACTTGTTACATCTTTATCTGCTTGCTGTAAAAAGCTAGATAACCGACTTTTTTTTGTTAAAGTGGATAGACGTCTAATCATTGATAAAAAAAAAAAAAAAGACTGAGGTGGTACCAAGCTATTTTTTTCCCCTTTGTCCCTTTTTCCTTGGTTAAAAAAGTCACACACGGTCAATGAAAAGGTTTAAGTAGCGGTTCTAATCTATTTCCATTTTTCCCTTTTCTTTCCAACTTTTCAGGAATAAAAAAAAAAATGAAAGAATCTATCTCCAACGCTAACTTCCCCAGAGATGCTGAAGACAGAGTGTATCACATTAGTGTTAAAACTGGTGATGTAGCAAATCGTGTCTTGACTGTCGGTGATCACGTTCGCGCCAGAAGAATTGCCAAACACTTGGACAGTGAAGAAGAGACTGGTCATCCTATTTTTGAAAAGCAAAGTCAAAGAGGTTTCCTCACTATCACAGGTAGATATAAGGGTGTTCCTGTTTCTATCATGGCAATGTAAGCATGAATATAAACAAATCGTAACAGGATCATTGATGTTTTTTTTTATATTATCATTATAAAGTGGTATGGGTAACTGTATGATGGATTTCTTCGTTCGTGAAACCCGCGCTAGTGTTGATGGTACCTTGGCCATTATCCGTTTTGGCTCCTGTGGATCCCTTACAACCGAGGCACCTCCTGGTGCTGTCGTAGTTCCTGCTGGTGGTTATTGTATTCGTCGTAACATTGATTACTTTGCTGATGAGCCCATCCATCCCGAAATTAAGGATCATGCCTACCTCTTTTCCGGTGTTTTCAAGGCTGATGATGAAATCACCGATATTCTTTCTTCTACATTAAATGAAGCACTTGCCCCAGTTGTGGCCGAGACACACAAAGTGGGACCCGTATTAACTGGTGGATTAAATGCAGATGGATGTTCATTCTATTCGTCTCAAGGCCGTCAAGATGAGGTATTCTGGGATGATAATAAGGACTTGGTTGAGGAAATCCATACCAAGTATCCCAATACTCATTCTATTGAAATGGAGACCAGTATGTTGTTCCATTTGGCCCGCTGTGCCCGGGATCCCACTAAACCCATCAAGGCCGCTGGTTGTATGCAAGTCTTTGCTGATCGCGTTAACAATGCCTTTATTCATCCCGACCAAGTAGATATCCTCGAGCCCATTGTTGGTCAAGCATGTCTGGATGCTTTAATTAAAATCCCTATTGAAAATGAAATGGAAGCTGCTGGCACTGTTTGGGAGCCTATTTCTAAATAAATTTATCGGCTATATTCATCATGCCACTATATTTTAGTTATACCCTATGTGTGACCAAATTCTCTATCTTTCTCACGGTTCAAAACATGTTGAATAAGATAGAAATTACTTTATTAGCCATAAAAAGATACGTAATCATATTTGCACAGACACAAATATAAGTGGTATAAAAAGTTATTCATCTTTCTCGCAGTTAAACTGTAAGAGACTGTTTGGCTCTAAAATAAACTTTTCCATGACTTCACGACGACGAATTAACGTAGCACGGAATTTCTCATCCACACGGGCACGTTCACTTTCAAGAGTTGCATCTTCAATAAGCTCAGTGGGACCTAAGGGTGTGTCACTAGAGATGTTTGCATGAACAGCTAGTGGGCACGCAGGCTTGTCTGAATGGTAAACCCAAAGTCCGAATACTTTCTTGCATTTGATGCAGGGACTTACGTAATCGGCTTAGAAAATAAAAAAATAAAAAGTTTATTACTTCAGCCACATACAGAAACACAAACACTTACATGCAAATTTATTAGATGACATTGTTGGTAGTGGAATAGATAACGTATAAAAAAAAGTTGGCTTATAATAAGCTTATATATACTTTTTTTTAAAATCCCAGTTAAACAATGAACCTAGGATGGCATTATGATGATATTCAACTGTTTCTTTGTAAGGGCTTTGACATATTGTCCCTTTTGTTCATGTTGTACAGATACATTGGCCCAAAGGTACCATTTATCAAATAAAGCAGCCCTCCTTATTTTTTTCTTTATCTCTTGGGACAGAAGTGTAACTAATTTTAGATGCTACGTTTCATTGCCAAACCAAATTTTGTAGGTTACGTTACAGTTTTTTTTTTTTTTTTTTTTTTTTTTTTGTTCATCTCTTTTCATCTTGTTACTCGATGAACTTTTTTGAATCAGGGAGATGCTGAATTCTTTTATCAAGTGTAACTTTAAGCCGTAATCAAGTGAGCCATAAGCCATTATATTAATAGATTGGGATAGGTTCCTTTTTTTGGCAACAAAGAAAACGAAATATATCTGACGTCGTACATTAATGACGAGTTGCTTCTTTAAAGGTCAACTTTTTTTTTTGATGGCCCGCTTTTATTACTCCAAGTTACAATAGCTGCATAGGTTTAATACATGATTCAAATACACCTATAGTTGATCCGTATTCTTGATGCCACAAGGTACACAAACTAAAAAAAGAAGTAAATAAAAAAAAAAAAAGTATTTTTAAACTAGTAGAGGAGAGGCTTATTTAGATAGCTACATTGTGTAACGTCAACTAAAGCCAAATAGAAAAAAAAAAAAAAAAAGTAAGTTCTGCTTTTCTTCATCTCTTTTCTCATCATCGCAAACATGTCTGAAAACCTTATCGCTTCCCTCCAAGTTGGTCGTAGTACCTCTTCCATGCCCATTGAAGAATACAGAGCACGTAAGGTCGCTCTTGTTACTGGTAAGTTCTTATCTTGGTTTTTCTTTTGAGAGTAAGGTTACTGATTATGGTTGATAGGTGTTACTGGTCAAGATGGTTCTTACTTAACTGAATTCTTGTTGGAAAAGGGTTATGAAGTCCATGGTGTTATTCGTAGATCTTCCTCTTTCAATACTGGTCGTATTGAACATATTTATAAGGACAGACATGACCAAGGTAAATACTACATAGTCCGATCTTAATTACAGAATATTGACGATCCCCCCGTTTTAATAGGCGTCAAGTTCTTCCTTCACCACGGTGATTTGACTGATTCTACCTGTCTTGTTCACATCATTTCTCAAATCCAACCCACAGAAGTCTATAACTTGGCTGCCCAATCTCATGTCAAGGTTTCATTTGATATGTCAGAATATACCGGTGATGTTGATGCTCTTGGTACTCTTCGTCTTTTAGATGCTATCCGTACCTGTGGCTTAAGTGACCGTGTCCGTTTCTATCAAGCTTCCACTTCCGAACTTTACGGTAAGGTTGCTGAAACACCCCAAAAGGAAACCACTCCTTTCTACCCTCGTTCTCCTTATGGTGTTGCTAAGCTTTATGCTTACTGGATCACTGTCAACTACCGTGAATCCTACAATATGTATGCCTGTAACGGTATCCTTTTCAACCACGAATCACCCCGTCGTGGCCGTACCTTTGTCACACGTAAGATTACACGTGCAGTTGCTGATATTCATCTTGGTCGTCAAGACTGTCTCTACCTTGGTAATATTGATGCTAAGCGTGATTGGGGACATGCCCGTGATTATGTTGAAGGTATGTGGCTCATGTTGCAACAAGATCAACCTCAAGACTTTGTTTTGGCTACCGGTGAGACCCATACAGTTCGTAGCTTTATCGAGAAGGCTTTCAGAGTCACTGGTCGCACAATTGTTTGGGAAGGTGAGGGTGTTAATGAGATTGGTAAAGATTCAGAAACTGGCAAGGTCCGTGTCCGTATCGATGCCAAGTATTTCCGTCCTGCTGAAGTAGAGCTCTTATTGGGTGACCCAACAAAGGCAAACACCGAAATGGGTTGGAAGCGTAAGGTCACTTTCGATGAGTTAGTAACCGAAATGGTTGTTGCCGATATTGAAGGTGGTCTCAACTCCTCAACATTAATGTAAACTTTTAGACTTTTCTTTTCCCCCCAAAACCCCCCCTTTTCCCTATATATCACTCTTTTTTTGTACAATAATTTTTTTTTTTTCACAAAAAAGACAAAAATAAATTCGTTCTAGGCGTTCATATTCTTGGCGTTATTTTAATAGACATTTGTATTAGATCCGAGTTCCTCTTCATAATATTAAAAAAATTAAAAATTATCGTGGATTTATTTAAAACATGTATGGCAAAGTGTAACATAGGATCTATCTTGACCCATAACACCGTGTCTTATCAACACTTTTTGATTAAAATTATGTCTTGTCGGGGATGTCCTAAAATGCGCCGTTTGTATTATTATCTAATATATGAAAACAAATTTCTTTATTTAGTTTAAATCCCTAGGATGATCGACGGTTGAAATTATAGACCGATGATTTTGTAAACTCAGGGTCCGTAATTTATTCTAAATAAAATGATATCATTAACACTTAATCAGTTACGCCCCTTTGCCCGGATCTAAAGAGTTACATAAAAAAAGAAGGAGATGTCATGTACATTTTTCTTTTATCGTGGTAATTCATGTCACAAAATGAAGACAAAACAAAGTTGGCGATTTCATAAATATTTAACATCTAGCCTTTGTTTTATTAAACAAGTGCCACAGTTTTTTTAGCTTTAATTTTTAGTAGAAAATAGATTAGCTTTTTTCGATTGTCATTATTTTTTTATAAACAACACCTATCAAAGCCGCTCCGTTTAGGAAAAAAAAAATGATGCCATCATGGTAATTTCAAAGCCGACGATCAATGCCCAACCAGTAATGGGCCTCACACGTTGCCTATGCATCATCTTGTGATGTTAGTTTTCAATTTGAGTCAATATATGTCAAAATAAAATATTAAAAACGATTTTTTTCTATTCAGGTGTACAAGTTAACCGTAGATCAACAGATAAGAAACAAATTTTATTTTTCGCAGTAATCATGATATCATTGTCTTAGAGCTGAGATCTGATTATCCTCATATCCACCAATAAAATCATTTTAAACATTTGACTTTATTGGCTAGATTTTACAGTTTTGCAGCCCTAATGAGAACTTTTATTGTAGTGTAATTGTGTAGCGTAACTGACTGGTCCATATAGTAAGAACGTATCAAGACAGAGTGATAGCCGTACCCGCTATTATCGTTATCCAAAGTGCTCTAGCTTAAACTGTTACGTGATATATCGAGTAGTACATTGCATTACTCGACCTATTTATAAATTAGATACAATTCGTCGATTAATATATTTAACTCTTTTATCTCTCACAAACCAAGTCTAAGTTTATACATTATAAGAAAGAATCAGTTCTCCTAAGGATTTGCTAAGGGCAGTTAGAATGTAGTTAATTGAAGTCGGCATTTTCTACATTTCCCCAAGTTTTTAGCCAATAATATCGCTTCATTGATACATAACGTTGCAGTTTGCTTTATTTTTCCGTTTTTCAAAAATTGAAAAGTTTGCTCTTCACAAGATATTTCAGCATCAAATACGTCTTGTAGTGAGAATGGTGGCATCGCACCTCTTGTTACAAGCGGCAGGTCTAGCTGTTTGAATTTGATCTTGTCGTATAGAGAGGTATGCCATAATCATCAGTAGCCGCACAGTCCGATGCAACTGTCCGCAAAACCCCGCTTGAATTTGGTGTCCATTGCAAAATGGGTTGTTGATATACGCATACTTGATCCAACTACAAGCACTATTTTAGCGCTGTGAAACTTATTCATCAAACTAAATTTATAATTCGATTTCTCTTAATATATATAAATATGCAAACTGATAGTTAGAATAGAACCCTCTCAATATTTTAATCTACTTTTACTCTTAATAACACTCTATAAACAGTCTCATAGTATTCTATTGTTTGTACATTTATCTTTCGATCCTCAACTATCGCAGCAGTAATGAATCGTATAATTTGAGGTTGGCAAACGCATAAATTCCATTACGTTGACAATATCGGTTATGTATGTACGAGCAATGACTAAATCTAGAGTGTGAATGTTTATTGGTGTGTTAATATTAAGCACAAATGGTTGACTGAGCTAAGCAAAACAAAAAGGTGCTATATACTACTTGCTTCCTGCCTACCAAACTCATAGCTTCCCCTAAAATATTTTAAGTTATTTTTAAAAAAAAGCGTATTAAGCTCATGAAAGATGACACGTGCTAGAATGGAAGACCCAGTTAATGTTTATACATTCACTTTGTTTCGTAAAGGGGACTAGTTTACAATCATAAACAAGAAACAATCCTACGCAACATCGACTTGCCTCTCAATTAATATCATTTTGAAGGTTTAGAGCAAAGATATGGATAGCCAGAACATGATGTATCATAGTCCTTATACAAAAGAGAGTGGACTTATTGCTTCTCGAAGGCTTATTAAGCTGCTCTTTCAAGACACACATCCTACCGAGAAAGACATAGCTTTGACAATATATGGTTGCTCTAGTGACTCGCAGCCATTTAATTACAAGAAAGAAAAGACAAAAGAGCACTAAACTGTTATTTACGGAAATCTTCTAGGTATATATTTGTCTATGCCTAGAGTGCGCAAATTGTTACACTTTGGCAGTGACTTGATAGATGATTCATATATATATACGACAATGTACTGAAAAATAAGACATGTGATGGCATTGAGCAGGATTAATACAGGCTTACATCAACTATTTTGATAAATATATCTTGTCATGTAAGCGAATAATAGGGCTTTATTCATATTTTCCAAACGAGAAATTTATGCCTCTTTCTTTTTCTTCACTTAACCAATGTCTTTTCCATCAAGCTCAGGTAGTCAATCGAGATCAAAAAGTCAATTTAATACAAAGATGAAGACTTCGCCTAATGCATCAAACGTAAAAAACCTAGGAAGGCCTAAAATTTATCTGCAACATACGTGCTATATTTGTGGTAATGCTATGAGTGGTGGCACACAAACTATCAACCATATTAAAGCTGTTCATGGTTATGAAATCCCTTCGCGCGCTGTTGGTTATAAGAGACCTCAAGATAATGATCAAGAGTACGTTCGCGATATGTCTAATGCCGATGTATTACACTACGCATGCCCCTCGTGTTGGTTTCATTGTCCCGAAGATGATTTGGAAGCTCTTAATGAACATACTCGAGATGAACATGATCCCGTAAAAGTGGACATCACCAAAGATAATGATCTCGTTTCGAAACGCCCAACCAGGATGCGCTCTAATAGTGCTTCAAGTAACCGTTCAAATAGCCTTCCCCGTAGCGCTCCAATTGAACAGTCTGATGTTAATCAAATAAATCAAAAACTCGACGAATTGATTAAACTTTTCAGCAAATTTTACAAGCAATAACAACATAGCAAAACGTAAACGATTACTTGTACTTGCTAGTGCTTTTTTAAAATAAATAGTCAATTACATCATCAATTTACGCTGTTATCATACTTTATAAAATTGGATTCATCTTTGTGGTTTTTTCTCCTTTTCCTTGAAGCCTCGTTTGACTTGTTATCATGTTTGCTTCTTTTGATCACCTCTCATTTTTTTAAACAGCAGTGCCTCTTGTTTTCGGTAACTTTTCCCCGCTCTAAAACACCAACCAGCATTAAATATACTTATCTCGTTCTACTGAGCCTTTACTTGCAGTTGACTTGTTTAATATCCAAACAAATCAGCGTTTTAATCACTTGGTCTTACCCCATCTAATGACACCAGACCTTGGGTAAATAATACTTTTTTTTAAGAATAAAGTACTTTGATCATTTTTTATATACATAGCTCGTTAATTCATTAACTATGATTCATTAATAGATTTTTACCTACACGATTAAATATCAAAAAAGGAAAGAATTCCGTTGTAAATTATTATTTATTCAGAGTAACACAATCAGACGTAGTACACTATGTAGCACACAAAGAAGTTCGAGGACCCTAAATTAGATTTTCTTCCATTGGGCATATAAATGGTTATAGAAGCACTTGGAAAATCAAAGTTAATATCATGAGGGCGCACAGTATAAATGTAATTTTACAATTCACTACCAAATTTTTGTAGGGGTATTATTGTTATATAGGCTACTATTTTTGTTGTGAATTTACGCTCATAAATAGAAGAGAACAGCGGAAGGCTGTCTTGTTATTATGTTGTGTAAAACCAAATTTCTTAACTGGGTGTTACAGACAGGCTAGTTATAGTAAAATTTATCAAATATTAATGTCCATATATATATAACAAAAAGAACAACGGTGGGTAATTTGTTCTATTGGTATTGTCTTTTTTGGACAACCTTTTCTTCTTTTATTTTATTGTAACGTAAGGTTTTTGAAATAACGATACTTCCAACACATGAATCTGGAGAAGTATCTAGCACTTGAAAAACAGATCCCACATGTGCGCGTGCAAGCTCTCTACCCGACATGTAGCTGAGATAATCCCTTGAAAGATATTGACTCAGTAACCATTCTACTGACATAATTCGACTTTCTGGAGTCACCCATAGCGTCCACATGCTTATCGTCCATGATACAAAAATAAACCCCGCATAAAAATAGAATGGCCATTTCCACATCACCCGATATTGGAAATAACCGGCATTTTTGTAATGAGATGTAATTGGTGTTGTATTTTGAGGCGCTTCATCATTGTTATAATCACACAAAACACGTGTTGCCACTGTTGTTAAAGTTTGAATTCTATCTTTTATAAGATCTATACTTTTTGCGGGAATTAAGGCGTTTTGAAAATAAGTATCCGTCAGCTCTCCACCCATTAACCAGGTCATAACAGGGTTTCTATAATCTTCAGATGTAGAGGCCAATAGACCGAAAGTTGATACTAGCACTGCAGGAAGACCATAGCCAGATGACGTGTAAGGCGTAATATCCGAAGTTCTCTCGGTGTAGCAGTACGTATTATTACACAGTGATAGCGCAGAAGCATAACCAGATATTATAGAACAATTCATCCAGCTATGTACCGGTATGTTTGCATTGTTAACAAGCTTGCTCGTTGAAATTTCATCATTTAGGGATATCGTTACTATAGTCTCCCAAGTTGAGTTATTGTTTGTGATAAACGGCACAACATTACTATAAGCAAGGTCGGACGAATTAAAGGGATTACCGCATGATACGTCTGTAAAAGGCAGTATGCGATCGAATCTTGAGGTACCCCGAAGCGTTGCAGGTATCCCTCTGTCGTAAAATTCATTGGTATGTGATGTGTTCCGATTAATTAGACTATTATAGATATTGAGTGACATACCAATACGAACGCCTTCCATTGTTTTGCTCGATGTAACACCATGACACGTTGTGAAATTAGGCGTGAAAGATTGGAAAGTCGATCTGGAGGATATGTAGCAGACGCTCATAGAAACCACAGCTAGCTGTTTTGACGCTACACTAATGCACACTACTGCTAAAATTAAAACAATAGTAGCCCAGCCATCTCCGGCCGTAAGTAAAGGAATATGAGAAGGCAAGTGACCGCCTATTACGGTAACAAGCTGGCAAAACCCCACACCTCGGTATTTCATCACCGTGTATGTGATACCGACAAGAGCCTTCATCATCACTGCAGCTCCACAACCGCCGATAATAGTTGACATAACTGAAACAACAACTTTTGCTCGGTTTGATTGAGCGCCCTCAGTTGTAGATGCAGTCCACTTGTATAGGTACTCTTGATAGGCGTGCAGAAAACAAAATATAATTCCAATAAAAGCAATAAGAGTCCACGTAATGAAATCTGACCTACTAATGTATCCCGAGGATGTGATAGTTTCTTGCTCGGAATGTTGGGTCTCTTGGTCAGTGTTTTGTGTCTCCCTCTTTTCCAATTTGAATTCATTAATAAGCATGTCATTTTTTTCCATGATGAGTAATTGAAGAATAAGTAAGCAAAAGAGAAACAACCACGCCTCTATGCGTTGTCGATTTACCATGGCCACGGTTTCTTGTATGACATGCTTAGCTGTCTACGATTCGTTGCCGGGGTTTTATGGTAGGACTCAAACTTTACCTCGTAACACATGTATCCCTTTTATTATGGGCCGTTAATTCATTCGATCTCTCCTAAATTATCACACACACGAAGTATACAATAAAAATTGTATAGCTAATAGAAACCTTTACAAACTAAGACATGTATGCAATTGAAATCACAGTGGATACATAAAATAATCATTGAAAAAAAAATCGTGGTTTGTTTCACACTCACTTCGTGCTTAAGAATTCCCAAGAAGAACATCCATTTAGCATACCGCATTTCCATCTGATTGAACTTGAATTTCTAAAATATGTGGCAAATGTTCACCCTGAAAGGTTAAATATATCCCTTGAATGCCGTTGTGCTAAATTTTATGTACGCTGAGCGCACTCTATGATTAAACCCCTATAAGGAATTTTGATTTGTTTACCACGTTCTGTACTTTTTTTAATTGTATTTCTACAGTTTGCATAAGACAGAAAAAAGAAAAAGTCATATTAAGGAGACTCACCCTGAACATCATTCCCATATTCCTGGTTTTTTTAAGATTTAGTATAAAAAAACGAGACTTTTTCAAACTTTAAGTACTCATCATCAAAATGCGCTCAGCTGTCATCCTCTTTATTGCTTTCACTTGCTCTTTTCTTACTCTCGCCAACGCAAATTCTATAGCAGACAATGTTCAGTTGTCGTCTGCAGGTCCTTCTAAAAGAAATGTAGGTGGAAATAGATATCGAAATACAGGTTCTGGTGCCTCCAATGTTAGGTTGGCACATGCCAAAAAATTTAAGAAGCCAAAGTTCAAGAAAGGTCTTACTGACGACATTCTGGATCTTCTTGGTGGCGGTAAAAAGGGAGGACTTCTATAGGCACGATTGAAGTCTGACGCTTATATTTATGTATCCATTTTATCATAATAAATTAATTCATTGTCATAATCAAACTTTGTTATAATGGGGATAGTTATGTCCGTACATGTGCTGATAGCTTATAATGTCGAAAGTCTAGGTACACTTACACTATAAAACTCATATTCATATACATATTCGACCTGTCAGGGCTGTCCATACACCTAAATATGCAGAACTGTAAGTCAATTAAGCTACAACTAACCGCACTAATGAAGGACGGTTTCACCAGAAAGGATTAGTTGGAAGACAACGCGATTTTACAATCTTTGAACGCTAAAATGTGATTTTTTTTTTCAGAAGTGACGATTTGAATGACTCCTTTTAGGAATAAAAGGAGTATATGCTCTTAATTCCTATGCCAAAATGCGTCGTTACTCTTGTACTCCTTTTTACTTATAGATACCCCACATTGCGCCTTTTTTTTTCTGTAAGGTTGCACTACGTCATATCGTTTATATAAAACTATTGTATGCACATTTCTCATGCAAAGGCGGTAACATATATTTCGTGTATCGGAGTGTATAACGCTTAAATAGATTATGAATGCAAACGATTTATATTGTAAGAAATTAATGAGAAGTTCTTTGTAAGAACTGAACTTTTGGGTTTTTACTTTTTTTTTTTTAGCTTGGCTGATTTATGAGCCAAATGTGACTTTTGATTCATAATCAGGATATCATTGGGCAAATGGAGGCTGAAACGAGTAAATAAATATGCCTTTAAGAAAAAAAATTTTCTTTACCACTTTTAATCTTTCTTTAATACCGTCTTTTTCATTAATAAATAATCGCCTTCAAGGATATTTTGAAAATACACCATAAAAAGATAAATTAAAGAAAGACCATATACAGTTAAAAAAAAAACGTTTTATTGAATTTGTTGAGAGAGTTTTTAAATTTACCCTTGTTACAACTGTTAAAATGACAAGTGCTATTCCCTTTCCATTACGCGATCCTCAACTCAAAGACGAAGGAAAACCCAAACAATTCCAACCTAATCTCAATGTCAAGTTAATTTGTCCCGATTGTAAAAATGATCCACCACAGATTGTCGAAGAATTCGCCTCGGGTGATCTTGTGTGTGGTGATTGTGGTTTGATCCTCGGTGATCGTATTATTGACACTCGATCTGAATGGAGAACTTTCGCAAACGACGAAGGCGACGTATGTTATCTTTAGAAATGAAAAGAAAAAAAAATATTTTTCTTCTTATTAACAGTAACGTTAGGATCCATCTCGTGTCGGTGCAGCAGCTAATCCATTGTTAGATGGTAACCAGCTAGATACAGTTATCTCTAGAAGAGATGGCGGTTCTGGAACAGCCAAGGATCTCAACAAAGTGCACGGCAGAGCAACTGCAATTAAGGGTGAACGTAATCTTGTACAAGCTTATAAAGAAATCAGTGCCATGTGTGATAGTATTTCACTATCCAAGATCGTAAGCGATACAGCCAAACAACTTTATAAGCGTGTGGAGGATGAAAAACTTTTACGAGGTAAATCCAGTGATGCCATTATTGCAGCCTGTATCTTTATTGCCTGTCGTCAAGAAAAAGTCGGCCGTACCTTTCGAGAGATTTGTGCATTAACCCGTGTTCCTAAAAAAGAAATCGGTCGTTGTTACAAATCACTGCAATCGAAATTACAAACCAACACAACCATTATGAACTCAGAGGATTTGATGCTTCGTTTCTGTTCGAATCTTCAATTACCAAACTATGTACAAAAAGCCGGTATCGATTTGGTTAAACGTGCAAAAGAGGTCGGAACACTTGCAGGCAAGTCACCTATTTCAGTCGCTGCAGCTTGTATCTACCTCGTTTCTTATCTTTATCGCCAACCAAAATCAACAAAAGATATTGCTCATGTTGCAGGTGTTTCCGAAGTGACAATCAAGAGTGCCTACAAAACTCTGTATGCTGAACGTGATAGTTTGGTCGATTTGGAATCATTGAGACAAAAAACAAACGGCGAAGGTTTAAGCTTTGAAGATCTCGCTTTACCTTAAATAACCAAAAAGAAGAAGAAAAAATGAAAAGAAAAAAAAAGAAACCCCCCCCCCCTTTATTGTGCATATATATTATCTTTTCAAACTCTCAACAAACTTTAGAAACGGTATGAAAAAAAAAATTAGTAATCCCCTTCCCCCTTATAGCAGTCATCAAGTTTCTATTATTGTATATAAAACACATTGCAAAAAAATATCTTGACAATAATAATAATAAAAAAATATATATGCTTGTTAATGAAAAATTGGATATTTAGTACTAGATCAGTGCACTCGAAATGTCAAATAATTACAAGTTGCATTCAAAAATAGATTATGGCTGATCGATACTGTTTAGTCGCTGATCAGCTTGTTGTGTAAAACCACACTAAATAACAACAAATATTGGATCGAATCGGGGGTTGGGTAAAATCAGAGGGCAAAAAAAAAAACGTAGCTTTTTCCATCTATAGTAACCACGCTGTTCTCTGAAGCATAAGGTAGGACAAGTGTAGTACATGGCGGAACTTAATACTTCTTCTTATAGAATAAGAACACCGTATGTATGCCCCTTAATAACTGGTTACTCTACCTCAAAAGAAAGAGCCTTGGTCATGTTGCATGCAAATATTTGTTATTTATTGGTAATTAATGGAGATAATAAGTGATAGATATATAAAGGATAATACAATAATAAGGGATATAAATAGTACAATAGGCTCAAGTGATTACAACCCAAATCTTTTCTTGTACATCAAGTAAGTAGGCGATGATGGTTCATCTTCCTCTCGAACATCATTATATACTCCTTTTGTAATGATCGGTAGAGGCCTGCTGCTCTTGTGGTTGTATTGGCTATAGCGTTCAATGATACTAGGAGAAATGAGGGGTCCTAAAACTGCTCCAGTAGGTGATGGTGTAATGCTTGATGCAGAAGAATAGGCAGAAAGTTGAGGAGCTTCAGCCTGCTGTTGAGTTACAATAGGAGCTAATTTCTTGTTTCGACGAATCAATAGAGATTCTTTTTCTTGGTCGTCAAATGTCAAATTTGTACAACGAAGAGGAAGAGCTGCTACACGATAAATCTCTGGAGAAACATTATTTACCATGCTGTAAATAGATACTACTCTTGTTGAATTGGTTTCATGAGGTGTCTTTGGTGATAAAATAGCGGGCGATGAAGATGGGGAAGAAGAAGGCGATGCATATTTAGTGATACGACTTTGAATGGCAGCAATCCAATTTTCCATGTCAGTTTCTGATTTACATTCTATAATCCAAGGTCGAGACATGCTTCCAATAGTGTACTTTTGAGGCTCTAATCTAAAGCAAAAAGGACGTTGTGTGGTAGGAGCAGGAATGACTTGGCACACACTCCTCAGGTTTAATATTTGTGATGCAGTATCTGAATGCTAAACAAGAAGAATTAGTACGGTTTTGTTTATATTGAAGCATTTGACATATTACCTCATCTTTATAAAAACGTAATTCAGAATCGAGCAAGACGAAGAATCTTGATATCCAACGAGATCTACCGAAAGGCAAAGGAATCATTTTGGTTAGCCAGCCAGCAACTGGTGTACAAGTAATGGTATTAGGACAAGACATAATTGGGATAATTGTTTTTGATGAGAAGAAAAACATAAATAAATATCAAATCCTATTTATACCAAAAAAATAAAATAAACGCCATTTCATTATTACTGGTTCTGTTCTTATTTTGGCATTTCCTCCTAATAACTCCACAACTAGATATTACCTCAGAAAAAAATCGCCCCTTTCTTTGCTCTCTCTTTGAATTCTTTAGGCACCAAAAGATTCGTTTTGATCAGGGTCTTTGATATCTACGGACTTTTATATATTACACAACATCCAAGGGGATTACATGCGGGGCCGATCCAACATTAACACACACTAACTATAGAATCGGATATTTCCATTTTCAACATGATGGCGATATATTGGTGATGCTTGCTGTAATTGGCGTTACAGCTTTTATTTCTCATCATGTTACAGTCATGATCCCCTGATTTATAGGAGTCATACTTTATATGTAATCATGACATACTTTTTGCTTCACTAATGGCTGGTACATCATTTCATATTGTTTCTCACCCCTATGCAGCGACGCTTTGGCTTTCGATTTGGGAGTGAACAAGATCGACACCATTCTCCTCTCCCCTTCTTAACCGATGGAAGGAGTTGATTCATAATGTATATCACCAATCAGATATTTATATCTATTATTATTATAGTCAACAGCCGTATATTTAGTCATTCCTTTGTCCAATCATGTTTACTAGATATTGTTATTATTATTTTTACTACGACTACATATATTTAATCAATGTGCTCATTTGAGTATTTGACAGCATCTAATCAATATGCTGTGTTGTATGATTTAAGTAGGCGAATGATCATATGTAAAAAAAACGAACTTTATTATTAGCTATAACGAGATTCGAACTGACCTAATGTATATCAACCTCATTTTAACCCCATCTATAAGGTTATTGTTCATACTAAAACTAATAGGGGCTCAAAATCCCCAACCCCCTCTCTTGTCCCATGATGACACTACTATTTTTTTCGAGATTCGCCGAGAGGCGCTTTTTGTCAGAAACGCCATTTTAATTTAGACAGCCATTTTTGAAATCCAAATGTTGAAAAAGAACAATAGAATCATTTTTTGTCGGTATATTAAATAAATGTATTGGTGCTTATGTTTATCACAATCCAGGCTGTAAAATGTAGCTCTATTACATATTATAATCATGGTAAAACTATTAAGCTTCTTTTCTTATTTTCAGTTTTTCGGCATTTTAATTGAAGTGGCACCGCATTGTTATTGTGTTCGCCTGTAAAGAGCAATTATATAATATCAAACTTCAGATGGTTGTACTGGTGTATAGTACCACCGGCATATTATACTTTACTCTCACAAAAAAAAAAAAGGTTAATTGAAACCAGAACGTCTATATAAAAATAGAATCACGCGCGTTTTTTGTGGGGCTATTTGTCATAAGAGAGACCTTTGCAGGAACGAACTTTTATATTTTTAAAAACCGATTTTTTTTTTCTTTCTTTTTAGAGCTTTCTTTATTTCTTTCTTACTTTAGTACTATCATGGTCCCCACAATAGCTGTTACTTCGCGTATATCGCTTGGTAATGTCACGGACGAAACTTTACCAGACTTGGTTGATCTGCATTCACGCGTATTTCCAGTCATTTACGGCGACAAGTTTTATCAAGAAGTAATGAATGCGGGAGAATTAGCTAAACTAAGTAAGACAACAACGTTTTTTATATAACGTATAAACATCTAACCTCTTTTGTAGTCTATTATGACAACCAATATGCAGGAGCCGTCTGTTGTCGCATTGAGCCATCCAAGTATGCTAATTATACTGCCAGAGTATACATGATGACCCTCGGCGTCCTTAAAAACTATAGAAATTTGGGCTTAGGTATGGGATACAAAGTTTTTCTCTCTCTATTTATACTGACTATATATCTACAGGTAGTGTACTGATTGATCATATAATGGAAAATGCCAGACGGGCGACAAATCCAATGATTACATCACTTTATTTACATGTCCAAACTGTAAACGAGCAAGCGATCCGATTTTACACACGTAATGGTTTTCGAATACAAGCCATTGTTCATGACTATTACAAATTGATAGAAAATCGTGATGCTTATATATTGACAAGACCTGTATTCCACATTTATGAATAACTGCGTGTAGATAATAAAATTATAATATGTATATATACGGTAGGGATTTTTTTTATATATATGTAAATAGTAGTAGATGATTAGAAAATAAGATCAAGTCTAAATCCAAAAATGCATGAAAATCTAATGTTATAATGTACTTTTTTTGTTTTTTCTTGTGTTTACTCGGTCTTCTCTTCAGCGACAACAGCAGTTTCCTTAGGTGCCTCGGCAGCAGCAGCAGCGGCAGCGGCAGCGGCCTCCTTTTCTTCCTTTTCCTCCTTCAACATGGCCTCAATCTTCTTTTCGGCATTCTTCTTATTTAATTCAGTCACCTTGGGTTGTTCAGCAATGTAGTATGCCTTACGTTCCTTCAACTTTAAAAGAGTAGCAGGGACTTCAGAGATTTTGGTAGGTACGGTGACCTTAATATCGAAGAAGGCTTCCATAGTGGCAAGGGGCAACTTGAGTACATCAGACTTCTTTTCCTTGGGATCTTTGGTCTTTTGTTGCTTGTTCTTCTTACCGCTGTTACCAGCAAAGAAAATATCATCGTCCTTCTTCTTGATAACCATACCTTCAAAAGCTTGAGCAACAACTGCGGGAGCTTCGGCAGCAGTAACAGTCTTGTTGGCAGAAGAAACGAAGCCTTCCAAAAAGATGGCGAGGTTATCGCAAAGAGCGATCTCACTTTCAAAAGCGGGTAAAGCAGCCAACTCAAGTTCTTGCTTGGCAGCTTCTTGACGCTTTTCATTTTCTTCTCGAACCTTACGAAGTTGTTCTTGTTCTCTCTTGAAATCTCTCAATTGGCGAACAAAAGTATAGTATTCATCATTGTTCTTACGATGTTCATCACGGAGAGTACGCATCTTGGTATACTCTTCATCTAATAATGTCTTGAGACGGTTACGCTCATCATAGAGGCCGTTACGGATCTCACGTTGCTTGGATTGATCAGCGAAAAGTTCCTTAAATTCGGCATCAAGTTGCTCGTAACGGTCACTTAATTTTTTAGCCTCAGATTCATCAATGTTTTTCTTGAGTTCATCATGAATAGATCTTTCGTTGTTGATAGCGCTTTGTTGATCATCAACACCTTCAACAGAGAGACGGTTACGCTTTAATAATGAAATCTCTTGGAGCATCTGATATATAAAAAGTTCAGATATGGGACCTTTCTATTACTCTTTTTTTTTTTTTTCTAGTACCTTCTTTTCCTCAACAATTCTAACACCGGCTTCGATCTTGTTTTCGAGTTCACTAATAAAATCACGCGCTATCAGAAAAAAAATACAAAACATAGATATAAAAGTACTTTACCTGATACGAGCATCAACTTCTTCGGTAGTCTTGAAAGGGATCTTGGTTTGGAAACCCTTGATAGAACCGACCTAAGCATGATTGGTTAATTACCATGGTAACACACTCATATGTTGCCCGCCCGAAAAAAATAATTACCTTCTTTCTAATAGAATCGTTAATAGCATCTAATTGTTCATAGACAGCCTTACGAGTCTTTTTGAGTTCGGCTTGCTTATCACGAATCTCGGCCAATTCGGCCTTAATTTCCTCGCGACGATTGCCATCATCCTTACCAGGCAACTTTGCAATCTTTTCTCTGACAGCATCCTAAACAATCAAGAACAGATGAGAAACTTTTCCTTCTGTGAGTGTAACAATAATAAGGCAATACTTGCGAATTGCTTTTGAATCTTTTCAATGTTGGCATTGACTTGTTCTAAAGTTTTCTTGTATTCTTCCTCATTAGGTTTCTTGACGTGGTCGGGAAGAACGGGAGCAGTAAGTTCAGACATATTTTATAGATGATAGGATGAAGAAGGAAGAGAGAAGAAAAAAAAAGTAAACAGAAACGTCAATTTTGGCTTTATTTGAGCGGTGATTCACCAGGGCCAATCAAATAATAAAATGTATTTTATAAGCCACAGTTTGATATCCAGAGAGAAAGAGTTCTAACGCACCCGCATTTTTTTTTTTTTTTCATATTTTTGTTTGACAATTAAACAATGGGTAAAAAAGCATTCATCGACAAAAAGGCTGCAAAGCATTTCCACGTAGTACATAGATCCCAAAAGGATCCTCTTATCAATGACTCTGAGGCTCCTGATCGTGTCCTCCAAGAGGTCTTACCTATTAATATGATGAAGGTATTTGTAATCAGACTTTGATAGATCTAATGCCGAATGCTCATATATTTATTTAATTATCCAGCACAAAAGTCAAGCCGAGATTGATCGTGTTAAGGTTAAGCCTGAAAAGTTGACTCAAGACGAAATTGACCAGTAAGTCTATTTCTATGAAAAAAAAAAAAAAAAAAAAGAGAGAGAGAGAAAAAGCTAATCGTTGTTCCTTTTTCGTAGACGTATTGGCCAAGCAGCACTTTATGGTGTATTCTACGACGATACCGAATATGATTATACTCAACATTTAAAGCCTATCGGTGGCATCGATACCGTATTTTTGGAAGCACCCGGCAAAAAAGAAAAGCAAAAGACGATGGATTCCATGTTCAAGGATGACGATACTCACAGAGAGCAAAAGAACCCCAACCTTTTCCAGTTACCTACCGAAGTTTTACCTTCCAGTATCGAAATGAGTGTGGGTGTCATGAATCAATCTACCGGTCTCGATAATGGTCTCCAGCCTGATATGGACCCTAGACTTCGTGAAGTGTTGGAAGCTCTTTCAGATGATGAATATATCAAGGGTGATTTGGATGAAGATTTCTTTGAATCCCTTAATGCTGAAGGTGATCCATATGTTCCTGAGGAAGAAGAGGATGAAGAAGAATATTTCAACTCTTCAGATGAAGAGATCGAGGAATATTATGAAGACGAAGAGGAAGAAGAGGAGGGTGAGGGCCAAGGACCCAGTGGTGAAAACTACGATTGGCAAGCAGCTTTCAAAAAGTAAGAATTATTTCAGCAGGAATGATCTAGAAACGTAGAATTTTAACCCCCCTTACGTGTGATAGATTCAAATTAAATCAAAAACGTGGAGGATCTGATGATGAATTTGACGATGAAGTTCAATCCAAGGGAACCAGTTTTTCTGTTTCCTCTTCTACCATGCATCGTAACTCACAGCTTCGTTTATTGGATGATAGATTTGAAAAGATCGAAGAGGAATATGCTGAGCTTGACGAAGAGAGCGATTATGAAAGTGGTGAAGAACAAGAAGAACGTGCTGATTTCGATGCTATTTTGGATGACTTCTTAGATAAATATGAAATTGTCGGTAGAAAGATGCAACCCAAGATGGAAGGTATCACTTCTGCAGCAAAACTTGACACTGTCCGTCAAGGTTTATTAAAAACACATATCCACGAAGAAGAAGAACGCGAACCAAGAGCAAAACTCACACAAGCAGCTCTTCAACCTAGATTGGAAAGACCTGAAATGAGAAAGAGAGAGACTTGGGATGTTCAAAGTGTGATTTCTACTTACTCAAATCTGGAAAATCATCCTTCTTTAATTAATGATAAGGGTCCTTCAAAGAGAATCAGAATCGATCCTAAGACTGGTATGCCTGTCTTGATGGAAGTTGAACGTAAACAAAAGCCACCAAGAAAGAACAGACATGCAGTAGAAGAAGAGGAGGAGGAGGAAGAAGAAGACGAAGAAGAAGAAGAGGAAGAATTAGAAAATAAGGGTGCACCTAGAACCAAAGAAGAGACAAAGGAAGAAAAGAAGGCACGAAAACAAGCTGTTAAGGAAGCTAAAAAGGTATGACACAATTTATTAACTATGCCACACACGCACATATTTAATTCATATCTTATTTTCAGAACCGTCGAGAAGAGAAGAAGACCACAAAGTCTGCATTCAAAAACGAAGAAGTTCGTCAAAAGAGAATTCTTCAACAAGTACGTCAAGCAAAGGGCGCTACTCATATCCCTTAAACTAGAAACATATATTATAAAAACACTATTCATTTAAATATCACAAACTGTTTCCTGTAAATCTTTATTATATTACCTGCGTAACAATTCATTAATGGGTTCTCACGCTACATAATTTTTTTATTTTCCTATTTTCACATTGATAACTATCATGTTTTCAAATTTAAAGCATAAAAGATGATGAACAGAAATAGATACAATGGGTAATCTATAATTTGTAAATTACGGTGAAAAATCATTCACAGAAAGGAACGACTGTTTCACACGAGATAATTTGTGCCCCAAGCTTTTCTTCGCTTATAAAATTCTCGGCACCCAGCGCCATAATTTCTGGTTTTTCGGATTGGCCGGGAGCAAATTTAAGGTTACTCGGATTGTTTATGACCGGCTTTGCCGTCGTGACACAATTCCCTTTTTGGCTACAGAAAACGCTAAAAATAATTCTGAATGTTTTGATGTTTGTCTCGAAGGCCACGCATTCTTGTCATTAATGCAACAATAACCCAGATAAAACGAAAAAAAAGTTAGACGGGTAGAGTAAATATAGAGCAAAAAGATTAAGTTTATAAACACGAGTATCGGATGTTCATTGAACTTGCCGGCCATTGGTAAACCCACCGGTAAAATATTGGCCCATACTGACTGACAGATTTATATATAAAGGGAGCCTAAAATTGTACAGTAATTTATTTTTTTCTCTTGTTCCTTTTTTATTGATATTTTGTTCTTACATAATAATCAAATAAATAAAAAAAATGATTCAAAAAGCAAAACAACTTGCAACATCATGGCAATGGAATTGGTTACAATACCCTATGTTTGCAGCACTCGCTTTATTCGACATGTATTATATCCAGGAGCCAGCACTTTGGGCCAGAATCTTAATTGGCGTTGCTTTGTTGTCATCGCCATTTATACCTTATATTAGACGTTTCACCGTACCTGCCATGGTTATCTTCACCTGGCTTATCACCTTTTACGCCGTCAAGTTCTTTCCTAATAACATCAAACCCCAACACATCTTTGTTAATTTACTTCCTACCCTCGAACGAATCATTTACGGCGCTAATCTTTCCGAAATCATTTCGAAACATACCCACCCAGTTTTAGACATCATCGCTTGGATACCCTATGGTGTCATTCATTTTGCTTTCCCATTCATCTTTTCTGTTCTTTTGTTTATCTATGGACCACCAGGTTCTGTAGCTATTTTTGGTCAAGCCTTTGGTTATATGAATTTAGCTGGTGTCTTGACTCAACTTTTGTTTCCCACTTCACCACCATGTAAGTTTCTTTTTTATCAAAGGTCTTCCCCCCTTTTTTTTTTTCTAAAAAAAAAATTTAACCTAAAAATTTTCTTATAGGGTACGAGCTCAGTTATGGCTCCGCTCCAGCTGATTATTCGGTACATGGCCAACCAGGTGGATTAGCCAGAATTGACGATATCTTGGGTTTAAATCTCTATGGTACAACATTCGGTAACTCGCCTCTTGTCTTTGGAGCCTTTCCATCGCTTCATTCAGGATGCGCGACTATTGAAATGATGTTCCTTGCGTGGTTATGTCCCAGATTAAGACCTTATTGTGTATTCCATGTCCTTTGGATGTGGTTCGCTACCATGTATTTGACTCATCACTATCTTATCGATCTTGTGGGTGGTTCAATCTACGCTACTGTTGCATTTTTCTTTTTCCGTCAATACCTTCCAACTATTCGTCCTGACTGTCGCACCCGTTTAGACTACATTGATTCCGCTGTACCCGTGAAAGGCACCTTTGCAAACTTTTGCCGCTCAATTGAAATGGAAAAATTCGTCTCAACCTTAAAGATGCGTTCAACTGATGTAGAGGCTCCTTTGATGAAGGAAATTGATACGATGGAGGATCTCTCGGATGCAGAAGAGGACTCAACCAATTCCTATGATCATATCCCTCTTTTATCAGTTAGAAAATCACCCTTGACCGTGATGATGACACATGACGGTAGCTTTTCTTTACCATCTGCATCCACCTCTCCCACTTGCTCTGGGCCTCCTTCCCCAATGACCCCAGGCACACCTCACTGGGATTCATATCTGCAACACCAATATAAACAACAATAATTCACTCATATATACATATATGCATATATTTTACATACTTACATTTTAGACCTTTTATAATACATTTAGAATAATTTCCCCTTCGCCTAATACTTAATCTTAGCACTCTAATCCTCACACCCAAATCCTATTAATAAAACCCAACTAATTAGACTCATTGTCATACCACAATAATTAACTTGCACAATGAACCGCGCTTCTTTTATTATTATGATTCGTGCTTTGGAATAGTTCGGACTTTTTCAAATCCTGGTGCTCAATGAGACGAGTGCACTGGCTATTTCTCGGCCGTTTTTCTATAAAGGACGTTTCTCGCCAGTCGATTGGGCCTGGGCTGTACCAAGGTAGCTTTCTTCAGATCAAAGCACTACATCTGATAAAATAGAATATTCTATGATCGGGTCTTGCAGTAAATGACGTATTGGGTGACCCTGATTCATGCAGCTATAACAAAAAATAAGCTTTCTCTTTGTTGAGATAACAATAAGTGTCAGAAACTTCCCGTAACAACGTTAATGATCTGTAAATCCGTCTTCTCCATTCAGTACTATTGTCAGTGTCCTGACACCATCATGCATTTTCATTGCAATCAAGGGAGACTACGAGGTACAAATCAGATGAAAGAGTATTTGACATACGAACTATTATTATTTGTCAAGTTCGTTAAAAATTATCATAGCAAAAAATGGGTTCGTTCGTAACACTTGTCTGTCCCGAGCATATGGCATTAGGCTTAGAAATCGTTGCATAATGTGGTATCGCCTTATATAAGAACGAACCGTAATGTGATTATTTTGCCGAAAACACGTTTGAATTAGCAGCTTTTTATAATTAGGACGAGCTGTTCATTAAACCGTCCTCCCAAAGAAACAAATAAAGAAACAGATTTAAAAGGTTAGAACACTTCAAATAGTGCATTTATTAAACACCGCGGGATTTTTTTGAGGAGTTAAGAAGTGGAGAAGAGCAAAAGAAGCACTAGATAAGGACCATTAGAATTGTTTTTTTTTAATAAATGCAACAGATGAAAGACCTTGCTAACTTTAGGATATCGTTCACGCTGGCAACATGCATCTAGAAGATAAGTTTATAAGTATATTTCAATACTATAGTAGATGTTGTACTAAACTTAAGAGTGAAGAATGAAGATTACAGAGAGAGAGAAGGTAAAAGAAGTCTCTGCATCATAGCCCGCCCAATTTGAGCTAAATGCGTAGATATATTGAACACATCGCACAAGCAACAGCAAGTGACTTGTATGAACAGCTCACAAAGGAGACAGAATTGCCTTAGCCTACTGCGTCGATGTTAATCAGTATTGTTAACCATTGTTTTATCTCTCTTCTTGTTTAGAGGAAAAAGCTAAAAAAAACACGAAAAACATTAGAAATTCGATCTGAGGTTCAAAACCCCGTTTTAGGTTACACTGCTCGCACTTAGAGAAATACCAAATCACACATCGAGGTTAGTGCTATGCAAAGGGCTTTTTATCCATGCATACTAATGTAACAACATAAGAAGGACAAGTGTCATTTAAAACTTGGTTCTGTTATTGAGCAAAAACTCAATGTTTTAAATCGCCACGTGAGGTAAATTTTAGTCCTGTGAGGTCTGACCCAACTTTTTACTCACCTTCACAGACTAATGTATTAAAGATTTAGCCTTGTCCATAGTCTATTTTATTCAACTTTAACCAGACATAATATGATCAAATTAAGTGATCAGACGCAAATTATCAGCCTCGATTGTGATATTTTACCAACATGTATCGCATCATGTCGCATATACGTGATCTCGGCTTTCCTGTGACAACTAATCATCCATAAGACCATTTTAAAAAACAGCTGCTGCTGAAAAAAAGAATTTAGGATATATACTCTACCCGCATGTGACAAGGTAACTATTGCAGTGGGTAAAAGCATTGGTTGTCATATCACTGATACAATTAATTCATTGATAATAAGTATGATTCATTGTTACAAAGATTCAGAAAATACTCAATAATTAATCCGCCTTGCTTGCTGGCATATAAACATTCTTTTTTGTACACAGGAACTCAAATAAAATAGCGTCTTTTAACACGTTTACATGCATAAAAAAAGCAAGACACATGTGAATTTCAATGTTTACAATAAGTATAGCCATGTTCATTTCATGATGGGATATTTACTTTTTTACAATTTTTGTGTCAAACAGCTATACAAACGACACGCTTCAATCAATCGATTCCAGTCGCAAAAATCCATCCAAGCAATTATCTTTTGCAGTTTAGCACTCATGATTTCGGCCTCCAATTTGAAAAGCTGGGACTGTTAAATAAATATAAAAAACGTTGTTCTTAAATACATTGTTAATCTGACGATTGTAAAAGTAGGCTGTTCACTCATGTTTCTCATGTGTAGACATGCACGAGTATATTAACTTTTTTTTCGAGAGCCATTTTTTTATCTGGAACAACTTCTACATTTTATTATAGGACTATTAGGTACTTAGAAAATCAATTCTATATGTTTTGATCTATCCTTGCATAATTTTAACGAAAGTTCCCGAATTGATTTAACCTTGACACATATAATTCTAGTGATAATTTCTCTTGGAGCAGTTTTGATGAGTATATCAAATAGCGTCTTTGATGTTTCTACAATCACCGGTATTGTATCATTCCTTGTATAATAATATCGCTGGACATTTCGGCTTGTCAGAGTGATTGAAACTAGAGGAAATCTATGTAGTTTTATCTTTAATGTATCTTTTATATCGACATCACTATGATGTTTACTATTGAATTCCAAGTTATACGATATACAGAGTCTGTGAATTGCTGTCTCTGGCATGGTCACATGTATCCAAGGATTAAAAAAAGATCCATCAAAATGACAGCCTTTGAAAAAAATTGAGTCTAACTTCTTAAAGCGAGATGACATCGAGCAGAGAGTTAGGTTGGAAACTTCGCACATATCAAACGTCATATTTGTGATGCTGCTTGTATAGATGGTATCTGCTGTGAGGACACTATCCAATTCGACCTCCTTAAATATAATAGAACAAAGATCTTCCTTACATGTACTAAAAACCGTCTTCAGATCCATTTGAATCCGTTCTATATTCCCCCAATAAAATTCAAGCTGTTTTATATTCTGACTTAAATTCGAAAAAATGCTCTCTTTGACAAAATGATTGTTATCGGTAAATCGATCTCCATTAAAATTGAATTTTATCAATGGGTTAGCAAAAAGTCTTGTTTTTTCGAACGCTATAGATTCCCTGTTACTAGTATAAGCACTATATACAAAAGCATGCATTTCTTGCTGACAGTTTCGACTTAAAAAATCTGCTATGTTGATTTCATTACCATAAAAACGAATATCGTAATCTGCAAGTGATGCGAGCATTGTGAAAAAGTTTCTTACTGTATCTGTGTCCAGAGCTAACGTATGATTGGTCTGATATTTGACACATTCAATATTTAGGCTTTTGAGGCCCTCGAAGCTGGTGTGAAACATACCTATTTGATTGTTTGTTTCAAATACAAAGTGATAAAAGTTGAGAGTATGTATAGAAGGATATACGCCATTTAGTATGGGCTTGTTATTGTGATAATTCGAACAAAAATTTGTAGTTGCAAAATCCACTTCCAGTTCTCTCAGTCGAGGAGTATATTGGAGGATGATATCCAAATCTTCTACATTTTTAAGGATGCCTTTACCTATATTCAAGCAAGATAATGCGGTAAATTCATTCATAAAACTGAGATCTGTATCTGTTGGCATTAATTCTTGTATTAAGCGTAGCGAATCCAGCGAGTGCTTTAAATGCCGACCGCATTTTAAATAAGTCGAATAAACAAGTTTCATATTCATTCGCCTATCCCTTATTTGTAAATCCCAAGTGTCCGGCAAACGGCGCAATTTCCAGACGTTCACCATTTTGAGTATCTTGTAAAAATAGACCCAATCTTCCGCATGAACAAAATCGACACAAATGAAATCAACCTGTTCGACATGGGGTGTATGTACCATCAAGCGATAAAGCTTGCTATGGATGACATCTGTAACATTGAGTTTCTCCTCTCTAAAGTCTCGAAATAACATGGAGGTTGCCCACTGTCCAGGACAAAAAGGAGAATTCAAGATATCGTCAAATTTGGAGCAATCCCACTCTAGCCGGATTGTAGGTGAAGCAAAGTCAATTGATAAAAACAATCTGTACCAGTGCTTATTTACTGCCATCGTTCGATGGTCTTTGACAATGTCTGCAGCATATGCTATAATAATATCCCAGATATTACTAGGTAAATACCTGTAAGAACACATATGAATATTTGTTGTTTAAAATAAAAAAGAGATTTTCTTTTGACGTTGGCGCGTATTTTATAAACGATGCAATGTTTGTTTTGACCTGCTGATCATAATTATACATGCGGCCCGGCAGAGTTCGTGTATTTTTTGTGCATACATATTCTACTACGCCATTGTTATTTTTTTTTACACTCTTACAATTTTTTTTTTTAAGTAAGAGGTCTGGGATACCCCCCTTATTATAAGGATGAAACAAAAGGGACCAAATCCAAATGACAAAGTACAGTGGGTCAAAATCAACGTGCTACAACGTAAATTTAACAAAGCTATAAAGTAATTCTATCTTTTGGAAAAGAAAACAAAGAATGAACATTTAAGTCGATAAAATATGAACGAAAAGAAATATTTGCCATAACTTGCTTTAATAGTTACAGAACTACGACAAAAAGGTAGAAACAAAAATAAAAATAGATTTGAAAAGCATGATTTACGATTTCATAAATTCTTACAAAAGTAACTGAATATTCTTATTTTATTACCATGCTAAAATACAGTTAAACACTAACATTTAAAATTCATTTGAATATCTTTTGACCGATTGTTGCTTAATTTCAATGACAGTTCTCCGATCGATTTAACCTGGACATTGACGACTCTAATAAATGGCAAATACCGATGCTCGTCTGCGAGCAAATAAAACTGTAATTCTGTAGTTTGGATAACTACCGGTACGTTCTCATCTCGCGTATAATAATATCTTGTAACTCCTTCACCTGTCAACGTGATCGAAACCAGCGGGAAAATTCGGGGATGTTCTATTTTCTCTTCATCATCATATAGTGTCTCGTTTTCATCATTATAGGAAGCACTAAAAGGAACATTATACGATATACAAAGATTGTGAATTTCGGTTTTTGGCATAATTATGTTTACCCAAGAACGATCAAAAGATTCATCAAAGTGACAGCCTTTAAAGTGAATTGAGTCTATATTTGTAAAGACGCCTGATAGTGCTTGCAGGGCTTGTTTGGAGAATGTACACTTGTCAAACATTATGCATTGGAGGTAGCTAGTATAATAAAGACCACCTGTTAACACAAGCGTTTCAAATGTAAGCGCGTTAAATACGATAGAGTGTAGAGTTTTGTGCTGGATACTAAAAAGGGCCTTCAAATACTCTTGAATAGTTTCATCCTCCAAATCAAGAAGTTCAACTTGTTGTATGCTTGGACCTAAATCGGATAAAATACGTTTTGCAGCATAGTGGTCGGTATTTCCTTCAGTATAAAATTTGTATTTTATCATTGTCTTGGGAACAGACTTTGTTTTGCTAACGAGAATAGAGTCATCATAAATATAGCTACCATATGCAGTTGCATGCATTTCCTGTTGACAATATTCATTTATAAACTTTGCTACGTCAATGGTATTTCTACGAAACAAAATATTGTAATTTAAAAGTGAAGAGAGCATGCTGAAGAAAGCTCTTGATGTCTCCGGCTTCAATACAAGTTTGTTTTTGGAACATGCAAGAGATAGTTTTTTGAGCCCTGTAAAATGGGTATAGATCATGCTTACTTGATTGTCTGTTTCAAATACAAAGTTATGAAAGGTAAGTATCTTTATGCTAGGATATTTTACATTCAGAATTGTTTTCTTGTAGTCATCTGAATCAAAACTCGTGTCTTTAAAATCCACTTCGAGTTCTTCTAGATGAGGGGTATGTTGAAGTAGCGTATCCAAATCGTACACGTTTTTAACGATACCTTTCGTGACGCTCAAAAAGGTTAATGCGGTGAATCCATTTACAAAACTGAGATCTGTATTGGTCGGCATCATTTCTTTAATCAATCGTAAAGAACCAAGTGAATCCCTTAGATGCTGAGCACATTTTAGATAGGCTGAATAAACTGATTTCATGTCAACTCGATTATCAACGGATTCCAATTTCCAATCATCCGGTAAGCAGCGTAATTTCCAGACGCCCGCTAATTTGAGCACCTCATAAAAATAATTCCAGTCTTGCTCATCGACTATTTCGATCTGATTAAAATTGATTTGTTCAACATGGGGAGTGCACTTCATTAATCGATAAAGTTTTCCTTGCGTAATAGTATCTCTCTCCGCTTTAAAAAATCGAAAAGTAATGGAGGTTGTCCACTGTCCTGGGCGAAACGGAGAATTCACGATATCGTGGTACTTGGATCGATCACAGCTTAAACGAATAAAGGGTGCGGTAAAAGTGATTGATAAAAACATGATGTACCAATGCTTATTCACCGCCATCACTCGACCCTTTTTCACAGAATTTCCACCATAGAATAAAATAATCTCCCAGATTTCACGAGGAAAATATTCGAAAGCGCCCATCAATGTATCTTGTCCAAAATAATAACAAACTTTTTATTCAAATAATCAGTCAACGTGTAATATATATGATATAAAATGTTTGTTTTGAAGGTCTACTGATAACAATGATCACACATGCGTCCAAAGGAATATTATGCATAGAATAACTACCGAGCCACAGACTGGTTTTAGATCATACAAGACGCGAATGTATGCCATCCATTTATTAAGAAGAGGGCTATTTAACAAAAGATGGACTTATTTTATCAAACAGTGTTTCGATCCAATAGGCCCCTCTATACAAAAAAGTCGACGATGTTTATATCCTCATTGATTTAAAGAAATATGAAACATAAAGAACAAAGTTCACATAATAACAATAGCCTTACAGTAAAGCAGGCTCACACAGATGTTAATACATAATTATGCTTGGCAAACGAAACAAACACGCATGCAAGTCTGTATAATAATAAGAATATTTGAAGTCACTCGTGAGGTCACTTACTAAGAGGTTGTAAGCACAAATCTTAAGAAATACCAGGAATGCTTTTGATATTTAATAACCAATATTTAATTTTAGCATAATCTATCCCTTTTGGGAACGCATCTTTTTGCAAGTAAGCCATTGTGTCCAACTGTACAAAATGCATAGAAATTTGCATTTAAAAAGATTAAAAGAGTTTAAGCCCCAATATTGAAACAACGCCTTTTAAGAGCGGACCCTATCCAGGAACAAATTCATGCCATAACTGATAAAAAAGAAATATTCGAATTTATTTAGTGGGGGAGATGAGTAAATGAGGTCTCTCTTCCATAATTTTTAAGACGGCTTGACCGAATAATCCATTGGCCCACGAAAACCAAGATCGTGTATAGGATTGGTCTGCATTCTGTGAAGGATATACATTGACAGACTCATGGATCAGGCCTGTTTTATCCGTAGATGACATAATAATGTTAAGCGCTTGTGTAATCTCCTCATCTTGATCCGAGGTGAGAATCTAAAAAAAAAATAATCCATTTTTTTCAGTGGTGGGTTCTTATAATTCATAAAAAATGGGGGAACTTACTCGAACTATTTGTGACATGGGCCATGCATAACCTAAACCAACCTGATATAACAATTCAGTACATGTCATTTTCTTTTGCTAAAGATGACTTACATGGGGTCCACCAATGCCTGATCCACGGGGCCCTGAGAAATAATAAGGATTGTCATTGGAGAGGACTAATTTACGCGTGTTTTGATAAATAGTATCGTTTTGAGGTAAGAAACCAAGCAGACTGAGTGATAATAAGGAGGGTATATTGGCATCATCCATGATTAATGCTGAGCCATATCCGTCTACTTCGTCTAAGGAGAAATTTTATCTTTAGTAATCTTGCATTCTATGATGAGCTATATATATATATATTACATGCAAATATTTTTCCGTAGGTTGGATGATTGGTTAAACCATACTTGTAAATACCATCTTTGATTTCTTTGGAGATAGCAGCAGCTTCCGACGCCATTTTTTTCCCGCCCGAAGATCTCTCCAAAAGCAGAGATAAATGGCCCAGTTCAACAGACAACATGGCATTACCAGGTATAAAAAAGGGAAAGACAGTAGCATCATCCGACGGTCTAAATAAACTCTTGACCATACCCGTGTGTTTCACTGCCTGTCCTCGTCCATTTAAGAATTGTGTTTCTGTAGGTCTATCCGCTTGTTGAGAAAATAAATAGTCTGTATCCAGTACCTCTCCTTTTTTTTATAAACAGATGCATATATTTAATCAATGTGTTGTCTTTCTTTTTGGTTCTTTGGGATGAATTTCCTTACCAGAGGTTATATTAAATGTAGGGTCTTGTTGCTTACGAATGGTGGATAAAATCGTGTCGACAGCATCAATCCATACCGAACTTTGTACAAAGGAATCATCACCTGAAGCAACCCAGTACTGATAGGACAATCCCATGAATGATGCAAATGAATCAATTTCATATTTCCTCTCAAAGACTATGTCACACACACACAAAAAAAACGTCAATTCCCTACAATGTAAACAAACAAAATGGGGTTTATTTTACCTCCATCCATTAAATCTACGGATCTTTTTCCAATCACATGGGATTTGGATAGGGCCTCAATATTTGTAGGTTCTTTAAATGCATTGGCATAAGGATCAATCGTAAAGAAATGAGCTTGCATATAAATGGTACCCAAAAACAAGCGCTTTAATTGTGGATCGTGTTGAATATAGTCAATGTAAGGCAAGATTTGATTGGCCGAATCTCGTATCCACATGGCATTAATGTCGCCCGTGATAATGTAGGACAGTGGATGACAGTCAGTTGCAAGACTCGACATGCATGCTGTACTTCCAATAGTTGTATCGAGCGTATTAGGGAACGTATTGGTGAATAAACGAGCCAAATCAAGGTTGGATATCTAAATAGAGGATAAATTTAAAATGAACGCACTATTATGTCATAGTCTAAATGACATACCTTGGAGGTAATGTTGCTAATGACAGATTCTATCACTGAACTAGTGAACTTTCTGCAGGCTTCCACAGGTCTTTGAAAGGGTAAATCGAGTAAACCCCCACTCCCTGGCTTATGAAATACTTTGGCGTATCTTTTCTGATAGGGTGAATACAGAGAGTATAAAATTATAATAAGAAAACTTACTCTGAGTAATCGGGACATGATGATGTATCCATTGTATTAAAATAAAGAAAGAGACAGGTGGCAATAAAAGAAAAATAGAGAAATGAAAAGAGGAAAATAATATTGAATCTATCCATTTTTAAACGTTGTAATTTTTTAGGGAAAAAAAAAGGGCGCTAGTGTGGAGGTAAGGGGATTTTTATTTGCATGAAAATTTAAACAGTGATTTTCCAAAAGACGACTTTACGTATGATGCTACGAATGATATCTTGTAAGAAGGGCATGATAGCATTTATCAATGAGTAGGCCAAAGGTGACTTTCTTTTCCACAGGATATAAAATGCTATCAGAAAAATAGCCGAATCTGCCATTAAATGTTTTAACAACACCTTGACCACTTTAGTAAAGGTCGTTTCATCCTTTTGTTGTCGTCTCATTCGATCAATCTGCTCTGTTAAAGCCGTCACTTCTGTCTGTAATCTCTCTAACGCACGATGACTGTCCTTTTTGGAGACACTCTTTTTAGAGACACTGGATGTATGTGAGTGCTTCTTTTTGATGTAATACGGAGATTGGCGGGGTGAGGACAAGGTTAAATTGGCTGTGGCTGCTGCAACTTCTCGATCAAGGGTATCGGCCTGCGATACACCGTCTCCATGTTGTAAGAAATCCATAGGATGAGCATAGGCATTTTGTTCTTGTAACTGGGTAGACACCCATTGTCCCGTCATTGCATTTTGTCCAGGTGATGTGATGGGTGTGATTGGATACTCTGTGTGACTAGATACACTGTGATGTCGATGATTGTACGCCGCTTTGGTCTGTGCAGAAGCCGGTGTTGATGGTGGTGAATAAATGTCTTGTCGTCTTAATTGATCTGCTTCAATATGATTTAAAAAGTTTTCCTGTAATTCAAACTCTGCAATATCTGATGCATCCTGAAAAAAATCTAGTATAAATGATAAGTTCATCAGCATATGATAATGGGGATGCGCTTTGTTACCATCTTCTTCTTCTTCTTCATGTTCTAAACTATGCAAGGCCTTTTTAAGAAACGATGATTGTTCGTGATGAGGGTATCGGTGTACAAGCTTACAAAATAAGGTTAATATAGATACCCCACGAATTATACAAAAGAGTTTGTATTACCTCCGTCAAAAGGTGTATTAAAGACTCCACATAAAGATTCTGCGCATCCATGGGGCTGATACCCTTCATACGACTCCATGCCTTCCTATAAATTTAGTTTACCGTTAGTATATGTATAGAATAATAAATCAGTCAATTTTAATTACCACTTGGCGTATTCAACCACTTGCCGGGAAGAGGGCCTAGGTATATTGACGTCTCCTTCGGTTGCTTGTTTATAAAGACCATAAAACTGTAATTTATCTGCTGCTACGGGTTGCATGGAGCTTGTTTGTGGAATGGCGCGCACAATAGCCAACGCATGCCCAAATCGTAATTGAGAGAGATAAGACGAAGGAGCACTAGTCATTAGGTGAAAATAATACAAAAAAGAGAAAAGAGCAGAAGAAAAAAAAAAAGTATATATTTTTTCCAAGAGTCATTAAAGATGAGTAAGAAACAATTAGACCAATGAGAATATGAAATCACGGGATGTTCTCACAACCTTAAATTTTTTATTTTTTATTATGCTTTTGAAATTTCTTGTTGGGACCCTTTTTCTGTGCCACCTCTTTCTTTTCCTCCTCGCCTTCTACAGCAGGCACCGCTGCCTTTGTATCGTCTTTCTTAGCTTGTTTAATGGTTCCCAAATTCACCTTGGGTGGAGAAGAGAAACCAAATGCCACAGCCACTTTAGCCAGATCCAAGCTATTCACATCGAAAATCTTTTTTAAACTGAAAGAAGAGTATGCTTGAAGATAGGATCTATAACCATCCTTGGCTGATTGATTCAAGTAATAGTTCTTATCAATCAATTTCTCCAATTGTCCTTGCACATTGGCTAATTTACTGGTAGGGAATTGGTATTCGTTCAATGGCACCTTGGCATGTTTCAAGTATCTCAAAAAGCCAAGTTCACTAGGTAATAAGAACAAGAGACTTTTACCTTGACCTCCCGCACGCGCTGTACGGCCCACACGATGGATATAATCACGAGGATCATCTGGGGGATCAAATTGCACAATCCAATCAACAGCAGGAATATCTAAACCTCTTGCTGCTACATCTGTACACAATAAAATACCCTTGTCTGCATTACAGTACTCAAAGAACGTATTTGTACGCTTTTGTTGCTTTTGTTTACCCTATTCATATCATTTAATACATTACTCTTCTCCCCCATTTACTTCTTTCTGTCAACTTACGTGGAGTGCCAACACTGGGACATCAATATAATTCAATAATTCAGCATGGTATTTCACAGAGTTACAACTGGAAAAGAAGACAATGACCTTCTTCTTGATATTCTTTCTCAAGAAAGTGAACAATAATAAGAATCTACGGTCTGATTCACATACGACATAACCTTGCTCTAAGCCATCTGCAGTTGAAGTATCTCTGTCCTCGTGCACATTGATATAAAGAGGTCCCTTCTTTAACGAAATACGAGCCAAATCCGCAACTTTGGTGGTTTGTGTGGCTGAAAATAACATGGTTTGTCTATCATCTGGTAAAATCTTTACAATTTGCTTCATTTCATCCTCGAAACCGATTTCTAAAATACGATCTGCTTCATCCACAATCAATGCCTTTAAATTCTTGTACACAAATCCACGAGTGTTCTTTTTTCAAGAAGGGTTAGGATGATGGGTGTGACTTTCCGTAATTTAGATAGACTTACTTGCAAATGATCCAATAATCGACCAGGTGTGGCAACAATCAAGTTGACACCCTTTAATAATTTATCAGCTTCTGCTTTACGATTAGCGCCACCAATGACAATACCAAAAGTCAATTGATGATACTTTAACAACTCTTTAGCCACACCAAAGATCTGCAAGGCCAATTCTCTGGTGGGGGAAACGATAATAACACCAGTACCGTTTCTTGGCTTGAACTTGAGACGATACAACATTTCAATGGCAGGAATTAAAAACGCCAAGGTCTTTCCCGAACCCGTCTTGGCAGCACCCAACACATCACGACCAGCCATAAGAGGTGGGATCGTACGGGCTTGGACTTCAGTCATTTTCTCAAAACCGAGATCGGTAATGGCCGTCTTTGTACGTTCACAACAATCGAGAGAGGCAAAATCGTAACTGACAGGAGTGGCCATGTCTTGCTTTTTACCGAAATCCATGTCCTTGTCATCGCCAGCCGATTCAGCCTTTTGCTTCTTTGCAGAAACAGAGCGATCTGAAGCTAATTGTCTCTTTTTGGGTTCTGGCATTAATGTATAGAAAGGATCAATCAATGAAAAAAAAAAAAAAAAAATCGATTTTTGGGAAAAGAGAGAGAACTGTGACGGTCTTTTGTAGTGAGGGGTAAAATGATTACTGCCTTTTAGGAGTGCATCAAGAGAATAAAAGAAAGAGAGGTATAATGGGAGTTTATTATGCTTTAAAATCTGCTGGTGGTTTATGTGCAGATATAAAAGAATTTGGTTTTCTGACGACGGAGGCACGCGGTGTTGCCTTTTGTCTTACAGGGAAAGATTTCTTTGGATTTTTCAAGTCAAGTAATAAGATACCTGATGGAGACATACTTGTGATTTCTTCTCGTACATTTTTTTGTTCTTTCTGCTGCTGTGTACTTCTTTGTAATTTTGCTCTTAATGCCTCCATGACTTTATCATGGTCCAGTGGCAGCTCTTCTTTTACTTGCTGTTGTTGAACTGCCGATTCTTCCTCCTTGGGCTGTGAACGGTTCTTTTTGGAAAGTGCCTTAATAGAGGGCTTTCGAGTGGATCGTGTACGTGATAAAGTTCTTTTGCAGGAATTACGTTCCTTTGTCATGTTGGGTGGTATTGGTGGTAATAGAGATTTCTGGGGTTCCTCTTCCTCTTTATTAATGATCTTTTCGACAAGTACGGGTTCTGGGGAAGAAGGAGCAGACAGATTTAGATCGGCAAAGGGTACTTCGAATAAGGTATAAGGTGATAATGGCTGTAGTTGCGATGAAGGTGAGGGTGGGGTATTATTCAGAAATGGTGAGAGTAAGTCATTATGTACGGGTGATAGCCAATCATTTTGTGATAAACCTTGTGACGATAAATATTTAGTAAATAAATAAAAAAAATACAAAAACATCTGCTTTTACCATCCAGCATAGACGAGCGTCGGTTCTGATCGAGCTGTAAATCAATGAATTTAGAATGCAGTCTTGCTTCTTCTGCTCTTCTCATTTCCTCTGCACCTTTTCTCTACAATAAAAACCATTAAAACTATTACATTCATCCTCTATGTCTCGTTTATTTACTTTGTCTTCTTCTGTTTTTGCTGCAAGAATATGTTTCAATAAATCCGTATCGTTCTTGTAAATATCTAAAATCTCTCCCACGCTGATATCCGACAAGCTTAACTTTTCCACCCAATTCGATGTGGAATTACCATCCTCATTATTAATATGTTCACTATTGCCGTTGTTTGGTAACATTATTTTCTTTAAAAAAAAAGATAAGGAGAGAAAAAAAGGGAAAAAGAAAAAAATGTTTAAAAAACTTTAAGGAACACCAAAAATTTCAACTCAAGCCACCATCACACAACCCTTTTTTTTTTTTTCTGACTACTTTTTTTTTTTTTTTTCTAAAAACTTCTTCTTTCCTGGAATAGCAACATGAACAATAGACTTGAAGAACCCTTACAATATATTTCACAATTGTTTGGTAAGCAAACAAAGTGAACAGCAAAGCGAAATGAACTCTTTTTCAGTTACTAAACAGTTATATTTCATTCTAGACGAACATTGTGTGAATCAGTCCTCGTCTGAATTCGATCCTTCTTCTTCATTTCTTCAACTATTAAAAGACTATAAAAATCAGGTAACATTCTAGATATAAATATCTTTTTTTTTGACACTTTTCCCCTTACTCACACACACACATACGTAAAAACCTATTCCCATTAAATATAGATCATTTCCTTAAATGATGTTCCTGTGCAACAAGTACCTAAAAATACCTTGGTTCGCTTTCGTTGTATGATTCAGGATACTGGATTAGGACAAGAAATGTTTATTTCTGCCTATGAAAAATTAGATCCTAATGGTAATAAGAAACTCCAATGTTACCGTTATACAGATGATGATATCGAGTCGGAGGTAACCATCCATTTCATTTACACAAAAAATATGCATACTCACACTCCACCAGTTCATCGACACCAACATCCCAAACCAGCACTTGTCTGAACGTACTCTTGTCTATTGTGTTTCTCCTCCCGGTGAAAACACATGGTCTTCAGGTAAAGCAACACACACACACACACACATATATATATACTGACCTTCTTTATCATAGATCCCTTAGTAAATAGTATGGATAAGCTTGAATTGAAAGAAACAAACACAATGACAGCAAAGAAGTTTCCTTTACCCAATATAGATCACACTTATTCTATTGTCAAATTCTATAACGACATGGCAGAGACAGTACGAGTAGGACAATTGATTGAAATCATTGGTATTCGTGGTCAAAACTTACCAAAGAATGAACAAACTGGATTTGAATCTGCCTTGGATTCGTTTGCCGATGTCCCTGTCTTACACGCCATTGCATACAATCCAGTTCAACCTACTACAGAATCTATTCTTCCCTTCAACCCAGAGATTCGTGCTTCATTAATCGATTATATTGCTTCTGCCACCAAAGATACATTAGCAGCAGAATTCATCTTGTTACAGCTCTTGTCCCGCGTGTAAAGTATTTTCTTTGTTTTCAAAGGGGGATCATTACTCATTTATTTGTTTATAGTACTGTCAAGAACAGAGGATTAAAGATTGGTCACTTTACTTTAAATATTGCTGGATTTCCTACCCACCAAACGACCGAACAGGATAAAAAGGCACCTTTACTCAACTTGAACAACCCAGCATCCAAAGCGCTGTCCGATATCCTTGATCAATTAAACCCTCACACAGTACAACTTCCTTTAACGATTGCTGGACTCAACAAGACCCGATTCAGCCCTAAAAGTATAAATGAAAATTTGGAAGCGGGCTTATTGCAATTGATTGATGGCACAGTTGTGTTAGTGGATGAAACTGTATTGGATGAAGGGCAACTTGTGGATCCCGGTGTACGTAATTTCCAGGCACTCCAAGATTTAATTCAAAACCAAACTTTAAAGTATGAATTTCCTTACAGTCAATATGAATTTGATACGGATTTAAACATTCTTACATTGTCCAATACCAAATCCATGCTCCCCGTAAGTTAGCCCCCTTCCTTTCTTCATTATCTAGCTTGGGTTTTAATTTTCCCAATTCGTAGAACCATTGCTCTATTCGTATCGTCACAAATCCGTCCATTGAGAATTCTGTACAACCTACAGACGAAACACTTGATCGTTACAGACAATTTATCCATTCCGCCAAATACGCATCCTATGATATTCCTGAACAAGTATCCGAGGTAAATTCTACATACCCCCTCCCCCTCCTTTATCTCCTTAAGCTCTCTTTTCACACATTCTCTCTTTAGTACATTCAAACTTCATTTGTCAATGAACGTAAAGCTGCTACTGTCAATAAGACAGAATTACCCACTCAAGAAGAATTAATGCTCCGTATGAATTTAGCAAGGTAAAAACTATATGAGTACGAAAAAGAAAAAAAAAGCCTAATTTTAAAATTAGATTGGTTGCCGTATCCTTTGGTGAGACCAGTCTTACGGAAGAAAGATATGATCATGTCATTTGTCTCGATAAACAACGCAAAGAGAGAGAGAGATAACAAATAAATAAATAAAAAATTAATTTTCGTAAATGTGTTACGATAAAATTAAATCTAAACAATAGGGGTCGTCTTCAGGGCTTAACATGTTTGCAGTTTCATATTTTTTTAACCCTGCAAGTGTAACAATGGACTAAAAATACCGTGATCTTAATTTATTTAAAACTCTATGACACTGCATCACATTATAAAGATAGAATCAGGTTCAAAAATAGGATTCAAGGTTTTTCTTTTTATGACTAATCAACCATATCCGTGTGATCAACTTTTAATTTGTAAAAAGTGATGAAAACAAGTCCAATCTCCATTACCAGCTTGTGAACTTTATCATTAGCCGGAAAAATACTTGATCCTTATTGCGAAGCAGTGCATAACATTCCTGGCAGACTGACAGAATCTTTTTTTTAAAAAAACTGTCCTCTTTCCATCACTAAACACCTAATAGCGTACTCTATAGCAACTGCTCTACTGCACCTCAAAAACGATGGCAGCGATAACGCATTAGACATGCAATGTATGGTAAAACCCATACTAAATACCAACTTTGAAACTATACAATGCTCATAAAATACGCTTCACTGTAGGTACATCCTATTGCAAAGTTTAGTAAGCCTGGAGTGATTTGTAATTTACATCACCCAATAATTGTTAGTGGCTATCATTTGCAGATATTCCTATCGTGAGTAAAAGCCCAATCGATATGGCTGACTAAATAATTAATTACGACATTCTAGTATCATAAATAAAACTCGTTCTCACAACTCTTCTTTTTCATATTCATGCATCTTTATGAAAGAAAGGTTGGTTAGTTATATTTTTTTCAAAATAACACCTGGTTTTCTTTTCAATCGAAAAAGATGTGTCTCAATTTTTTTTTTTTTTTTTTTTTTTGCTAAATTACATCTGCGGCTAGTCAACTCTATATATAGTGTCTCAGTATCAAAAGATGTAAGAGACACCCTAAAAGTTTAATTACCTGAACAAAGCCTATTTTTTTCTTGAGCTTTTAAGCCCATACACCAAATTTCAGCGGCCACTCCTTATGATAATTGCCGTTGCAAATGTATCAAGTATCATTCCATAACGTAGAGCTTCTCGTCTCCAAAGGTTGCTCTCTATGTTTTCCGAGTTGTCTTCAGCGTTATAAAAAGTTCGAAGATTCAAAAAGCTATTCTAATTCTACCCTTCTTTTTAGATCATCCGAAATAAGCTATCAAGCGGCACTTGTTGTCTGGTGTCGTGGATGATACATAACCCAGACAAAAAAGAAATAAAACAAAAGTAGGAATACTCTGGGACTGTTAGTATGTTTTATCAAGAGTAAGAAAGAATGAGGGATTATCATATTGAAGGGATCGAGGATATATATAAGATGTCCAAATTTAAATTACATATAAATAATTGCATAATGGAAGTACGCTAATATAGTACAGTGTCTATGTGCACTATCGTAGTAAAAAGGTACATGAGCTAAAGAAATATATATACTTCATAGAGTAAGGATGTTCAGATATTTATATCCTAACGTATGACATATGATGTAACTGTATCCGATGTTATTTTACAATCGTGTTATATTAACAAGTAATTGTCAGATCATCACGCTTATATATTCTTACCAACATGAAATCCCTACTTTCAGGAGCGACCAAAAGGAAGATAATTCTCAGAAGATGAAGATGGAAAAGCAGCTATTTCAAGAATAGCGTCCACTATCATTGCTCCCAGTCTGAATAAACATCACTCTTGTATGATCTAATAAAAGCCTACTATTGTATATGAAATTACCGTTTTACAGGCTTGTCAACAACTCGACACTGATATAGCTGAGAAAGTAAAGTTTTGGTTTTTTAATGACACCCTCTCAAACTTTTTCTCATCTAAATCGAAAAGGAGTAAATCAGTATGCTCTGGTTCTTTAGTAGTGCTCATATAAAGATTCAAAACTATCGCGTATCACTCTAACCGTACGCACACACGCACCAGAAATCAGAAAACTTATCAAACGCCAATGGTAAACTGATTGCTTTAACAAAAAAAAAAAAAATAGATCTTTTGAAACATATTTTGGACAGAGAACTATTAGATACAACTTGATCAGATAGAGAAAATCAAGCAAAGATAATTAATTGTAGTACAAAGGCAAATACAGATTAATACATACATTTGTTTCAATCAAAACTAATAAAAACACGCGCCAAAATCAGCCCTTTACAACGGTTTAATTCTTATAAAAATCGGACGAGTGATTGCAAAGTTATTGATTTTTAAATAGTAATAAAACATGCACGCATAAGAATTTCAATACTCACATTATTGAGCGAGCGCACAATGAGTATTCAGCTTGGCTCGAACTATATTTAGCTGATATCACGCTGTCTGAATAGCAGGGACTACACTGTGGATAGGTGTATTAATCTGGGCTACAGTGTATCAAGCGAGTGTCGCTGCAAAAAAAAAAGTACGGCACAATAACCACTGGTTAGGCTTTTACACAGAGCATTAAGCTGGTCGCACTATGATTTACAGTCTTGAGGGTGTTTTGATGATCGACTGTTGTGTTTTAACGAAAAAAAATGTTTTACGTGGAAAATGTGCGCTTCAAGGCCATCTAATTCGTTTTTTCCCTCAAGGTCTATGACGCCTGAAATCAGAAAAATCAGATTCGCTTTTTCTGAAACGATTTGATCAAAAATAAGATTTTATAATCTTCATGTCAAAGTAAAGTCCTTGGATATTAAACTTTTACTAAGGTAATCTTATATCCAAAATGCTCAGAACATTAAGGCGCATCTTTTGGTGTATTTACAAAAGCATTTTTATATGTAGAAAAAATACTTTACCTAATAAAAACTAGTTTTTTAATTATGCGCTAAATATAATTTTTTTAATAATAAAACTGCTCTAAAAACAACACCATTGTAAACGTCATTAAATTTGGGCCATATTTACTTACGAACACTTTTCATCAAATCCACAGGAAGGGTTCCTAAAGGGCGCATTTGTAAAATTTGACTTTTTCCTCGAGGTATACCCTTTGTGTTTCGGCCAATTTTAGGTCTTTTAAAAAAAAAATTAAAATCAAAACCTAATGATCCAATATGATATTTTAGATAATTCTGAGCAATTTTTTGGCTTGGAAGGACGTACGGAAACGACAGTTTGCTATATGAAAAATTCATTTTAAAACAGCGTGTTAAGCGAAGAAAAGGACCGAGAAAGAGTTGAATATCAATATTGAGTATAGCATATGCAGTATTTTTTATGACCGGAATATCAAATCATATTGCGCCCATATTTTTTATTATAATATAGCATAGTCAAAGTCTTAAATTTGAGGATTTTTCTTTGGACAAATGTAGTTATCAGCGATTTGTTGTTTAGTTGTAAAATTAAAAGATGCTGTGGCCAAGCACTACGTTTCTTTGAATTATTTACCATTTTTGATGGCACAAAAGCATGATATAATTTATATTTGGAATCGTTTTTATTACAATACAACATTTATCTTAATGAAAGTGTTTTCCCGCGAGAGTTCACAGTGACCGTAAAATGATTTTGTGCAAGAAATGGTGCCTTTATCTTTTATAAAGATATTTTATAATGAAAACAAAAAATCTGAATTTATGAATTCATGCTTTTGTGCCATCAAAAATGGTAAATACTATAAACAACCATTGCATTTGGCCACAACACCTTTTATTTTTACAACTGAAAACACCAATTTACTGCTAATCACGTTCATCACTAATGTGAAATCCTCAGATTCAAGACTTTGGTTACGCTATATTATAATAAAAAAGATGGGCGCATTGTGATTGCATGTTCCGGTAATAAAAAAACAGTAGATGCTGTACCCAATATTGATCTTTTATTTTTTTCTCGGTCCTTTTCTTCGCTTAACACGCTGTTTTAAAATGAAATTTTCATATAGCAAACTGTCGTTTTCGTGCGTCCTTCCAAGCCAAAAAATTGCTCAGAATTATCTAAAATATCATATTGGATCATTAGGTTTTGATTTTAAATTTTTTTTCAAAAGACCTAAAATTGGCCAAAACACAAAGGGTATACCTCGAGGAAAATCCCAAATTTTACAAATGCGCCATTTAGGAACCCTTCCTGTGGATTTGATGAAAAGTGATCTTAAGTAAATATAACCCAAATTTAATGACGTTTACAATGGTGTTGTTTTTAGAGCAGTTTTATCATTAAAAAAATTATATTTAGCGCATAATTAAAAAACTAGTTTTTGTTAGGCAAAGTATTTTTTCTACATATAAAAATGCTTTTGTAAATACACCAAAAGATGCGCCTTAATGTTCTGAGCATTTTGGATATAAGATTACCTTAGTAAAAGTTTAATATCCAGGGACTTTACTTTGACATGAAGATTATAAAATCTTATTTTTGATCAAATCGTTTCAGAAAAATCGAATTTGTTTTCTCTGATTATACACGCCACATACGCGTCAAAATAAAAACAATTGAATGGTATTGAGGCTGGATTTTGCTTGCATTTTTTTTTGCGTACGACCCCTTTTTCATTAAATCACAATAGTAGCTCGTCAAAACACTGTCAAGCCTAGACTTAAGGATGAGAACTACAGTGAGAGCCACCAAATACACTGTCACCCGGCTTTCTCCTGTCCTTAAAGACTGCTTTATGTGGGCAGTTAATCAATTTTATTTAGAACATGAATAAGTTTGCAATCACTTGTCGTATTTTTATAGCTTACTATGTAAGCAAAAATTAGTTGTAATCAATATGCTTAATGGGGGGAACAGAGGGGAGGAGAAAGCAAGAAAGAAAGATACTTGATATAGTGTCGTATTACCTACAATTTATATCGTATAGAATGATTTTCAGGAGGATTAAATTAAAATATTCAAGTGGTGCTCTCCCTATTGTATGACGTTCAAAACAAAGAATAGAATCAAACTGGATTGAATTGTTTTGGATGTGTAACAATTCACTTTAAAGTTAAATCTCCCCCCGTAATCCCAAAAAATAGCGACAACTTTCTCGAATACTATGTTTTTTTGTAAAACTAAATCGACTCTGTATTTTATGGATAAACTTGCCCTATATTGTGGAATAATGATAATATACAACTTTCTCTCTACGAGAGGTTTCCAGTTTACAAATACTCTGAGCCGCTTAAGCTTTTTGCGGATTTTTCTTTTCTGTGTAGGTGAGGGCTTTAAAATGAAGTTTGAAGTGTACCAAAAGAAAACGGGGCTGGTGTTGATTGGGTTAATGTTCTGAAACAGAATAAGCATTCTGTCATTACAAAGCATAGATAGTCGGCGTAATAGGGTACGAGAGCCATACAAGGGCCATTTAAATGGCTCCATATCACACTGTGAAACTTTTTATCGGTCCAATTTTTTAAAAAAAAATGAAAAAGTTAGACCGGCGGTAACGGTCCAAAAATTGGACCGATTTTATAAAAAATCGGTCGCATTTTTGGACAGATTTTGTAAGAAATCGGTCGCATTTTTGGACCGATACTGATGATTACAAGCGATGGTTTTGGCAAATAATTCTATTGGATAATAATACAGTTTACGTATTCAGTTCACGAGTTGCTACCCTTGTAAACCCAAAAATTTAGACATCATATATTGAATAAAAAAAAAGACAATTTATTGAAAAAAAAAGAAAAAGAAAAAAAGAGCCACAAATGTTTGAATAAATAAACGCACAGATTGGTTTTACAGATGAAAGACGAAACTAACCCGCCCATACCAACTTATTGAGCTAGTAGTTACAACTGTTATAGACAAACGCGTCTGGGAGGTACTTACCTATAATAAGAACTAACGTTAATAACGAGTATAAAAAAGATAAAAAAACACATCATACCTTAATAAAGAAACAGGTCGTCCGGGTCTAAATTTACAAGCAGTGAACGTACAGTAAATCTATAGACATATATTGATATTAATAACAGGAATGAAGGTGACTATAGCGATAAATCTTACCTCGAAAAGAATGTAGTTCATCTACCATGAACGCAAACACAATATTTATTATTCATAAACTACATCAAACAGAGTTACATAACTGTAAAAGGTTAATTTTATGTTAAATTATGGTATCAATTATTATACATACTATTTCATGGTCATTTGACAAAAAGAAAACAGAAAAAAGGAAAATAAGAAAGAAAAAAAATATTAGATTTATAAATAATGATTTTTTAAACTCAATAGATATTACGTACACGAACGGTACACACAAACATAGAGTACTCTTCCAGTGCGTTTGATAGATACTTTCAATGACCCTTTGACCACTCTTTTGTTTCCTATAACTTGTCTCTTTACAAGATGGAAAAATTGGGGAAACTAGAAAGAAAATTCTAAGAAGGAGGGTGATTTCAATAAAAAGTGTTGCGGCTATTTATTGAGTGGCAAAAATTTGGACATAAAGCACATGGCTTTTAATACTATAAACATTTTATTTGTGACAAAAAAAATGTCAAGACTTTGTCATAGAGACATTGAAAAAGTGAATATGTTTTGATAGTTATTCGTCCGTTAAAACCAGCGAAGTGAAAAAAAAAAAAAAAAAAAAAAAAAAAAAGCGTAAGTCAATTGAAAGCACGATACAAAAAAAGCCTAATCGTGTAACACCAAACGCGTAAAGAACAAGATACACTTTTTGACCCCCTGTTGCGGTCACCGTATTAACTTAATAAATTTTCTTTTAATCATATAAGTTATATAGGTATCGTAATATATGTTTATTAAACTACAAAACTCGATTTTGCAGTGATTTTCATTTTTTTTAAAAATCGGTATCGGTGCAATCTTCAAAAAAGACCGCCGGTATCTGTAATTTCTAAAAATTGCACCGATACCGGCGGTATCGGTCCAAAATATGTTTAGACCGGTAAAAAGTTTCAGGGTGTCAAGCTTCCTTCGGATAAGATGCATCTGTTTTAAAATCCTGGCTCTTGCATGGAGTCTACACAACTTTTGTGCCAGAATTGCTGGCGTCAACCCAATCAAAACTATTTACTATGTTAATTGGAAGGAGACGGAGCAAGATATTTTTTTGAATCATAATTAATTTTTTTAAAAAAAGAACTATGATCCTTTGGGTTTTAAAACATAAAACAAATTTCAAAAGTCAATTTTACTTCATTTGGTTCTATTATTTTGCGTTTTAGAAGTCATCCATTAACTATGTATAATATTCTTGTTATCTACAGATTACATCAATCATTAATGATTGATTATAACTCTCTTTAAATATCTGTTACTGGAGTATCAGCGACTGAGTTATTTCTACTTGCTAATTCGGGTCAAATTTTTAAAAAATAAAAGTGTTGATTCTTGACTCAATACAATATGATAGTCAAATGTCCCGCTGCTTCGGAAGATAGACACAAGCCGCTGTTTATTCTTTTCCAAATTCAGTCTCTTAGATGTTTTGATAATCAAAGCGTCCTCAACATGAGCTGTTATGTAGTATTCACCTGGGCCTATGAATAAAAAAGTAAGCGATCAACATTTTTATTTTTGAATGACCACATTGTTGGGTCGTTCAATGGTAAGAGACTTCACCCTGATTATTTTATTATCTGCTAAAGATCCCGCTTATTCTGCTTTAATTGAAAATCACAATTCTTTTGGGGGTACAAGGTTGAATTTTACAAATACGCGTGACAACATGTGGTTAAAAATGGATACAATAAAAAAAAAAGGATTGTCAAATGCATTTACAGCATCACCTCCTCCCAATTGATAAAATAGCAAAGATCCACATCATTTTCTTAATTTATCATGAATGCACTTTAAGGTGTACGGAAACATTATCTTGACATCATTTATATAAGTTGGTAACGACTCCTTGTTAAAGTGCCTGTCATCCATCGATGGTGCTACATGGTTGTTCCTCTTCTACTTCTTGTAAGTGAGTAAAGATTAATTTATAAAAACATATTTTCTGCATGTACCAAAAAGGCCAAATAACCTTAACTGAGATACAAGAAGAAGGAATGAAAAATGACGATCCAATAAGATGTTTCGATCGATCGCTTTATTGGGTGGCAGTGGACTATTTCAAAGTACGTCTATGATAAAATCATGGTACCTCATGCCCCTGAAGCAATTTAAAGGTGTGTTACCAAATGGGATAGACAATAAAAAAGAGTTTTTGGTATAATATTACCCCCGAGAAAGTAAAAAGATGACACAAAAACAAATGTTTAAATATAAAAATAGACCCTCTCCCCCCACTTCCAACCCGAATAATTGCGGATTTCATATTGATTATAGTTTAACGCCACTCTATTTCAACCGGCGTACAATTATTCTAATAGTCTCGATTTCCGACCCTTTTTTACTATTTCCATGCATGCGGTAAAAATGAAGAAAAAAGTTATTTCTTCTCGATCACAAAAAAAAAGTCTTTTTTTTAAAAAAAGAAAAACAATGTATGATGTACGCCACATGTGTGCATAAAGCATTGAATTCCTCTACGGTAAAAAGAATGACTTGTAGAAAAGTGCATGAATAGGTGTTGTGGGGATGACAACGTTGTACAAAAACAGGGTTATTTTAGTCTAGAATGATAAATGAAAAAAAGATTAAAAGATCCGCATGCGTGTGTATCACACCTTTAAAAATTGTAACACTATCTAAACAATTGACAGCCAGAAAAAATGGGGGGTCGTTAAATGATAAATGCCCATGTGGTTGTACTATGAAGGGGGGGGGGGGACTAACAACATTTTCCTCCATTGTCACTCTATTGTCACTCCAAAGGAGTTTAGCCGCTTGGGTGATGATGGTGATGATGATGCATGGTTCAGATCTTGACCAATGAGAGCGATATTCTGTCATATCCATCTAAAATGATAACAACATAAGCTTCTGGACCCTTGATAAGAAACCGATTTCAAAAGTAACCAAGATCTAATACACATGCAATTAAAAATCATGATCTATAGTTTGTCCGAGCGTGCACATGAAAGTTTTAGTGGCGACTAAGCAACAGAAAAAAAAAAAACGCTGCGCAGCAAAAAAAAAAAAAAAAAAAAAAAAAGAGAATCTTTATTATCCCCAGGAAAGATAGACAAGCTAAAAAGGATTGCAACCCCTTATTTTAAAAGAGGACAAGATCGACAACAACAACAAAAATATTTGATTGTGTATGTATAATTTACGCCATTTTGTGATGAAAATTTAATTTAAAGAAAAAAAAAAGAGCTTAGCAGTGTGTAACTGATGAGTTTATTAACATATAAAAAATGAATGTGTGTGTGTATAAAAAGAAAGGGGGTGATAGATAAAGGTATAGATGAGATATGTACAGTAAAATAGAGTGAGGGGGGTGGGGGTATAAATATATGTAGAATAGATAAAAATTTAGATCATGGAACCATCAATTTCATAAGTAGCGACAATCTTTCTGTTGCCGTCTCTAACTCGCACCATCCAATTGCCATTGGGTAATTTGATGTAGAAATTGGAATAGCCTTTACCAGAGTAATCCTTGAGAGGGACAGTATTTGTTGTGGTTGTTAGGGCAGTTTGGAGATCATCGGGAGAGACTTCCTGTTGTTGTTGTTGTTGTTGATAGTAAAGAGAAGCGGTGGGAGAGGTGGGAGTTAACGGACCATCACCGTCTGTGCTTGTGCTTGCGGATGTATCCATTCTTTCCAGTTGTGTGTCTTCTGCCACTACCATGGGAATCATTACTTTAAGCTGAGGCTTCTTTTGACGAGAAAAGATGGAGAGTTTGCGACCCATGAGACTAGGTCTCTTTTGCAGTAAAGTTGAAAACGAAAGGCGACGTTGTACTTTGTCTGTAGGCATCAAGTTGTGAAAGGTAAATGGTTGGTTGTCGGTGTGATAAAAATCACTGTAGCCTTGTCTAATTTCTGTCATTGTTGTTGTTTGTTATAAAGAAAGAAGAAAGAAAATAATTAATTGACGGCCCTTTTTATATCTTTTTTTGAAACTTGTAAGAGGGGGGCGCGCGCCATATGCTGCGGAAAAAAAAGAAGAAAAAAAAAATTCTTGTGTTCGCTTTGTTTCATCATTATGATCCATTGATAAAGTGGCGCTAATCCATTAGTCTATTCTTTTCTTTTTATTTCCCAAGCTAACAGAAAAAAAAAATATCGTTTGTAGATCCTTTTCACCCTTTTTTCGTTTCTTTTTTATTTGGGGTTAAAAGGAATGCTTCATTAAAAAAAAGTTTTTTTTTATTTTGGGAACGCGCGCGTAACACCCTTTTTACGTATTAAGCCAAGATTTTTCACTTTCCTTTCGTTTCCTTATTTAGATACGGTCCGAGCGGCCGACCAGAAAAGAAAAGCCATTCGACAAATAAGACCTGTTCTCTTCCTTTTTTTCTTTTACGTACAACCTGTTTCCCAAAAACAAACAAACGCAAAAAAAAAAGAGGTGCTATAAGCAGTCAGCGCGGCTTTTTTTCATTTTTTTCATTAAAATACATGTATTCCAAGTATCTATTTGTATCATGTCGTACTACAGATTTCCGTTAACCAATCAACAAGTCGGAAAGAGTGTTTACAAGAAGGTCCAACTTTAAAATACATCACTTGTATGACATGGATTATCGCGCCTTTCCCCGTTTTAGGGACTTTCTTTGAAGCACTTTTTGATAAACAACATTGTATCAACTTTTTCTTAGATGTCGGCGTTTCTATAAGGTCATTTGTTTATTTTATGCACACAACTTTTTTTTCATCTCACTTGTAACAAGCCTGCCAAATGTTCTTAAAATAGAAGGTCAGATCCGAGTTTTGGGAAATTTAAAAACTGAGAGTACCATACATCATTCCTTTGAATCACTTTCATATAATACTGATTCTATTTATTACCAAACTTCACATAATAACCACGCGTCTAATGAGAGCGATATAGGCATTAATACTGCTGCATTGGTGTTTGCTAACATTGAGACGGGATGAAGCAATGTGAAGAATTGTAAATGACGGATGCTGTAGAGAAACTCACTAACGTAGCGTAAATCCTGTCGTTAAAGTAGAACGCGAGATATAACCAATGTGATCAAAAGGCTCATTCGTGTCTAGACGGAACAGAGGCTCTCAGTCCCCCAAAGCCACAGCTTTAGGTGATATTCCTCATAGTACCGCTTATGAGCTTATAAACGAGTTCAATGCTAGTTATGACACCGTTCTCCTTGGCAGTAACCTGAGAAAACAAACAATAAGATGAAAAAGCCGTCTCCTAAACATACAGGATTTTAAAATGCCCATTATCATTACTTAAATAGGCAAGAATCAAGCGTTCCCAGGTCTTGGAATTCCTATTAGTGGTCTTTACAAGCATATCAGAGAAAAATGTATTTTATCATTGAAACAGGCAACCAAGTAATCAATAGGGACGCTCTAAGCGTGATACGCTTTCTACATAGCTAGAATATGACAGCGTAATAAAAAGAGAGAGAGAGAGAAAGCAAGTCGACGAGTATATATCATATTAGACTGCTTACATGTGCATATTATATAACTAGGATATTCTGGGAATTGTTTGAGAGCTGAAGTTGTAAATCGTTTACACTTGTTTGTAATTGTGTAAAAAAAAAGCAGTTTAAAGCGATTGTACTCATTAATGATTTCTGACAAGTGAAGGGAGTTATATAAACGCCAATGTCTGTAGTTTATTATCCGATAATCATATTATGTAAAATATAATGTTATGATTGAATAATATAAGAACTGGTGTAAAGAATATCAAGTTTAAGCAGTTTCCGCCTGAGAATCATCCGCTTCATCACCAATTTGAACATCAGCTTTCTTATCCCAAACGACTTTGAAGATACAAAGTTGTTCATTATTATCAACATACGCGCCCAAAACCTCATCCATGGATCTTCTTTTGATTCCTTTGGTGACTGCCGACTTAATGTTTAGGCACATTTCCTATGTAATCAGTGTTAATAATCAAAATATGAGCTATTTTCCAATCATTTAATCTTTACCCAGAGTTCATATAGTCCTATGTATATTGATATAATTATACGACTGATAAAGTGTATAATATCAATTGTGTATGAATTAATGCATAACTACTTTCTGCAATCAAATATACAAACGTCAATAAGACCTTCTATATTTGGGATTATATTTTAATCATTAGAAAGATGATGGTCAACTATAACCATTATATTCGACCTGGGTTAATATGGCTGGCTATCGTTAGAATATTTAGCGTCTTTGGTTTCTGACTATACTACATCTCGTTATCAAAACCCAAAAAGAAAAGGTGGAGCTCGAAGCCCATGACAATGATGAAATAAGAGAAAATACCATGGGAGTACACAGAGGTAGTATTTGACGAAACAGACTCCAAGACAGACTTTGATGCGATTACATCTTTTCGCTTGTGTTTGTGATATTTAGATCGGGAAAAGGCAGGAGTAAACCCGCCTAAGTCATGATCGTTAGTATTACGCACCTCCGAGCCAAAAGACCCCAAATGGAGATCTAATTCCTTCTGGGTTGAGTGCCCCCCCCCCAAATTAAAAAAGGACAAAACATATGAGAGATATATTCAAATTCGGATTATCTAGGTATCAAAACACCAGTGAAGAATAATTTCCGTCTTCCTAAACAGCTTTTCAATTAATGGTGACCAGAATTTGGTCGCTTAGTCCCCTTTGGAGAATGTTTTGACAGTGTCTGTTTCAAAAAAATAGTCTTCGTTAATATGCTTTATTCAGTCTGAACCATTAAAAGTTAGTAACGCAACAATGATGAAATCATACAAAGCGATTATTGGCTCTACTCAGATAAACTTGACTATTTGTTTTGTTTTGACAATGTATTTCTTGACTTTTCCTCTTTGATTCCTTCTAAAGCCGTTTTTACCGACTTTTTATTACCCTTAATTTTCTAAATAAAAGATAAGTAAGCCTTATGCGCAATTTTAAATGTAATGAAGTATTTTTAATAATAGTTGTATTTACCTTGAGGTGCTTGTCAAGCGGAGAAAAGTCTTCTGATCGGTAATTAGTGATCGGCATAAAAAAAGGTTTCTTGGAAATTGCTTCTCGTTCTACATTGCTTAAAAGATGTAATTGCGATCCTTTACTGCTATAAGATAAATCAATGATATTGTTTTGTCCTAACCTATATATATATATATATATATATATATATATATAAATTAACAAAGTCGTATAAACAAGCAAACAAAGAGACATATTTGTTACGTTTTAAAATACAGTTCTTTGAAGTTTGAAGATTTTTGACGCGCCTGAGAATTTAAAACGTCGCTCAAGTTTTTGACAACAGGCTACAACGAAGTGTATTAGTACGACGTCTGATTTCAACTATATACTGTTTACTCACCTTTCTTGACACGACCTTCTTTAGCTTCTTATAAAATGCTTATTAATTAGTAATAGAAAACTTAGCCATTGCTGTTAATGTACTAACCTTAGCCTTGTGCAGGTCCTTTAACTATTAAAATTAAGATTAATAAAGTTGCTTGACTGTAATTGTTAATAACATAGTACTTACTTCTTTTCAAAGACAGCGCTTGTCGCATCGAAGATGGACATTTCGCGTTTCCTCGCAATTTCCTTGGAATCCTTGTCCCAAATGACTTTTGAAATACTTCTTGGGGCATCGTGCTCAACTTGATGCCCCAAAATCGTATTTATCAATTTTTTTTAATAATAACTATTGTTTACAGTCTGACCACAGCTATTTACAACCACCAAAGCTTCCGGAAACAAACGCATTTCCTAAAAACCAGTGTTAATAATCAAAATATAAGCTATATTCCTATAATTAAGTCTTTACCAAAAGTGAAAAGAGTCCTTCCACTAGGTTTTGTGATTCTGAGTGTATATAATTAATTGTTGTGTTGAAGCATAGCGTCTTCAACTTCTTGGTATAATTATGATCGCCGGTGAATCCCAAAAAGCAAAGGCGCAGTTCAAACCTCATGACAATAATATAGGGCACAGGCAGATTGGGTGTGGCCGAATTCTTGGTTAAAGCAAAGTTCAGCGCAGACCTGGACGCTATGACCGCCTTACGCTTATCTTTGTAATATTTAGAGTCTGAAAACGCAGAGTCAAACTCACCAGACCCATGATCACTTAAATCAGGAGTCTTAGATCCTATTGAAACCAATAGCAGGTCCCTCTTCATCCTTTCTCCTTGACACATAAAAAAAAAAAAAATTCACGTCACACTTCTCACTGATTTATGGTCTCCCCAGTGTATTAAGAGTGCAACACTAAAGTGTTGCAAGTTGGGTGTTCCCCCTAAAACAAATAAACAAAGCATATGAGAAAAATATCCAAATTCGGGTTATTTATGTGTTAACATACCAGTAAGGGGGGATTTCCTCAAGCCTACGCTTAAGTCTATAAAAGCAGTACATGTATGCTGCGTTCACAGCCCTGTGATTCGAAACCATCTTTTGATTAATGGTGACCAGAACTTGGTCACATAATACCCCTCGGAGAGCGTCTTGGTTATATTTGTTTCAAAGAAGTAATCTTCATTGGCATGTTTTTTAATCTGAACCAACAAAAAAGTTAGTACCACAAAAGCGAAATCATACAAAGACATTACTGACTCTACTTACATGTATTTTATCATTTTTTGGAAATGATAAATTCCATAAAGAAGACGTACAATGGATAGGGTGTTCTAGCTTTTTACTGCTACAATGTCCACTGAAAGCAGTCTTGGCAGACTTCTTGCTACCCTTGATTAAATAAGTAAGACTTATGCGCAGTTATATATAATGGAGTATCTTTAAAATAGGTGTATTTACCTTGAGGTACCTGTTCAATGGCGAGAAATCGTCTGGCCAGTGACCAGGCATAGGAAACCCTTTTTTAAGGATTTCATAACCGTGAGTTTTCACTTCTGTCTGATACATCGAGGATTCGATTTCAAGACAGGCTAGAAAAAAAAGTCTACACAGTCTGACAAAACAAGAGGGCGTATTGGTCGTGTTTTGTAATATAATAGCGCTTCATGTGTGGCATACCTGCGTTCATAGGAACGTTACTTTTGATTCTTCAATGTCGGCCCTTCACTCTAAGAAGATATGTTCTCTTCTTGAATCTATTACGAAGAGTCTGTTCTCAAAAAACAAAAGTAAAAGAAAGAGGCGTTATAAGCCTTTTTTTAATTGCTATCTTAAGTGTTTATGTAATGTTTCAGATGACTTGGCATTACAAATACATATAAATTGTAGAAAACATGATTAAATGTGACTGTATCAAGTCGGATCGATTTCCGTTAATCAACTAGCCAAAAAGAGTGCTTACATGATGGTATGCATCACTCGTACAACATTATCGCGTCTTTCCCCATTTTAAGGACTTTCTTTGAAGACTTAATGAACAGCATTATTTCCACTTTAAATGTATGTGTTTCTTTGAATTCATTTGTTTTATTTTATGCACACAACTTTCTTGCTTGTAACAAGGCTGATCAAATGATCTTAAACTAGAAGGGGATATCCGAGTTGTGGGGGAAACTAAGAAGTGAAAGGACTAAAATAAACAGATTTTATAATAAAAAAATTATCGATTATACAGTAAACAATTTTGATATGTAAGGGGTGGGAGTACTTTCTAGATAAAGGGGGGTTGTATGTGGAAAGATAAAAAAAAAAAAAGATTATATAAGGAGAGAAAATATTTACATGGCGATACGGACAGATTTCTTCTTTTTCTCTGTTGCAGGTTGAGTGGTGTATGTACTATCGCATGAGCACTCGGGTAGTTCATGCTTAGGGTGACTCTTGTGAGAGTTGGGTGATAATGGAGTTTGGCTGGTATCATCATCGTAATCAAATTGACAAACACATGGGTTGCGTTCCTTGACGGATAACAAGTCTTCAATGCTATCATGCATCTCTCCATCCTCTTCTTCCTCAGAGTCATCAAAGCCGAAGTTGATGCCATCGTCTTCATTGGAATGTTGGGAATCATCACATTCAAAGTCAATGCTATCATCATCTTCTTCTTCATCAGAATCATCTTCATCAGAGTCTTCTTCTTCTTCAATGTATTCAATGAAGTGTTTGGAAACTAATCGAATGTTTCTGGATTGTTCATCATTCACAGGGCTTGCATGCCAATCCACCACTGCATCTTCTTCAATGACCTCATATTTATATAAAAAGATGATGATGCGATCAAAATGATTAACCAAAGGTGGACAGCCCACGGATTTCACACCATCTTCAATGTAATGTAGTAAACTGATTTGACACTCCTCATCCACGGTATAGCATTGCAAGATGGATTTCCAGAAGAAATCGATGCCTGGTTGGATTTGATTCTGAAAGATCTTTTGGGATGACATGGTATCTACGCATTTCGTCCATTGTGTATAGAGCCAATAGACAAATGCATCTGCCAGCACGGCCATAATGGTATCGTTGGAGGGTTCATGCTTCACAATCAAGTCATCGAAATCCAGTCTCACCCTGGCACTGGATAATTTGGCAATGATTGCTTGACGGATGTAAGAAGACGCTGCTTCCTCGAATGGTTCTAAATCCAAATCCGCCACATCCTCTTCCTCTTCTTCTTCCTCGTCATCTTCCACATCTTCATCGTCGCTGGTCTGGTGGAAGCGTCTTTGAAGATAATCCATGCAATCTTCATCATCGGTTTTTAATTCGTCCATTTTGATTTCAACTTCAGGTAACGCCGATTCTTGTGCCAAGGGTTGACATGCCATACCTTCGTCGTCTTCTTCGAATTCAAAGCAGCCAAAGTTATTTGTGTTCTTGTGTTTGATATAAGCAGCATTATCATTTTGCTGAGTGCGACCTGCTGCCATGTCATCTTTAATATCGCTACTACTACGACTACAGGCGGCTAATTGAAGTTGTTCGATTTGCTCCTTGAGGAGCTCTACTTGGTCACATTTTTGCACCATGTCCTGTTCCAACGATTTGTATCTGGCATCGTATTCTTCAAATGTGCGTTGATGGATGATATCAGCGTTCTGACGAGACAAGTGAGAATCACGCAAATCGTCCTTCAGAACCGAAACGGTGGAGCGCAGGAATTCGTTTTCGCCTCGTAAACGACGTATTTCACGCAAGAGCATGCGATGCTGATGCTTTTTCCCACTGTGTTGGTGATGATGTTTGGGTTCAGGAGAATCAGAACGGGATGAACATGTGGATTCCAATGTGGAACAGCTGGAAGAGGAGTCTTCGAGCTTTTTGGTGCGTTGTCGGTATGAGTCCCATGGTGATTCGTTTCTTTGGTAGGCGTTAAATGGGAGCGCCGGTTGGTCGCTATTGCCTGTTCCAGTGTCTAAATTAAAACGGGGTCAGTCATGTGTTATGCAAATGAATATATATAAAATAAAATGTGTTTTTACATGGCATGCAATTGCCTGCAGATATTCTATATACAGCAGCAGCAATACAGACAGGAACTTTTCTAAGAGGAGCTAGACTTTTGTCGGTCAAGTAATATTGCATTTCAGCTGGGTCAATTAAATGAAATAATAAAGTGGGATTGCCTTCGTAGTGAGGAAAAGTACCCATATTCTTTTTGTTTGGTGTGTGTGGTGTTGTTTGGTTGTTATTAATAGAGAAGTGGAATCGATTGAATAATAATAATATGAGTATTAAAAAGCATAATTTGGTTGAAATTTAAAAAAAAAGGTGAAAATAGGTTGTGGGCTGGTTTTATTCTGGCTAAAAGTCTGACAAATCCCAAAGAAAAAAAAAGAGAAAAAGAGAAAAAAAAAAAAGAAAAATGGGGGTCGGGATTTATCTTGCTCACAAATCGACGTCATTCTTATTGTTTATAAGGGGGAGGTGAGTCATCGACCACACATTTTAATTTTTTTTTTTTTGTATGAACGACCCATTTTTTATTTCAAAGCAAGATTGTCATTCGAAAGCAGACAAAGTGTATGATGACTGGGAACAAAGTCTCAAGTCTCTATTGTTGAATAAAAACTTGCACGAAGAGACGCAAAAGACAGCTAAACTGTTCACGCGCCTGGACTCCTTGTCAAAGACCACAAAGAGTTCTTTAGAAAAGACCCAGAAAGTTCTGGACGGATTGTTGGATACGTAAGTCTTTTTCTTCTTTTCATTTCCTTTTTTTCCTTTTTCTTAAATTCATATCAGAAAATTGGATATTTTGGCTACTACAAAGAGTTTTCATGAGGTACAAAACTTGTTGCATTTAACACCTGTAGTTAAGGCGCATTGGCCAGTCGGATAATAAAATTCTAAAAAGTCTATCTGTGGCTTTTTGTCCATTTTGTTTATTTTTTCCCTCTTCTTTCCTTTATTATTTCCCTAATGAGTCAACCCCATGAAGACCACCATGTCCAAACACAACCACCACAGCAACCAGTGCCACAACAACACCAATACCAACAACCATTAAACCCCACTGCTCCTGGTGGTCAACCTGTATTTGACTTGGGCAAGTTTTGGCAAGAAGAAATGCATAATGCTGAGACTTTTGATTCCGATTTCAAAAACCATCCTTTACCTTTAGCTCGCATCAAGAAAGTCATGAAGACAGACGGTGACGTCAAGGTACAAGAAACTTTTACACTATCTCCTGCCATTGACACTTCCCCTCCTCTCCTTTTTTTTTTTAATTTTACATTTACATTATGTAGATGATTAGTGCAGAGGTAATTTTTTTATTTTGCTATTTTATTTTTTGCATAGTAGTCTGATATCATTGGTTTATATCCTCAGGCGCCAATCTTATTTGCCAAGGGATGCGAAATATTCATTACAGAATTAACAAAAAGAGCATGGTACGCGCAATTACATCTAAAATGACCTTTTTTACAATCTAATGTTCATCATTAAAAAGGGTGCATGCAGAGGAAAATAAGCGTCGCACATTACAAAGATCCGATATCGCTACTGCCATTTCGAAAACAGACATGTGCGATTTCTTGATTGATATCGTGCCTAGAGAGGAAGCAACAAAGACCTCAAACACCGTCTATGATCAAACTGCTTATGCAACAAATAGTGCTGCTGCCGCTGCTGCCGCCGCTGCTGCTGCTGCCGCGACCTACTACCAACCTCAATACGCACCCCCTCAGATCGATCCCAACTACTATTCTCAGTTACCCCAGGTAAAAGCAAATATGCGTGTTGAAGTAAAAAAAAAAAAAAAACTGACATACTCTCTATAGTTTACAACAGACCAAGTTCAACAGTATCAATTGCAATTACAACAATTCGCTCAACAACAGCAACAACAGCAACAGCAACAACAACAGCAACAACAACAACAACCAAACTTTGAGGCACCGGATCAAAAGCCAAAGATAGAACAACCTTAAAAACTCTTAAATATTTTTTTTCTTGTTTACGTCACATCTTTTTTTTTTTTTTTTAGTCATCGTATAGTTTTCTCATGGACCTTAAATAATAAAAAACATCTTTTTCATCATGTCACCTAAAGTATTAGTCACTCGTATTTTACCTCCTCAGGCTCAATCCCGTTTATTAGAGCAAGACTTTGACTTGTACCAATGGCAAGAAGATTCATGTATTCCTCGACACGTCTTATTAGAAAAAATTAAAGGTACACCCCACCCTTTTTATAATGCTTAAAAAAAAACTCAATTTTTTTTTGAAAGGTGTGGATGCATTATTTTGTTTATTGACCGAAAAAATCGATCAAGAATTACTGGATGCAGCAGGTAAGCCTCCCCTCCAATCATTTTTGTATTCTAATAATAATAATAATTAAAAGGCCCTCAGTTAAAGGTGATTGCAACAATGAGTGTGGGCTATGATCATATCGATGTCCAGGCTGTCAAATCCCGTGGCATTTTGCTAGGATATACACCCGATGTATTAACAGATGCCACTGCCGATCTCACCGTTTTACTGGCTTTAGGCGCATCCCGTAGAATCAAAGAGAGTATTCGTGCTGCTGAGGATGGTCAGGTAAAAAACACCTATTTTTATTTTATTCAATCCCATGTGCTGACATGGATAAGTGGGGTAAATGGGCTCCCACTTGGTTATGTGGATCTCAATTCACCAACAAGACGCTGGGAATTGTGGGCTTAGGTAGAATTGGTGAGGCTGTAGGAGACCGTTTGAAAGCATTTGGCATAGGTCGTGTTATTTATTCCGGACGCAGTGAAAAACCTGGAAACAGACTCGGTGCCGAATTTGTGCCTTTCCAAACCCTATTGGCTGAATCCGATGTCATTGTTGTCTGTTGTGCTTTAACAAAGGACACTGAAAACATGTTTAATTATGAAGCCTTTTCCCGCATGAAGAAATCAGTGGTAAGTCCTCTTTTTTTATTTATGCTTGTGTACTCTTAAATAACATCTTGAATAGGTCTTTGTCAATTCCGCACGCGGCGGTATTGTGCACCAGGATGACTTGGTACGTGCCTTAAAGGAGAATTTGGTAGGTGCCGTAGGCTTGGATGTGACCACACCAGAGCCTTTACCTCCAACCCATCCATTGTACACCTTCCCCAATTGTCTGGTATTGCCTCATGTTGGTAGTGCCACCTTTGAAACAAGAGAAAATATGGCAAACATGACCTTAGGAAATATCTTGGCTGGTTTAAAGAACGAGCCATTGCCTTACTCCATCTAACGAGTCTTATATTTATTATAATTAAAACACACACACACTTGTATAAGTAAGGTCTTTTGGTACTTCCAGTCTCGATGAACCCAATTTTTTGACCCTCCCTAAATGGATTTCATGTTGAATAGATTCTACTAAAAGTTCGAGAAGCTCATTATAATATTTGTAGATAAGAAGCCGGGAGAGACGAAGCATCGGCTACTGTTTCGAATCATTAGAATACTTCAAAAAAAGTAACTACTAAGCATCTTCAACACGGACATAGAAAACACCGACTGTTTACACCTATTTAACGGACGAACCTTCCCAATAAATGAAAGGATTTGCACATTGTTATGCTTATATTCATAGCCTTGATCGAAGAAAGAGGTTACATATGCATTCTTCTCTTTTCACCCCCGACCTTCAACCGATTGAGATATTGCGGGAAAGTGTTTTAAAGATAAGGGTTTTACCTGGTAGACTAATTTATAGTGATACTTAGAATATCTAAAAGGAGGGCTGTCAAGATGTTCCTGTTGAGCCTGTGCAAACTATAATCCAGCATTTTATTAATACCCCTCCCCCCAAAAATACTTAAATATAAACAATTGCTGTGGCCTTTTGTGAACAGTGAAGCAAAATAATTTTTCAGAAAAAGCTTGGCAAGCTATGTATTTTTCTGGGTCATTTAAACCGGCGGGGAAGCACAGTTTTTTTTTGCGGGCTTACAACATGAGACTTGCCCTGAGAATGTGGGTGAGTTCTTTATTTTTCATTGGATCATGATAATATATGATATCCTTATTTAGCTGTCTTGCAGAAAATGTAAAACGTAAGCCGTTTTCCTAAACGAGGAGCGTACTTCATCTCATTATCGCGGGAGGTTAGTTCACTTAATATAAAAGGACCTGTCAAATGTCCTTGTAGATCAAATCAACCAACAATTTATATAAAGATCATGTCTACTGAAAACGATACATTACTGCCTGGGCTGGTGTCAAGAAGGGAGAACCCCTTGTCCAAATGCAACTGACACTCAAGACATGGGATGATAATTCTGTCGAGATGAACGTGACCCATTGTGGTATCTGCGGCTCGGATATTCATACCTTGGACGAGAACTGGCGTTCTGCTAATCGCCCCCTGTGTTGTTGGTCATGAAATTGTTGGTGTTGTTTCCAGAGTAGGTAAGAACGTTACCAATCTCAAGGTGGGTGACCGTGCTGGTGTATGTGCCCAATCTAGCTCTTGCCATGAATGTGAATTATGTTTAGATGGTCAAGAAAATATGTGTCAGGGAGGTGGTGTCTTTACCTATGACTCTCGTTGGCCTTGTGGCAGTAAATCTTATGGTGGTTACGCTGATAAGTGGAGAGGCGATTATCGTTTTGCCTTCAAGGTTCCTGATACAATGACCAGTGAAATTGCTGCTACTTTTTTCTGTGCTGGTGTCACTACCTACGCTCCCTTGAAGCGTTCTAACATTATTCCCGGAAAATCCGTTGTCGGTATCATGGGTATTGGTGGTCTTGGTCATTTCGGTGTTCAATTCGCAAAGGGTTTGGGTGCCAAGGTCATTGGTATCTCTCATAATGAGAATAAGCGTGATATTGCTTTGGAACTTGGTTGTGATGGTTATATCAACGCTAGTGATGAAGCATCCATGGCTAAATACAACAGTAGTTTGACTCATATCCTTTGTACCGGAGCCAGTCCTGACTTTCAATGTAAGTTTTACATAATGGTATTTAAACCCTGTTCAAGTTCTTAACTTTTTTTTAAAAAAAAACAAATAGGGCACACCTACTTCGCTCTCTTGAAAGTCAATGGTCACTTTATCAATGTTAATGTTCCTGAATGGCAATATCCTGGTATGAGTGCTTTTACTTTGCTTTCAAAGCAAATCAAAGTGTACGGTTCTGGCATTGGATCTCCTAGAGAAATCGAAGAAATGCTTGCCTTTGCTGCTGAGAAAGATATCAAGCCTTGGATTACCACCTACAAGATGTCTGATGTAAATAAGGCCATTGAAGACTTTAGAGCTGGAAAGCCTCGATTCAGATTTGTCTTGGAAAACTAATTCAATAAATAAAATCAATACTCATAAATATTTAGGAGACCTATCTCAGATATGTGTGGTAACTCTTTTATTTCATACTTTCTAATGGCACAAATTTTTATTTGTACACTATTTAATGTATTTTCTAAGTTTCTTGAAGCAATATTTTATGTTTACTCGTAAACATTTAGCTAAAACATTGTTAAATAGTAATAGCTGCCAATGTTTAGCTGGCTCTTTTTAAATAGATATCATTGTCGTTAATTCTCCAAGATACACTACTTGAATAATACGTATTGCTTCTGGGGGTATGTAACCTGCGATAATTAATTTCTCAAACTATTTTTGCTAGAATTAATACAGTCTCGGCTCATAAAGCTGTTAAATTCTGTGTCCGTTAGATAGTAGCTTTTTAAAATCGTCTCGGCCGAAAAAATTATAATTAATAGAGCTCACTAAAAGTTGCAACATTGCATTCACTTGCCCAACAGTAACAACTTCTCGCATAACCCTCAAACCCAGTTTTTTAATAGAAATACGGGCTACATTAAAACGTATTTAGCTGTCCATTACACTACGTACACCACAATGTGTTGTTTTACAAATGGGGGTATTGGAGGACCGCAAGCTCTTATATTGGTTTATAGAATTCAACATGACTGAAAAGACAGCTACTGAAGCCTCCAATGACTTTTGGCTTGAGTTCAAGAATGAAAAACAAGGTTTTTATAAGAGAAAAAGAAAAGTTGACATGAGAATTTAACTCATCTCGTATATTATCTAGTCATTCAGGATCAGTTGGAGAATTCGAGATCTTTGCCAAAAAGTCAGTTACCAACACATTTCAACAGCATTTTACAAAAGATCAACACACTTGAAAAGAATGTGACAAAAGCCACCGAATATATACCCTCTTACGATGAACGACAATGTTCCTTGGTAAGGGATTTTAGTGCCTAGAATAGGACGGGAGAGCTGATATATTATTTTCTAGCAACTCAAAGAACTCATGGAGAAATTGGAAACAACCAAGGCAGAACTAACACCCAAAGCTAAATTTTCATTTAAATCTCGTAAAAACAAGACAGTCGTTGCCCCCGTCACGCCTTCTGTACCGTTGGCTTTACCAAAAGAGGAATCTGAAATCTTGAGCGACGCCACAGTATTACTTCGAGATAAGGATAACTGTGTGCTCACTTTGAAAGACAGTGAACGCAAACAGCAATCTCAAACAAGCGTGGATATCCTCTTGTCCAATCTACATCACTGTGTTGTGATTCTAGAGCAAGATAATGTTCAGATCTCCGCTATTCATATCAAGAATGTTCATCATTGTGTCATTTATTGTGGTTCCATTGAGGGATCCGTTTTGATGTATGGTTTGACAGACTCGGTCTTGGTTGTAGGATGTCACCAGGTAAAAGAAGGAGGTTGGAAGTATTTTCTTTTTTCTTTTTTACTCAAGTTTATTTCTAGTTTCGTATGCATGATGCCCATCATGTAGATATTATGTTGCACGTAACAAGTCGCCCAATTATAGAAGATTCAAACAATATCCAAGTGGGCCGCTTTCAATGCAGTGTAAACAGATAAAAGATATAAAAAAAAAAAAATCCCACTCCACACTAATTGCCTATTTTAGGATGCTGTGAACTATTATGATCAACTTGAGGATTTTAATTGGCTTAAAAAACAAGCCTCTCCAAACTGGACATTGATGGACCAAGATAGATATTCTGTTATCAACAAGCAGTTATCAGTTTTGAAAAATGATAAGACGGAAGATTTACTTTTAAAAGGATTAAGCTTATTGCCTACAGAATAAACAATTGTAATAATAAAAATCAATGGGGATAGTATCTTCTTTCTTGCCTAAGCCCTGATATTTTCGTGAACCGGGATCCGAAGCAGTTATTTTCTCCAACATGATCTGTCACGGATACTAACGTCTAACAAACAGTTTGGTATCATTGATGATGACTAGACATCATGTGAAGAATTAAGTAGATGAAAAGGAGCAGAGAGATATCAAGGTTCGAAAACTCAGTATTTGTACAACAACATGATGCTAATTTCTCACCAAGTATACATGAAAAAAGGACCTCCGCGACCATTAACGTGATTCGGACCATCAAGATAATTCGTTCTTTCCGTTGTACGATTAGATTAATCTCTAATTTAGTCAAACAAGCAGCAAACTTGCTCTTGTATATTCCCACGGCGTCTTTTTTTATTCTATTCAGATAGTCAAAAAAAAAAAAAAAGTATACATCTTTTAGACCGTGGAAAAAAGAACTTGTGAAAAAAAAAAGAAAAAGAAAAAAAAAATGGAAATAGACGTGATTACAGCTACATGATCTTTCTTAAAGATGGGGATATACTTGTTGGTATCATCTCGTAAGAGTTCGTGAGAAAATAATCAAAAGCTATCTATCTATTAGTTGGCGGTATTATTACGTGTCTTTTTGGCGGTATTCTGTAAAAACAGAAATATATAAACGATAGAATTGTAAAGGGGGAACTTTTTTTTTTTTCAAATCATCATTATATTACATGTTTGCCTTACGTTTTAAACCTGCTACTCTCAAGTCTTTTGTGGTAAAACCCATCTGTCGACAGGCCTCTATCTTGTCCCTCCGAAAGTTTTCTTTACTCACTGAAGCTCAAAACAAGGATAGCCACCAACAAATGTTCTCAGTTGGTACTAGCAACGGCTTCCTTCCCCGTCAAGAACCCTTGGCTGAGCTTCCCCAGGAGTTTAACAGACTCGAGTCTCTTCTGCAACGTATGCCTATGCAACTGTTAGATGGTACTCCTGGTCTTTTGGCGAGCGGTCAATTCGGCGATGCTGTAAGAGATGAACTGCCTCTTTACGAAATCGATGGAATCACAGACCAACGTCTTTTATCCGGTAAGCTATCATCTGAATCTGAAACCATGGTACGTTTCTTTCGCTATGTAGTAACTTATTCTTGAATAAATCAGCCCTCTTTCGTGATTATACATTTGCTGCCTCGGCTTATTTATTAGAGCCTTGCGATATTCTCTATCGCTCTCAAAGCGACTATGGTTTGGGAAGGAAGGTCTTGCCTATGAACATTGCTGTGCCTCTGTCCAAAGTCTCCAAAAAAATCCATAGTCAGCCTTTTATGGAATAGTAAGAGCTTATAATTCTCACCGTGTTACTTTTATCTAGCTACTAATAGTCGTTTTCTTTTCTCATTTTTTTTTATTAGTGCGTTGAGTTATGCGTAAGCTGAAGTATTGATAAAAGAATAAAAATTATGTACTGATAAATCATCAATTTATAGCTTGTATAATTACAAGAAAATCAATCCTTTGGGTGGTTTAAGTTACGATAACTTGGCATTGATCCGCGCTTTTGCTGGTAGCGAGTCTGAGTAAGTGACTAAAACTCAAAATCATAAAATAAATTACTCATGTGTACTATAGGAAAGGTTTTGTCTTGAACCATGTGACGATGGTTTCCTACTCTCCCAGTCTTGTCCGTTATGCGACTAACGCTCTCAATGCTGTTGAAAGTAATGACCGAAAGAAGTTTGATATGCAAATGGCTGGTTTGAACGAAACTTACGAGTCCATTAACAAGGAAATGGAAATGATGTGGTCACGCAGTATGCCTGAAGACTACATCAAGTTCAGAACTTTTATTATGGGTACCAAGAATCAGGTAAATGCTTAGCTATTTCCAACAGATTATGTTAAAGCGTTGTACTAACTATACTCTTTTTTTTTTACCAGCCTATGTTTCCTGATGGTGTAATTTATGAAGGTGTAAGCGACACTCCTGTCACGCATCGTGGCGAGTCCGGAGCTAATGACTCTATGGTACCACTGGGCGACAATCTGCTTCAAATTACTGAGCTTATGCCCGAAAACCCCTTGACCAATGTCTTGCGCGACTTTAGGTCTTATCGTCCTACCAACCATCGCGAATTCTTGGAATATGTTCAGGACAAGGCCAGGAAAGTCGGCGTAAAAGAGTTTGCAATGAAGGATGCTAATTCAGCCGCCTATTACTTGTCTAATATTGACCAAATTCGCGCGTTTCGTCATCGCCATTGGAACTTTACAAAGGAGTATATTATCAAGCATACCGCTCATCCTGTTGCTACAGGAGGATCTCCCATTATAACTTGGTAAGGATTATTTTTTGGATGCATGAAAGTGGATAATTGATACTGAGTTTTTTTTTTTTTATTTATTTTTTATCTCCAGGTTACCAAATCAACTTGGTGCAGTGCTTGATTTATTAAACACTGTGGGCAGCCAAATCAACAAGAACGAATTAACTGAAAGCAATCTGATTCGTGTTGAAGAGATTATGAAACGTGCTCAAGCTCAAAAACGATTCCTCGATAGGGAGGTTGCTAGTCTTAAAAATAAGTTCAAGGATCAAGACCGCACCTAAACTTTTTTTTTACGAATGATGAATAAAAATTTTTTTCTTACTTTTTCCTTACTTTTTAAATTAATCATCTTAAACATGCTCTGTACAAGGGATATTTTATAATATTCGTATCTATTCGCACATGTTTTGGTTACATAATATGTTTCACCTATTAATACACAATCTCCGTGCAATGTGAATACAAAAAAAAGTACGGGCCAATTCAATGGCTGAAATTCACAGTTTAGATCGACACGAATTTCTGTAAATGGCCATACCCGGTATTTCAATTCGAATGTGCTACAATGGCAACTTTCTTTTTCAAGATTATCGAATTTCTTCTAGTTTTAGAATAATAACTTTTTATATAAAATCGTGAACTTAGCGATCGTGATTTGAGTATTTTTTTTTTTTTTTTTTTAAAAAAAAAATATACGTATATTAAAAAACTGCAATTCATAATCGGCCTTGAAAACGAAATGCCCGTGTAACGGAAATTCAATCAATTCTAAACTTTAATGAGTCAATCGGCCACTTTGGTAAGGTGGTAATGGTATAATCGTCAATGAGGCCTGCTTGAAATCTCTCGAGCCCTGCCCATGCGATCATGACTCCATTATCAGTGCATAATTGCGGAGGAGGGCATATCAAAGGCAAGTTGTAAGACCCTGCCAGTGCTCCCAGTCTATTTTAGGCATGTATCACGTTAGCCCATTTTGTGTAATCCATTTTTCTGTGCTGACTAACCTTGTTCGGAATAATGTGTTACTTGCCACACCGCCGCTGACAACTAATGCAGTCAAAGGTTTCTTATTTTCGATCAACTCTTGTTTTAACGCAATCGATAACTTTTGCTCAATATGCTGAATACAAATCAATTGAAAGGCTGCGGCGATATCAGATACATCCTGGGGATTGTCCAAATCCACCAATTTCTCTACCTCAATTAGCCTAGCAACTGCACTTTTTAGGCCCGAAAAACTAAACGCGATGACATATTTATTTCGTTCGAGCATTGGCTTGGGTAGACGAGACATGAATCGCTCAGGGTCCCCCTTTAATGCAGCTCTTTCGAGTGCTGCACCTGGTCCTCCTCTTCTTCCCTTTAACCAATCCAGCCTTAATAAGCGTGCGGTTTTATCAATGGCTTCTCCCACCGCATTATCCAATGTTGTTCCTAATTGATCATAGTCACCGATTTTGTTTGCTGTTAACAGGAGTGTGTGGCCACCGGATATAAGTAAGGTCATAAATGGAAAAGCAGGTGAAGGTTGGTTTAGATCATTGTCCGTAGTTAACCTAGCTGTCAATGCATGTGCCTCCTATATTATTATTTTTTTTTGACATGCCATTTAGCAAAGAGTGTACTAATATATGCAAGATAATGTACATGTACCATATGATGTACGCCAATCAATGGCTTTTTGGATACGGCAGCTAGTGTCTTTGCGGCATTCAGACCTACAGGAAGACAGGGTGGCAAACCAGGACCTCTTGTCACAGCAATGGCGTCCAAGTCTCCAATAGTTAAACCAGCAAGTTCCAATGTCTCACAAATGACACCGGGCAAGTTGCGTGAATGACCTTTGCTGGCTAAAGTAGGTACGATGCCACCCATGGGTTCATGCATCTCTTGCTGTCCACGAACCACTTCTGCTAATATTTGGCGATCGGAGGTGACGATGGCTGCCGACGTGTCATCGCAGGAAGTTTCAATACCAAGAACTCTTAAAGGCCGTGCTCGCGTTGATAAAAATCTGACACTTGTCTTGCAAACAGTACGTAATAATCTCATAATAAGAGGGGAGGGGTGCAAGACTGGGGATGAAAAATTATACCCAAAAAAAAAAAAAAAAACTTTCAAGGCTGGAGTCTGAAATATCCGTCACCCTTAAGATCTACCGTTGATAAAATGCCGAAAGAGTAATTAGATCAATTTTTTATAAATATATGCAATGGGGATGGGAGAAGGGGATTATGTTTAAGAATTAGATAGTACTAGAATACAAGTGGTATTGAATAACTTATGTGTGCGTGAGGGATTTTTTTCTTGAGTTTTTTTTTCTTTTTCTTTGCGTTTACATGTACAGGATGTGAGGGGGTAAAAAAGGACTATTGAATCTCATTCATAGCATGCGCTAGAGCAAGATGACATTTTAGTGATCTTTGAATGAATATAAAGTCAGAACTATCCTGATTAGAATGTTTGGTAAGGTCTAATACAGAAATAAGATTAAACTTTTTTTTAATTTGAGCGTTTCTGTGACAATTATTTACCTTTAAGTAACAATCCATAACGTGTAATACGTTGGATAGGAGCAATCATGTAGTTGGACAACCCCATTCTGTTTGTTTCCTTTTTCCGCAACGAGTCCTGATAGGGCATGTTAGACAAAATAAAAAATATAAAGTACGTTTCGTCTTTTTTTTTTACCTGAGCGAGTTGTCGATAAACTATACTTCGATCAGCTCTTTGGATGCAGCGTTGTTGTTTCGAAAAATTTGCAGCGTAATTGATGTAGATTTCGAATTGATCTTCCAAATCGCAGAAAACTTTACCTAGAGATCCTTGTGTTTCTCCATTTTCGGTTGTACAAAGAGCATCTTTTAACCGATGCACCAATGTAGAAGAAAGGGAAATTAATTCGGGGATAAATGCAAATATGGTTTGAATATCCCTCAAGTTGACTAAGGGTCGAGGGTATGCAGTCGCCGCTTCCAACAATGGATCCATAAAAATCTAAATTATAATTTTTTCTAGATTCTTAATAATTGCTAACCCGAAATTTTCTACATTTTTTGTGTTTACCTGTTTAATAATCAATAAATGCTCCAGATACGTGATTTCAGTAGTCATTAGTTCGTTCAATATGAAGTGCAGTAAATGCGGTGATTGACCATGAGGTAACTGGTAGATTGGAAAAAAAAAAGAAAGATAGAGAGTGCCTGTGTGTGAGAATCCGGATGTATTACAATTCTAAAGAAAAAAAGAATCTTTACCATTTTCGATTCATTCAAGTACTGTTGGAAAGTATTCTTCCAGATATCCACACCTTCTTTTTCCTTGTAAGAAAGGTGTTTTTTATTTAAATATAGTTTGTCGGGTGTCAATGATCTTTTAAGACGTGCGGATAGTGATACTTGATTGTTGGGTATTAATAAGGACGGCGCGGAACCTGAATAAGAAAGAGGAGATTGAGCTGATGAAGTAGCCCAAGTGCGCACTTTGTTGTCATGGGGAAGTCGATTGAAAACGTTTGTTTCTAAAACTGACACGGAACGACGTGCAGGGCTGACCGTTGATTTTACTAACGATGCTTTATACGGCTCAAATGAAATGGGATGATTATCTGAAAATAATGTATCGATTGTTGCCGATGCCCATTCTTTGGTTTCAAATGTAGTATCCTCAACTGGAAAATGTGGTGGCATATTATTCACACTTTTCAATCTCTCTCTCTCAAAAAAATTAAAAATAAAAAAAAAATGTTAAAAGAAGAAAGCTAAAAGCAAATGAGAACAAAAAGTGAAGCATTTATACACAATAGATTTAAAGTCAGCTGGGAGAAAGAACAAAAAAAAAAAAAAAAAAAAAAGAGTGAGGGGATCAACACAAAAATTAAGCAGCTAATATCATGAACAATGAAATTGCGCAATTTTCTTTTCTTTGCAAATCCCTGGATTTTGAACACACAATTTTTATTGATTTCATACAACATACGGTTGTCAAAAAAAAAAACTTATAAAAAAATATCGTCATTGAATCGTACGAGATTATTTTGAGATCAAATAGAAGACGCTGCTGAAACAAACACTGGTGTTACGTGTGTGAAAATAAGTAAAGGTTATTTTCGTCAATGATGCTGACTTGAATCTTTTTTTTTTCCCGTGAACACAGACAACAACAAGAGAATACACAACGGGCCGAAAGCGTTCAATCCCTAATATTTAAGAGTCAATGGGATTTACGGGTGTGATTTATGACGAGTTGTGATTAAATGATATCACTTTTGAAAGTGTGCTTCGATGTTACGTTTTGTATCAAGCGGTGTGATAGGACCGCAAATAAATACTACGTACATAGTGTTCACTACAATAGCCCTTTAAGAAAGAGCTCTAGATTCAGGTTAAGTTATTTTTTAAAAAAAAAAAGAATTATATTATCCTCAAGAGGTTAAAATAGCATTATTATTATTATTATTATTAATATATATTATATACAAAGAAAAAAAAGAAGAAATACAGGGTTAAAAGGGAATATTGGCAAGAAAAAAGTTGTTTGCAGCACTTTTTAAAAGTCAGCAAACAAATCGCGAAAAGGGTCACCTTCTGGCTGCTTATTTTTTGCTTCATCTGGATATTTTTCGAAATTGCTGGTATCATAGTCATTTGAATGAGCAGGAATAATAGGCGCCTTATTTTAAATTCAGTGATGTTAGTATAAAGAAAGAAATAAAGATCTTGAGTACATTACCCGCACAGTCTTGTTCAGTAATGCATGCCAGTCTGTATTACGAAACCATTTATGCTTTTTCACATCTTGTGCACCCCCCTTCATATTTCCTAATCTCTTGGTACGATCAATGACGAGTAGCTTTTTCAGGAGGTCTTTACCAGAATTCTCAAAATAACTTGGGTATTGCACCTTGCCACCTAAAATACGCTCATAGATACCAAAATGATTGTCATCATAAAATGGAGGATATCCAGCCATCATTTCAAATATCAAGATTCCAAGAGACCACCAATCCACGGACTTACTGTGCCCTTTGCTCTGAATAATTTCAGGTGCTAAATATTCCGGTGTTCCACAGAGTGTCCATGTCCTATCAAGCACCTTTTTAGCAAATCCGAAATCCGTAATCTTGATGTATCCACGATGATCCAACAAAATATTTTCGGGCTTGAGATCGCGGTAAATAATGTCTTTGGAATGCAAATATTCTAACGCTAATACGATTTCTGCTGCATAAAATCGAGCAGTGTCATTAGGAAACCGACCTGACTTTCTTAAATGTCGAAATAATTCTCCACCAATGACATATTCTTGTAGCATAAATAAATTTTCATGGTCTTGAAACGTGCAGTATCTAATTTTACTATTAAATCATATGAAAAATTATAAAAATCATGGGACTTACAATTGTACAATAAATGGAAAATTAATTTGTGAAAGGACATGCCTTTCTGAATTGATATGTTCTACTTGTTTCAGTTTAACAATGTCTGCCTTCTTTAATACTTTAATAGCAAAGTATTGTTTTGTCTTTCTTTGCTTGCTGAGCCAAACCCTACCAAATGTACCAGTACCTGAGAAATCAAATATAGTGTTAAAAAAAATTAAGCTTTTTTTTTTTTTTTTTTTTCATAAATGAGCATCCAATTTATATTGCCATGGCAACTAACTAAAAAGCAAACTAACCTAGGGTTTCTAGCAAATCATAATCCTGGATACCCAAAGCTGGATAAGGGTCAAATATCGGTGGTTGGTTTTGCCAGTGTATCAGTTGTTCTTGATGCGCCACCCAGCGTTCGTTTTCTACGGTCGTTTTGACAACCGTCATATCATTCTGATCGTCTTTTTTGCTCCATAAACCTTGAATGGTGATGGTTGGGCTGAAAGAGATGGAGGCTAACGACGACGACTTTAGCGAACCAGATGCTGAGATGGTTTCTTTTGTTGAAATGTCGGTCTCATTCCGTTTTAAAAAAGACGATACGAAATTAGTTATAAGTTTTAAAGGCATTTTTTTTTCTCTCTATTATGTGTAAATATATATGTAAAAAAAAAAGAGAAAGAGAGAGAGAGAGTATTAGGGAAAATTAAAAAAAAAAAAAAATCACATTAATATGGAAAGGAGGGGGAGTTTATTTAACCGGCACAAAAAAAATAAGGGTTCTTAAATAGCTCAAACACCTGATTCGTAGGAACAAAAGGTGTATTGAATGAATCTGATGACTTGTACTTGGGTACCTTACCCCTCACTTTTGATTTAGAACAATGAGTGACATCGTCACAATAAGGCCATCTCACCCCACACATACACAATGGTTATGACTGGTACCTTAATATATTCCCTTTTTTGGGGATTATCAAATGGCATTTTCATATAGAATGCATGTCTTCTATCGCCCACTGAAACAAGTGTTCTTTTTATATAGAACTGCATATGTATTTTTTATTTTTCATCTACCGCATACTTGTATTTTAAATAATAATAAAAAAAAAATGTCTCAGGGCAACTCATCATAAACAATCCTCCTAGGCTTTATTAACATATTTTATTTTTTTATTTCTAGTTTTCTAAAACAAATCTGAATCGAGGCTTTCCAGCTCTGAAATCTTCAATAGCCTTATTAATATCAGACATCTTGTAGGTGGTGATCCAAGGCTTAACGTCCTTTTCTGCAGCAAAGGCGAGCATTTCTTCGATTTCCTTGGGAGATCCAATACCAGAGCCGTAAATCTTGATTTGCTTTGAAAGCAAAGTAAAAGCACTCATGCCAGGGAATTGCCATTCAGGAGCGCTGACATTAATAAAGTGGCCGTTGACTTTCAAGAGAGCAAAATACGTGTGCCCTTTTTTTTAAAAAAAAAGTTAAAAATTTGACAGCATTTTATAAATTAATGGCATGTGAAATAACTTACATTGAAAATCAGGACTGGTACCGGTACAAAGGATATGAGTTAAACCGCTATTGTATTTGGCCATGGATGCCTCATCACTAGCATTGATATAATCATCACAACCAAGTTCTAAAGCAATCTCGCGCTTGTTGTCATTTTGAGAGATACCAACGACCTTAGCACCTAAAGCCTTTGCGAATTGAACACCAAAATGGCCAAGACCACCAATGCCCATGACACCAACCACAGACTTTCCAGGGATAATATTGGAACGCTTTAAGGGAGCATAGGTAGTGATACCAGCACAAAAGAAGGTAGCAGCAATCTCACTGGTCATATTATCAGGGACTTTGAAAGCAAAACGATAGTCACCTCTCCATTTGTCAGCATAACCACCATAAGATTTATCGCCACAAGGCCATCGGGAGCTATAGGTGTACACAATACCGCCTTGACACATGTTTTCTTGATCATCTAAACACGATTCACATTCATGACAGGCACCCGATTGGGCCCCAACACCAGCGCGATCTCCCACCTTGAGATTCGTGACGTTCTTGCCCACTCTGGTCACTACACCTACAATTTCATGTCCGACCACACAAGGATAGTCTGTAGGACCCCAGTTCTCGTCCAATGTGTGAACATCAGAGCCACAAATACCACAATGGGTTACGTCCATCTCAACAGTATTCTCGTCCCATTGCTTGAGTGTCAATTCCACTTGCGTAAGAGGTTTGCCGTTTTCAACACCGGCCCAGGCAGTAAAGTTATTGTTTTCAGAAGACATATTGGATTATTATTTAGATTTTTATGAGGAACAAAAAAAGAAACTGACAAGATGGTGTCCCTTTTATATATAGGCCAGTTTGACTTTTGCTAGTGAATGTGTGTGTAACACAGCAATCAAAGAGAAACACTCGTCCCTTTTTGGGACAAAGGGCTTACGTTTTTTCTTGCCAATAAATTATAAGAGTAGCGGAATACGAAATTGCATTGCATTATGAGTTCAACCGATGCAAAAGAATGGACCATTTATCCACGGAGACTCTCTTTTTTATCACACGGTAATGCCTATTGCACAACAAGAGATGTCGCGTAGTTAAAAAAAAAATAAGAAAGGATCACGCAATTTGATGCGTTATACGCAATCGAAGGTATCATTTTCCTTAAAGTCGGTGATACACACATCATGTTTTGAATATTATAATATACACATCTTCTTGGCTGCTATCAAGTTTCAAAGAAGGGGTAGGGTTGATGTTGCACCCGATAATCTGTTAACCCTTTTATGAGCAAATTTAATAAAAACCGACCCATCGTTTCTTCGCAATTACTCCTCCCGCGGGTAATTGAACACAATACGTCAAAATTTTAGTCAGCGTGATTTGAATCTTTTTTACAGATATCATTATTACCACGTCTAACCTTTTTTTTTTCGCCAGAGTCTTTTGTAACTCTTGTAATACTCAAGATGATGTAAAGCGATGACGGTATTATTTAAGCAAGCCAAGGTATATTCGGATGCCATTTTTTTCTCTAAATTTTCTCTCGGGTCGAAAGTAACATTTGATTGTACAAAGGGGTATGAAGTAAAGTTTTTTCAAAAGAAAAAATTTTACTTCACAAACATAACCATGTTCTCAGTGTACTTGCAAAAAATTACTGCATACAAAAATCACACTTCCATCATTTATTAAGATACAGTCAAGAAGGTTAGATTCTTCGCAGATAGTTCACTTATTAAGAGGCCGCTTGTGCTCTTTAACAATACAACATTTGAATATATTCCTCTTGTCTTTATATGTTTTTTAATGATTGAAGCTGTTTGGGAGGATAGCTTAAACACATTATGATAAAAGCCAGAGTAAATCATTATACTCTAAAAATAATCATGTAATCAAAGTCAATCTGGCCATCGCTTCTTCAGATGAATTTTATCAGGCTTTATGTGTAAAAGTTATTAGAAGCTCAAACCTATAATAATAATAAAAAGCGGGAGGGGGGGCTGCAGCCTCGATGAATATAAAACAAAGTATTTATTAAACTTTAAACCATCTTTTTATGCAATTTACTGTACTTTGCCTCGGACATGTTTATATATACAATATATCCCGTTTTGAGTGCGATAAAGCATAGTATCACAACCAATGCATAGATATCAATATCATTCTTTTTCATCCAATGGATATCATATCCAACATCTCGGCGATAAGACAATTTACCACTGTCATCGCTTGCAAACAAACTCTCTTCCATAATATCCGCACCTCGCACAACAGCATGAATAGCACTCCCTTGAATAAATGCACTGTAACGATCTAGCTTATCTTGAATCTTTTTCTGCGGATCGACTGCCAGCATGGACAATCTTTCGTACAATGTTTGGTAATCTTGATAGTTATAGTTTAGATTCGTAGTATCCAGATATTTCCCGACGCCTAAACGATCAATGGTCATTGCATTCACAGGCTGATCACCGAAAAACGGATATATAAATAATTTTTTGCGGTTAAAGAGAGCTTCGTGTAATGAGCCAACACCACCATGACTCAAAAAGAACGAGGTGGAAGGATGTTGAAGAATAGCAAATTGGGGTGCCCATCTGGGTAAGTAGATATCTTTATGATCTAGAATATCCCGCAAAGAGTATCTACGTGCTGAGGTTTTTATCAGTTCCGGTAACTGGTCCTTGTTTAAACGAGCCCAGATAATGCCATCGATCATTTGCTTCTCCAATAAAATGACTAATGTTTGCATAATCATGTGTACATCGCTGTTGCTAGGAACAGCATGCTGGCCAAAAGCTACATACGCCACACTATGGTGAGAATTTAAATAGTCCAATGTTGTATTATCAAATGAAGGATAATCGTTTCTCATGACGGGTCCAATCAAATGTACTAAAGGACTATGAGCTCTTGCTATTTCAATCCCAAACACATTGTTGATTATTTTAGGGATATCATTGTATTTAGCTGTCGACACATCTACGGAGGGTCTTAAACCAAATTTCTGTTGAAAAGCACATACGTAGTCTAATTTCTTTTCTAGTTCGTGCATAAACTTGGGGTAGCGAATCCAATTTCGATAAAGTCGTTTCCAAGGTGATTCGTGTTGCGTCGATGGATCGATTGTGGTAAAAGGTAGATTATTGATATATCTCGCACCATTGTCTAATTTTGTTTACACATGTTTAAAAACAGTTCCGTAAGCACATTTTGTATTTGTTATTTACCAAAAAATGTTCCTGTTGTTGTTGTTATGATTACTGGTATTTTAGACACCATTGCACTATCAATGCAACTGACAGCAAATGAATCGCATATAACAAGATCAATACTATCCGTTTCAAACAAATTTTGATACTGCAGAAACTCTGTTTTTTTTATATACGTGTTTAGTTTGGGGTTCATTTTTTAAACATATATCATACTAAAGAAGTTACCCTGGGGATAGTCAATCATACTTGAATGTAGTATATTTGAATAAACCAGTTCAGTTTCTGGATGACTCGTTAAATGCTTCAACACCAAAGGATGATGTAGCAAGTCCACAAGACCACCCACTTGCTTTTGCTTGACCATGGGGTAATCATTGGCAAAACGCAATTGATCAGCCTAGTTATACAACACGTAAATCAGAAACACACAAATCGATGAGGAGTAATAACTTACCCTAGAATAAAAAGAGACGTTGTGGCCTCTAAGATTTAATTCTTTCATGATTTCAAATACCCATAAATGATGACTACTTCCTCCACCCGAAGTTCCAAAGGCAATGTTCTTTGGTATTCTAAAATCAGCTATTGGTTTGATGGCTGATACCACTACCGCTGATAATAGCAATAAAAACAGCTTGATCATGTTCAATTGAAACACGAGGAAATTTTTTTTTTTTAGTCAAGATAACCTCTCCTTAAATATGAAATGAAACTTCCTGCATTTTATAATTTAGCATATTAGCCAGAAGAATTAAGCTTTCTTTCTCAAAAGAAACCACTAGAAGAGTAGTCTAAATAAAGATAAATGACTTTTTTTTTTATATGCATAATTTACAGCTAGTAAAAGTGCATGCATTTTAAAACCTTGTTCCTGAGGGCGTAAGAATCCAATTCATCCTTTTGAGTGAATCGACCGCTCTCCGATACGTTCAGTAAATTTTTCTTATTTTCAATCACATGTGTATCCCCTTCCCCTAAAATCCATGGATACGATTCCATCATGAAAAAAAAAAAAAAACCCCTTCAATAGTGAGCTTTTTTTATTATTATTCTATACAATGTTGATTTTCTCGCTTTTTTAATCCAAATCGTCTTCTAACGCACTTTCTCTAGGCTCCAATTCATCGTTCTGTTCCAAAACATATCGACTCATGAGACGTGGTAAAATAATATCGCACACACGAGGTTTATGTAATAAATCGTCAATAAAGCTATCCATATACGTTAATGAATACCCATCTGTCAAAATAAATAGAAAAGGGGGGGGGGTTAGGCCCAACCAAATGCAACCATTTAACAATATGAATACATTACCTCCACCACGCACACGAAGTTTACGACCATCGTTTAATAAAGGCTCAAGATATTGGTATATTTCTTTTGATTTTCCAGTCAATCTTAAATAAAACGCACCTAAAGCACGCACATATCTAAATAATTCACCCAAGAGGTTAATATCGGAGGAAAGAAGAAAACAGCTGATTCACAACAACAATTACAATGCTTACTTTAGATCCTCTTGTTTAATCAATTCAATAATGATTTCTTTTTCAGGTGTGAGTTGTAATAACTTTAATACAAGGCAGAGGAATTCCGTTGGTTGTTGATTGCCATACATTCCTCCAATATATTCAAGTTCGAATGCTCTGTCCATCAATGTTGCAGCTATCCGCAAGGGTTTTTTAATGACTAATCACTTTCTACAACATTTACAAAATAAAAACATACCAGATAATCCATAACATTTCTCTTTCCAGTAAAGCGAGGACTGAATTCGTTCACGAATGATCTTTTCGACTAAATGAAGTGGGTGGCGACCATGGATAGAAACGCCATCGTTGACATTGACATTGTTACGTTCTATTCGAGAGTATTAAATAGTGTAATGGAGGGGAAGCAGATGATTTCTTTTTCTTTTTTACCCATGATTTATGCTGCGGGTGCAAATGTAAAAGAAGAGAGACAAGAAAAAAAAAATTGATTTTTTTTTTCAGGCTCAAAAAGGGAATATGTCGCTCCCAGCATAAGACGCATGAAGGGTGAGGTCAATTAAGATATATGGCGGAGTCATTGCTTATATCATTATTATACAAGCTGTATATCGTTCATGGCTTATTGAATGTGGCTTATTAAATATTTATCCCTCACCCCTCCCTCTGAAAAAGTGTGTCAAGTAAACCTGTGTTTAATGCACAGGCTTTTCTTATCGTACACACAGAGATAAGTGCCACTAATCCCATTTCCTGTTGCATATATACTAAGCCACAGATGGCAAAGTAAACTTTAAAATAACGTAACCTGGTTGCGATTACAACTTGTTTCAAGTTTAAATGTTTGTATCGAGATACTTAAACAGTGTGTGGTATGTGTTTGTATATATACATCTGGCATAGTTTTACATAAGTTGGTCCACAAAATAAACAATAAAAAAGTTGAAAAATAGGAGGAGATGGTATGACACAATGAAAGTTGCGGAATTACTGGTTAATTTAGCAATTCAAATCGTGCTCTGCTGGATGAAGCAGCTACACCCCCAGTTGCTACTTTTTAAAAAAAATAATGCTTGTTCATCAGCCAAAGGGCTGAAGTCTTCTTCCTAGAGCTCTTTTTTTTTTTTTTTGGATGCTTGAATCACTCTAATAATAAAATGATACCTTGTTGGCAAGTCACTTTGGTATTAAACTAACAAAAAGAATATTTGCCATTGTCAGTCTAATAAGAAGCTTCTACTATAGAACAAAGAAAAAAAAAGCAGTAAAAAAATAAACTGGAAGGTAGAATTGCCCTTTTAAAATCAAACACGAATGATTTTAATTCACAAAAAAATGTTTGATTAAAGCACGACACTTTATTTAAAAGGAAGATGCGGGAACATAATATTTCCTGAAATGAGTGAGTGATGTTTTATTAAGTTTAAAATAAATGATCATAGATATATTTAAATTATTTCAAAAAATGAACCTAGCTTTTGATTGTGTGTACAATGAAAAGCAAAGGGGGATGGATGCGAAGGGGCGGGGAATAATTAATATTGGGTTGGGTTGGGTTGGGTGAGTGTGGGTAAAATAGTAAGTAGTAATAGTAAATTTTTTGGGGATTTTTCTTTTTTTCTTTATACATTCTATCTAGATGGGAGATTATCATTAAAAAAAAACATATTTAAGCAGGGCTCAAGACTTTTTTCTTGGGTAGTAAATGCATTAACGGCATATGTTTACGTGGTAACTCGACGACTACATAAAGAATATATAGTTTAGTATGTATAAATAAACAAATAACAGATATAAAGAAAACATACCAACTTTGTTACGCTTACGATTTTCTTTGCACAATGAGCTACAATACCAACGTACAGGATCAGTTGCTGGATTGACGGTAATCACGGGTGTGTGACAATGTTGATGGTATGCACGAGAACATCCACCACTACACAGAATCAAATGATTGTCTTTTTCGGTCTGTTCCGGAGACTGACATACAATACAGAATTGCTGAACAACTGGACGTAGGCGTTCTTCTAATCTTTCCGCTGCAAAAGCTGAGAGATCCAACCGAGGTAAACGGCTGGCCAGTCCATAGCCTTTGTAATCACATCCGTGTTTGCTATAAAATGATGTGTTAGTTTACAGTAGACACACACACTTAGATATACTCCACTTACTTGCAAAGGGTACGTTTACCCCATGGTCCTGGTCTCCAATTCACACCTTCAGTGGTACCGCAGTATCTACACCAGTCAATACTCGCTTCCGTTAAATGTTGAAACACTGTTTTATCGTCTTTTTCGAGCACAGATTCTATCAGCTGACAGCGAGTAGTGGAAGATATAGATTCTTTGGATTCAGGTTCCTCCTTTTTCTTGACGGGAAGGATGGTAACCGTATGCGTAAAATCGCCCGTCTTCTTTTTCTGATATTTCTTGTAACGAGGCGTAAAAGAAGTGGCCTTACTTTTCTTGCGGCGCTTTTGACTGAGATTGGATGGTACGTTTTTTGTTGTTGTTGTTGTTGTTGTTGTTGTTGCTGTAGATGATTTAATTGGCGCATGATGATGATGATGATGAAGTTCTCCCTGTTGGTGGTGGTCAGAGATATTTAGCTCGTACATTCGAAAGAGAACAGGCGCTTCTTCGTCTTCGATACGTTTACGCTTCTTGATGGGTTCATTGTAATCATCGTCTTCGCTGGATAAATGGTCGAAACTAGTGGCACTGTTGCTGTTGCTGGTACAATCACTCAGTTGATCATCTGTTTCAGCCAAATCTCCATCTGCACGAAAGGCATCCAGAAGCTTAAACCAGTCAAGATCATCACTGACGGTGGATAATCTTCGAATGATTTGTTGTTGTTTATCATCAGTATGAGTGGAATCAGTCAATACAGAAGAAAGATCATCATATTCTTCTTCCTCAAATTCCTCATCCGATGTAATCTTTTTGTTTCCAAGATCTTCCATGATGCCACCTTCAAATAAAGGTTCATGGTTGTACAAGAAATTAGTGGGTGATGTAACTGGAGATAGGCAGGGAGAGGTAGTTAATTTATCACTATGTTGCGAAGAAGATAATGATGAATGACTGCTGAGTGATGCAGTGTCATCATGATCATGAAGCGTGGTCCAAGATGGGTATAAAACATCACGTGATAAAATAGAAGGCTGTGCCAAGAACACATCATCTTTGATAACCAGTGAATTGCCATGAATGTTACTGTTGAATGGATGAGACAATAGCATAAATTGTTGGAAGGAGTCTTGTGTCGGACCTGTAATCAAATCATCGATTGCCATTCTTGGTCCTCCTATTGGTATAACTGCAGGGTGGTTGTTCTCGTGATACGAATCGGGTGACGAGCCCCCAATAGGCTTAGCAAACACACTATGTTGTTGTTCTTGTTGCTGTAATAGAGAGTCCCAGAAAGGTTGGATATAATATGATAGACTAGACTGTGAAAGTACCGTAGGCTGAAATTCTTCTTTCTCTACTGAGTTATTCGTACTGCCTGCAACCGAGAATTTACTTGTATGGAGAGTCATTTTTTATATGTTTTTATATATATTTTTTTTAAAAAAAAAAGGGAAAAAAGAAGAAAGAAGGAGAAAGAAAAAATAAAAAAATTTACTTGTTTGTTGTATGTATTATTTGGCCTAAAAAAGGGGAACGATGCCAATCAGTTTCCGCCACTTCTTCTTTGCTCTTTTCGGACTACGCCCGTGCTGCCATGCATTTACTTCTCTTTTTATTATCACACCTTTTTTTTTTATTATTTATTTAATTACCAATTCAAACATTTAAAGTCTCCTTCGTAACTACTGACTTGTAAATTAAAAAAAAAATGTATTAAAAAATACATGTTCATGGCTGTTTGTAGGTTTTCTAAAAACAGACTTGCCAAGTTATCACCAATCAAATCTCTTGGCTTTTCCCCTTTTTTAAGCCAAAATTTATAAATAACACACAATTTTCCTCTCTCTCTCTTTCTGAGCTGGAAATGAAAAAAAAACATATTTAATTTCATTTACGATTTCAGTGACGTTACACAGATTTTGGTAATCATTACGTAGTGTGTTCCCAAAAAAAAAGTGGACTAATAAAAAACCAGCTTTGTGTAATTACAATGATGCGATAATAAAACATGACAAATAGGGTAGGCAACAATTACATCTTTATATATATATGAGAGCAAAAAAACCAAAAATTAAGACCCAGGGACGATCCTTTATATATACTAGCTGTCAAATCAAGGTTTTACAAAATATATTATTTATTCAATAGACATTCTATTTTGTGCACTGTAATTTGTGTCTTCAGGTATATCCGTGATCAGGACCTGATCAGAACTATCACCGTCATCAATCAAGAGCCCACGATTATTGCGACCTAAACCTCGCCAATCGTTTCCTGTCGACCACGCAAATCCATCCTCATCAAATTCGGTCATCAATGCCATTCCTTCTCCGCCAAACAGACTCAACAAAACAGGTAAGAGCACCAATCCATGTAAAGCTCCCAATACCACAATAGACAAGTCTACAGAAATACATTATTTAATCAAAACTTCACGCACACACACACACACAAACACTTACACATTCTAAAGTAATACACTTCGAAAATCTTGCTTCGAGTAAAGGCTAGCACCGTAATACCAGCAAATTTCGTTAATGTGATACCACAGAATACCTAATTTATAAAAAAACAAATTTAATCATCCACAGGGTCTAGATTTTTCTTAATTTAAATAAACTTACGGAACTACCGACGTCAATCATACTTTTGCCCGCTCGATCTTCCTGGCTTCCACTTGCCACCATAAATCCACGCGCAATATGACAGCAGAATTCCACACTGATACCAACACAAATCACCAAATTCACCAGACTCACTGCATTCAAACTCACTCCCCACAACGTCATCACGCCTACCACATCGATCAGGATCATCACCACCACAGCCATCACAATTAATCCACACCGCACACTTCCCAACAGTAAACTCGTCACCACAAAGATTGACACAATCGCTGTACCCAAAATCTGGAAAGCCATCGATACAATATACGTGTATTGTTCAAAAAAGATATAGAACACCGAATAAGGATACACCTCCAGATTCAATTCTTGACTCAGACCTTCTGCAATACGTCGTGCTGACGCATACGCCGCAATAAATTCATCTTGGTTACGTAAAGGCGTATGAAACGTACGGAAATGAGATGCATTGATATTCACAGCCACATGGTCCGTCACAATTGCATCCCCATATGCTGCTTTACCTCCCAAAGGACATGATTCATCAGGCGCCATATCGATCCACACATCATAAAATTCCAGAAATTCCTTACCCTGAGGGAACGTTTTCATGCTAACATCCCAGTTCTCATTACAGTCCGTACAATCAGTCTCCCATTCCCCACACAATTCCCATTTCTTGCTATAATAAGGTCTTTCCAATTCACTCAGTCGTCGTCGCGACATCATGGTGGGCGCTTTCAACGCGTTCTTCAACCTACAACACCCCACAGCAGGGTTGAGCCAATGGAAGTAATCATCCAACCAAACACTAGTGGGCTCCCCGATATAAGATACCTCCGGTCGTTTACGCTCTCCTTCCAGTACATTGGCCAACGATCTTTCGTGGCACGACGGAAACGCACCACAGATCTTGCGTTGTTCATCCACATCCGTCAGATTCGATCCCTTGACCACGAAATACACAGGTGGCCCCACATTGAAATACTGATTCAGATCATTAAAATATTGCACCAAGTAAGAATCTGAGGGCAAGGCAATACGTTGGTCAAGACCGAGGGGTAATTGTGGTGCAAGTGATAATCCAATCGCAAACAGACCAAGAAAAGCAAAACAGACAAGGTAACGTACCGTTCGGTTCAAGAGTAGAGGCACATAATGATGTTTAAACACAGACGTTAAAATGCCTTCCTTTTCCACGGGTTCAGGTGCCCTGATTTGAACACAAGGCACACAATCAATGCGGTTATTCTAAAAAAAAATAAGAATTTAGCCTAATCGGGTCCCCCTTTCAAATTTTTTTTTTCCTAACCTCTTCTCGATAGGCATCCAATACCAAGCAAGAGACAAAACAAGTGACCTGCAACACAAAATCTACAAACACAGCAATCGAAGCCACAATGGCAAAACTACTAACAGCAGGCATCGTTACCAACGTTCCCAACCCAAACGCAATCGTTTCACCCAACGAACTCAACAAGATACTGGGTCCCATCTTACCCAACGTTTTGGCCGCTCTTTCCTCAATCGATTCATCCTGTCCAAGTTCTTCCTTACGTCGTGCATACTCATGACACAGGATAAAGATATTATCCACTCCCACCGCCAGAACCAGGAACGGAATCACCTCGGCAATAATCAGCGTAATTTTCTTGCCCGTGAACGAAAAGATTCCCACAGCCGTTGACACTGAAAAGATCACAATGAGAATACCACAGATACCAAGACTGAACTTGGAATCAATCAGTAAGCGACGTGGGTTCAAAGACGTAAGACGACCCAATGCAATGGAGGCATAGATAAACATGACCAGATAACTAATCATCACTGTGCCTGCATCAGTGTTACTGGACTTGTTGAGTTCCTTTTCCAGTGAGCTCTATTGATTGATAGTTAGTATACATTCTACCTATTTTTTAATTTTTTTAAAGGAAAAAGAGGGATCCACTCACTTCGGTGGAATAACTAATGCGAACACCTTCCCATTCAGGACGTCCATTCAAATGAGTTAAAATGCTGGACAGCAGTGTGTTTTCCCATTGTTCTGCCTTGACCGTCTCATTCGCATGCACAGAGTTAGTCAAGACGTAGGTAATAATAAAGGCCTGAGCATCCGTATAATTGGATCCCTCATAACCACCCAAGATCATTTCTGGTTTCAAGGGTTGTTGAAACTCGGGTAAACAGGTGGAAGGTTGTGTAGCGCAATCATGCAAGTAGGTTTCCCAGGTATCCGGATCAAAGTTGAGAAGATCACCCTGCCAATAACCTGTCACCGATTGCACGATACATGCATCTCCATTAGGATGAAAACAAACATCCTGTAAAGTATCATTCAATTCGCCTGATTTCATCTCGCGAATCTCTTGTTCCAACTCGAATAAACTCGTAAGACGCTCAGCAGAGGCAATAGGCTCCCCATTTTCTGTTACTAAAAACAATTGCGATGTACGGTAGAAGGGCGTGAAATGCTCGTCAAAATGCGTCTTTTGCGCTAACGCCGTTGAGGAAGGTGAAACCCATAAATTCACCGGATTTCGTTCCAATGAGAAACGAGACCAACCTAGCGAACACACACTCACAAATACCAACGACGTCATGATGACGAACCATGGATACCGAGCACAGAAAAGTCCTTGGTAATAAAACCAGTTCTGTAAACGAGAGTTTAACCAGTACCGACGAGGCGTGTAATCAGGATCCAATAGATTCTCATCCCCATCTTCTTCATCATTCGTATCGTCCGAAAGTGCCAAACGTTCATAACTCGCACGGGACTCTTCTCGGTCAATATCCACACCTAAAAACTTGAACAAGTGACGTTTGATACGAGCAGTTCTTGCAAATAAAAAGATCAGTCCTAATGCCAACAAGAGCGAATAAGTCAACAACATGGCAAAACTCCAGCAACGTAACGACCCAATCTGGCATGGAGGTTGTTCAACCCCTGTGGGAGGCAAGATGGGACACACAGCATCACAATCCACACAGGCACAACGATACGCCGGATCAGTATCATTACACGATTTTCCAGGTTCGTTGTATCTCACCAGACCCTCCTGTGGCACCTTCTCACTCTTTGGGAAATCAATCTGAAAGGGACTCCCCAGCATAGGTCGTTTCTGACCCAGATAACTGACCATCTCATGCCAATTTTTAGCTCCTCCACCAATAAAATCCATGGCATAACCATTACTGGAGCCAAACTTGATATCTTTACAACTATCATAGAACTGAGATCCAAATCCTTCACCCACCCAATAATCCACACCGTCCACCACCAAATCTCCTTCCTTCTTTCCTGCCAACACTGCCGTCACATTCACAAACATCGACTGGTTGGGCGAACAGGTAAAACCACACCAAAACTGTACAAAATTGTGCCAACAGGCAGGACATGACGCAATCACCGCTTCCGCTTGCTTCACTTGAGCAACCAAGGTTTCCAATTGGCCTTCGTCACAACACACAGGTCCACTCTCTATCCCACATGTCGATTGCAATAGTTGTCGAAACCTTTGGGTTTCGGGTAATGTCGCCGGTTCGTTCTTTACGCACGGAAGCGCCGTCCAGTCCCCGCAGTTACCTCTCATCGCACAATATCCTTCTTTATGAATGGTATTTGCATACACTATTTGTATAACCCATATTAGTATCACTGGTATAAAAAATAATAAGCGCATTTTTGTTTATTTAAAAAAAAAAAAAGAAAAAGGAAAAAAAAAAAGGGAATGTGGGAAGCGGAGAGAGGGACTATTTTTGCATTGGTACCCTTTTTTGGGAGGGAGGATGGATGGAAAAATCGTCATAGCAGTCCCCTCCCTTACGCCCAAAGTTTAGAAAAAACTTTTTTTTTTTATCTATGTAGGTTCTTTCTTTTCCCTTTTTTATTTTTTTTAATAAAACAGAGAGTCCTTTTTTTGACATTTTGAAAATGGACGCACCATGGAGTAGTAAAGAGACCTTGGAGACAAAAGATAGACTGGAAAGGTATACAGTGACAAAAAGGTTGGCAGACTAAAACCCTTTAACATTTCAACAAAAAAAAAAAAGACTGTCGAAAGAAATCGTTGATTTTGTACACTATATTGAACCCACCAAGGAAGAGCAACTAAACAGAGACACCTTAATGTATCAAGTCTCCACATTGATAGAAACCTTGTGGCCAAACAATACAGTCATTACCGCTTTTGGCTCCAGTGTCACCGGTTTAGCTTTTCCTGCAAGGTAACCAAAAAAAAAAAAAAAACCCGCCCCCATAACCATAAAAAAAAAAAGCTTATCTCTCTCTTTTTATAAAAAGTGACATTGATATCAATATCGATTTCGAGGAAATGCCTAAAAAGAACCGTATTGATGTCCTAAAGATCATTCGTAAACAAACCATCAATCAACACATCTTTGAATATCCCACCACCTGTCTCGCCGCCAATGCGAAAGTACCCGTTCTCATGGCTGTCGATGGCAACGACGTTTCCATGGATATCACCATCCAAAACGTCTGCTTCAGTTCGGATCGTACAGCCGCATGGATCAAGGAATATCCTCCCCTCAAACCTTTATTCATGGTTCTCAAACAATCGATTGGCAACTTTCGATTATCCCATATGCCCACCTTTGAACCTCTCTCCGCTAAATATGCTGGTCTAGCAAGTTATTCTCTCATTTGCTTGATCGTCAGCTATCTTCAAGTAAAAGCCTCTTTTTTTTTCTTTCACAAATACACTTCCATATTCACACACACACGTCTCTCTTTTTTTTATTTTCATTTCCATTGTAGCAAAGTGTGCCGAAAGATGTCAACCCCACACGTCCAAACTATTTAGCCTCGCTCTTGTTAGGCTTTCTCTCCTTTTATTCAACTTTCGAATCCGACAAAAAAGCCATTGGATTAACAAACGGCGGCTGTTTCTACGACAAGAAAGACTGTCCCATCCCACTCGAAACCAAGAAAGGAAAGCTCACCATTATCGATCCCGATGTACCAGGTAACTTACTAAACAACTACAACAACAATAACCCCTAGAAACTCACACTCTCCCCCCCCCCCTTTTTTTTAGGCGTCAATGTGGCTCGTAGTACTTTAAAATTCGACCGAATTCAATACATCTTTAAACAAGCCTATGACATGTTACTAAAGCAAATTAACACCAGCGGTAAATCAGAATCGATCCTTTCCTCCTTGATCAAAGTGGAACATCACGCACATACCCAACCTCGTAAACAAGGCATACGATTTAAAGCAGGATACACATGGATTGAGACGGGTGAGGCTCAAGTTAAATCCGGTGGTGGTAAACGCTTCGGATATGCTAAACGCTTTGGTGGCGGTAAACCTTATGTTAAACAGGAGGACAGGCAACGAAGAGGAGACGAACGATACGAAGAAGGAAATCGGTATCGAGACGAACCTAAATCACGATATCAGCGTACCTATAAAGCAGAACCTTATTCAAAACGGTTCGAAGATTATAATGATCGAGAGTATCAACGTCACAAGAGAAATAACAATTCACATTTAGCAGAGCATTATAAATACAAGTCAAGAAGATAATAAAACAAGAGAGACCTTATATTTATTTATGTTTTTCTTTACAACTTATTTCTACAAATAAAAGGATGAGCTAAAGCTTCCTTGGGAGTCAATCTTTTATCAGGACTAAGCGCTAAACACTTGTCCAGAAAATCAATAAAGGCTAAGACCAACCGATTTTCCTCCTCAGGTAAACCAGGTGTAGAAGCAGCCAGAATACGCGACTTGATATCACGCGTGGGTTTCGTAATGACCATCTTCTTGACCACCTCATGTTTCGTAATACGATCCACTTCGGCAGACATGAAATTATAATCCGCATCGAAATGATGCGTCGTGAATTGAGCCTTACGCAACAACTTGTTGGGAAATCGTCCCTTCAACTCCATGATATGTTTCAACATCTGGTTGTTGCTACGTCCCGAAAACAGGATTTTACCCGTAAACAGTTCATACAACGTACACGCTGAAGACCACACATCAATCGCATAATCGTATGAAAGTCCCAGCATGATCTCTGGGGCTCGATAGAAACGCGACACAAGGTAGGGTGTAATCGTATTATCACTGGCATCACTGGCTGACCCCAAATCACATAACTTCAGCGTGTTGCGCGACTCGGATACCAAGATATTATCAGGCTTGATATCCGCATGAAGTATATTACATTTCTTCAAAAGCGATAAACTGAGAAACAATTGTTGTGCGTACACACGTACCGCCTTGATACTAATACCCACATCTTTACCATACTTTTTAATCACATCACGCAAATTCAAGCTATTTCGCAATATATCAGTTCGACATATCCCTCTCCCCCCCCCCTTTTTTTCTTTTTTACCTGAGTGTTTCGAAGACCAGACATAAATGGTTTCGATGCTCGAAATGACGTCGTAAACGAATCACATGTTTTTTATTCTCAGGATCAGCGTCCATGAGTTTCTTCAGAAACGCAAGCTCCTTTTGACCCGCCTTGTACATGGTTTCGTTACTACGAATTAACTTGATAGCCACTTCTTCTTCTGTCTCCATGTCTTTGGCTTTCACGACAGAACTAAATACACCTCTTCCCAAATTTGAAATCACCTTGTATCTTCCATCCAACACCTCGCCAATACGCGTACCTTTTTTTGTAAAGAAAAAAAGAAAATGAATAAAAAACATGTATATAAAAACAACAAAACAAAAAAAAAACGTTACTGTAGTAGCCTTCGGGATCGTCCCAATTGTCGGTCAAGTTGGGATTTGAAGCAGCCGAAGAGGATGCATTGGTTAATAAAGCATGTTGACCTGCCGCCGTGATATCCGTATCAGCAAACATGTCTAAATTATCTGAAAACATGTCAATTTCTGTCGTCGTCGTCTTCACTGCCTCTGCTGGTGCTGCTGCGGCCTCTGCTGGTGCTGTTGGTGATGGTAGTGGTTGTTCCAACTTTTCGGTATAATCAGAAGCAAGCATATCCACTTGACTCGAGGTCCCCTCCGTTACCTTTTCTTGTTGATCTTTTGTCTTTAACAAATCCGTCTGTGACGCTGAATGAAAAAGATCTTGCATGCCATCCACCGAAGGATCATAATCTGCTGCAGAGACATTATTAGGTGAGTCACGGGTATTTACAAGCTTATTTTCTTTTTCCATTACTACTATATCCGTTTCTTCCTTCTCCATCCCAGCAGTGGTAGGACAGGAGGAGGGAGAGGCAACAACAGCTACTTTCACTTCTGCTTCAGCAGCAGCAGCTGTTGGCGCAGGAGTGGACGACACTGTGATTTTCAAAAAAAAAAAAAAAAAAAAAAAAAGAATGGATTAAGTTTTCATTCTATGACTCTGTACACACACACACACACACACTTTCTTTTTTTACCTTGCTTGTATCGGTCAAGAATCGCTTGTCTCTTCTTGCGACGCTCTTCAATTAGAGCGTCTTCTTTCTTTTTCTTTTCTTCTTCGTCTTCAATGTCCATGTCCATCACGGCTTCGGCAGCAGCGACGGCGGCTTTTGGTGCTGGGGTTACGTCCTTGTGGCTAGTCGAAGTAGAAGTAGAATAATGAGGTCTTGAGACGGGTGAACTATAAGAAAGAAAGAAAGGGTGTAAGAAAAAAAAAAGGGGCTAGACAGATAGATAGTGTGCTCTGTTTACCTGTCGGTCATGGTAGTAGAATATCTATGGGATTTTTCGTCACGGAATCTAGTAGGTGGTGATCTAGAGCGTCTAGTGTTAACATCTCTTTTATTATTATAACTACTACCATTACTTTCATAATCACGAGAATATCTTCCAGTGGGGGAAGATCTACGATTATGGGAATTATGGTTGTTGGAGGATCGATGAAGCGTCTTTTTACGAGAGAGTCGTTCATATTCTTCAAAGGGATCATCGTGGCGCTGCTGTTTTCTATAAGCAGCATCAAGGTTAATTTCACCTTCTTCAATATCGTTTGGCATGTTTTTTTTTTTTTTTTGAAAAATGAAAAAAAAATGTGTGTTTTAAGGAGGAAAGAGACGTCATTTTTTGTAATTTTTTATTTATTTATTCAATTTTTTTTTTTTTTTTTTTTTTTTTTTTTATGGGGAGGGATATTTTTATGGGTGTATATATAAATTTTTTTTTTTGTTTTAGTTATACTATTTGTAATTACTCCAGTCAATAGAGGCTTTATCAGCCAGACCCAGATAGAATTCTACATGAGAATCTGTTGGGTAACGAATGACACTGCGTATGGCTTGCCCCAAAGGGAATATTCTCTCTCGCTTGACATCGGATATAACCACTCGTTTACCAGGTGGTGGAGGACCCGCAAAATCTATCTCGGATAACAGGTCTTTAAATGTATAGGAATCTGTAATGGCCAGGTTACGAATGTAGTATATTGAATCCATCCTGTTTTCCAGAGGTGAGCTCTTTAAGGAGACAGTCTCGATGACGCCAGGTGTATGTCTGTAATTGGTATTAAATGTGGGTGTGACATGTAATTGATGTTGTAAAGTAGAAGATAATGAAGATAATGAAGGTGTACGTAGATGAAGTGGGGGTAACTGTGAAGAGAAACTATTGGTGGGCCGGTTGTTGTTGTTATTGACTCCCTCTTGAGGATGATGTATATGATGATGATGATTATGCTGGTGATTATGGCCACCCAACAGTAGTGAAGGTGGAGGTGACATATGATTTGTAAATAACGGTGTAGATGCACTGCTAGATGGCTTATTATCTAATTTAGTCACCGTTCTTTTTCTTTTCACTGATGTAGATGTGGTCATCATTGAAAAATCAGGTGACTCTACAGGGTAACTTTGCTGTTGTTGTTGTTGCTGTTGTTGTTGTTGCTGTTGCTGTTGGAAAGAGATCTCGCGTACTTTGGCAGCCAATGCACCAGAGTAACCAGAGCTGAAATGTGGCTGTGGAAGTAACGGGTAATCCTCCATGATTGTGCCATTGGAATCAGCGGGAGAAGGCGGAGCTTGATTCATGTTACGCTGATGCCTTTTTTTTGCACGATACAAGGTACTTGAATGTGCCTTACAAAGTGATACCTCTGTCAAGTCATTCAAGCCGATGATATTCTGTTCTCTGTCTCTGTAAATACTGTGGGTGAATTCATCTAACCATTTTAACGTAAATTCATAATCATCTCGATCTTGACGTGATAATTTCTTGGCTCTCGAATCAAGCCCTCCTTCTGGCAAGTTTTTACCACGACGCGGTTGCGTTTCCAAGCAATGGCAATTGCTTCCGTAATACTACGCTTTTTTTAGGTGAGTCTATGACAACAGGAAAACATGATAAGTTACTTACACCAGAACAGGTAAAACAAACTGCACACACAATACATGCATTCTAAATTATACATATTAAAAAAAAAAAAAAAAAAAAATCGGGTGCATAAATTTTATATCTCTTTTTTTACCTTTCTTGCAAGGAGAGGATGATGACCTTCATTAGAACGTGAATGAGGCAAGGGAGAAGAAGGTTGCTGCTGATGCGGTAACTCGGTTACCACCTGTGCCAACTGAAACAAGTTATTATTATTCTCTGTCATGGAGTGTATATATATATATATAAAAAAAAAAAAAAAAAAAAAAAAAAAAAGAGAAAAAAAAAAAAAAAAAAAAAAGCTAAAATAAGAGAGTTCTTTTTTTTAATAAAAAAAAAAAATAGGGGGAGAAAAAAAAAAAAAAAAAAGAGAGGAGTGCCAAAGGGGTGGAGCGGTTTTTTTTTTTATTATTATGATTCTACGCCATTATTGGTAGTGTTTCAGTTTGGACACAAAATTAAATTGCAGCAGCAGCAACAGCAACAGCAATGATTGAGGGTTTATGCTTCCTTTGTTTGGACACTCCATAATAAATAGGCAATGGCGACTGTATCCAACATACGATCTTTTACAACAACTTGAGTCTTAATTTCATGTCTGCCTTCTTCTAAATCACTCGGGAGTGTGTAATCCGAACTAGCAGTCAATAGTCCGCGTGCCTTCTTTTTGTACTATGCAAACAAATTTTTATTTTAGTTTTATATATACATACACAACAAATAGAAATCCCTTCTTTTTTTTATTTCTTGTTTACCTCCATCTTGATAGATACCAAAATAGCTCTATCCTTCTTTTTCAAATTACTCATCAACGCTAATCCACCCGTTGTCTCTGCAAATGTCGCCAAAGCAGTGGCATGGATCCTAATAAAGAAAGAAAAAAAAAATGTTCCCAGCATCAGTGACCCTGCACTCTCTTTCTCTCTTTCTCTCTCTCTCTACACATCATTAAAAAAAAACACAGAAACTGACCCTTTCTGAGCGTCGTGTGTGCTAGAATGATCCCGCATAATAGCAGTACAAAAACCACGTGAAAATGTTGACACACGCATATCTATCTCTATCATGTAAGCAAATATACATACATTTAAACAAATCAAATTATTCATTCCGTACCAATCGAACTGGCGTAAGGGTCACTGTTATTCAATAAACGAGCAAATGTCCACGGCCTAAATATCTTGACAACAGGTTTACCCAACTTTTCCCAAATCATTAACGGGTGTCTTCCATGACGCAACGAAATCAGAATATACACAATATACGCAAATGTCATGACAACTAAACTTCCAATCAGTCTCGAAAAGATGGTCCATTCCAATTTGACTGCCACCTGTATCAAATGTACCGTTGCTTCCAAATGTCCATATAATGCTGCAAGCAGTGGTGATGTCTCGCTCATGTCTCCCTTCAAAATATGTAATAATAATAAAAAAGAAAATATACAAAAAAAAAACTTTTTTTTGGTTGGTAGTGAAGTCTGTCGGAAGCTTAATTTATCTCTTCTTCATTTCTCTTTTCTCTATGTAAGGCCTATACACGTGTCATCATTAAAGCTTGGTAACATTTTATATTATATTTTACGTTCGAAATAAGCCAATGACAACATAAATCTTGGCAAAGAATAAAGGGGGGGGGGGGAAAGGGGAGAAGGGGTGATGATGACAGTCATCACCCCCCTTTCTGTTGTTTTGTTCCCTTTGTTACATAAAAAGTGTTTTATGTTTTTTTCAAGTCTAGGCCCTCTGTCTGTCGATCTCTCGGAGACGCGTTTATTCCCGCTCACATGTAAAAATAGCTGCCATTGTTTTTATTCAAATAATAATAAAAAGATCACTCCTTGTCAGAAGTATCTTCTTTTTTACGCTTGCGTGGGCTTTCTGTAGCAGCATTGTCCGATTTAGAATCCCCAAAAGAATCAGAACGACGCACTTTTCTTTCCATTGTCATATCAGGTCTAATTCTCATCTTTCCCTAAAACTCTCTGCTATTAAAAATCACAGTCCATAATTACGCGCACAAAAAAAGAGGGATACATACCAGTTTAAGACGAACAGGACGACCATTAAACTCTGTGTTATTCAATCTTGCTACTACATCTTGTGCATCATTATGATCACGAAACTCAACAACACTGTCCAATAGAAAAAAAAAAGCATGTTTGTCAAAACAAAAGAATAAGACCCACATCAAACGCATTAGATAATAATAATAAAAAAAAGAAGAGAGAGAACAAGAGAGAGAACAAGAGAGAAACAGAAAAAGAGAAAGAGAGTTTACCCTTCACCGTAACGATCCATAAAGATAGCAGCAAACGTAGCACTATAACCAGTCGATTGTATAAATGCCTTTAACTCCTGAGTGAACGATAAACATCAGTCTGACAACAGTAACAAGAAAAAAGAGATGGACAACAACAGGTACCTGCCACGTGGTGCTTGTAGATAGATTCTTTACAATCACTCGACGCGTTTCTTTACTGCCCACCCAAATTAAACAAGAGCCAAACATCTGTGGTTAGTCACATACTTACGTTCGAATTTCCGTACGCATACTTCCTCGGTATCGAATATCCAATCTACAGTGCTATCTTTCAATACACACACACACACACACATACACAAATAAAAAAAAATTATCACCTGTGGTCAAAGAACAAAAGTCCGTTAAAGTCATACACAGCATCTTGCGCATCCTCCTTGTCCTGAAATTCAACGAACGCGTAATTAGGCCTTATTTGAATGTCGAGAATCTTGCCATAATATCGAAATAATAGGTCGAGATCCTCCCTCGTTACTGTGTTTGCGAGATGTCCTATAAACACTTGATATCCAGGCATAATGCAGATAAAGAGATGAATAAAAAAAAAAAAAAAAAAAAAAAAAAAAGGTCACAGATGTCTGTGTTTTATTTTTATTTTCCTCCCTCGTAACACAAGACAACCTGAAGTGGGCCAAAATGCTCGTGCTTTTTTACCATGACGTGATTATTATTTTCTGTATTTCTATAAAAGATCGACAGTTAAAAAAAATTGCTACGGATGATTGACTGGCCATGTTTCATTGCAAATCTCAGAAAGTGACGACATGGGATGGTCTTTCTTTCAATCGCCTATTCAAATCCAACTTATAAGTTTTGATAAATTAAATCAGGATTTTTTGTTTTCTCTCTTATTTTCCCCTGTATTAAATTTATTATTTAAAAAAAGATGGCTCCTGTAAAGAATATCTGTTGTATCGGTGCTGGTTATGTTGGTAAAGTATATATTTTATTTGGGGCAGCAGAAAAACAAAAAAATCTAACAGTGAAACAGGTGGTCCCACATGTGCTGTCATTGCCTACAAGTGTCACGATATCAAGGTAACCATTTGTGACATCAATGCCAACCGTATCGATGCTTGGATGTCAGACAAGCTTCCCATCTATGAACCCGGATTAGATGAGATCGTCTTCTCTCGTCGTGGCAAGAACCTGTTCTTTTCAACCAATGTTGATAAACATATTCAGGAAGCAGATCTTATCTTTGTCTCCGTCAACACTCCCACTAAAAAACAAGGTCTGGGCGCAGGCATGGCCGCTGATCTGGCCTATGTAGAAGCTGCCACTCGTCGCATTGCACAAGTATCCACTTCCTCTAAAATCGTTGTTGAAAAATCAACCGTCCCTTGCCGTACTGCCGAAAGCATGCGTGCTATCCTCGAGGCTAATTGTACTCCCCATGTCTCCTTCGATATCCTTTCTAACCCCGAATTCTTGGCGGAGGGCACGGCCGTAGCCGATCTTTTAAACCCTGATCGTGTCTTGATTGGTAGTCTTCAGACTGAATCTGGTAAAATCGCTCAGGCCGCTCTCGCTGATGTCTATGCTCATTGGATCCCTCGTGAAAATATCATTACAACCAACCTCTGGTCTTCTGAGCTTTCAAAACTCGTAAGTTCTTTCTTTTATCATTTACATAAAACATATACTGAAAATTCACTTCCTATTGTGTAGGCTGCAAATGCTTTGTTGGCTCAACGTATTTCCTCCATCAATGCTTTATCAGCTGTATGTGAAGCCACAGGTGCTGATGTAGATGAAGTCGCCTATGCCTGTGGTCGTGACTCACGTATCGGTTCCAAATTTCTCAAGGCATCCGTCGGTTTTGGTGGCTCCTGTTTCCAAAAGGATATCCTAAACCTGGTCTATCTCTCTACCCAACTCAACTTGCCCGAAGTCGCTGACTATTGGATGCAAGTCTATACCATGAATGAATACCAAAAGAACCGCTTCGTTCGCACCATCATCAACACATTGTTCAATACCATTACAGGGAAAAAAATTGCTGTGCTGGGTTTTGCCTTTAAAAAGGATACAGGCGATACTCGTGAATCCGCTGCCATCACACTTATCAAGAGCTTCTTGCAAGAAAATGCACGTGTCGCCATCTATGACCCCAAAGTAGAAAAGGAACAAATCTATCTCGATCTGTCCGAACCTGGTGTCCTGGATAATCGTCAGCAGGTCGAAAGGGGTGTTCAAATCTGTGCAAGTGCCTATGAAGCCGCTAAAGACGCTGATGCCTTGGTCATCGTCACCGAATGGGATGAGTTCCGTCACTTGGATTATAGCCGTATCTACAAGGATATGCATAAACCTGCTTTTGTCTTTGATGGTCGACTCATGTTGGATGCACCCGCATTAAGAAACATGGGCTTTAAAGTTCACGTTATCGGTAAAAACTCGCTTGAAGGCAGAGCCTAACCCCCCCCCTCCTTATTTTTTACTTCTATCTTTTTTTTTTGCAATAATAAATTCCCCCATCTGTACACACTTTTTTTTAAAAAAATTCCATACTTTATCTGTACCTATTTATCAATAGTAATATCTAAATGACACTTTTCTTTTTTTGTGTGCATTTATAAATTTAGAAATAGTTTGTAATTATATAGCTGACACACTCCTTCTACGTTCTCAAAAATTATGCTACAATCATTTTAATTAAACAACGCTTTATATTTTTTAGGAAATGTCAAGAACCCCGTATTTTTTTTAAACGTATTTCTCGTATTTTTTAGAATCACGTGATGGTCTACACGTCGATTGACATACCATATCATCTAAACTTCATGGGATGATCAATTTCTGTTTTCCATCAAATCTGCTTCACTGTCATTACAAGCTACTACTGGAACGCAGATGGACAATTACCAAAGTCCGATTTGCTTGAGAGTTTTTTGCATATGTTTCTATTTTAAGTAAAGGCTCAAACATTATGGATGGTAAAATGGACAAATGAAATCATCCTGACATAAGCTTGTTTATCAGCCTACAAATAAAGCTGGTTCACACACTTTATTCTTCTCCTTTTCTTTTCCCTTAACATACTTCTTCTATCATATGAAAGTAACCGATAGCGTAAAAAGGTTAGTTATTGGATGACTTCCAAAATGCAAAATAGAATTAAATAGAATAGACTTAATTTTTTGGGTTGTGTAACGTGGAATTAACCTTAAATTTCACCGCTTAAATTTTTGAAGTTAATTCGACCCCCCTACCCCCCCGAATTAAAAAAAATTAACAAAAAAATCATCTTTCTATTAAATAATTCATTTCTGATAAACGCTAATAACATTCAGATAATAAATATAAGATCTATGAATAATATTTATCAAAACAGTTTATTTATTTGGCTCTTTTACGCTTCTGAGAACCGTCTTTTTTGCCCTTTCAGGAGAAGTAACAGTGAGTTGCTATTGTGCATATAAAACTGATGGGTTTTAGTGCGAACGGAAGGAGCATCATTGATAATAGTTAAACTATCTTGGTTACCGGTGTCTGGATGTATTCAAACATCATTGTCATCTGATAATATAGCTGTTTAGGTAGAGTTTTGCATATATGGTACGGGTCAAAAAAGTTAATTCTATTTTCAGTGTTTTGGAACAGAAGTAAAATTAACTCGGAAAATCAAATTTCCGAAGTTAATTCTATTCTATTTAATTCTATTTTGTATTTTGGAAGTCATCCATTAATGACTCTTGTTTCTTTCAAAAGATGCTTAATCGAAAAAGAAATATTGCGATATTGCAGCTGCGGCTAGTCTTTGCTATAGGAGGGCGACCTCCTTGGCAGGGTTCTTGAGTTTTGGAACTCACAGGCTGTGAATAACAGTGTTTTTACTGTGGATAACAGTGTTTTTACTGTGGATAACAGTGTTTTCACTGTGGATAACAGTGTTTTCACTGTGGATAACAGTTTTCTCACTGTGAATAGCAGGGGTGCATTCTGAATAGTTGTAATCATACTGGATGGCTAGAATTTCTGTAAGTGGTATAAAAAAAATACGGAGGTCTAGGCATTTCCATTTTTTATGCCCCATAATTGCTTACATTCTTTTTTTCTCTCTCCTTCCCTAAGTTAAAATGACAACAACAAACGTAACAAGGAATCAAGCTATCTGCATGGTTTTTTACGTCGATTACACCGATGAAAACGTAAATCACTATAAAAAAATGATTGAGGATTTCGGAGACTCCGAAATCTGTTACAACATTGATGAAAAACAACCTATAATTGTAACTAAACAAAGAATTCGATCAACAAGAAATATATATGAAACGATCAGTAAATACACCGCAGTTTTTGAGAAGCGAACTCCGCAATCATTTGCTGCATGGTGCAAGAATAAGCGATTACCATTTTTAAATGGTAAAGAAATCAGACAAGACGGAATTCCTCCAGACTGATTCGATTGCGGACCAGATTCGTTTACGAGAACTCTACACCATGGATAATATTTACTACAGTAATTTTGAAAAGCATAATTGAAAAAAAATATCATGACTAATATCTTTCTTGCAGTTGATTTGATTGATTCTATTTGCAATTATCTTCCAAACTATCAAGAATCATTAAAAAAATTATTTAATAATGGATATGAAATTGTGGGCTATGCCCGCAAGTCACCCACCCAAGATAATTCTGCTACTAGAATCAAGCTTCTTCAAGCTATGGTTAATAACTTGCAAGAACGATCATTCGCAACAAGAATCTACGTATCCACCAGCAGCTATTCATCCACTCCGTTCTTTGAGCGAGATTTGAAAAACGATGATGGTATAATTGGTAAATTAAGTCAAGTCCAAGGAAGCACCCAAGGTAAAATAAAATATAGGCAAACTCTAAAGATCATATTTAACGTTTAATTCAACTCATTATAGATATGTTGGTGTACTTAAAATCTGTTAGGCATGATGCTTGTTTGGTTTCGCTTGATTTTGCTGGGTTGACAACAAGAACCCATGATATTGTAAAGCTCATTGAAACTAATCCAGCAATCAAAAAAATAGCCATCGAAACGTTTACCGTTGCCAATGAGCTCTTTTTATTTGATTCTGAAAGTGAGAAATTCGAGATATAAAATAACGGATTAAGAATAAAAATAAGAAATTTGACGAAGTAAAACTATCAAATTGCAAAAATAAACTAAAGTTTTTATTATACAATAAATAAATTGTGTTCTTTACATACATATTCAGGTCTCGCGGCTGAATATCAATCATTAGAGTGAAACCTGTCAAATATACAATAGTTGATGGGACCTAAATAAAACGACGACAGCACCCCCCAATTTAAAGCAGCACGAGACGGGCTTTAGAAATGTCCGGACCGAGCAGTAGCACGGTGTGGCGGAGGTCCAAGAGAGATGAGGGGTGGGGGGGACGTCCCATGGGCTTCATATAGCTGCTCTAGGGGTGCCATCAGTAATCGTCCCTTTTACGAATTTGGTACAGCAAGAATGAAGTAAGGCGATATAAACAAAAAAAAAAAAAAAAAAAAGAAGACATCCATCCATCCATCCGAAAGAAGATTACTGATTACATGTACACCATTTTTTTTTAATTCAATGAAGGCTCGAGATTTGTTCCTTCTCTGGTCACAAGATTTACCCTTCCAAGGGTAAGACCTACGTCCGTATCGATAGCAGGTAAATATTTCTGTTTAGCTAATGGCGTGTTAACATGAGTACTCACCAAGCTTCTATAGAGTATGTATATGAAAGTTTTTTTATATATAGAGAGAGAGTGATAGTGTGGAAAATTCCAAAAAAAAAAATACTAGCGAGACGACAATGGAGAGATTGAAACGATGGGAAACTGACCATTTTCTTTTTTTCTGAAATTATAGCATTTCCGTTTCATCAGTGGTAAGGCTGCTTCTTACTTCATTCAACGTTTGAACCCCCGTAAGATCAAGTGGACTGTCATCTACCGTCGTTTGAATAAGAAGGGTATGACTGAGGAAGCTGCCAAGAAGCGTTCTCGCCGTACCGTCAAGCACGAGCGTGCTGTTGTTGGTGCCTCTTGGGATGCCATCCGTGCCAAGCGTAACCAAAAGCCCGATGCCCGTGCTGCCGCTCGTCAAGCCGCTATCTCCAAGTCCAAGGACGCCAAGAAGGCTGCTGCTGCTGCCAAGAAGGCTGCTAACCCTGCCGTAAGTTCTTTATAACATCCCCCCTCAAAATATTGAATATTCTTTCTAACATTTTTTCACCAATCATTGTAGGGTTCTCAAGCCAAGGTCAGCAAGCAAGGTGCTAAGGGTTTCGCTCCCAAGGCCGCTGCTACTTCTCGTTAAATCTCTTTTTAACGTTTTTTTTGCTAGCCAAAATACTTTAAAAACTTCTTTTTAACAAAAATAAAAAAGACTGACCAAAAAAAAAAAAAAAATACAGAAAAACAAACTTGGTTCATATGTTTAATTTTTTTTAAGCAGCAATGTCAATGGGTCCTGATGTTTGTACTACCCAATCCTGCGACTTTTCTAAATCACCAAACATTTTGAGAGCTGACCATTTGATACGATAAGTACCTGGACTGACCGTAAACGGCTTTGAATCCAAGTTCTCATCCACCACCAACGCTCCCAACCAAGGGTTCAATTCCTTCATCGTCTGGCTGCTCAAATCACGTTCTGCGTAATTATAAGTCGGCACAATATACCCTACATGCTTCTCCCCTTCCTCCTGCACCAATTCAATTGTGAATCGACGTGATGGCGTACTTAAACGGAATCCAATCGAGGGAGCACTGGCTTCATCCGATAAACTAAAATGAAAAGTCTCATTCTGTCCATACACATGTCCCTTATTATCCTTCACATTCAGCGCTCCACTGTCCAACGTAGGAAGTTCATAAAGACTACCAAGGACACCAAAATATGGTACATGCACTTGCGCTCCATCACCCTTTTCGCGTCTAAACTGAACATAGCCACCATACATCACTTGCTCTTTGGCATTAAACTCTTTGGGAAGTTGCACCGACACAACCACTTGTTGCGACTCACCAGGATTCAATTGAACACGGCTAGGCTGAATATCCACTTGCACACTCACATCACGACTGTAAAACTTTTCGTGACTCGAGCTGATCAAGCGGTATTGCGAATTGTTGTGGCCGTACGGAGAAATCGAGGCTGACGAAATACTCGTGATCTCATACTGCACAGCTTCTGTACCTGTATTCGAGACCTTGAGTGAATGCGTCTTGTACACATCCGTTAAGGATTTAGTGTCGTTGAAACTAATTTTGGCTGGAGAGACATGTAAAGGTTCTTTAATGGCATCGTAAGCTAGACCCCCCATAAAAAATAATGAGTTTTTTTTTCTCTTAATCATGTGTAGGATGTTACCTTGAATGAGACCAGCTCCTTGACGAAGAGGGGACTCTAGTTGATCCTTGGCAGCATCCAACGGTTTGGCGTAATTGGCAAGTTTCTCGTGCAGGACAGAAGCCAAGATGTTCTGACCGGCAAATGCCTCTCTTAATAGGGCAACGGTACCCGCAATATAAGGCGACGCCATGGACGTACCTGATTTTGTTCCCCAACCGCCTAAATAATCAGGTAAAGTAGAAAATACATTACTTCCAATGGCCCCAAACGATGGCTTCATGTCGAGCTCATTGGTAGGGCCGATACTGGAAAAGTAAGACACGGTATTGGCAGTGGACGATTGGAAGACAAATGCGTTTCTTTCGAAATGCATGTACATGGTCTCATTAGAGTTTTTCAAGGCAGAAATAAGCTGATGTCCACTCACGGAGGATATTGTGGCAATGGGAATCGTGGTGTTAAAATAGGGAGCACGTACTGGATCGCCTTCCAAAGTATCGACAAAGATGAGACCGATCGCACCTGCCTCCGCAACACGACTCTCTTGTTGAACAATGGTACAGGGACCTTGAGTTACAAGTGCTAATTGACCCTTCACGTCCTTGGGGATATTTTCTATATCACATGCATGAAACGTAGTTGGACTTCCACCCAATACAAGGTTACCATCCGGAATTTCTGCACTGGCTTCAGGGGCAACTTGGTACGCTATTCAATTGGGATCAATTATTGAACCGCTCCATGTGACACACAGTTTCTATACTTACAGTAAGGTCCGATTTTCTTGCTAGCACTGGTTAAAGAGAACAGACTCCCTAAAAAGTGTGGGTTGTCGACTGAAGCGACTGAGAGAACATCACTAGCACCAGCAGGATCTGTGACAGTAAAAGCACCCGCTTCACCGTCATTACCATTTGAGACCACGACTGAATTTTATATATTTTTAGATTTTATAAATATACATGATTGTTTTGAGTCTTACCCGAGATGCCTTGGTTGGATAGTTCTTGAGCAAAAGCTGCATGAGGTTGTTCTGACCAAGGTGCATCATTTCCCAGACTCATGTTGATCACATCACATCCGGCCTTTTGTGCTTGTACCATCGCCTTCATGATGATATCCGAACTACTACCACCTTCACAACCAAATACTCTCCAAACTCCAATGGTTGCATTTGGTGCGACACCAGTAAACCCCTTTATATAAATAAAATTTAATTAGTCCACATGGGCTTTTTACTTTTTTTTTTCTCTCTCTCTCTTTTTTTTCTCTTTTACTTTAGACTCATCCACACCAGCAATAATACCAGTAACATGTGTACCATGACCAACTATGTATGTTTTTTTTATATCAGATTAAAATGAAATAAAAAATCATTCGAATTTTTTCCCTGATTTTTTTTTTACCTGCTTTTTCACTCACTTTGCCACAATCATCCAAAGGAGGAGTACCATCAGCAGGCATGACATTGCTTTTTGACATTGGATCAAAATCATTTCCTACCAAATCCTGACCAAACGAGATCTTATAGCCAGGACCAAACCCACCACCTAAAGCAGGATGGTTGTAATCCACACCACTGTCGATAATGCAGATCTTGACACCTTGGCCCGTCAATCCTAGCTCACCATGCAAGCGATTGATCTGAGTCAATTGGTGTGCTTGGATACGCTCTGTCGTCTCTGCATCAATCTGGTTGTAATAACCATGCGAGACCGCGTTAGGTCGAGAAACATAGGTGACCGGGTAAACAGCAACTGTACGTTCATGATCCAGCACAGTGCTCAAAAAGTTCTCGTGCGAGGACGCACCTACATCTACTGTTCGGATATTCGTTTGTTTCTGACGGTTGAAGTACGCTGTCTTACTACTCGATTCAAATCCGTCCAAAGCATCGGATAATGAATTGTCGTGGCCTCCTGGTGAAGTGTATTCTACTAAAAATCGACCTGGAATGATATTTGTGTGTTGTGTATCCATCGATTTGAATTTCGAGTGCTGAAGTGCATCTACCTGTGTCAATAAGAAACAAAGGCAAATACTCGAAAGAATGCCATTTGTTCTCATTTTTTTATTTTTTAAAAAAAAAGAGCGTGTGGAGGGAAAAAGAAAGTTAAAGGAAAAGAAAGAGAAGGAGTTTCATTTTAACTATTTTTTTTTTAATTGGGGAGTACGTCTTTTTGGCACGGCTTGCAAATGATTCGCTTTACCCTTTTTGGACAAAAAATAAAATTAGCTTTCCAGTAATTAAAACAGTAATTTGTAAATTCCCGCCCGTACACTTTGATCTAATTGCTACCATTGCCCTCACATATAAATATACATAAGAAGGCTTTTTAAATTAAGGGAGATCCCTATGTTTTAAAACCACATCCAGTAGGCTTATGACTTTTGCTGCCAAAAAAAAAAAGAATAGAATACTATTATTTGCATGACGCAACAGAAAAAAAAGGTTAACTGTATCAATAAGACCATTTTATTTATTTATTTATTATTCAGATGTGTGTGTGTATATGCAGATGGGATAGCTTTAACCATTCATGTTGGAGTTATTATTATTTATAAAGGAAAAAGGTCGAGTGGCAGAGTCTGTAGATAATGTTTGACCTGATGGAGTATTAGTTGTGGAATAATAAGAGGAATGATTCTCTTCATCAGAAGAGGATAATAACATGGTTGGACTAGAAGGGGTAGCTCTAAATGTGGATGAAGAGGAGGAGGAAGAGGAGGATAAAGGCATAAGATTGTTCATATTTCTTCGTGGACGTTGTGAAGGCACGAGAGGTTGATTTTCAAAAAACGAAGGCTGTTGATCATGCGTCGTAACAAAGATAGATGGAGGAGAGGTGGTGTCTAACTCGAGCTTCTTAAATTCAGTATGCAAATCCTGAGGTAACTGACCGCCATTCTGTTGGGTGATGTAGTGCATGATCTGCTTGACGAGTTTAACATGGGATTGCTGCTTTTCCTTTGTATCATGAAGTTCCTTGACAATTTGACTAAAAGTATCATAGAGATGGTTTATTTGTTGTAGCATATCTGATTGGGACACCTGCATCATTGCCAAATGAGCATGCAAGTCTCCGGTCTCACGTCGTACAGTATCAGATTCCATCGTTTTGCGCTTAATGTCGTCCAGTAAATCAGGTCGATCTCGTAAGAACTTTGGATGAGAGAATTCCCAGATTTGATTTTCTGCTAGTGTTCGATGACCACGTGGGGACTTGTTCACCTTGTGAAATCCATACCTAGGCAACGTTTGTTAGTAAGATAAAGAAAATATGATATATATATACTTTACATGTTGAGTTGTCGGACAAAGCTAGAGAAATTATTGTGTTTAAAGTGCTTGGGTAAGACATCGCGCGCAAATTCCATAATGTTGCAAACAATGAAGGAGGCTCCAGTGTAATTCCATGCAATGAGATGTTGAAATTGAGTGTCAACCACCATACTATTTTTAAATTTTCATTTTAATTTATTTTTATTATTTAATTTCAAGTAAGTTATCTGGGTTATATGTAAACAAACACTAAATATTTTTTTTTATATCTGAAAGGTTTTTTACTTGTATAATTTATGGACAAACGTATTCGCATGAGCTGATTTTGGTGGTATAGGCACAGGTTGAGTTACTCCAAAAGGTTGTGTCGGTGATTGTTGCTGTGCGGGGTAATGGCCCATATCATATCGCATGGATTCATGGCCCGTCGTTGTCGAAAAAGACTGATGATCCATATATTTATATATATTTATATATAAAGCCAGGCCAATCTCCGTACAAAGAAGAAAAAGAAGGGGGGAGGGGAGCAGAAGCGCCAAGCCCTTTTTCTCTTGTTTCGACACCCAAAAAAAGTGGGTTTGTTTCCCTCATTTAAAATCGCGTCACAAATGGAAGAGTGAGAACCATTGTTTTAAACTGAGTAATTTTTATTTTATTTTTATTATTCAAAGTCGACTATCACCATGGCCAATCTTGGCTACTACTTTCGCATAAGAGACTCGTTCATTAATGGCCTTTAAACCTTCGGGAATTGTGGCCAATGTATACACTTTTTCATAAAGCGCAGGTTTTAATTGGCCTGATTCAAACAAGCTAAATAATGCGTTCCACACTTCGGGAATACGTTCAGGCTCGTTCTTGACATAGGCGCCCCAATGCAAGCCACTATTCATATCTGGGGTTAGTTCCCAAAAAAACAAACAAAACAATAAAAAAATGCTTACACAGCAGAAATATTCTTCAATAATAATCGGTTGGCGGGAATCTTTTCAATGGTGCCTTGTGCAAAACCAATGATCAAGATACGACCGTTCCAAGCGGTACATTTCGTACTATTTAGAATAATTAGATACAGATTAGGATAGAAATGCTGCTATTTATACCTTTGTTCCACCATACCGACGGGATCATAAACAACATCTGCGCCATGACCCTTAGTGATCTTCTTGACCTGCTCGGTCCAATCCTTGTCGCGGTAATTCACCACATAGTCCGCACCGAACTTTTTAGTAATCTCCAGTTTCTCGGCTGACCCAGCCGTGGCGATGACAATGGCGCCCATGGCTTTGGCAATTTGAACAGCAGCGATGCCTACGCCACCTGCAGCAGCATGAACAAGACAGTATTCACCGGCCTTTAAATTGGCGCGTAAAACAAGCGCGGCATAACTGGTAGGATAAGTGATAAAAAGACCAGCGGCCTGCTCAAAACTAAAGTTCTTGGGCATGCTCAATACCATGCTGGCATTCACATTCACAATCTCTGCAAACGAGTAGCCTGAACCAAACACTCTGTCTCCCGCCTTAAATTGGCTGACGGTAGATTTCAACACGATTCCACTGAATTCTCCTCCTGGAATAAAAGGAAAGGGGGGTCTAATTTGGTATTTACCTTGAATCTGGTTTATAATGAGTACATGTCATGTGTATTATGCTCTTTTTTTTTTTCTTCTTACCATCAAGGTATCGAAAAAGTTGAGACCAACTGCCTTGACTTGGATTTGTAATTCTCCCTTTTTAGGCTCTGCTGGGGGTGGGATAGCAGAAACAGTGAGCTCCTCGGGTCCCTTTAACCATTTATCAACAACAATAGCCTTCATTTTTTTTTTCTTATACTGTAGTGGATAAGCAAGTAAATAAACTAAGAATATTTATACGCTCCATGAGAACTGAAATCATTTTTTTATTCCCTTTTTTGCAACCCCGAGTTTAAGCTGAGCTAAGCGGCATTCTCAAGCTTGCTTTACCCCACACTCAATTGCGTGCATTTTCAGCTTACCTAATCTTCTTTTGTAACTTTGTAGTGCATTTAATCTTTTTTTTCTTTTTGTAGAACTTATGCCTGCAAATTTATGGCACATACTTTTTTGTCATATAGGATCAGTGAATCCTTTGCCATACACTCACTGGAAATTAAGATTAATATCAGCACTGAGCAGAGCTGTAATGCATTATAATAGTCAACTTGTTGATATAAAGTAAATTTTTAATTAAATTGGAAAAACGGTAATTATTATTGATATTTTCTATTGTGAAGAACTCTCTTATTCCTAATATCTTGACAAGTCCCGGATTGTACTATTGCAACATTCCCCACCTTGTCATTAAAGTTTTCATCCACCACTTGCAAGAGAGATTTTTGGTGAGCCTCTACTAGACTACCACCAGACAAATATCCATATCGATTTCTTGTAATATATTGACTGAGCAACCATTCTATGGATATGAGTCTGCTTTCAGGTGTAATTCGCAATGCAATCATACACACAATCCAAACCACGAAAATAAAACCCGCGAGTAACCAGAACGGCCATTTCCACAAGATACCATATACGTAATATTCAGAAGCAATATAGTTAGACTGAAATGTAACAGTGTCTTCATAGGGTTCTCCATTGTTGTAATCACACATAATACGACCGACAACTGTACCAAATATGCCTACTCGTTCTTGAACTTTCTCTAAGCTTTCCCCGGGAATCTTCTCGTCAATACCTATATCTCCAGTTATGTCGGCACCTAGCATCCAGCTAGCCAGCGGACTCCGAGCAACACTGGAACCTGGAACTACCATTTTAAACATGGTCGTCATGAAAATCAGAGCACTATCCGCATTTACACTTTTAAACGGGGTGATTGTAGACACACGTTCAGTGTGACATAGAGTATCTTTGCACGTTGTCAATGCAGTTGCATGCCCTATATCGATGGTGCAAAGTACCCACTGAGGCGAAGTACCTCCTTCTTGTTCTCGATTTAAAACGACGGTTATTGCTGCTGTCCAGGACGAATAACCGTAACTCGATGCACTGTTATTTTGTAAATAAGGACGCATAGGAGCAACGCTAGAGAATGTTACATCATCTGCAACCTTTTTGCAAGATACATTGGCAAAGGGTAATTCGCGCTGGAATGTTGCTACTCCCCTTAGGCCTTCGGGTATGCTTCTGTCATAGTATTCGTTTGTATAGGTAGCATTCTGATTTCGCAAGCTGTCAAAAGCATCTAAAGTTGAAGACGGTAGATTTCGCCCTATTGAGCTTATGAATCCTATAGCTTTGCATGACTTATAATCTCTTGTGTACGCTGACATGGTAGCATTAGAAGAAACAAGACGTACACCCATAGATACAACCGCTAGCTGCCTTGTCACCGTACTGATAATCAGGATCACAAAAACCAAGATTATACCAAACCATCTTCCTCCTGCATACAACAATGGCAAACACGAAGGTGAATACCCACCAATAACAGAGACAAAGTGTGAGAAGTTGGCTCCTTGGTACTTCATTAATGTGAAAGAGACAGCGGATATAGTCTTTATCAGAATAGCTATGGTACAACCACCAATGACCGCCGACATAACGGATACAACGATTTTGGATTTTAGAGATTGAGATTCAGCAGCTGTGGCACCTGTCCAGCTCCAGAAATGTTCTTGCTCGGTATGAATCAGACAAAATATGATACCAATAGCTGATATAAGTGTCCAGACATAGAAATCAAGGGTTCCAATGGTTCCAGCTTGCAGTGTATCAGTTGAATTGTTCACCAAACTATTGGTTTCTTTGCCATCCTCTCTGTCACTTGACATGTTGCAACTTTACTTGAAAATTTGGCGAAAGTAAAAGAAAAAAAAAAGAGTGCTAATATTTATACAGAATTCATGGTAACACCCAGCCCCGTTTTACCGCCTTTATACAGAACACTTGTACCACTTATTGTACCTGGTACCTCTGAAGTGATTCGTAAATATGTTAAGCTTTCACCAGCTGTGTCTTCCAAATAAACCCCATAAACAAATAGACACTGCCAGATAATGTTCTGTTTTAGGCAAATAAATCCGAAATAAGGCCATATACCCTCTGCCCTAAATGCAAATAATAATTGCAGAGTTTCGGACAACAAGAAAGAATGTTTACGAATTTGGTAATTTTAACATGAATACAGCTTTGCACTCATTTTCTACACTTCCAAATCAACTGGTTATTGTATCTGATCCCATCATTTGCAATCAGTACGACAAAACAAGCCCGAGATTGCCTGAAATGGAAAGTGCCACTTTGACCCAAGATAGTGGCTTAGTCTAATTGTGTTGCCACAACGTTTATTATTGATGATTTTATAGAAATGATCACGATTTTTTTAAAAACAAAGTGGATCCGATTTTTACCAAAGAGGACCATTTTTGATCTTGATTTTGGCCTTTTACTTAAATAGAAATATTTGAAATGATCCCCCAAGCAATTCAAAACTTGATAGTTGTCTGTCAGCGTTTAAGTAGTAGCATGTACTGATAGTGAAGCATATTTTATGAAAATCAAAATCGATCATCCTAAAAAGTTAAGATATTAATATGGCATGTCAATCGACTTAAACATTTTTCTTAGACTTATGTGTAGACCATCATGTGTTTCTCAAAAATTCGTTTGAGAAATATATCATTCCCCGCCTCCTTTGTGTTTGAATGTAAAATGATCATGATTCAAAAAAAAAAAAAAAAAAAAAAAAAAAAAAAAAAAAAAAAATCTGATTCGGTTTCTATCAAAAAGGACCATTTTTAAGTTTTATTTTGTATAAATATACCATATACATATATATACATATATATACATAAGTATACATTCCGTTGATACTAACAAAGTCTTTGATACTGGGCATTTCCGTATTATACATCACGACAGCAGTTTTTTTTTAAAAAAAAAAAAAAAAAAAAAAAAAAAACGTAGGCGAGTAAGTTTAAATGATTACAGCAAAAAAGAAAAAGAGCATGAACTATTGATATGTTCTATCATGAAGCACCCTCTGAGTGTGAATGTCTTGATAAGTCCCAGATTGAATAATTGCGATGTTACCCACCTCTCCATTGGAGTTTCCATCCACCACTTGCAAAAGATAATCTCGATGGGCTTTCACTAGACTTCCACCAGACAAATATCCATAACGGCTCCTTGAAACATATTGACCAAGCAACCATTCTACTGATATGATTCTGCTTTCCGGTGTAATCCGCATTGAAATCATGCATGTGATCCAAGTCACAAAAATAAAACCCGCCAGCAACCAGAACGGCCATTTCCATAAGATACGATTTACATAATAAGCGAAAGAAATATAATTGGATTGGATTGTTACAATATCGGTATACGGTTCCTTATTGTTGTAATCACACAAAATACGGACAATTATTGTACCCAATATTTCCACTCGATCTTCAATTGTCTGTAAGCTCTCTCCGGGTATCTTATGATATATATCAGTATACTCGGTTATGTCTGCGCCTAATATCCAGCTCGTTAATATATTTCGAGTACCACTTGTACCTGGTTTTACCATGGTAAACATGTTTCTTAGAAGCATATAAGAGCTTTGTGTATACGTCTTTCCAAATGGAGTGATTATGGACACACGTTCAGTATGACATAAAGTATTCTGGCACGTCGTCGATGCAGTTGCATGTCCTAAATCAATGGTGCAGAGTACCCACTGATGTAAGTCATATTCTGCTAATTCCATTTTCATAGATACAGCTATCAAAGCACCCCAAGGAATAAAACTGTTTCCTGAGTCATCGTACTTATTTAAAGGAGGAAGCACAGGATCAAGGTCAGAGAAAGAATCGTTCTTTGGAACGATTCTACACGATACATTTGCAAAGGGTAATTCGCGCACAAACTTTGATTCACCTCTTAAACCATCGGGTATACTTTTGTCATAGTATTCATTTGTATATGTTGTGTTTCTATTTCGCAAGCTGTTAAAAGCATCTAAACTGGCCAACGGCTTCATTTCGTTCATTCCAATGATATATTCTGTAGCTGAACATGATTTATAATCCCTTGTATATGATGTCATGGTATTATTGAAAGAGACAGCACGTACACCCATAGATACAACCGCAAGTTGTTTTGTCATAGTACCCACAATTAAAACAATAAAAATTAAGAGTATACCGGACCATCTTCTTCCTGCAAATAGCAATGGTAAACACGCAGGAGAATATCCACGAATAACAGCAGCAAAGTGAGAGAAATTGGCTCCTTGGTATTTTATTAATGTGAATGAGACCACAAAAATAGTCTTCATCAGTGTAGCTACAAAACAGCCACCAATTACTGCCGACATAACAGACACAACAATTTTTGATTTGAGAGATTGGCATTCTTCGGATGTGGCACCTGTCCAGCTCCAGAAATGCTCTTGTTCGGCATGGATAACACAAACTATTATACCGATGGCTGGTATAAGTGTCCAAATATAGAAATCGAGGGTGCCAATAGTTCCCGTACGCAATGTATCACTTGAATCATCCTCAAGGCTACTGTTTTTTTCACAATCTTGCTTATGAATGGACATTTTGTGTGGGATAAAGTAGAAGCTTGGAAAAAAAACGGAAAATTGAAAAAAGCAAAACTCAATTTATAAGTGGACCCTCAAGTTGTTCTACATTTGTATAATTGTGCTGATAATATCAGAGCTGCAGATCCATAAATATTTTGAGCTTTTCCTGAAGTGCATGCTTCATTTTTACAATACCATATCTTGGTGGAAATAGAAACCCCATATCTTGTCAGCCAGATGGCGTTATACTTATTATAAGGGAGGAGGAGCTTAAACGCTATAGAGCCATACTTCTTTAATATCTAAATAATAGTAGATTTTATGGAACAGGTGTTAAATGTTCTTCAAACTGCAAATATTAGAACTTCTGATTCTAAATAGCAATTTACACTTATTATAAAAATAAAATAAAAACGAAGATTGCTCATATAGTAATTTATATAATTTTGCATTAGTTAAGATTCCTTAGCAGCTGATTTTACTGGCAGACAACTTCTATCTTGAGATTTATTATGTAGCCACAGTGTTATGTAACAAGTCTAATATTCTGTCTTTTTATAAAATCAATTATGCACAGTTCTGAAAAGCGGGCATCTTTCCCCGAAATGATGGCGAAGCTATACAGTCTTGCAGAAATGTTTTTTAATTGATGACACCTTTATTTTTATCATTCTTTTTGCTGTTTTGTTTCTATAATTTAACGATTTAACCCGCCACAGTCAAGTGTACAACTAACAAACGCATTTAAATAATCCAGAAACCTCAAATAAATGAAACCTTTCTTGTTATGCACAAATCCAACCCATTGACACTGTGTTTTATTTATTACAATATATCCCATAATTTGTTTCTTTCGCCGGCGATCTCTTTTGTAATCTACGCTAATTACAGATTTTAGTGTTTGACAATACTTTTATGTGCAGTTTGTGTATCATAAACCCGAGTGAGTTGGATCTTCGAAAAAAAAAAGTATTCGGTTAAAACACGGTCGTAGATCTCTCGATAGTTTAGATCTTCAATCCGAAAACTAGTGGGCAACAGCTTCTTTAAGGGCAAGCATTTTTTAAATTTTTTAATTATTGGGCTTCAACAGGATGTTGTCAGTGTTACCCCAGCTAGGCTCACCTTCTCGGATAAATTGATGGCAATTTTCGACCACATCTCGCAGCTCTATATTCTGAACACTACAAATAGAATATATTCAGAAACAAAATTACACCTACAACTAAATGACTAACCATAACCTCCTTCTGTAAACAATACTTCAAGTAGCGAATGACTCTTCTCTCAAAATGTTTAACGATTTACGATTGGTATAGGAGGTTGTAATATCCACACACGCCACGATTAATGAATCACTTGCGCCTCTTGGAAGTGATTCTTTATAAATTTCAAGTAAGTACATATGCACGGAAACTGTTCCAAGCAATCAAAAGTGTTGTACTTCCTTCCATTAAGGATCGTATATAATGGCCTTCAGTATGACTAAATTATAATATCCGAGTGGTACTTTCATATTATCGGGCATAATTTGCTACAGTCATCGATTCCGAGGTAGTATTTCTTCTTTTTATCTGATTTTTTCAGTCTTGACAATGAAACTTTGTATTTCTTTATGATCAGAGGAGCCCACTTTAAACATGTTAAAACAGCACTAGTAATCGTAAATGATATCACAAAATTACCATCATCTGCAGAAGCTTCTTTGTGATACCATTATTCAAATCATTCTTTGTTTGCATGTCCTTCGCATGGATATGCACACATGTTTTTTTCTATACGATACATGCGTTAAGTATATGGTAGCTGTTTACTTGTAAATATTTACCGTTGAAATAATCGTCATCTTCTTCTGCCTGTCTATTTTAGACATAACGTCGCTTTTCTTCTTGATAATATCTTTTTTAATCATGATAAAGCTAAGAGATGGGCAATAACATTTGCCCACAAGTTCGGTTTATGTCTAAAAGAATAAAAGAAAGACAGACGTAAAATGTATTTTCAATCACACTTTTAGATAAAATGATTGCGGGATTTTATCAGTGTTATTTTGCTGGACGAAATCGATTTTGCTTTTCCCTGCTTTTTCTTGGATGTAGTATAAAGGTTTCTGTATAAAGAACTCATGATGGTGTTGCCCTTTTAAGTTAGTCAAACGTTTGAGCTTGTCTATGACTTTTAACACTGTCAAGGCAAAAAAAAAAAGTTTCATGATATAAGAACCCCGTCCAATCACAGTTGTCTCCATTAACCTTCAAAGGACTCTTTTAAACATATATAAGCTACTATGTCACTATTTTTGTAACAAAGGTTTAATTTTATGTAATCTGCTTCGTATCTCGATGATTTAGTTCGATAATCCTATTATTATACGGCTATTATTAACATTATTCGCATATATGTAATATATGCAATATCTCTTTATTCCGGTAAGGTAAAAATAGCTTTTGCTTTATTTAAATTGTTTTCCTTTTCACCATTATTATGTAATATTGCATAATATTTTTAGAACACGTTGAAAGGTGAAATGACTAAAGGACAATGGCGTGTCTTTTAAAGACAGTTTGTGCATGGTTATCAGACGACCCCTACACCAAAACCCTTCTTGATATTGGATGCCGGCATTCGTCCCTACACCCGCCGTCGTAAGGTCTTCCGGCCTAGTCACCGCCTTAATTAACAATTTCTTTTTAGACTTTTAGAGCTCTCGTCAATATTCTATTTTTATATTTTTAAAATCTTGGAGCATTGTTTATTTGTTTATTTTTAAGTACCACGAAAATTGCCTTTTTAGAAGATTTGAACTGGTTGTGTATGGAAGCCTTTTTTTCTGGAATCGCCGGAATAGCTAGAAATCAGGCACCTGACACTAAAAATATCTACAAGCATTGGTAAAATTCATCAATAACAGACACATATGGATAGTGATAAACAATACTAAATCAGACTATAGGCGTATGTAATCGATTTTTGTACACGAAAAATGAGTCTGACTGATAATAAAAAACTGTTGCTCTGCACGTAGTCAAGAATATTTATGATTAATTTCTAATATTAGTAAGTTCTTTTTAAGGGTTCTAAGGAAACCTAATACAAGTTGCTTGATATTTTACCCGTTTTATTAACATTCTTATCTTGTCAGTCAAATACAGATACCTCAATCATCCAAAATGCCAACTTGTGAGAGAATTCAAAAAAACTGAAGAAAAACGAAAATATGAACCAGTTATCATGTTCCACATTATCGTTAAACAAACGCAGATAGTTGGTAATATATTTAGTTATATGACTAAACACTATTTTTCCCTTGATCAATGTGGAAGTTCCGGTACCATGCTTGAAGTATTAAATAAGATGGCCCGGATTGCATTTAGTAATATGTATTTAGGAAGCTTACAATTTAAAAACTGATCTATTGAAATAGTATGATTGTGATGTATAAATTACAATAACATTGGTAAGTTTATGGAGTACCGAATCTCTAAGTATTCCTTTTAAAAAAAAGGATGGCTTCTAAAAGGAAAAACTGTGCAGGCTTTGTGTACACAATTGGACAATCAAAGAATAGCGGACTTAACATACAGTGGGTAAAAATAAAAGTGAAATGATCATTGCTTTTCTTTATTTATTTTAGATGTTTTATCCAAACAGGAATTGTAACGTGAAAAACGTATCTATTGGAATTGACTCAATTAAGATTTGCCTTTGGTACACATCCAAACCAGCTCTTCATGCATTTACCCCGTGCAAATACCGAGGCCTGAATTTGTTTGTTTAATTGACAATAAGTTTCAGCGTATTTATAGAATGAATAGGAACAAAGAATATAATGCAAGATGTCACTATCAAGGTTTACAGTAGTCCCATACACGATTATTAATTCTTCAAGTATGAAGTGGTATTGTGTATGCTTCAAATCTCAAAAGGCTATCAACGAGGCTATCAACGAGGCTTGAACGGTGTTATAATTCATTATTAGAGTAAAAAAAAATGTCAGACTCTGCTGTTTTTCAAATATGTACTACTCAGAGACAGCTTCATACGCAAACGGTATGTAAACATTACCATCATTTCATTAGGTAATCATGCTCGGCATTTTGGGCTTAGCTATGTGATATCAACGTTTTTTTTACGCAAAAAGTAGTTCGGTGTATATTAATCAATACAAACAAAAGAAAGAAGAGCACGAACGATTTCGATTACATAAGGTATTACTGGATAAGCAAGAGATAATCATTCATCCCATTTTTATTTTTCCATCATGATTATTACCCTCGCCTCCTAGAACCTTATCGCCCCACCATGAGCATTGAGATCTCATATTATTAAATATACAAACTGAGATAAATAAATAACTGGGAGCATTTATTGAAATTAGTAACATGTCAAGGGACTAGGATAATTTTTCTGCCCAACAAGTTGGCATTGACCATGATCATTACTTGTTTGGGGGTACTTTAGAACCGCCATTTTTTCAGCTGTTCCAGGTCAGCCCGTAAACAAAAGATAATGATGAATGCCAAGGAGGACTAATTTTTGCTTTGTTTCTTTTCGAAAAGAACATCACCAATCAGCCATCTTTTGCTTAAAAAGTGTTGATGAAGCAGAAAATTAAGCTCAACAGAAAGCGGAGATAATAAGCAAACTAGCAAAAATTAAAGTATTATATATTAGCTTTTAGCCATGATACCACAACGAGTTAAAGCAGTTACTATCGTTACAAGTAATTAATCGTAGATGAGAAATAACAATAAAAGGAGAATTCGCTAACTGTGGGGATTTCAATATTATGGTCAGCGCCCGTTAAGGTATTCTGTCAAAGGAAGGATCGCATTAAGGGTTTTGCATGTACGTCATTCCCGAGTCCTTCTAGAGCACTGTGCTGCTTTCTATATGGGTTATGTTTCAGCTCCACCTGATTTGGTTCGGTGTTATTGGAACTTACGCTGATCACCCAAAATTATATTGGGCTAAAATTTTTCTGATTGGCTATGCCCAAAGTTTAGACAGACTAAAGATTGCTGTGTGTTATGTTATGGCAATTGTGGCTTTGAACGCAGCGTTTAAAGACAAAGAAATATGATATGCAAGGAGGGGGTTGAATATGAAGGAGCTAAACTGAGCCCCTCCTTCTTCTCGGTAAACAGAGTGTTAAGTTCTGAAAACTCCAGTTTATTTAGTGCGTGGCTGAGATCATTTTAATAATAAGAAAAAGGTTTAGATTGTTTATTAGTCTAGAACCTGTGATGGAGATTAAATATAGCATTTTTTTGATAGGCTCGTCTTTTTTATTTTTCAATAACCATTTGCAAGCTTTTTTTTATTTCATATTTGAATAGAGAAAGTTCTCCGTTTGCAGAACTAATTAAATCTTAATATAAATGGTGTTTGATCGATAACTCATAAAGGAATTTTATGTGTAACAACCATATCATAACCAATCACACCACCATTTTTATAAATAGAAACATTACAAAAAAAGATCGACGTCAAAAAAAGAGTAGTACCTTTTTTTTTTTTTTTTTTTTTTTCCTTTATAAACCCTCCTTAATTTCTTTTTATTTTATTTCTTTTTTTTCTTTCTTTTCCTTTTTTTCTTCTTTATTATTACAAAAAAATGATTCTTACCGAAAAGCCATCCAACATCTATACAGCGCCCTTAAGAGGAAATAGAAGAATGATTGTCTTCATTTTGGCCATCGTTTCATTTCTTGTTTTATCATTTTTCACATTTTCAAGATCCTCATTAAATTTGGGTGGGCCTTCTTGTGGAAGAACTATCCGAACACTGTCTGAAGCAGTTGCACTATCAAGTAGCACAAGTAACAACCATGGAGGACAAGCTAAATTCATCAACCTGAATGATTTGGATGCCACGGCTAACGCAAAAGATGAGCAAGAACATGTTTTAATTCTCACTCCCCTTAAAAATGCCGAAGCTTACCTTCCCAAATACTTTGAATTAATCGACCGTTTGTCTTACCCCAAAGATTTAATTACTGTTGCATTCTTGGTGTCCGATACGGATGATAAGACCGTCGAAATCTTAAAGCGAAAGGCAGATGAATTCTTAAACCGTCAAGACCCTTCTCAAAGATACCATGAAATTGCCATTTATGAAAAAGATTTCAATTTCCAATTACCCGAAGATAAAAGACACACCTTTGAACTTCAACCCTTAAGAAGATCCTTCATGGCCCGTTCAAGAAACTATTTATTAACCGCTGCTCTTCGTGAATATCATTCTTGGGTTCTTTGGTTGGATGTCGATGTTGTCAACTATCCTGAGTCAATTTTAGAGGACCTTCAAAGCGTGAATGTGGATGTGGTTGTACCCAACTGTTTGCTTCAAACTGAGGATAATTCTTTCTGGGGTTACGATAAAAACAATTGGCAGGAAACCGATAAATCGATTGAAATGCAAAAGGATCTTGATCCTGATTATGTCTTGTTGGAAGGTTATTTCGAATTCTTAACAAGTCGTTATCTTATGGTTGACATGCCAACGCATAATGATAGATTAGAAAAGGTTCCTTTGGATGGTGTCGGTGCTACTTTTACTCTTGTCAAAGCTCAAGTTCACAGAGAAGGTGCAAACTTCCCTCCCTATGTATTCCAACATCAAGTCGAAACTGAAGGCTTTGCAAAGATGGCTAAGGCAATGGGCTTTGGTGTGTATGGCTTACCAGGTTATCTTATTCATCACATCAAAAACTCATAGATATCCTTATCCCATCACATGTATTTGTTTCTCGTTGTTATCTTGAACAACACTCCCCTCCATTTGTTTATTTATTTTTCCCTCCCTCTGCAATCATACATATAATACCTTGAAAAAACAAAAAAAACTCTCACTTGGCTAAAATCATTACTCCCGCATCATAACTTAATAACATTCACAACTCGAATCACTAATACACTACTACTTACTAATTCTAATAAAGAAAAAAAATTTTACACGCACAAACAAAGTCTTTCCACCCCCCCCCCCCGTAAAAAGTAAATCAGGATCTAAACTAGTCTGTCCTTTGTGTTTAACCTTGTGATAGCATGTTTCTGTATACATGATACATGATAGGCAATATTTAGATGGCAAGAGAGTAACGGTAAGTGAACTTATTCGTTATTGGTTGATCGCCATTCAAATGTTATCATATTTCCAATTTTGAATTACACAAGCTTGTATATAAACGGTAAGCACACACGATTTTCTGTAAATGACTGTAATAGAAGAGTCGATCCCCGCCCGTGTTATGGTAATACCAAATAAACTACTTGTCGTGTGCAACAACTTATATTGCCACCCAAAAAGAAAAAACGAGACAAAAAAAAAAAAAAAAAACGAGAACAGGCAAGAAACTTCACACTCTTATAGGATCTGGGAGGGAGTATTCAACTATCCGACTCATGTATTATTGACTTGTTTCATTAGCGTGTAAAGACAATGAAGAGCCAGTCAATCTGGAACTTTGTATTTCAAATGTACCACACGGCACAGCATACATTATAAGCTGTATGACATGCATTGCTCGGATCACCTACAACTCAGCGAGACGCTAATGCATGCTAGTATAGTCATCACGGTGGAAAATCTACTCAAGGGGTGCATATGGTACATCCTTAAAAATCCAGATACTTGCATCAAGATGGTATATCAAGAAAAACCTGCTGTATGTGTCTCATTTAAGGAGTAAAAAAGTAAATATACTCACGTACAAAGAAAGATATTCATTATACATTTTTTTGACAGTAGTACAGTCCTTGTTTAACCATCCTCGAACAACACACTCTATATTCTTGATCTCTCTTCTGGTTGGACAAACCGCCTAATCTTCTCAAAAAAAAAAAATCATCCTGTTAGAATCACCAAAGGGTTGGGTCTATATCAAGACTTCACAGACAAAGCAGGAACGTCTTTTTAGCCAGCCACAAAAATCTGAACCCTTTGTATGTTCTGTGCCTGATTTTTTATTTCAATTTCGTGACCTTTTCCCCTTTCGTCGGTGCTGTAAATGAATGTGTGTGTGTGTTTGTGTGTCTTTTTTTTTTTTCACTCAATCACCATCTTTCTTCATTGATTAAAACATGATGGATAGCGCTCCTAACTCACCTCCCTCTAAATCTGAAGTATGTAAATCAAGTAAATATGAGTTGAATCAGCAAAATTAACCCACACTCTTTCTAGGAAAAGAGATTCAACAAAGACGAAGTCACTTCATTCATAAAAGAAGTTAGTAAGAACCCAACGCAATAACACGTTCAGGACAGGGAGAGAGACTAATTTCTTTCTAGACCGTTGAAAACACACTAGGAGATGCTGAATATTCCCATTCCAAAGTTCCTGCTTTGAACAATACCATTATCGAGACCATCTTGAAGAAAATGAAGGACGATAATAAAAATTACAAATATGTTGGTAAAGTATACAGGGCCCAGGGCATTAGAGGGTCATACTAACAGTCGTACATAGTTACATGTGTTATTTTACAAAGAACAGGTGCTGGATTTTATGCTGGTAGTTCTGTTATCTGGGATAAAAATAATGATGGTTCGTATATCAGAAAAAGTGATCTAGAAAGAGTCCCAACCTGAATATTGACTCTTTTTTTTTATCATAGACAGCGCAGGTTATCGACATGAAACTAAATCCATGTATGCTGTTGTCAATGTGTTTGGTTTAAGCATATAATGAGTCGGCATTATTTATTTTTTATATCATTATTCATATTAAAAAATATTAAATCCCATCAACAGTAATATCGTTTAAAGCAATAGGCTTGATGTTAAATCCTAAACTTTCAAATCCCTTTTGAATGTCTACGTTTTTGGTAGGAGTACTAACCACAACAACATTACTTGTATCAGGCTTGAACATATTAACAAAGTATTTGTTCAATACATTTTGCAAAGCATCCAACTTGACAGCCTAATAAAAGATAATTTTTTTTTTTAGTAAATTGACTTATTCGCCTAGCATGAAATTCGAACTTACTTGGATGGCAATCAACATGTCTTGATTGTAAGAAGCAGGCATCTTCTTCAAAACTTGGTTGACAAACGACTGGAGTGCAGCGCGATCCATCGTATTCTCTTTTGCAACCAAACCATAAATCACTGCACTTTTAGCTCCATCAATCGACGCAGGATCGATTTCCATTTCACGCTTGGCTAATTGCTCAATAACAATTTTAGCTTGCTCAAATGCCTTGAAAGCATTAGGTGATTGATAAATAGTGAAATTAATCAAACCAGATTCAATATTGGCATCCAAATAACAGGAATAAGCCAAGCCTTGGCCACGGATCAACTTCCAAAAAATACCCTCCATCGTGTCTAATAATTCAATCATGACTAGAAGGGGTGCAATATCAGGGTCGTCGAAGCGACTGGGTCCACTAACTGAATGAAGCGAGAAGGAATTTTCAATCGCAGGTAAAGTCACAATCAGCCCATTGTTTCCGGGCTCTAATCCAGCATGGCTAAGTACTTGCTTGGACAAAGTGATAGCAGATAAAGGTTCTTTAGCTTCATTGGGTGAGAAATCCTTGAAGGCTGTCTTAGGCGTATCAAGATTCAAAATATCACCAGTGATGTGGATTCGAAGATTCTTGGGTGCACATACTTGAAAAAAATTAGTACTATTTCTTTGATTTACACAAAAAAAAAAAAAAAAAAAAGACTTACAAGAAGAGCGGTATTCCTCTAATTCAGCAATGACAGATGCAGGATCGTCTTCTAATCTTTTTACAACGTCAGTCAAAAAGGTGTTTTGGAACAAGACATTACGAGCAGCATTGACAGATTTTTTAGGATCGTATTGAAGAGCACGCATCGTAGCACTACCCATCTATAAAAAGCAGGACATACTTTCAGTAAACATATTCTTAAAATATACTAACTTTTTTTTTTTTTTTTTTTTACGTACATCATGTCCATCTCTCTTTGCCTGAGGAATATCATTCAAAATTTGAGAAGCGACAATTTTCAATCTTTCGGCAGTAAATTTGGTGTTCCATAAAATATCGTGAAGCCATTGCACAGCCTTTTCAAATTTGGAAGCGCTCACCTTCAATGTAAACACAGCCAACTCTCTAAATCCAAAGTTGGTTCCAAGACTAGCATCATACTCAACTGTGTCTTCTTCTAATCCCTTGACAACATCTTCGAAAGAAATCAATTGACCATCCTTTTCGATAGGAAGGGAGAAGATTGCCTTCAAATAGAGCTTCGTGTAGGGAAGTAACTTGGAGGGAATCGAAGAGGCGCTGATATGAGCAGAGAGCTTGACAAAATGAGATTTGACGTCTTAAAGCAATTACATTAATAAAATTACGTTAGCATAGCAATATGTACTTACGATCAAATTGAATAAACAAAGGTACATCTGCACTGTTATCCTTATTAACATGCTCTTGTACCTCATTCGACCTAATTTTTTTTAATACCAAATTCGTAACGGTGTACATACAACATCTTTGTTATCAAACTTACAAGGTTGTGTCGTTATTTCTAGCAGTAACGACATTTATAAATTTGATGGTTGCAGCAGAGGGAATTTTGAAACCTTCCAAAAGCTCATTAGGAATAGGTGTATCGTTCTTGGCCATAGCATCATCCAATTGCTTTTGAAGTTGATCCAACTTTTCCTCGCCGAGATCCTCACATTGCTTCTCGATACGGTTCTCCTCGTCCTCCGTTTGTTGCTCAGCAAATTCTGCAGATGGCTTTCCGTATAAGGTGACATGGGGAGCATCAAGATACCACTTTTGAAGGACTCTTAACCAATCTTCGATCGTATACTTGGCAAGGATATTCAGGTACTCTTGATCCTTGACAGATTCTTTAAGGTCTCTGCCGTCAGGGGAGCCGTACAAGAAGTCTGAAATAGCAACAGCAGCAGCTGTATCATGGGCGTCTGTTTCAGCACTATCTAAGAGCTAATAGGATATTCCTGTTTAAAAATTACTGCCCACTAAAAGTCATTAGAAAGCTCACCTTCAAAGTTTCCTTTTCAATCACAGTAGCCATTCGGGTCATATCAATATCCTTTGTATCAACCAAACGTCTCAATGTTTTAAAGAGTTCTGTAGGGAAGTTCTCAATTTCTTCAATAGGCACACTGGAGGCAGTAAACATCAAGGTGGATTTTAAATGATCGGTGATGTGGAAATCAACGTCGGTACAAAGAGCATCCTCAATCTCAACAAACTCCTTTTGTAAGACGGAAACGGGTGAGTCCGTAAGATAGACGTTTAATACTTCCAACTCTTTTTGAGCGAGATAATTCTATTTCCATTGGTTGTTAATATTCAGAATGTCATTAGGTAACGAAAAAAAAAAATCATTATCGTCTTACATGACACATGGGACCGTTCCACGCAAGAAGTACAGAACCCATGGATTCATCTTCATCCGCGAAAAAAACAGTTTCCGTTATATCCTCTTTGAGGTCAGGGAAATCTCCTGTACTGATCCAAGGTCTTTGCATCTCAGGAAGAGGTCCCTTCTTAATGATCGATTCCTCTACAGGTTCCAACGCTTTTAACAAATCGTCCTTATCAACTTTACCCGTGATAATTAAACAGAGATTGTCAGGTCTGTAATAGGACTTATGGTAATCGCGAACTTAAAAAAAAAGGGGGGGGGGATGGTCAGGATCAACAAGCAAGTATCAATAAATAAATAAAAAATAGCTTACTTTTATCGACAGATAATTCTCTCAATCTTTCCATAAGGCCACCAGTTTCTGATCTATAGCCACATGTCTCGGGGTACATTATTCTCTTCATACGAAGATGAAGTCTATCATCACCCAAGTTTTGACAACCTTGCATTTCACTGTAAACAACACCAGCATCCTCTCCCTTTCCATTAATATGATGGACTTCGGTATGATAGCCTGTTTCCGTTAAGGTTGGATATAAGATATGATCGACGTAGATAGGTAAAATGTTTAAAAATCCTTGGGATCCTGCTGTCGTGATGGTGTAACAAGTGTGATCGACATCTGTCCAAGCATTGGTACCTTGAGCAATAGCACGATTGGCAAGTGAATCAAGAACGCCCTACTTACGTGTCAATATCAATGCCGAAAAAAAAGAGGGGGGGGGGTGGTTGATTGTCTTTTTTTTTTTTACCTTGTAAGGATATTGTTCACTTCCTAAAAACACAAGACTAGTTCATTGTTAATAGTGTCAATTATATGTTTAATTGATAAACCTACTGTTCCAAAGTATGAGGACAGCCAAAATCATCAAAACCTAATAAAAAAATATTCAGGGCAAATTTAGTTGGTGATACAACAACAAAAAAAGGAAAGTCTATTTACTTTCAGTAGCCAAGGCGAAATAACCGTTGACAAGAGGAGCTGAATATATATATATATAAAATAGTCAGAACTTGTTTGCCAAGCATTAAATACATTTCATCTCTTTTACCCTCAATGTCGGCTAACATGACAGTCAAACCTGTCTTCTCACTCTTGAACTTTGTAAAAGTAACACCAAAATCAGTGGGGACTGTGCAGATCTCTTTAAAGTTACTCATGTGTAATAAGAAGAAGCCATTTCCTACAACGCGCGTTTTTCTCAACCTAAGCATTTCTTTTTTGACCGTCACACTTTCCACCCCTTTTCTTGCATTAAACTTATTTCCCCACCCACACCCAAACACCCATCAAGTTGATAGAATTGAGGAAGCTTATTATGATTAAATAAACAATCTGTGATACAACAATCACTTATATAAAATATTTGACTATCTATCTTGCTTGTTAAATAAAGTTTATAAACAATCGACAAGATAAACAATTTATTAACTTTTCCTTCATCTGGTACCTTTTTTTTAATGTTTGCGTGGGTGTCTGTAGGGACTGCTGGATATCTTCTTCCAACGTATTTTTTTAAAATATGTGGCTTGCTTGGTTTCGACAGCTTCGAAAAAAAAAACCCCTCCAGGACATAACGTCAATAATTACCCCGGTGAAGAAAATCAGATAGAATTCTGCCTGAAGCAATATGAGAAATAGTTGGGCGAGAGCAAAAAGTGGCAGCTCTGCTATAGTAAAACAACCAAAAACTAGAGCACAGTCTCATACCATTATCGAGGCTATTCACTCGTCTAGCGTTGTTCACGTTGTCATAAGAAAAGCTCTACCAGGAAAAGAAACACAGGCTGCTAAAAAAAAAGAAAAAAAAAGAAAAGCTAATAATGGAGTTAACGACGATCCTGCTGATAATAAACCAGCTCCAAAAGGTACGACTACTGCTCATTTTATCAAGTTTATGAACGAGCTTCTTAATGTAATAGATCTTGATGAAACTTTTAAGGGAAGTTACATCATTATGGATAATGCTTCTATTCATAGATCCAAGCCGATGTTACGGAAAATTGGAAGTAAAGGCTACCTCCTTATTCACCTGAATTGAACCCCATTGAATAATTTTGGGTAATAGTTAAAGGGAAAATGAAGCTTGATCGGCTTATGAGTGAAGAAAACTTATCTAATAGGATTGTCGATGCCTGTACTTTTTTTTTTGAAGGGTAGGGGAATAACATTGATATTTTATTTACATATTTGTATATTAAGCAAATATCGAACTTGATATTATTCTTGTTTTTCTTGTTCTTCTTGTTCCTTTGTAAATGTTGCTTCTTTTATTCTATTACTCTCTGGAGTAAAGAACACTGATGGTGTTGCGGGGATGTTAGAGTCACAAGTCGAGGATCTAACAACACCGGAAAGCTGTTGGTCCGAGCATTGGTTCACCACCAAGAATACCCATCTCGCCTAAGAAGTCTTTCCATTTAAATAATACCTCCACTGTCTTTTTAAATGATTCAAGATGAGTAATATCCGTGGGCAATAATAAAGTTGAAATGGTGTTCGCTAGGACGAGGATTTTCTGCGGTAACGCAAATGAACTTGGAGACATCAGCGTGGGTCCCGGGAAGAGTTATCTTTTCTTTTTAACAATTTTGTTGTACATACACATTGTCTTTGAATGTTAGACAATACATATAACCATCCGTACCTATAAAGTTAAACCAAGTGAGAAGGGATACAATATATCATCATCTATGGTTTACCTATGAAGTCGATTGCAACAAGTTTGTTAACTTTTCCACTGCTTCGAATAAATAATTCATTTAAAATTGAGCAATTAGATCGAAAATTTTTACTTTGCTGCTGAATATACATGTGTTTTGTTTGTTTTGATTTCCATTCGTTGGAGCCCAAGCCAACCTTCAAGCCCTTGATTCTTAACAATAAATCAATTTTTCTACCAAAACAGATGATCAAGCTTCGTAATTGACATTTTATAGAAGATTTGCGATGTTGCTACAGACTTTGTTTTTAATGATCTTAATATGACTTTGGATGATGGTGAAATAGTTGCAAAAGCCACAAAAATACCAAAACAGCAAAGTGTACATAATGTCACAAGCTGTTTTGGTATTTTTGTGGCTTTTGCAACTATTTCACCATCATCCAAAGTCATATTAAGATCATTAAAAACAAAGTCTGTAGCAACATCGCAAATCTTCTATAAAATGTCAATTCTGAAGCTTGATCATCAATCGGTTTGTACAATAAACCAAGTGAAACGTCAGTTTCATGATTTTCGGCTGATATTTGAGTTGTTTCAGAGGAAGAGTCGCCTTTGTCAGCTATATCGAATCGAGGACCCAAAAAACGCGGTGATGGTGTGCGCAGACTATAAATAGCAGAGCCTACACTGTGACCTTCAATAGGGCCAATCAACCACTTATGGGCATTTCCATCGACTGTAATTTCACCAGAATCAGTAGAATGAAAGGCCACAGTACCAGGATTGAGTAAACGTCTTCCTTCATCAGTGGCAGAGCGTTGTGCTTCTATTAACAAGTCTAATGCGCCTTCGTGGTAACTTGACTTTAATCGTTTTCTTCTTCTGCTTTTGTCAATGATTGAATTCCAAATGAGATAATTGTATTGCGGCTTTTTTAAATTCCTTGAGGTCTCGTTGAATTCACCATAAGTTTGCCTATACCTTTCATACCAGATACCAAACAAAACAGGGCCTGTATTTGCATGATCTTCAATTGACCACATGGGAAGCATATCAATATTATCGTTTACGAATTTAATAAAGGACGGCTTCTTGTTGCCATTTAAATATTTTTCAAGTTCTTCATAACTAAAAGGTATGTCATTTTTGGGAATGTTTAGACCTCCGTATTTTTTTTCAAACGTAATATTTTATACCACTTACAGGAATTCTGGCCAAGACCAGAAGGCCAGTACGATTACACCTATTTACAGTGCAATCCCTGCTATTCACAGTCCATGAGTTATAAAAACTCAATAACTCTGCCTAGGAGGTCGCCCTCCTATAGCAAAGACTAGCCGCAGCCGCAATATCGCAATATTTCTTTTTCGATTAAGCATCTTTTGAAAGAAACAAGAGTCATTAATAACTAACCTTTTTACGCTATCGGTTACTTTCATATGATAGAAGAAGTATGTTAAAGGAAAAGAAAAGGAGAAGAATAAAGTGTGTGAACCAGCTTTATTTGTAGGCTGATAAACAAGATTATGTCAGGATGATTTCATTTGTCTGTTTTACCATCCATAATGTTTGAGCCTTTACTTAAAATAGAAACACTTGCGCGGAGATCTGTCGTTTTAGGCAGTTCAAACTTTTTGATAAATTGAAGAAAATTTCACCCACACAAGTGGAAAGCCCGTCGCGATTTACTATCTGAATTATATTTGAATTTCACAGACGCGTTCAGTTCGTAGTGTATCTTATTTATCAGAATTCTATTGTTTTTGGTGCTTTAGCAGTATCAAAAAGTTAAAAAAAAAAAATTACGTTTCTCTTGTCAGACACCTGGCAGTAGAAGCTTCATGCGTTGAGCTAATTAAACTAGATAGATACGTATCAGTTTTATTATTATTATTATATACGCATACAAGAAACCATCAGATTTGGATATAGATATCTATCCATTTAGACAAGTCTAGTCGAGTCTCCTAGTAGTAGTGGTTCCTCAAGAAGCCCCGAGGAAAACTGTAACAAATCGATTACATTTAGAGAAACTGTGATATATTTAAGCCGTAATTATATCACCAATTCTCATTTTTTTTTTCTCTTTTAGATATATTCGAGTACTGATTATACTTTACCGGGAGTTGTTTCGATGACGCACAAGACATGAAAAAGATATAGAAAGTGATTTGAACATTTATTGCATAAAGTAAACTTGTAAGCAACAACCAAATTAAAAAGAAAAAAATGGAGACAGTCAATGCTTGACTGTCAATTCCTTAGTGCAACCCTCACCAACTTGAACTGATATAGGATGAATCATTATTTTCCATTGGCTGATCATAATCAAAATAGATGACTTTTATTTTTTACTCCCCCCCCCCCCTTCTTCTTCTTTACACCGTTCACACATGATTATGAATAAATGGAATAATATACCAAATGAAATATTAAAAACCATTGTCCAAAACACACCCCATACACCAAATCCCCATTGGATGTATGTCAATAGGCAGTGGTTAAACGTGTATCAAGCAATATCATTTAACGCCATATCAGTGAGATTGAAACCCTCTGATAAGACCTTACATAATATACTCTATTCCCTTTTTGAGCCTGGTAGATGGGTCAAAAAAGTAAGAATAAGGGTCATCGATACACCACCCGACAATAGCCAGATCGATCCTTCCACCGACTCGCTCTCTAATCTCATGCAACGATGTCCTTACGTCAACCAAGTCCATTTGGTGGAGGCCAATGATCAACACTGGGCTTATTTTCGAAACGTGCTCCTTTCAAAAAGTCATGATAGTTGGGACCGCATCCGTTATCTGGAGCCTTCCTTTTGCAAGGATGATACTTTGATCTATTCAATGTATTTGGATTGTGCTCTTCATCTAAAGAAAACATTGGTAGCACTTTCACTCAAACAGGTAACCATCTATTCAAGTCGTCGTCTCCAGTTTTTCACAGGCTTTGAATCATTGACAACTTTAACCATCATGGATGGAAATTTCTTGACCAGCAAATTCGACCGAGAAATCCTAATTCAAAATTTGCCTTCCTGTACTTCAAGCCTTACCGTCATCAACGCTCAGTCTACAGCCCATGATTTCCATGCAACCGGTACTACTCGTGTGTCTGATAATGCTACCACCATTTTTTCGAATATCAAGGAACTCACCATCATCAACTTTGACACTCAATCGGACAATGCATTTTTGCAGCTCATCCACGAGTTCCCCCACCTCTGTAAATTGACATTGACAACAAATGAAGATATGAACTTTTACGTAGCTATCCATCCTTTCACTGGGAAAGACAAGGTGGGTGTTCATATCCTAAATGCCTTCTTTGATTACATACACGCAATAGCATCCGTTGAACTCGTGCTTGGTTTCTATAATACGGATATGTTCCTCCAACATTATTACAATTATCACAATAGCAAGATAGATCAAGGCAAAGCTAGCGTTATAAACGAGGTCTCCTTTCAGCAAACCTTACCCCGTGATACTATAATCAGTCAAGACGTTTCTCCTCAAGCCTTCAGCAGCAACGATATTTCAGCACACAAGGTTGAGATTAATATAGAAGACGGACAGACCAAAGTGGAAGCGTACTTTTGGAAAGAATTTGATGTGTGGCAATTGGAGAATAGAGTGATTGAAGAGATTTTATTTTATGGTATACGCTCTGAACTCTTTCGACCTACAATCGATCTGGGCCGAATGTTGGCTAGTCATCAACACTTGCGTCGATTGACACTTCAGGATGGCCCGTTTCTGTTAGAGCTACCCGATACCACTGACCATGTGCAATCGACAGTGCAATATTTGGAACTTTTAAATGTGATTGGAGTCAATCCGACTGCCATTGCTAGCATGTTTCGCTATTTAAAAATACTTCATTTAAGCTACACGGATTATTTTCTTAGAATGGGATGTTGGATCTACCGCATTCTTTGTTGGCGTACCAGAACTAGCGGTGGATGTTTTTCAAATCACGTATTTTACGTATTCAAGAAGTTCAGCACCTACATTAGCTATTCGTGTTCATGCCAAGGAGAAAGGCAAAGTAAGGTATCTGGCTTGTAATCTCCAAACTCAGTATGAAATTGATTACGCAAGGTTTGAGTCCCTGAACGAATCCCCTCATGTAGTGGTATTGGGCGTGACATTCAAGTCGATTCGCAAGTTTATATTCTCCAGATCACGCATATACAAGGTCGATCATGAGGTTGTGGTATATTTTTAGTTTAATAATAATAAAATGTGACTGTATGATTATCTAAGCAAAGCTGTCAAAATTGAAAACAAAAAAAAAGAGAATTATTTTTATTATAGTAAGAAAAAAAGGGTAGATTTATTAGATTGGGGAAGGAGTAAAAGATTTACTCTTCATCATCTTCAGCAGCACCACCGGCGGCAGCAGCTCTCTTTCTCTTGACACGACCGGCACGACCACCACCGAGGGGAGAGGTCAAAGCAAAGTCGATGTGCTTTTGAGAGTCCAAACGAACGATGAAAGAAGGAACGTTAACGATTTGCTTACCGACACGAATGTGACGTTGACGGATGAGGACACGAGCATGATGGATAGACTTGGCAAGTCCCAACTTGAAGACTTGGGTTTGGAGACGACGTTCCAAGAAATCTTCAATCTTGAGGGCAAGAACGTAATCAAGCTTCATGCGAGATTCGTCAAGGACACCAATACGCACAAGACGACGAATGAGGGCATTACCTTCAAAGAGACGACGAGGATCCTTCTCATCCAACTTTAAAAGCTCACGAGCAGCACGACGAATCTTGGAAAGAGTAAGTCCGACTCTCCAGATTTCCTTCTTGTTCTTGAGACCGAACTCACCAATCAACTTGAGTTCTTGATCAAGACGAGCAGCCTCGAAAGGACGCTTGGGGACATTAGAAGTCTTACTATAAGTTCTGGTGGTTCCAGTCATTTTGTAAAAAAGAGAAAGAATCAACTCATTTGCAAAAAAAAAATTTAGAATTATAGGGGGGAGGGCGGGCCCTGCCCTTTGGTCCAATCATTTCTCGTTTTTTTTTTTTTCTCTCTCTCTTTTTTTCGATGGCTTTGAAAAGTTCAACGTGACTCCTTTTAATCTTTTTTTACCAGCCTGTGAAAATTTTTTCAGCTGGCTTGTTTTGAAAAATTTTTTTTTTAGGGAGCAGCCCAAGCTGCGGGGGGGTAAAACTAAGGATTCCCCTTTGAACAACAAAGACTCTTTCTCTTTTTTTTTGTGCAAAGTTTGACAGGTAACCTTCTAATCTGTACATCTTGTCTGATTCGCTAAACATCTAGTCTTTTATACTACAGAATGCCTCACTCTTTCGGTCGTAAGTACACGCACACACACATACACCTTGTTGTCTATACCATGAGCCTAATTCACTTTTTAATCTAGTCCGTGCTCGTACCCGTCACATGTTCTCTCGTAAGTTCAGAGAGCATGGTTCCATCCCTCTCACCACTTACTTGAAGACTTACAAGGTTGGAGATATCGTTGATATCAAGGCCAATGCTGCCGTCCAAAAGGGTATGCCCCACAAGTTCTACCACGGGTAAGTTTCTTTTTTGTATATTTTTAGTCTCATTCTCTAATCTCTTTTGCACATGAAATAGTCGTACCGGTGTCATCTACAACGTCACCAAGTCTGCCGTCGGTGTCCTCGTTCACAAGAACGTCGGTAACCGTTATTTGGAAAAGCGTGTCAACGTCCGTGTTGAACACATTAAGCATTCCAAGTGTCGTCAAGAGTTCTTGGATCGTGTTGTTACCAACGCTCAAAAGAAGAAGGAAGCCAAGGAAGCTGGTGGTAAGTTTTTTTTTTTTTTGGAATGCTAAAAAAAAAATTTTTTTTTTTACGTTGTCAATGGTTTAATCTTTTTTTTTTTTTTGTATAGTTTCTTTCAACTTGAAGAGACTCCCCGCTCAACCTCGTGAGGCTCGTCATATCTCTACCAAGTTCAACGTTCCCCAAACTATTGCTCCTATTGCTTACGAAACTCTTTTGTAAACAATAAAAAAAAAAGCTTATTGTTTATTTTTTTTAATTCTATAAAAAAAAACGTTGTTGGGCAGTAATTTGCACAGTATTCGATAAAATAAAAATAAAAAAAATGTAATTGATTTTCATTTAAACACCTTACAACTTCTTTTTTGTTTTCTGTACTTGTTCTTTTCTACCTTTGCTATTTTAGTTTACCATGAAAAAATCCATAAGCCAAGCCATCCATTTTTTCTTTTAATTCGAACTCATCTCCCTATCCCACCTCACTCAATTAAAAAGGGACATGCACAAATTAACCTTTTTTTTTTTAAAAAAAAAAAATCGTCTTTTTAACCCTTAAATGTCTTTATCCCTCTTGAGAACCTCGTTAAGGCATACAAGGTAAAATTTATTTTTGAACCCATTCCCCCTTCTCATACACCCCACTAATAATACCTAATTTAGACCCTTGACTTTGGCATATCGTCCTTTGCCATCGGTCAGATACGTTCGTATTCTCCAACCCCACACAAGAACGTTTTCTTCCACCTGGATTAAATACAACGACCTCAAAACCACGACAACCACCACCAGTAACAACAGCACCGAAGCGAAACCCGTGGTTACGGAACAAGTCGCCGTTGCCAAGGGTCCTACTTCTCGTATCGGCAAGTTCATTCAAAACTCCAAAGACCTAATTCGTTTCTACAAGGATGGATTAAAGTTACTCTGGAGCAACAATAAAGAAGCAAAGGCATTACAGCTTCGAGTTCAAAACGAAGGGTATACTTTGAATCGATCCGAGTTCCAACTGATTCATCAATCTAAAAAGGACATGTTGAAACTTATTCCTTTTGGTTTTGTCTTTATGATTTTGCCTGAATCTGTAAAGTTACTCCATGTCAAACACAAACAAAAAAAAAGAAGTCTAATGTTTTTTTTTTTGTTGAAAACTTAGATTCCTTTGCTTGTCATGTATGTTCCTGGTATGGTTCCTGGAACTTGTCTTAAAGACAGTCAAGTGGTACAAAAAAAAAAAAAGATGAACCTTCCATGCACCAAGTGTACTAAACTAAAAAAATATATATACAATAGCAAAAGACACGTGAAAAGTTGGACAAGGTACGTCAAAAGATGACTGCCAATGTATTGAAATCTGCCGAGAAAGTGGATGGTGTAAGTTAATCTATATCTTTTTTTTTTTTTTACATGTAATTGCCTCCCCTTCCTTCCAGAAAACTCAATTCACACTCACTTAGATTGCACCCGCTGACTTTTTATCACTGACGAAATTTCAACGTATTGCCAAACACTATGCGTATGATTTTGATTTGATTAGAATTGATAGACCTCATCTCGCATCTTACTGCAGGTAAAAGGAAGAAAGAATACAAACGAAAAAAAAAAACTACTTTGTTCTAATTTGGGATTAGATTTATGGGAATTAACAATATCGGAACGCAAGGTATGCTTAGAAAGAGATTAGAGAAATACATGAATTATATCAATGAGGACGATAAGGTAAAAGAGATATTTACACAATTGAGCAAAGAGTCTGTGAATACTCACTCTTAAAAAAAAAAAAGCTCCTCCTGAAAGAGAATGTGGATGAATTAAATATCAAGGAATTGAGTCATGCTGTAGAAGAACGTGGTATGAGATCCATTGATCAAGATGAAGAGAACATGAGACGTGGCTTGAAATATTGGTTATCGCTTACACATCCAGCAAACCCTGAAAACACAATCCCTGTTGGTTTACTCGTCTTTAGTAGAATGTTTTTACTTAATGCAAACTATAAAGGAAAGCAATAATTTTATTGTTTTTTTTTCTTTCTTTCTTTCTTTTTCTTTTTTTTTTTTTTTTTTTTTTTTTTTTTCAAAATGAATGAAGACGAGGTACACCTCTATTTTTTTTTTTTATTATTATTATTATTTCCCAATGTCTTACTAGAACCTTTCCCCTCCCTCCCCTCCTCCCTTTCACCTAGATCAGGAAAAGAAAACTCGTGTTTTCACCTGCGAGAGAGAAACATGACACTACATTACGTCCCAAACAAAGTCCTCACAAACTGTTACGCATGATGAGTCAATGTAATGAAGAAAACCATGCTTTATATATCTACATTTATATTTTAACCTTTTTCCCCGTATGTTCTAGTTAAACCAGTAGTAGAAAAAGTCAGTTCAGAACCTACTACTATTGACCACGCCAACAACAGTCGACCAGAAACAACCAAAAAGCCTCCTCTTGTCTCAGAAACCTTCCAAAGCCGTTATTCTGAACTTCAAAAGAGATATGATGCACTGCCAGTACTGAGTGCAAGGGAGACTGCTCTGAAAAATGTTCCCAAAGTACAACTCCTTCGTCACAGAGCACGTCATGAAGACATTGACAGCGATAATATGAGCTACAGTTACCATTCAAATACGAATTACTCTCGTCTGGACTATCGACCTCCACACACCATGGAAGACGATGTGATGAGTATAGCCACTCAAGATATGCTCATAGACGAAGACAATGCTTCCATCGTATTAGACACACAAACCATATCCGCTCTACGAAGAGCACGAGATGAAGAAGTCGAACTTCCTTTTCATGCTACACTACAACCGTCCATCTCAAGTCAAGCCTCTCGCTATTCGGGTTCATCTATTCATAGTACACGTCTACCTTCCATCCCCCCTCCTCCATCACCACAACAACTACAGCAACAACCACAACAGCAAGAACACAATTCTGTTTATAGCATGTCGGTTCACGGTACATCAGAATACAGTCTCCATCGATCAGCAACATCGATTTCTAGCACGCCTCGTGATACACCGTCGGTTCAGAACGGTCTTGATCTTGGCCCACCTCGATCGGTTCATAGCGACGACCATTTACCTAGCTTACTTCACGAAGACGAAGACGAGCGAGAACAGTCTATCCCAGCAGACCTAACACCTCCTCCTCCTTCTTCTTCAGGCGAACAGAAGGAAGAGCCTGCCTATGCAATTCATACGCAGGATCTTCAATTGAATAAGGGCATACAAGTGAACGATTCCCCTGATCTGGTCGATAAGCCACTAGTGCCGAACAATTTTAGAGCGAGCCATGACCTAATGAATGATGACAATCCTGTAGCTGATACGAACTGGGGTGATGATGACTATGGTCAGAGTTGGTCAGACAATGAATTAAAGTATATATTTTCCACCTTATATACAATGATTATTATTATTATTTTAATTAATGTTACTAATCTGGCTGCATTAGTGACACAACTTATGAGCCTCAGACAGGGATTTTACCGGGAACTTTTGAAATGAATCAGCCTAGGTAAGTCCAATGTGTGTGTGTGTGTGTGTGTGTTTTATGGCTTGAAACAATATAGATGGATCACTGTTGAAACTCATCCAATATATATATATGTAAAGACCTCATATCACTTTACACAAGGCGATTACAGGAAAGGAAACAAAGCGGCTGTTTGAGCAAAGGATGCCGCATAATATGAAGTCGTTTGTTTCTGCCAATGAATTGGTAAAAATGTAAGTGAAAATTACACAAGAGAGAGAGAGGAGAGAGAAAGAGACTGAAAATGATCATGGGTAGTAAAAACATGTATTTTGATCAATTGGTGAGCGATCTTCAGCAAAGTAAAGAGAACAGTACGAGTCTTACAACAAACGATGTTCTTTTGCTGATGAAAAGGTATAAAAATAGAAACCCCATTTACATTATGGGCGAAGTCTAGAACTAACCAAGAAAAAAAAAAAAAAAAGACAACAGATTTTAAATGATAGAACCAGTATCAGTTTGTTAGCACGTAAACATTTACCAAGAGAATATTCTGATAGATTATGTCAAGCAGCGATCAAGTATAATGATGTTTATCCAAGTTAATATCTATATTTTACATTTTGGCTTTTTTTTTTTTTTTTTTTTTATTTATTTATTTATTTATTTATTAAAAAAAAAAAAAAGTCTTTCTTTACAATGATTTTATGCTTTTGATTTTCCGTAATAATAAGGATATTTTAGTTGAAATTTTGTCGGATGGGTGAAATAATAGTTTTGGACTTTTAAACTTTTCTTTTAGACTGGTTGTGCTTTGACTCGAAATGCTTTGGTAACCATCATCACAAAGGTCAATGGCAAATTGTGAATCGTCCCAACGTTTTCGGTTGGGTAGAATTGTATCGTCACATATTGATTTGTTAGAGTTATAACTTGAAATTGAAGAACATAAAGAATGAGCCATTTTTTTATTTTATTTATTTTTATTTATATAAAAAAAAAAGGAAAAAAAAAAAAAAAGAAAAAGAAAAAAAAAATTATAATTCATTTAATGACAGATTTTATATATACTCCAAAAAAAAAAAAAGGGGGGGGGGTAGACAGACAAAAAGAAATTAAGCTCGGAAAAATAACACCATCTATTTTTGGTCTATTCTCTCTCTCTCTCTCTCTATTTTTATCAGGTCATTCACACATTGATATCATTTATACATTTACACCCCCAAAATGTCTTTTATAAACCCAATCAATCTTCTCCTTCAAACGTCAACTTTGGAATTATCTATAACTATCAACTTACTTTCCTTTTGTCCTCGGGGGCTTTTTCTCTCTTTCTCTCCCCCCCCCCCTCTTTGCAGCAAGCCTCTTTCTATATCTAAGGGCTTAGTTTTATCATTCACCTTTTTCCTTCTTTCTTTCTTTTTTTTTTTTTATGTGTTCTCTCTCGACAGCATAATTGTGTCACATGTCAACACCCATAAAGAAATCAAGCACGAAGAAACTTCCTATAAGGCAACCCTCGTTAATTACCGGCCCTAATTTATAGTTTACACACTAAACATCGACCGCTTTATTATTAACGGGCAGAAATATGAGTACTTTCCCGACATACACACTGCAAATGACGAGGCCCTTTATTTCATAGGCACGACTCCTTTCGTTAAGAATCATCCAACATACAACAATAACATGGGAAATGTGAGCTATTACCAGCACATAAATAAATACGCACAGCCGACTTTTCTAAATGATCACACCTTTAAAAAAAAAAAATTTATACTGCTCCACACCCCCACGCCGCCCCCGTCGCCTCCCCCCCCCCACCCCAATCAATCACCCGTCAGCCCGCCCATCTGTTGTAATTTTAATTAACAACAAAAGCATTTCTGTTGTCCATAGCAACCATAGATAAGGACTAATTGAAAAAATAAGAGAGATCATCTGTTCAAGACACGCATGAGAAAATACTGCAGGTATCTTTCGATAAAAGCAGTTGTTACTTTTTTTTTTCTCATTCATCATATCACAGAAAATTCTAGCCCCACCACCACCACCACCACCACCACTTCCGGTCGAGGTGCATTGGTCCACACCCGACATGATGTGTTACAAGTCAATATATATTTATAAAAACAATTGTTTCTATTTCAGGATGTCATCTTTTTAAAAGAGTAAAATGGGCCCGGATGTAACAAATAAAAAAAAAAAAAAACCTTCCGAGCCTTGTTACACGGGGAGTTCACCTTTTTATAAATAGCCTCAAGCTGTTTAAGGACACACTAGGTTACTCGGAGTTTATCTCTCTCTCTCTCTCCTTTGAATTGTCAAATATGTCAAGAAGCTTTTGTTTTCTGCGTCATACACATATCACACACCCAAAAAAAAAAAAAAAAATTTAGTCCTTGCCTAGAAACCTTTTTTCTTTTTCTCTCTCCTGTAGATGGGAATCAATGATTTTTTTCAAGGGGGTTTTTTTTTGCGGCTATGCAATGTCGTACCTGTTGTAATGCCTTTTTTTTTTTTGCAGTACGAAAGCATTCAGTTCGGTCTTTTGGAATTAAGTCCTCTAAGCTATTTTAGAGATATAGATTTTCTTCAGGACTTGAGAATGATTGTAATAACGAACTACAACAACAAAAACGTGATGTAAGCAAAAACATTCGATTGTTTACTAGATGCAGCATACTCAAGTTCTCGAACAATGTAAATGTATCTTTTTTGCACATAAATCATGCCTTTCTTTTTTATTATTTGTCCCCAGTCGTTGCATTGTATCTATCTTGTTTCCTACTGTCACACTACAGCCCCCCCTTTTTTTTTCACACCTATTGTACCTGAACATATGGATGTTACATATGTACAATACGTCTGCTGATGATTTAAAGCAATGCCACACTACTGATTAATTTGATATTTACCTGCTTTTTGTTTGGTGCTTATAAGGATGTTTCTTTTTATATGACAAGGGTTTTATCTGCACGTTTTCTATAATTCAAACCCAAGATCGTTGAGTGATCTACGATTGACACCCTGATAAAAGAGACCTGGGAGGGAGATAAAAAATTCACAAAACAGAAAAAAAAAAAAAAAAAAAAAAAATACAATACAGAAATAGGGTAACATGATAGGGAACTTTCTTTCCCCCCCTTAACATTTTAGCGCTTTTTTTTTTTTTTTGTGCTGAAAATAAAAAGGGGGGATGGGATCCTAAAAGTACAAAGGATGTTTCTGCTATATAAAAAATAAAAAAAGCAAAATGTGTTTCTGGTCTCAATAAAAGTTGGATAGAAAAGGAGAACCCTTTTTTTATGCATTTTGTTTATTTGCGCTACGATAAAAAAGATCTGATAAAAGAATAAATCACTGATGCAACCCCCTTTTTTTCCATTCATTCAGAAATGCCTTTTATTTTACATAAGCAATGTGTTTAAACCATCTACTACAGTTTTGACACTATAAATTCAGACAAACATAAGTTAAAATTCAGATAAATACAAAAATTGATTCAGATCAATAAAAAAAAAATTCAGACTTCTGAGCTTTTTTTTTCAGACGAATCAAAATTTAGTGTTCAGAAATTTTAAAACGGGTAATACCTGCATTAAATAACTAAAGCGATAACTTTAGTGGAAAATTATTTTCTTTCTGCTTTTTCTCGACTAAACAAAGCGGGTCGTTTTCCAGTTTCCCTCAAATGGTTCAGTATTTTTTTAAAGTTTAAAGCCGCAGCCAAATCACGATTCCACATTCTTCTTGCAACAATACCAGATGTATTCTCCATTTTTCTGTAGCAAGCAATGTTCTTACACCTTATAAATGATTAGATAATTTCTTGTCAATGCAGATTTTTAAATTAATATCACATACCGAAGTAATTCATGACATGTAATGGTCGGCATTTTTCGTCTTTGATATAATTGGATTCACTATGGTTTTGAACTTTTCCAAAGGACTTTCGCATGTAGGACAAAAAGAAGACGTCTTGTATTCGTCAATTAAATATAGTTTAAATACGTTCTTCTTTAACATATCAATTAACCCTTTATTCCTAGTTGGCTCTTGAAACTTGATGTTTGGTGCTGACCAATTTCCAAGTATCAGCGTTGTATTGGATCCAAACTTGTTTTTCAGCTTTCTAACTAATTGAGCATCATTTTTGTCAAAGTACAGTTTGCTAGAAAACTTTAGTTTACGGAATGGCAAAATCTGTAGCTTTTCTAAACGTTGGCTTGCACGATTCCTCAATAGATCCACTTGACCTGTTTCTGACATAATTTTAAGTATTTCTGCTTTTTCCGTGTTATTCAAACGTCTTTTCACATGATTTTGTTGCATCATAATATCCAAATAAGTAGCATACATTTGGATATTAGTAAAATCATCAGGAGGAGCTTGGGGTTGGGGGTAGTAGCCTCGAATTCTTGTCACATACAAATTCCCAAAATACAATTCACCTTTGTTGGTCACTTTGAATTCAAAGCACGAATCAGGAAAATATACTTGTGTTGTATTGTAAGTTTCGTTTCCATAATACTCTCTTAATAGAATATCGACAGATGCTCTTTCTTTGATATAGTTGGAATAGTTTGTTATCTTTACTGAAAAGGATTCGATTTTTGACAAAACCACCTCAGCAGCCTTGATAATTACAGGTTTTGTTTTTTCTCTCAAAAGTCTGAGATGTCTTTGCATTTTTGTTCTATTCATCTTTGTATATATCAAAGTTTGCTTATCTTCTGTTTTACTAGTTTCCTTGAGGCAATACATAAGATCACGTCTTCCAGGATCTATAAGAACACAGTTTCCTTCAGTCCTTCTCAAGTCTGATTGGCTAACCTTCTCTATATACTCTGTTTGATCAACAGTAACCTTTGTTGTATTCTTTGCTTTGGATGTCTTTCTGTTGGTATCCATATTTTGTTTTATGACTGATATACCAACTCCATCTGTTTCGATGGTCCCTTGAAATCGTATAGATTTATCAAATCCTTGGTTCTTGAAAACCTTGTTCTGAAGGTTAACTACATCACCCCATGTGTCAAACTTGTTCTCTGCTTTTAGTTGCGACTTTTTTTTGAGAATATGATGATGGATTATTTTGCTATCCAATGTCATATAACAAGGAATAAAAGTAGTGCGTAAAGGAAAACAGGTAAACATTTTCATTTTTTTCGCTTCAAACATTACAGCTAGTTTAAAAAAAGCCTTGAAATGGTTCTCTGGTCTTGCCTTTACGTCATAATAAACGGAATTTCTTTGGAACGAGTAGTTCTCTGTGTAACTTGCGTAAAACATAGCCAATTCTTCTAAAGATTGAGCATCTAAAAGACCTCTCTCTGGAATCTCTTTTTTTGCAATGGCTTGCTTCACCTGGTTGCATGGCTGATAAACCTCTTTCCGGATAGCTGTTTTGATGGCTTGCTCAGTATAACCATTTGCTTTCAGTTTATCACGAAGATATTTTGCTTTTTCATCCTTGTTAAACAACTTGTTCACAAAACTGCGCAATCTATTTCCAAAATGCGCCTTCAGGTTACTTATATAGGCTGTCTGTATTTTAGTAAACTCATATAAAGCAATTTGTTAAGCCTTTGCAAGTGGGATGGGTGTATATCGAGCATTTGTACAATATTCCTTCTTGTATTTGAGAATTATCTGTCTATATTTTTTGGTTATATCCTTAAGTCTTGAGGAGTTTACGACTTTAGTCTGAATAAGGCTTAGAAACACTTCAACAAAAAAACCTTTCTTGATAAATTCTTTGAAATCAAAGTCGTCATCCGATTGCAGTTCTTGAATAAGTATGTATTTAATAAAAGCAAATGTGTGCGTTACTAAAATGTTTGTTGTATTGACTAAATCATATAATGGCTGTATGTATTCTTGTTTCCAAATACTTCTTACAGTGGTTTTAACGGCCATTATACGGTTGGGTGTAGCATTAGAAGGTTCATGTGGTTCATTACTCTTTTTAACGGGTTTTAGAACAATTTCAGGATCAACAGAAGTTGTAGATGAGTAAGAAGCCTTAGGTACAGAAGGAGAAGAAGTATCCCTTGACTGGACAGTCCACGAAACAGGATTATCTGTATTATCTGCTTGTTTGCTTGCTTCACCAGCGTCATATTTTGTGGTGATATATATTGATGAACTATCTATATCCATATCTGCTTCAGCATCATTTAAATTTTCATTAATGTTTTGAAAACTAGAAGTGGAAGCAATTTCAGTGTCTACAGCTTTGCCTTTTCCTTTGAACTTTTTTCCTCAACATATGTGGACATATTTTGAAATTGTAGACTTGGTTTTTACGGGAAAATCTTTTCGAAAGCACAAGTTGCTACCTTTGATAGACTGGCGAAATTTTTTCTTATCGTATCCCTATCAGATGAGTCGGAGATCTCATCAACACTTATCATTCAGAAGAGTTTGATAGCGACAATTGATAAAAAATCATGAAGAAATTTGTTTTAAAGGATACCCAGCAATCATAAAATATCCAGGAGTATCAAGGAAAAAAAACTACAGTTGAGTAAGTGAGGAATGAATGGGTACGGCTTGTTATTTTTCGCTTCGTCATTTGTTGTCGTCATGGCATAGATGTCATATATGTGGGACGTTTCAAAAAATCCAAAAGCCTCTCGTGTTTCTATGACAGTCGAGCGTTTATACCAGAGAATTACGCGGATCCGATCCGCCTCTTACATGATCCAATCAATTATTTAGAAGTGCAAGACAAACAAAACAATAATGAGAGGTGAAAAATTATGTTAGTATATTAAAAAAAGTAGTTTACTCCATACCTTTCATCATACATAGAGTATCTGCATAAGTCGATGCTGTAACAAGGCAAGTATCAAGTTTTTGAACTAGGTTTCGAGTGGTCTGAATAAACGAACTGTTGAATGCAGTACATTTTATTTCTTTCTTAAACTGATCTAGGAAAGGCCAATACAGCATTAGTTATAAACAAGTGCCCTCGTAGTGAGAAAGATTAAACTAAACCTTAATCCTCATTGGGTTTTCTTTCCCCCAAACAAAATTTTTCTTTTAAAAAATATAGTAAGTACATGGGAACATCCCATCCTTATAATGAACTAAAAAGGTACTAGACATATTGTTATATCCCGCTGGTTGTTATGGCTTAACTTACTACTTTATTTTTTGCGTATAAGGTTGCTGTCCACTTCAAATACATGATTGTCAACTACGGTGTAAGTCTATTTAAAAGAACTCGAAACCGTGTTTATATTTTCTAACAGCATCTTTATTAGTTTAATTTCGCTTTATTAAAGGTAAGTCATATACATAGTTAGGTACCACTTTTGCATCTGTCAGTCTCCATATACCACCAGGACAGCCGAAACTTTACTGTGTATGGTGTCCGGTTTATGTGATGTTGTTTGTCATCCTTATAGTACACATCCCTACAAATAGGTGTTCCATAGTTTCTGTACATGTATAAATTATTCACCGATTATTTCGTTATTAAATAAAAACCATTATAAACATTATTTTTGCCCGTTATATTTTATTATATCCAATGTTATTTTTTGTAAAAACCATCTAGTATTGCAAGGGTTAAAGCCCTAGTTTAATAAACATTTAAAAAATATCCTCCAATACCAACTCATTAAATAATAAGGTTATGATGTTTTCATTCGCCGGAAACAGGAAGTAGCGGTCGGTTTTCATGCAAGAATGGACCGCGACCTCTGGTCCAGGTACAAAATAATTACCGCGACCGCTGGTTCAGGTACAAAATTATGTACCTCGACCTCTGGTCTAATTTTTTCGCGGTCCAAATCATACTTCTACCGGAAAAATTTTTTGCGGTGGACCTTTTAATTTTGCTCATTTTTCAAATCAGTGTAAACTTAAGTATAATACTTAATTTTTTTCGTTTACGTTCTTTCTTCAGTGGTCCATTACGTGCATTGTATTCCAAACTAGCTACTGATATTACTTTATTAGGAAGGTAGATAGTTTATTCTTGAAAGCGGTAATTCTCTCTTGTTTGTTTTCCTTTCGATTCGGTGCCAAATGGACATGACGGAGCAAAAGCAATGAAATATTCAGCATCCCATTACAAAGGTACCGTAGTGTCACACTTGTTCTTAAAAACATTGGTCGAATATATTACCAAACTTATCTTTATCACATATCTAAAAGCTGAAGAAAAATTCAATGTAGTTACTCATATCTACGAATCAAAATTTTCAAAATTACCCTAAGCCCACAGTGAACACCTCTCATGGTTGGTTGAACATAAAGAGAGCACCATTTAAAGATGAAAGTGGAAAAGCTGTAAAATGCTTCCACTCCAGACAAAGCTAACAAAAAAAGTCCTGCCAAAACATTCATACTTTGAACGTACGTCAGACTCTCTATCCAATAAACATTTAGTTGATTGCAAACCATAGTAGCATGAGAATTGTTTTCTACAGCAGAAATTAAAGTTGGTTAAACGCTAAATACAATTTGTATCATGAAAAATTACCATTATTCACCCTGACAAACGTATTTAACATTCTAATCAACAAATCTTCTCTGACATTTCCAGTAAACTTTGTATCTGTCGAGAACGTTCTGAACGTATCATTTTTTATATTACCGGCAAGCGCAGTTGGGCCATCTTTGAGCAAACCAGCATAATCCTCCCAGGATGTTTGATAAACACCTAGAAGTGATTTTCATACGAGACTCTTAACTGTATTTTTTTGTGTTATAGTCTTTTTCCATTGGTTAAGAGCCTTTTTTTTTTGGATTCGGTTGCTTTGATTATCTCTGCTGTACATGGATTTGTCATTTAATACTGCCTCAAGTCAGCTATACTATCCTGGACAGAAATAGAATTCTGATGTTGTCGAATTAATATACGCGCACAGTTTTATCATACCAAATAGAAATATAATTCAGATTATCTACAGACATGTTAAAATAATAAAAGAAGAGGGGAAACGAACAGTAAAATAATGGGGAACGTCTTTTATATACGAGCACAATAAAATGCAACACCTTTACTTTTTTCTCTTGTCGAAACCAAAACGATGATGTAGCTGCCCGTTGACTGAATTTGCGGATATTATACATTGGTATCGTAAAAACTGAACTATTCTACGTTTACTTACTATAATTCAAGAGCTCGATACATACGATTATAGTGCCCGTTATCATACCCAATTACACCAATAATTTGCCTCAATATACATGAGGATGTCGTGGGACTTTTGTTATGTAACAGCCAAATATATAAAAGTATTATTTAGAGGGTCAAAGATGATTTTATTATGATTGAGATAAAAGCTTGTCTTAAATATCAACAAACTTTGAGTGACCTATGTCACGACAAGGATGCCAAATTCTTAGTTCACTAAAAGAAAAATCTTTTAGATCCATCCTTTACAGGGCGAAGACCTGATTTGGCGGCGTAAAGGACCCTACCCCTCCTATACGTATAGTTGAACTACCCAGGGGATAGCATGTTGTGAACCATGTTTTACCTCACAGAAAAAGGCGCGCGCCAAAGCACTCTAGCGATTTTATACCCTATGCCCAAATCAAACGTGATCAAACAAAAAACCAGCATATACAACATATACGTATCATTAACAGAATAAGGCGGGTTCAATGTCTACATCCCAACACTCAGCCCAATTGGACTATAATGAATGCAATCACCGCCACTTTCATCTCCCGTCCTGAGACTTTTACATCCCTGATCTGAGGACCCTGCAGCAAGAAAGTGACAAAGAACGGCTGGATCCAACTAAACAGTGACTCCCAACGAACGTTGGCCTGATAAGGAATTGTCGAAGGGGTATGAAGTAGCCAGTAATAGACCCCGCAACTAGTGAGTTTGCACGAACGTTGGCCTGATAAGGAATTGTCGAACAGTAACAAGAATTGTCAGAACAAAACAAAACCTTGTCCCTCACTAAGAACGGGATGGGGGCCCCGCATGCTCGAACGTTGGCCTGATAAGGAATTGCCGAGCAAAAACAAGAATTGGTCTGTCCCTCATTAAGAACGGGAAGAAGATCCCGTAATCATTGCGCTTACCACGATAGTTAGCCTGATATGGACTTATCGCCCAGCAACAATGGGTGAGCTTGCACGAACGTTAGCCTGAAAAGGCATTGTCGAACAGAAACAATCAATGAGCTTGCACGAACGTTAGCCTGATAAGGAATTGTCGAACAGCAACAAGAATTGTAAGAACAAAACAAAACCTGCTCTCAATAAGAACGGGAAGGAAGACATTGAGATCATCAACAGCTTCCCGAGTTAGGGTTAGGGTTATGTTAGGGTAATGCACAGTCAAATGAGTGAAAAAATAATAGTATGAGAACCAAGGAGAAAAAAAAAACCTAGACAGTAACGTGAGAGTGTATTTTTGAAAAAAGAAGTCACGGATTGTGTGCCTGCGTGCTCCCCCCCCCCGCACATTAAAAGTGAATTTCCGTGCATTTTTTATTTTTTTTATTTTTTTGTTCAGTCAAATCATAAAACTCCTAGTCGTCTTTTCTTAGCTTTTTTCTTAAAGGACTAACTCTATTCAAATACTTTTGTATCATCAACTCTTTATTTGTTCTATACGTGCCACTAAAACTAAGGAATCGTACAAATCAACGTGAATTACTATCGTATAGCAAAAGAACACAGCTTTTTAAAAATTTGGGAAGTTGTTAAGTGGAACTCATCGGATGATTAGACTGCATTTGGACGATCGGGAAACAAACTCTCTCTGACTTTATTTACAACGTAAGAAGCGTAACCTCTCAATACAACGAGATATCAAGGAGGAATATGTTATCTTGGGATCAAAATTAAGTCATGTTAAGGAGAAGCTTTACTGCTTTTACCCATCTGTATACAACTCTCTTAATCAACGATAAAAGTCAAATAACTGTTTAGACACGGACAACGCTATACACCTTTCATTACCTAAGAAGGCTTGGATTGTACGAACAAAATATGACCAATTCTTCAGATAAGGAAATTGCCAGCAAAAAGAGAGATCCACAGATAGACGCTGAAATTCAAATACACAAAAGGTTTCACAACTTTGGACATTTGAAGACATGTATGATTTAAAAGATGTAGTGACGATAATTGGGATGAAGGGTGTGGATTCAAACGCATAATTAGAATCTGTTCAAGATCAATATGATGAGGATTGAGTTGGAAAAAAACAGGACATATGCTCATCCAAAATGTATTCAAGAGGATTATACGGACCACTGGATGACATGAAATCGGGAATAATCGATTAACAATCATGTAAACTTAAAGTCAATTGCCACTTGAGAAGAAAATACTACCCACGCACCTTTTTAAAAGTGGGATGATGATATGCGCTGCGGGAGATGACAATATTGGATATACAACCTAAACTGAGCTTTTCACTATGAGTATGAATGCGTTTAAACTGGATATGGCGGCAGTAATAACATCTCATCTTGATGAATCCTTTACTCTCTGCAGGGGCAAACATGTCATAAACCTCAATTAGCATGGTTGTCATTATTATACATCTGTAAAAAAAACACCTATCTTAAGAATCCAATGGCAACGATGTTGCTGTCTCATCCTTGATACAACAAGGACGCTTTAAAAAGCGGTATAAATGAAATGGAGTTGAACTCAGACGATTAAATGGGATACATACTACGGCTGGCCCTGGTGTGACATTCAATATTGAGCTTTATCAAAGTTTACCTTTTCAAGTTGTCTTTTACTATTATAATAGGTTTTTTTCAATTATACCTGTCAACCTCTTCCGATTCATTTTCCATACTATCTTTCCATCTTCAAATTTCCTTCGGTATTTGTACCTTGAAGGACACCGTAGTATGTTTACTGTTTTTCAAAATAAGTGAATTTAGATAATTGCATGGTTGTTAAAACTAAAGGATAATGAATAATGAATTCTACTTTGTATTATACTTAGCATCTTTTTCAGGTCATCAACAGAATGACTTAAAAGCCCTCTGGGTGGTATAAGAAAAAAAATTGACATGAACAAAGACGCCTTATTAATATCTTTTCCTTTCAGTTCTTAATAACGGTAGCTAGCAAAATGCTTGTATTTATCCCAGCGAATTCTCTAGAAGCAACACGTTTCTATGACCCCAATTCCACAGTAAACTCATCGACAGCGTTGTCTTTGCATTAAATCACTGTTTTTTAAAAAATTTATAAAAACGTAAACAAGCACTTAATTATATTATTACTCACCTTTCTCCCTTCTCTATACAGACTGGAATCGCAGTTGTCAAAGAGGTATTGATATAATAATAACAAAGGACACAATAAAAATAAGGTATAGTGATATGCAGGATGTCTATACCATTGAGCAGTGGATTCTTCTGTATTGGGGTCCTTCATTTTAAACATTCTCAAGACAAAAAATTGGCCAATCTACCATAAGCAAAAGAATATTACCTGATGATGAATCTCGGATTCGTATATCTGACTACCTTGATATCTAGCGACATCAGGTTCATCACGGATTTTAGAAAGAAGTGTATTCTCGATTCTGATGTGTCTGACATCCGCAACAAGGCAACACGCTACGATCCAGATTTTCCCGGGTCAATAAGCATTTACTTTAGTTAAATGGTACATCATGAGCTGAGCGTTTAGCTGGGAAGTGTTATAATAAAAAACCAAACCGCAAGACTTTAATTGCAGAAAGTAATTAAGTGCCATATCCCTTTCGAGTATGTTTAAAAATGAGAACACAATTTTTGCCTCATTGGATATATTGTGAAAGCCAAATCAAGAAGTCAACAGCGTTTTTTTTTTATTGAACTAACGACCTTTTATTCTCACAACCATATACAGTTTTGACACTATAAATTCAGACAAACATAAGTTAAAATTCAGATAAATACAAAAATTGATTCAGATCAATAAAAAAAAAATTCAGACTTCTGAGCTTTTTTTTTCAGACGAATCAAAATTTAGTGTTCAGAAATTTTAAAACGGGTAATACCTGCATTAAATAACTAAAGCGATAACTTTAGTGGAAAATTATTTTTTTTCTGCTTTTTCTCGACTAAACAAAGCGGGTCGTTTTCCAGTTTCCCTCAAATGGTTCAGTATTTTTTTAAAGTTTAAAGCCGCAGCCAAATCACGATTCCACATTCTTCTTGCAACAATACCAGATGTATTCTCCATTTTTCTGTAGCAAGCAATGTTCTTACACCTTATAAATGATTAGATAATTTCTTGTCAATGCAGATTTTTAAATTAATATCACATACCGAAGTAATCCATGACATGTAATGGTCGGCATTTTTCGTCTTTGATATAATTGGATTCACTATGGTTTTGAACTTTTCCAAAGGACTTTCGCATGTAGGACAAAAAGAAGACGTCTTGTATTCGTCAATTAAATATAGTTTAAATCCGTTCTTCTTTAACATATCAATTAACCCTTTATTCCTAGTTGGCTCTTGAAACTTGACGTTTGGTGCTGACCAATTTCCAAGTATCAGCGTTGTATTGGATCCAAACTTGTTTTTCAGCTTTCTAACTAATTGAGCATCATTTTTGTCAAAGTACAGTTTGCTAGAAAACTTTAGTTTACGGAATGGCAAAATCTGTAGCTTTTCTAAACGTTGGCTTGCACGATTCCTCAATAGATCCACTTGACCTGTTTCTGACATAATTTTAAGTATTTCTGCTTTTTCCGTGTTATTCAAACGTCTTTTCACATGATTTTGTTGCATCATAATATCCAAATAAGTAGCATACATTTGGAAATTAGTAAAATCATCAGGAGGAGCTTGGGGTTGGGGGTAGTAGCCTCGAATTCTTGTCACATACAAATTCCCAAAATACAATTCACCTTTGTTGGTCACTTTGAATTCAAAGCACGAATCAGGAAAATATACTTGTGTTGTATTGTAAGTTTCGTTTCCATAATACTCTCTTAATAGAATATCGACAGATGCTCTTTCTTTGATATAGTTGGAATAGTTTGTTATCTTTACTGAAAAGGATTCGATTTTTGACAAAACCACCTCAGCAGCCTTGATAATTACAGGTTTTGTTTTTTCTCTCAAAAGTCTGAGATGTCTTTGCATTTTTGTTCTATTCATCTTTGTATATATCAAAGTTTGCTTATCTTCTGTTTTACTAGTTTCCTTGAGGCAATACATAAGATCACGTCTTCCAGGATCTATAAGAACACAGTTTCCTTCAGTCCTTCTCAAGTCTGATTGGCTAACCTTCTCTATATATTCTGTTTGATCAACAGTAACCTTTGTTGTATTCTTTGCTTTGGATGTCTTTCTGTTGGTATCCATATTTTGTTTTATGACTGATATACCAACTCCATCTGTTTCGATGGTCCCTTGAAATCGTATAGATTTATCAAATCCTTGGTTCTTGAAAACCTTGTTCTGAAGGTTAACTACATCACCCCATGTGTCAAACTTGTTCTCTGCTTTTAGTTGCGACTTTTTTTTGAGAATATGATGATGGATTATTTTGCTATCCAATGTCATATAACAAGGAATAAAAGTAGTGCGTAAAGGAAAACAGGTAAACATTTTCATTTTTTTCGCTTCAAACATTACAGCTAGTTTAAAAAAAGCCTTGAAATGGTTCTCTGGTCTTGCCTTTACGTCATAATAAACGGAATTTCTTTGGAAAGAGTAGTTCTCTGTGTAACTTGCGTAAAACATAGCCAATACTTCTAAAGATTGAGCATCTAAAAGACCTCTCTCTGGAATCTCTTTTTTTGCAATGGCTTGCTTCACCTGGTTGCATGGCTGATAAACCTCTTTCCGGATAGCTGTTTTGATGGCTTGCTCAGTATAACCATTTGCTTTCAGTTTCTCACGAAGATTGCTTGCTTTTTCATCCTTCTTAAACAACTTCTGTTCACAAAACTGCGTAATCTATTTCCAAAATGCGCCTTCAGGTTATTTATATACGCTGTCTGGATTTTAGTACACTCATATAAAGCAATTTGTTGAGCGTTTGCAAGTGAGATAGGTGTATATCGAGCATTTGTACAATATTCCATCTTGTATTTGAGAATTATCTGTCTATATTTTTTGGTTATATCCTTAAGTCTTGAGGAGTTTACGACTTTAGTCTGAATAAGGCTTAGAAACACTTCAACAAAAAAATCTTTCTTGATAAATTCTTTGAAATCAAAGTCGTCATCCGATTGCAGTTCTTGAATAAGTATGTATTTAATAAAAGCAAATGTGTGCGTTACTAAAATGTTTGTTGTATTGACTAAATCATATAATGGCTGTATGTATTCTTGTTTCCAAATACTTCTTACAGTGGTTTTAACGGCCATTATACGGTTGGGTGTAGCATTAGAAGATTCATGTGGTTCATTACTCTTTTTAACAGATTTTAGAACAATTTCAGGATCAACAGAAGTTGTAGATGAGTAAGAAGCCTTAGGTACAGAAGGAGAAGAAGTATCCCTTGACTGGACAGTCCACGAAACAGGATTATCTGTATTATCTGCTTGTTTGCTTGCTTCACCAGCGTCATATTTTGTGGTGATATATATTGACGAACTATCTATATCCATATCTGCTTCAGCATCATTTAAATTTTCATCAATGTTTTGAAAACTAGAAGTGGAAGCAACTTCAGTGTCTACAGCTTTGCCTTTTCCTTTGAACTTTTTTCCAGGTTTAATATTTCCTGTACTATCTCGAACTATTAAGGAGAGTTGTTTAAATTTAATAAGACTTTCACATGCATTTAAACTAACAATAACGCATACTTGTTCTTTTTCTAGTTGGTATGATGGGCTGGAAATCATCATCACTTAAATTATTTAAAAAGGATCTTTGACACTATGGCGGACATACCAGCAGCTGTGAATTAAATGGCAACATAACTGCCATTTTTTTTATTTGCTCGATATCCCCAGCCAATAAGATTCGAGCAAAAGATTGATACAAATGATCATAATATCATAAAAAAACAAAAATGCTTCAAAAACATTTCTGGAACCGTCAATATGTAGTTTAGATGTTATAGAAACTATCTCAAAGTTAAAATTAGATTGCTATATGCCAAAACATCGATGCAATATTGATCCGAATTTGATGGGTTACGGTATAAAAAATGATTTTTCGCGCTTGTGAAGCAAATGGTAACAAGTTGCCATTTTTTTACTTATTTTTTTTTTAAAAAAAAAAGATATTGCGCCTGGAAAAACTTGCGAATGACAAGGGGCTCAAAATATACCAGTGTAAGAGAATGTGGTGTGCCAAAAGCTTGTTAAGGGAGAGCTTTAAAAGTGACAACCAAACACACAGAAGAAGGGTAACAGTAAAAAATTCTTATGCGGTTTATTTCATCAATATCGTTAACAAGGTAAAAAAATGTAGAATCAACAAGATCCCGATAGTTCAGACTCTATCAATGAAGCTTTCGAAGATATGGGTCGCGATGAGTCCCCCATCATAGCAGACGTGCTGTAGGTTTTTTTTATTGTTTTTCATGCATGATATATGTATACTCATATGCGATACTTTATTTTTATACATTTCTCCTCCACCAGAGGTAGCGAATGAACCTTCACGTAAAAGAACCAGAAGAAGATAATAGTCGTGTCTGGTCGACATGATTGGTCCATTCTGGTTTTTAGCTTCTTTATTAGTGTGTATTTTAGCGTTCTTTTAGCTTACAATTTTTTCTCTCTTTCTTTTACTTTTATTTATCTTTTAAAATAAATAGCCTTCAAATAATAATGGTAAGGGTATATAGCCCCTTCTAAATAACGGAATGTGTGAAAAAATATGTTGGAATTGAGTATGTTTGCAATGACTGAAGCAATGACATGTAATCTGTATAAAAAACTAAAGGGTTTTTTTTTAGATAAAAATTTAGCCTATTTTTTTTTATTTTGATCAAACTGAAGTACGCCTGTATAATATAACCATTTTCCATAGATAATGGCCCTCATCAATAAACGGTTCTATCTTTACAGGTAAATAGCCTTTAAAAAGTTATGTTTTATTCTTATTGATATCATACTGCTTACATATAGACTATTTATTCTGTGTACCTTTCACTCAAACGACGACATTTTAGGAACACCACCGGTCAAATAATCATCGACATCAGAACTTAAGGCTGGTAATAAAATACAGAATTAATAACAATATTACTATTTTCTTACAATACCTTTGTAGAGTGTTAAGAGAATCAAAGGTAAGCTAAAGTAACATCCAAGCATTATAATGGTATATCTTATTGCCATGTATACAACCACAAACCTAAATAAAAAGGTTAAAGTTATATCAAACTCTCCTATACACCACTGAAATATAAATAAACAATCCAATAAAACGTGCTTTACTGCCAATAATAACAATGAATAAGAAAATGTGGGCCTACCAAATATAAAAGAATGGGTCTAAAAGAGAGGTTAAGGGTTTGTCCGTTTAAAAAAAAGTGGCAGCTGTGAACGTTTTGTTATTATAGAATATCATAACTGCCACTTTTACAAGCCAGGAAAATGGAAGCTGTGAATGATTTGTCTTCAACAAACTAAAATAGATGCCATTTTTTAAAACCAAAAAACAGCAGCAGTGAACCTCTTGGCTTCATTCAACTGTTAAAGGTGCCATTTTTGCCAGCCAAAAATATGGCAGTTGTGCCTCTTTTGTTATTATAGAATATCATATCTGCCACTTTTGCACGCCAAAAAAATGGCAGTTTTGTGAAGTAAATGGCAGATAGTTGCCATTATTTCCGCCATAGTGATGACATTCAAGCAAATCTGTAGGCACCTGTGAAGTTGATCCTATCAATCCATACATTATGCTGTCAGTACCATTAAACTGTCTTATAGTATTATGATATACCTTCACTATCGTTTATTTCAATATTTTTCCCTTTCCCTTTCATTTGTTTGAAGAAAAAAAAAAAAAAAAAAAAAAAAAAAAAAAAGAAAAAAGTGATCAATTATTCAAAATCAAATAAATCCAGACTGATAACCGCCACACTGGTTTTTTATATTTGTTGTTGTTTATATTACGTACTCATATTACGTACTCTGTTCCCAATTTGCTCTTCTTGGTTGTTTTTCTTTTGTTTGTCGTTGGGATAGTTCCCCAATATCCTGCTTATTTTTCTTATAAAATGATGATGGTAATATCTTCCTTAGAAGAGCTTTTCTTTACTTTATTTCTCAATTCAAGTCAAGGCATTTATTCTTTTTTTTATCTGAAAGCCCAACCAGTAGTGGTAATGCGTGTGTAATTCATGTTTTATTCCTCGTTCTACTGCTAATGAGATACTTAAACAATCGAATAAAAGTAATGTGACTCTGGCTCCTATTACGTGTGTAAACCCACCCCAAATTTGTTGGGCTAAGTGAGCAAATAACTGTAAGATCACAGCGCAACAATCATAGTTTCTCGTAGATTTGGTTGACAAAAATCCGACTCTCATTAAAAGACTCGCATGGAAAGGTATGCCAAGAAAACAATGATCTTCAATTTAACGTAATCACCGCTTGGAAAGCAGCTGGCGTAGACTTCCGAACAAATTATGTATTTATGGATGAGGCCGGCTAAATGCTCATAAAATCATAAGTAAGCATACTCAGTTAAGGGAATACCTATAATTATTCCTATGCCACCTCAAAAGGATGAAAACCTCAGCATTATTAGCTGTATATCACCTTCGGTACGATCAATTTTTCGAAGGTGAGCCCTTAAAATCGGCTGATGTGTGATAATTGAGAAAGAGTTCCCTTTGCCAGCTAGAAAAAAAGAAGAAAAGCTAAAGCTGATGATAAGAAGAGTGTAAATCCTTGAAAACCTACCACTGCGCATTATGTCGTAACTTTCGTTCGAAACGTCATGGATATTCTATACAGCCACAACAGGCATGGATTCTATATCGTCATGGATAATTGTAGAATTCATCATTCCCATTATGTTGTTGATGCCATCGAAAGTAGAGGCTATAAGCCTTTATTTATGCCCCCCTATTCCCCATTTTTGAATCCTATTGAGGAGTGCTGGTTCAAGATCAAGAAGCACATCAAAAGAAATCCGCTTTCCACTTTGGACACTTTAACCCCAAGAATTAAGGCAGCCTGTGAGACTATCACTACGGAAGATTGTAATGGTTGGATAAGACACTCTGAAACGTACTGGGAAAAATGCCTTAATACAGAATCAAAACTAGTTTAAACTTTTACTCGTCTGAATTTTTTTTTAGTCTGAATTTTTTTTTGAGCCTGTCTGAAAATAATTTTCAGTTGTCTAAATTTAAAGTGATAATACTGTATAAGAATCTTTTCTCTCGTACTGTGTCTGACAGGGCATTTTATTATTATTTTATTAGAGTTCCGCCAGTGTTTGACCTTTTTTTTTTTCAAAAAAAGGGGAATGCACTTTTTTTTTTTTTCTCTCTTAATTTTGAATTCTGGGAAAAGGGGAAAAAAAAGCAAATGGATGAAAGTGGTGGTTCAATTTACACATTGGCAAACATGACCTGTCATATTTTACCCGGTGTACAAGCACGAGAGTACGTGGTGAAACCTGTTTCGAGACTTTTCGGATGGTTGGATCTACTGCTATGGATGACCATGTTGCATTTTATGCGGGTAAAAAAAAAACAGAAAAAGGAGGAAGAAAAGAAAATGTACTTTTTTTTTTTTTTTTTTTTTTTTTGACTTTGTTTTGTTAGATACACTATTTCAAATATGCAGGCTCACTTGCCCTTGTCTGGCTACTAATGAAAAGAAAGACGGTGCGTCAAGGTAAGAGTACAAAAGGACGGGTAATTCATCTCTATTTATAATTAGAAAGTATATTAGCGATCCGGGACGTCGGAATTCAAGTGAAAACAGTCTATTGGGGAGGATCCTCCGTATCCAGATTCATCAATCGATCCACCATTGAAGGTGTCATTATCAATGAAGCCATCAGTTTTTGGCAGATCAAATCCTATATGGCCATTCTAGTCAAGGACGAAGAAAAGATGGTGGTTGTATTTGAGGTAAAAAACAAAATATCTCCTATGTTGGTATTATTCATACACTTTCTTACATTCTTTTTTAGCATTTACTGCCTAAAATAGACCCCGTTTTGCTTCGTGTTTATCATGGCATCAATACAATCTTGTACACTCAACGAAATAACGAAGATAAAAATAATTTTTACACATACTAATACCCCCCCCCCTCTACCCTCAGCTAATTTACACGTAATAATAATAAAAAAAAAGATGGTATATATTTTAAACAGCATTTACGAGTACCCGACTGACAAATCGTTTAATGCAACACATACAGCTGCTTTATGATGACCATTATACTGTCTAATCGTCTCTCCATTTTGAAGCTCCCATAACCTTGCAACATGATCTGACGAAGCTGCACGTATAAAAAAAAAAGTTTAGATGTAAACAGAGAAATAGATACGAGATTTTCTTACCTGTTACTAAATAGGCAGAATCTGCTGAAAAAGCACAATCCCAAACCCATCTTTGATGTCCTTGCAACGTCAACAATAGTTCAAAGTTATTTCCTGCGTTCCAAATCTTGGCCGTGTTATCTGCTGAGCAAGTAGCTAAAAGCCTAAAAAAAAAAAAAAAAAAAAGACATGGTTTTTATTAGATTCGATGATGTCCCCCTTCTCACAGCTTTATTCCACTTACTTGGTATCGGGACTCAACATCACACGCAAAATATAATTGTTATGCGCCTGAAACTGATGAACCGGTTCTACATCGTTGGCATCTGAACCATTAGACAACTTCCAGACATAACAATTACCTTTATTATTGACCGCAATCAACATGGACCCGTCCGAAGCCACCGTGACAGAACGCATCGGGACACCTTCCTCAGGCACAAGTTCATGGGTACACGAATGGGCCGTCAAGTCCCATATCTTGACCGCCCCATTCTGATCACACGTAATTAACTCGCCTTGATTCGCATGCATCACCGCATCCGTAATGGGAGCTCCATTATCGAAATTTCGTGTCAACACTGGGTTTCTACCGGACCGCGTGTCCCAGATTTTTAAATGACCATCTTCGCTTGCTGTAAACATCCAACGTCCTTCTCCATGAAACCCAGTTGCAATCACATTACCCGTGTGCTCTCCAAATACAATAAACTACAACCCGAAACAAAAAATAGAGTTAGTCATCCCACCCCCCACCTTCTTTATAAAAACGTGTATTTACAGGACTATCGTTGTTACTGGCAATATCATAAAGTCGCACCGAATGATTTCCTGTAAAAAAAAAAAAAGACAATGAGTGATAAACTTCAACAACCAAAAAGGGTCAAACATACCTGCTGCTGCTAAAATGGTTTTATCAGGAGAAATACAAAGACGGTTCACTTGCTACAACGGCACCCCCCAAAAAAAAAAAAAAAGTTATTTCATGGCACCTCTCTCTCTCTCTCTTTCTCTCTTTCTTACTGAGTCTGGATGTTTAATAGTTTTTGAACAAATGCCACTAAGCGCTTCCCAAAAACGAACGGTATTATCATACCCAGCTGTAACAAGTATAACGGAATGACTATCGTTTTGAAGGGATTGTTGATACTGTTGCATCTGAGCATAATATTGTTGTTGTTGTTGCTGATCTTGTTGTTGATCCTGTTGCTTTTTATTCTGCTTTTGCTGCTGTTGTTGTTGTTGTTGTTGCTGTTGTTGCTCCTGCTGCTGCTGTTGCTGTTGTTCTTCTGACATTTCTATAGTGCAAGTTATATATTTGAATACAAAAAAAAAAAAAGAAAGGAAGGGGTGTGTGCAACAAAAATCACGTATTTTCCCGCCTAATATATAAAAAAAATAATGGGCAAAGAGTCACACTTTTTTTATTATTATTTATGTCACCCACTATTCGATCTGTACATAGATACTGGCATAACTAACACTACTATCTTCAATTCTCTTACAAGCACTACTTTGATCATACTTGATACAGACTAGAGTTTGCTTGGACGGAGACGTAGGATGGCCCTTGAGGATTTCAAGTGCAGCCATCAAGACACCAATAGGATGTCTACCACAGATGGTATTCCCCGTTTTTTCAAGATACTTGTGAAATTCCTCAAAGCTGAGAGACTTCAACTGCTTGATACCACGAAAATCAAGTTCCTTGATAGACTCATGGATAGGACGCTTGATTTTATCTTCGGTTCTTTCATTGAGTAAGATGGGATTGTCATCGTTATCCTCCTGGGTGTAATACGTGTATCGAAATCGAGATCCCCAGTGACAAAAATCAGAAGAGATGATGAATAAATTCTCTGGGTTTGACAAGTAATCAGCTAATATCTCACCGTACATTTTTTCTTTTCTATCAGAGATGGATCCTACAAGAATAGGAACGATCTTGATTTCATTGATTTTCCTAAAAAAATGTAACGGAGGGGGTTAATTCAACAACATTTTTTTTTTTTACAAGCAGTGAATTGCCTCAAGGACACTTTACTTTTCAAACAATTTGTAGATAAAAGGTAAATGCATTTCCAGACTATGCTCTCGTTCATCCATGGTTTTTGTCATGTATCCAAACTTTTCAGTCTGGAACAATGCTTCAGTCACTTGTTGATCCACTTGAAGATTTCCTAAAGGTGTTTCATACGTGTCGCATTTTGATAAATTGCAACCATCAAAATAAGCTTGATGCGAAGGACCCAGTAAAAACACGCGTTTACTAACAATAAAGAGAAAAATGATAAATACATGGTTTTTCAATATATCCCATCGATTCACCTTTACATGTTGGAGATATCCACTGTCTTGTAAGCAAACGCTGCCGTAGGTCCACTATACTGAAACCCAGCATGACTTTTTTATATGCGTGTGTTAGACACATGAGCTCGTTTTTTTTTTATTAAAAAAATGTCGATACTTACGGTCCAATAATAGCTCTTACACCCTCAATGGGGAAGTTTGACTTTGCGGAAGAATATTCTTTCGTGGCTCGTTCAAAGAATGTCTCGAGTTGTTCATTTAATTCGGTTTCTAACACGTCAAAAAAAAAAAAAAAAAAAAAAAAAGAGAGAGAAAGGGATAGCGTCAAAACCTGCTTTGTTTCACTGTTCAGTTCTGATACTTACTATTAGCAATATACCAAGTACCAGCGTGAGAAGCACTTCTAATCATCTTGAGAAAGAATGTTGCAAAAAAACAAGAAAGCAGTATTTTTTATTTTTTATTTTTCGCATGATATTTTATCAAAAACAGAGTGAGCTGGGATTGAAATATAAAAATGTCTCACATTTTTTTTTTTTTACTTTGTTACTTCTTTTGCTTTTGTTCAAACCATGCGTCCGCCTCGTCGTACAAGTCAAAGGAATACAGAGTATCTCAACTATCTAAATACACTAGGTAACCCCCCCCCCCCCCCCCTATAAAAAGGATTTAGCTTTTCCGCTATTAAACCCCAAAAAAAAACTAGCGTCTGATAGGGATTCTCAGAGCTTTTACCGCAGAGTCTATCCTGAACAACAAGGTATACAAAAAGAGTTCCCATTACACTTGTTCTCTTTATAAAATTCCATGTGATAAAAAGTAATCCTATAGTAGATAATGACCTGGTAGAGTATGATACTCCCTTTGATGAGACGGAAGTGATTGAGGCCTGGCTCGTTTATTATTCAGATATTCCTCCTTTGACTGCAACAGAGTCATCTAACAAAGATACTTGTATCATCGAAGATACCATCTCTTCTCTCTCTCTGGGCGAGTCTTCCACTATAATTCCTCCTCCCTTATCAACCAGTGATATCTCTCCTCCCTTGTCAGCAAGTGATATCTCTCCTCTGCATCTTGCTAAAGTAAACATTCCCTCCTCCTCTTCCTTTACAGCAAGTGATAAATTCCCTCCACGTCCAATCACAATGACGACAACCACTTCTAGTCAAGAGCATTCTACCAGCCCTCCTATCACATCAACTGAGACATTGCCTCTTCATGTGTCTACGGAAAGAACACCAGTAGAGACCACAATGGAACTTGTGGATATCTCTTGTGACGCAGGTGATACTATCAGTCAAGCCAAAAAGATCTATTATGACAACATTTTAACAAAACTATCTTCAGAACCTGTTGTACATAAGGATAAGTTCACTTGTATCATCTACTCGGATCCACTGGATATTCCTGACTCGTATACAGTTATCACAGACAAGAAGGCTCAAGATTATTTAAGCCCCCCTCCCTTACAACCTACCTCAAGCCATGGTGAGTGGATTTTTTTTCTCAGCAAACAAAAAAAATAGAAATATGTAAAAATTCATTTTCTCTTTACAAGATGAAATCATTCGATATACAATCAAAGAGTTTAAAAGTTTGAATAAGACACCTACACATGAACTTGGTGTACTTGCTGGTAAACTTATTACTGCTTATAATATTGGTGTACCTAAATCTGAAGCTGCACTGTAAGTTTCCTAGTTTTTTTTTTTTTTTTTTTTTTAGTTTATAAAAACTAATACTACCTTTTACTCGTTGTTTTACAGTCCCCGTATTTTCCTGCCTACAAGACAACCCAAGAATCCAGAGAACGGCCAAAGGGGCTTCTTAAATGATGTCATTCCCTATACGAACAGTAAACTTCAAACCTCTTGTATGAGATGTCGAAACCTAAAGGATGAATGACTACCTATCATTTGCTCTCTCTCTAAAAAAAACCTTTGCTTGAAAAATATATAAATAAATAATATTGCCTATTCCCCAATTATATTTTATGCTGTCATTCTATACCATCCCTAGTCTTCTTTCATAAAAGATCATCGGGCTTATATTTTTTAGTGACAAGCTATATAAAAGCTCGTGTTACCAAGATTATATTTTTATAAAAAAAAAAAAAAAAAAATGTGGGAGAGACGTGTCAATTTTCTCTCTCTGTCTCTTTTATACAATCTACACCATGGCTTCACAAGTTCCTGGAGTCGAGCATCGAGATACACAGTATTTTGGATATTATGCCCAACTTCAACATCAAGTAAGGCCTCCCTTCTTTTTCATGACCCACGCGCTTCTACACACTAAAAAACTTTTTTTTTTTTTTTGACATTAGCAAAACATGTTACAAGACACGGTTCGTACATCAACCTATCGTTCCTCCATTCTCTTAAACGGACCCAAATCCTTCAAGGATAAACTCGTCATGGATGTAGGTGCTGGATCCGGTATTCTTTCCTATTTTGCTGTTCAAGCAGGTGCTAAAAAAGTCTATGCTGTCGAAGCTTCAGGTATGGCCAAGAAAATGGAAAAGTTAGTGGCTGCTGCCAAGGATGGTAAAAATGCCTTTTTAAAAGACAAGATTCAGGTCATCAATGGTAAAAAATTTCTCTTTTTTTTTTTATATGTACACACACAAAAGACTCATCTTTTTTCTTTTTATCAAGCTAAAATTGAGGATCCTGATTTGCCTATTCCTAAAGTCGATACCATTATTTCTGAACCCATTGGTGTTCTTCTCTTTCACGAAAGAATGGTAAAAAAAAGGTTTACATGGAATGTGATGAGGGGAAACCAAAAAAAGACTGACACTGTCTTATATTTAGTTGGAAAGTTATATTTATGCTAGAGATCATTATTTGAAACCGGGAGGTGCCTTATACCCTTCCAAAGGTAATATTTTCCTTGCTCCCTTCACCGATGCTACCTTATGGAGTGAGACAATGGCCAAAGCTAGATTTTGGTAAAGTATGCAAAAAAGAAAGCGATAATCTCGGCTTAGAATCCTAATCCTTCTATAAAAAAATAAGGGAGCAACCATCGTTTTATGGGATTGATTTGACATCCTTGTACAAGGATGCGCGTGATGAAATGTTTGGTATGCCTGTGGTAGGCCATTTTGATCCTCGTAACTTAATCACCACCCCATCTACATTTGAGAAATACCCTGTGGATTTCTCCACTGTCACTGTAGAAGCCTTACAAGATATCGTGATTCCTTTCAGCTGGACTGCTCAATATACAGGATTAATGCATGGTATCGCTGGATGGTTCGATCTCGTCTTTGCCCCACCTCCCTACGATAAGCCTAATCCCGATGATCTAGGCACCACGGTTGAAATGTCTACCAGCCCTTCTGCAGAACGTACTCATTGGCAACAGGTACGTTTCCTCTTAAAGGAACCCTTGGCCGTCAATGCCAATCAAACCATTCGTGGCTGGATGCGTTGTATTGTCAATGATATGCGTAGTTATACCATCTATATCGAGGTCACAGCCACTGATGCTCAAGTCCTTTCGGATGCCAAAGAAGCCGATCAGGATCCCACATTTGCTGAACCCAAGGAGGATCGTCCTGCTGTACGTCGTGGTATTTGGGAATTACATGAACAGACCTATAATTATAATTATACACCTGGTATGATGCCTGATTATAAACCCGAATATTCATGTCTCTATGAACCAGAAAGTCGTTTAGATAATCCACTCCATCCTCAGTGGGATCTGGAAGCGATGAACGTCATGGATGATTACGAAGATTTTGTAAATTAAATTTTAAAAAAAGTGAATAAAAAAGCAAAAACTTTTTTATTATTTTAGGACCGTTTTGTAAATTTAGTGGGAGGGTCAAAATCTGTAAATGCATCATGACTGTACTCGTATTCATTCACAGGTGTATTTCTACCACTACTGACAGTCGTACTTGGTCCAGCTTCATCTGAATAGTCATAATTGCGTTGTTCGGTCATATCATCTAATTCAAACCCGCTCGGTTCATTATTGGATGAAGGTTGGGTATACGGCTTCTTTTGCTGCTTCTGTTGTTGTTGTTGGCTCTCCATCGCTTTTGACGACGTCACTCCACCAAAATCTTTATCCTGTCCATAATTCAAAATCACAGGCTCTTCCATCATTTGCGCTCCGTTAAATACGCCGTCCTTCTTCTTTTTAGACATGATCAAATGTCGCAGATTTTGCTTAAAGTTACGTTTCTTGACCGTTGGATTATCCGTTGTATTTAACGTCAAATCAATACTACCAGGACTACCCATCGCGTTCAAGGTGCCATTGACGTGTTCATCCAACTGCACATGTCCCTTATCTTCTCCTTCTCCTTCTTCTTCTTCTTCTTCTTCTAAACGTGCTCTGGCTTCATCAATAATCTGCTGACGACGTGCATGTTCCTCATCCATGGGTAAATAACCATAGGCACGTTCACCCATTTCCGCCCAATCAGTTCCAATAATCTCATCCTCATCCGCTAACCGTAATGTCAATGAAGGAATCTTGTTCAAGACAATCAAGATCAAATAGGTCACCACAAAAGCCCAGGCCGATACACTGACAATGGCTACCAATTGAATAGGTACCAACATCCAATTACCGTCCAACCAACCACCCATGGGGAGTTGGTCTATGGGTGTTCCTTCCGGATAGGCTAAAGCCATGACACTTTGTTGAGCAAACACACCTGTCAAGACCAGACCGACGAGACCCCCAATATAATGGACTGCAAATACATCCAGAGCATCATCAAAGCCTAAACGATGCTTGTAACGCAAGATAATGTTGGAGATAAATGCACCAATCGCACCAAACGCAAGTGAACTACTTTCTGACACATAACCTGATCCCGGTGTGATGGTGGCAAGTCCCGCTACAGCTCCCGTACATAACCCAATGATACTCCATTTACGTGTATGTTGGTAATCCATCAGTACCCACACAATGGCTGCTGTACACGCTGAAAGATGGGTACACACAAGAGAGTGTACACTTTGTGCATTGGCTGCTAAAGCACTACCTGCATTAAAGCAGAACCAGCCTAATCATTCAAAAAAAAAAAGGTGTATGGGTTGGTCTAATGTTTACATCTTTTTTTTTTTCTTTAAGGAGGGGCTTACCGAACCACATCAAGGCCAAGCCTAGAAATACAAAAGATACATTATGAGGTGTATTGACGTTTTCATTATAATCTCGACGTTTTCCAACCACCATAGCATAGGCGACTTTTAAAAAAATGAGTCATTTGTATATATCGTGTGGGGATTGGTCGTGTGTTACCTGCAGCCAAACCACTGGAGATATGAACTGGTGTGCCACTATCATAAAAAAAAAAAAAAGCATTTTGAGATTTAAAATTGTTCCCCCCATTTTAATTTTTTTTTTACCCCGCATAATCAATAGCACCTAATTGAGTTAACCAGCCATTTCTTGACCAGATCCAAGAAGTAATGATGTCTAGAAATAATAAATAAAAAAGAAAGAAACACTAAATAAAAGAGAAAGAAACAATAAAAAGATTGGGTTATTTTACCGTAAACAAGGGTTGTCCAAATAAAAATAAATAAGATGGCAGGACCCAGCTAAACTAGATGTTAGTGACACGTTCGACCTACACAACAGACAGCGAGTTTACTTACGGACATTCGTTCCGCGGCAGATCCAAATGCCAACGCTACATGAAAAAATAAAAAAAAAAGAGGGTTACCCAATAAGGGGATATTCATCATGTGACCCTTTTTTCAAATCATCCTCTATTACCTGGTGTAATGGCAGCAAACATACATTGAAACAGCATAAAAGCAGCAGCTGGAATCGTTTGTTCTGGATATTGAGGTGCTCTACCTACACCTCGTAATAGAAAATGACTGGAATCACCAATAAAAAATGATCCAGTTTCGGAAAAGGTAAGTGAGTAACCAATCAAATACCACTTTTACATATAAAAAGAAAAAAAAAGGGTAAGTGGGTGTATACAATGTATATTTTTTTGTTTTTGTTTACTTGAAAAGAAACCACGGCCACAGACATGACAGTCAAGTACATTAACGATAATGCATTTTTGGCTCTTGCTAAACCTGCATAAAAAAATCCAAGTGCAGGTGACTATCAAAATAAACGTCAAAAAAAAAAAAAAATTTTTTTTCTCTTCTCCTCTGTTAAACGTTTACCATTAAAAATACAAGACAAGCACAAAGCATCACCCAGCCTGTGTCACCATTATTGATCGTATATGTTTGTTCTGTTGTTAATGTAGCATTGGTAGGCATATTTGTTTATTGTTTACAAAAAAAAAAAAAAAAAAAAATATACATGTACAAAGTACAAGATCCCCGAGATTTGGACTTTCTTTTTTTTTTTATCTAAAAGATAGGGCGGTCTTTTAAACACTTGAGGGGGTATAAACCATCCGTCTTTTAATGCAAACTGATAAAGAAATAAAGAGGATTAAACTTTATCCGACAATCATCATCTCTTGCTTTTAACACACTATGGATCTTCTCTTCAATAAAAAAGAGAGGTTACAGGAAGACGCAGTTTCAAATTGATAAAAACTGTTATCTTTTTTTTTTTTTTTTTTTTCAATTCCCTGGTCCCGGGTTTAAGATAGTTCATCTTTTTTTTTTTTTTTTTTTTTTTTCTCAGTAGTGCGAAAAGAGTCAAACAATGGAGCAAAGATCAACAGTTGCATTGCAGCCGTGATTTTCATTATATATATATATATATAAAAGGGATCATTCTCCCCTCTTCATTCATTTTTATTTCATTCATCTAATATCCTTTACATATGCTCTCCAAAATTCTCCTCTTGTTAGCTGTCATCTGTTTCCTCGGTCTCGTACAAGCTGCTCCCCTTGGTTTTCCCCTCATTACAGACCATGCAGCACAAACATCTGATTTTGACGTTCAAGCAGTCAACACCGCGTTGGACGATCAACTCGGTACCACATTCCTGGAAGCCATCGTTGGTCCTAGCAGAGGCCAACACAAGGCTCAACAATAAATGAAACTAATAAAAATAATAATAAAAAAAAGAAAATTTGGCTGAGAGTCTAATATAAATTACATGTGATTTAATAATTCAAGCCAAATTGTTTTTTTTTTTTTGATCGACAGTCGTCATAGAAACCAGAATTTTGAGTGTGTGTGTGTGTGTGACAAAAAACGGGGACCCAATAAAAAAAAATAATTATAAAACGTTTATTTTTTATTTTTTTGCAATTTAAACTAAGGAATTCTGTTTTTTCTATTTGGATAAAAAGACATTTTTATGAATGGATAACAGGGAGATAGGAATATCATCATCATCCTCACTATCCGTCTCATCAAATTGTAATTTTTGTTTGACCTTTTCCTTGTACTTGTCCGCTGCTGTTTGATAATCATTCTCAATCGCAAACGTGTCCGTCTTCATCGTCCCCGCCGCCGCCGCCGTATTTAATATCGCAATCGGTACAAGGTCCTGATCATCCTCTTCTTCTGCATCACTCAATAAAGAAGAAGGTCGACTGATGGGGGATTGTAAATACCCTAGTGGCACATCATCATCATCTTCCTCTTCTGCTTGATAACGAGGCCATCGTGGTCTCATGAAAACAGGTGATAATGGTTGCCTCTGGCTCCTTTGTCCACCATTAAACGACCTTGACCGCGCCAAGTCTCTCATTTGAGGCGGCGGTAAGGGTTGAGTTTGAGCCTGAATCACGCACTCTTGTTGTAATTTCGCGGCTTTTCTTAAATCGTGCGCTGAAGAGAATTTTCGCATATTACTCGTGGTGGTGGTGGTGGGGGATTGGTGACATTTGGGAATGGGAGGTACGGGAGGAGGTGCATGCAATGCGTTGGGTGAATAGTAATGGTGAGAGGAAGGAGATAACAACGGTAACGACTCGGCCAGCGAGGAAGTAGGTGAAGTCATCTCTCTTGAACATAGTTTATTTAAAGCTGATTCCCTTTCTTCCATTAGTCTTGAATGAGCTGAAGGGTCTCTACCGACGGATTTGGATCTGGGTCTGGTCTGTATAGTGTGCCTGGAGGTGGTGGTTGCTGCTGGTGGTGGTAATTGAGGTGATAACAATGGGTTTCCCTTAGGTAACCTTGGGTCGTTAAAGACGATAGACTGAAGTGGTACAGAATTCGATGATGAGGGAACTAACACTGGTTCTGGCTTGTTCTTTCGAAATAGTCCAAATAAAGGTTTAGGTTTTCTCGATCTATGCATACTGTGAGGATCAAAATTATGAGACATATTTATATATATATAAAAAAAAAAAAAAAAAAAGTGGAAAAGAAAGAGAAAAGGAACGAGAAAATAAAGAACCGACTTTATATATTAAGTGACACTTGTACTAAGGGTTGTGCTACACAGGTTTCATTGGCTTTTTTATTACATTTCTTACAACTAATATACCATACCTCATCATCGCACGTGTTTTTTTTTTCTGTTGTCAACTCTAATAAATAAATAATAATAATAAAAAAAAAAAAAAAAGGCTGAGGCGTAGTTGGGGAGATTCCAGAATAAGTATTTTGAGTCATGCAGAACCACGAGTTTTATATCTTGTATATTTAACTATATATTTTCTTCTCTTTTTCTCTTTTTCTCTTTCTCTCTCTCTTTATTTTTTTTTCTTCTTCTTTTCTTCTGCAAGAAATTACACATATACATAAAAAGGAGGAAATGTCACTTACTTCTCTTCCTTACGAAATTGTACATTGTTCTTCATTTGACGATGATTACAGCCCTGAGCAATTAGCCAAAAGTAGTCCGGGTAATCAACTAGACTCTATACCAGTAAAGTGCAAAGGCTGGCAAACACCAAAGTAAAATAAGAGAAAGAAAGAAAAGAAATGTTTATTTATCAGTCACTCATCCTATTCTTTTTTGTAGATGCCCTGAATACCCACAGGATTTGATCATTCATCTATTATCCGGCACCGCACGTATTTCCAAAGTTCAAATTCTTTCACATCATTTCAAAATCGCTACCAAAATTGACGTTTACATTGGTTTATTAAAAGACGCTAAAGATATACTGGATGACATTGCACCTGATACACCTCCCAGTGACGATGAAGATAATATGTTGATTGAATTCACACGATTAGGGTAAATTCTCTACTACTACAACAAACAACAACAACAACAAAAAATGACCCTCTTTTTTAATAATAGTTATGTTTGTTTTGATAATAATGCACGCGCACAATTTCGTGCTCGGGAACTCAAGTCAATAAAAATCAATTCGGATGGTGAATACGTGCGACTCGTCATAAGAAACTGTCATCGTAATAGACTCAATACTTTCAACCAAGTAAGTTCCCCCCCCCCCTCTTCTAATAAACCTCCTCAACTTTTTCTTTCTCTGCTTAAAAATTAACTTACACCAAAAAAGGTCGGTATTCTCGCATTAAATATTCTAGGTCAACCTTTACATCTTGTCGATAAAGCCAATATAGTCCCATCTTCTTCTTCACAGGTAAAAATTCAATCTAATCATCTTCCCCCTTTCTTTTTTTTATTATTATTATTATATACCATCTCCTGAACAATACCTTTCCCCTTACTCCCTAAAATAATTATATAGAACCATATCGTACGTCATCCATTCGACGATAACAGTATCCTCAGTACCTCCACAAGAAGAACAAGTGTCTCTAGTAACCAAAGTTCTCTCAACAGACTTTCTTCCGCCAGTGGATTCGAAATAGAACTTGGTCAATGGACTTCCGCTCTCATTCATGCCGAAGAAGACGCCGTACGTTCTGAATTATATCAAACCGCAAAAACCTATAAATACTTGGGAGAAAAAATGGAAAAATTTACAAAAATTTTGTCAGATCTGGAGATTGGAAAACGACATGCCGTCGAAACAAAAGATTATGATGAAGCAGAGAAAATTAAGGTTTTTTTTTTTTACTTTATAATTTAAAATCATCCCCCTACTTGTAACTAACACTTTTCTCCTTTTTTTGTTTAGGATGATATCAAAGAGATCAAACAAGCAGCTCAAACCATGTTGAAGGGTGCTCATGTTCAAATCACAAGTGAAGGAAACGTCATTCCACTCGATATACCAGAAAATATACCCCATAGTCATAGCCAACAGCAACAGCAGCAGCAGCAGCAGTATCAGCAACAGCAACAGCAACAGCAGCAACAATATGAGCAGCAACAGCAACAACATGAACAACAAGAAGAAGAACACCATCATTATCATGTACAGGAAGACACTGTGATCGGCTCAGAAGAACCCACCATGATACCATCCATTATACCCATCATTGAAGATCCTGAAAGTATACCCGAACCCATCATGGACGAAGAACGAGGCCCTTACACCATTGCCATTCAAGTGTTTGGAGAAGATATCGTTGCTTGTGTACTCAGTATGAAGGCCAAATGTAGAACAAGGGGTTTGGGTTTAATTGAACAACGTATCGAATCCGTACAATCCCTCGCTCGAGACAATCAATTGGACGATCTCTGTACCATGATTTATTTTGATCAACAAAACCATGCACCCTATCACAACATGAATGACGATGATGATGACGATGAAGAGGAGGAAGATGAAATGGCCCTTGATACCGTCACACGATCCATCTCCAACTTTATTAATGCCACACTCATGATGATCCAAGAAGCCGTGATGGATTCAAGAGAGCCCATTGTCTCTCTCGCCATCACTACATGGCATCACCTCAACGATTTCTGCAGAGAAACAGGGATTGACCCACGTTGGACCATTGAATGGATCGAACGTACCTTTTCAGGTCTTTTGAAACGTACAGGAGATACAAACCTCAAGATCAAAACTGCTGCCACCCTTCTTATCTCCGTTTTAGTCCAATCTTACCCTTCTCCCCCATTTTCTCTCATGCCCTTATTTATTTGCAAACCAGAACGTTTGATCCATAACTACAAGGAAGCCAAATCCCGTGTAGAATTGGTAGAAGCCCTCGTCGTGAAATTAGGGGTTGAAAAATCCGTCCATAATCAGTGTAAAGTGTCTGTCCCCTTACAGGACTTGATGGCCTTTGTCGTCGCTTACTTAAATCATGGTCATGATGACGTTCGTCAAGCCGCTGTAAAACTTGTCGTTACCATTTCTGAACAGATTGGGTTTAATATAGTTAGCTCTTACATTGACGAAACATTGCGTGTCTCATTGGCTGGGGTAAAGAAATATTTTAAATGTTATCTAAAAAAAAAAAAATCAAAACACACATTTACGCTAACTTTTTGTTGTTGTTGTTGTTGGTGAAATGTAAAAAATTAGACGGTTCAAAAGCTAGTAGATAAAGGCTCATTTCATACACCCGCTCCCATCTTGACAAACAAGATTAAAAAGACACCTACGACCAAGGAAACACAAGCAGAATTACGTAAAGCAGCTGTCCAACCCGAGAGAAAGACGAGATCAAGTAATCGAAGTGTGAAAGAAACAACTGACAAGAAGAGTACGAGGACTAATAAATCGGGTAGTCGACCTACTACGGCCCGTAGTAAACCTATCAAAGAGCCTGTCAACGAGAATGATGCATGTATCTTTTGTGAAGAAGTCAATGCAGAGTTTAATGAGGATACCTTGATCAAACATTATTACAATACGTGTCCGGTATTAACCAATTGCTCCTTATGCCAAATTGTAACGGAGATTTCGACATTAAATGAACACATGTTGGTAGACTGTGAGAGACACCATTTGGTCAAGGCCTGTCCTAAATGTAGACAAGCAATTCCTGTGGAACAATGGCATCAACATACGATGAAAGGTGGTTGTAAACTCAAGACGGGTGAATATGATGCACGTTGCCCCTTATGTCTTGTCAATATCTTGCCTGCTAATGATGCAGGTTGGAAACTCCATTTAATGACAGGTGAAGGTTGTACTAAATTAAAAAGATCACGTGCTCCCAAGAAGAAGATGAAAAAAACCATTTAATTTTTTTTTTTTTGCTTTTTTTTTTGATTTTTTTTTTTTCTTTTTTTTTTTTTTTTTTTTTTTTTTTTTTTTTTTTTTTTTTACAAAGTGTATATAAAAATCAAGAGTGGACATGTAAAGAAAAAGAAATAAACATTTAAAATAAATTTACTTGGCCTTGAATTCATGCAACCGAGATTCAACACCTAATTATTATTTTTTTAGGCTCTCATTCAATTATATCTTTCTATTTAGGACTTACAGGTAAGTAGATATGGTCGTTCTCAGGTAAACTAGGTATCGCATGATGATCAAATCGTTTTATTCGGGTACATTTGTGTAAATCCATAAACACCATTGTACAAATCATAATGCATATCATCACCACAATTGCCTTTCGATATCTTTTCACCTTATCTACAAAATAAACAATTTGCAATAGGTTTTTTTTTTACATCCTCTCCTACTTTCTTTACTTACCCTGAATCCATCGTCTCATTCTTTCTGTTTTGGAAATACCTTTCTCTACATAGGGTGCATGACAGTGTCTACACCGTTTTGTCTTGCTGAAACAATAAGCATGAGCCTGATAGTCTCTACAACAAGTTACTTTGGGTTGGTTCAAAAAAGAAAAGAGTTCATAAACTCATTACATTCTACTACATTGACAACGCACTCTTGTCCAGGCTTCCCATTCTTCATTTAAAAGACAGATACAACAACCGTACTAAAAAAGCAAATAAGTTATTTATTTTTTTCCGTGTAAAAAAAAAAAGAAAATATTTATTTTTTTGGTTACGTTGCTAAAGGGTGCTTTTTCACTTTTAAAAGCGTTTTGTCGTTGAATGGCCAGTGGCATACTTTAAAGAAATTAAAAAAAAAATAAAAGGGAAGAGAGAGAGAAAAAAAAAAAAAAAGGGTTATGGAATTTTTATGCTGCGCTAAATAAAATAATATACTCGCTCTGTCTTTATCATTCTTGTCCAATCATAAAGTCATAAATCTCATACCCCACTTAGTTGGGTGCGTCAAGGGAAAGCACTTTGAGGCAAAGTTTTTTTTTTTAATTTTACGACATGATTCGTTATAAATGAACATTTTTACACCTCCAAATCAATGAATAGTACACTTGAACAAAAAGGCCCTTTTTTTTTTTTTCTGGGGTGAAGGGTCTCAAGCGCAATCATTATTTACGAAAAGCATGTCCTATCCCATATTTTTCGCATCATTACCATGACACCTGTATTTGCACTTTGTGCTATTTATTTACACAAAAAGCTTCAAAAAATCTACCTTAATTTAAAAACTGTCCTTCCCTCTAAGATTTTTTTAGATCCTCTCTGTGAAACGAATACGAATAAACCGCGGTGGTGATACAAGTGAGCTTTAAACCATCATCTGGGGGATCAAGAGTGGCACTTTCCATTCTAGGTAATATTAGGATTTTTGCGTACTACTAATTACACATGATGGAGTACATCATTTTCCTTTTTACTTGAGTGCAGAAAAAAGTGTTTACATTCAAAGTAAAAAAAAAGTTTGTAGCCAAAGAGTCGGGAGGATCGATCCTCTTTTTCTGTAATGTGCATAAATTGGAGAAGGCTACATCTATTTCTTGCAAAAGGTCGGTAAATGATAAAAAAAAAAAAAAAAGTCAGATATATACTTTTTTCTGTTTTTAAAAAATCAGGTGCTCCGAAACCAGGCAACTTGTAGAACCTCTAGAACAAAGGAGCTATTCAAAACTCATGAAAAGCAGTTGAAACAAATGATAACTGTTATCTTTTATAGTTTTCTGCAGGGAAAAGAAGTCAAAATATTATTTAAAACCTCTTCCGGATGAGCACAATAAGAAGTGATTGTGACAACAACAAGAATACCATCAGAACGGCTATGTGTAACTTTAAATCGCGGATATATAAGTCCTACTCCTTTAAACCTTTTATTCTTTGTTGCTTCTTTCTTCATTCTTTGTTTCTTTTTTTTATCTAAACTCTTTGCTACCTCAAACTACAACATGTCAACTGACAAGCAGGGAAGTAAAGAAACCGATAGTTTCGTACCACACTCGCCCGATACGTCTCATATTGGAACCATCGGCACCTTTGATTTCTACATCTGGACACTCATACCGGCTATTGGTATTATCTTTTGCTTTCTTCACACCGAACAAGAACATATATGGAGCTGGACAGGTGCAACCGCTGCAGAATCCCAATCCTTAGAGTCCAAAATCATTGTGTCCGTGATATCCACCGTCATTGGTGGTTGCGTGGTGGCTACCCTGATGAAGGCCGTCTCTGCAATCTTTTTCACATTGATGAAATATCAAGGAGCTAATTTTTCACATTTTGCTGCTGTCGTTGGTGGTTATTCTCCTTCCTATTTACCTATACTTTTTGCAGGAAAAAGGTGGTTCGGTATACTCTTGATCTTTATTATTTTAATAATCAGTACAGTGACAAAACAACTGGCGGTTGTATCTATGGGTGTGCGTGTTATCTCTTTCAATGACACCATGACATCTTACACACGAAACTATTCATCCTGCGTAGCTACAACAGGGTTAGGTGAAATAGGAAAAATGCTGCCATTTGCAACGTTAGATGCTTTCAACAGCTTGCGAAATCAAAATGCTACCTATACAAATGAGTATTATGACAAAAGTATACCCGCAGGTCTAAGAGGAGAATCCACCTATGTGCGTGAATTACCCTATGCAAACGTCTCATGTTCCATTGTTCCCAGAACTGCAAACTATTCTAGTGCAAGCCCCATGTCCTACAATTTTACGGCCGCAAATACCTTATTTGAGAGTATATCATCTTGGCATGCTGAAATAGCCCTAGCTATGAATCTCGACCTGAAAGAAAATGCTAGCTGGGTAGCTTGCACAATCGATGTCGGACACGCAACAGCTTTGACGTCGTGCAAAGATACATTGTGTCATACAGAACGGGTGTCTCCAATTACGCTTTTTGAAAAGGAATACCCCAGTGGTATATATGACTTCATGAACGCTATGTTTGTAATGACCAGACCAGGTTCAATGGTGACTCGTAATCCATTGTTGAGCTGGATATTAGGCGCCAATATTACGACCTATGTTGATATAGAAGAGAAAATTCCAGGGGAGAGTGTACAGATGATTCAAGACAGAGTAGAAATATTTGGCACCATGGCCGGTCGAATATTATGTGATTACAACAACAAGGAACCATATACGGATACCGTCACATTTCAATCGAATTATATCTCTTCCCAATATTATGTGAATCGTATCTTATGGAAATGGCCCTTTTGGCTGCTGGCCGGGTTTATCTTTGTGATTTGGATTCTATGTATGATGGCCATGTGGATAACACCCGAAAGCAGAATTATTTCAGTAGAATGGTTTATCAGTCAGTATATTACAAGAAACCGTTACGGTTATCTGTCCGGCAGTGATTTAGTCAAAACCCACCAGAAAACACTTTTGCAGGTGGTCGATACAAGCTCCAATGAAAATGTAGGGAACGTGTCAGTCATTCAAACGGATACTTACAAAGATATAAAAGTTCAAAGAGTGCGCCGTGATAAACAATACCAATAATTTATTCTACCCTTTTTTTTTTTTTACATTAATAAAATAATCACTTTACAATTAGAAATATAAATACATAGTGTCAATTGACAGTAATGAGGGGTTTAAACCATAAATTCGGATTTAAATGCTCGCTTTTTTAAAGTTTTTCCATATTTGACTTTTAAAGAAACATTGGACTTATCACATACAATAAAACCGGATTCGTGTAAGCAAAATGAAAAAAAAAACATCACACACACCAGGATTCCCACAAATTCCATTTCACTAATTATTATAAGTACATGGAAGTGTAATATAAGCTTTTCATTACCCGTTATACAGGCGTACCTGATACGTACCATAGCCGGGTATTGCCACTATCACAATTATATTATATTTTCTTTACTTGGTTTTCCCTTCCAACATCAAGAAGGATTACGATGCAAAGCGTGTTGTACCAATGCTTGTCGGTATTGATGTGGAAGATATGCCTGAGACATTAGCTATAGGGGAATTAACCGAAAAGCACAAAAATGAATTAAAAGAATTCCTTTTCACAAAGAGTAACAACCCCGGAACATGCCGTAGAATCATAATGGCTAAACTGACTATGGAGCTTCTTCAGACCGTTGTTTTTCTGCGAATGATTACATATACGCCAGTGTCAGATCAAATTGTATCTCTTTTTTTAGCCTCTTGGGTGAACCTTTAATTCCTTCTCCGACTTCAAATACAGAATAGAAACTACATTCTATCTTTTTTTTTTTTTTTTTTTTTTTTTTTATCAAGTTGATTTCTACGTAATTTGTAAGACTTTTCGATTCCCAGTTAGTCAGACACCCATCTAATTCGATTCCCAGGGCAAAAAAAAACACTGTTCTCCCGCTTAATTTCTTAAAATTGGAGCTTTTTAGTGCATGCTGTGCGGATCAGATACAAAATCCAAGTCTATATGAGTGTGCTATCAGCGCTTAAAAAATACGAGCGTGGAAATCCCAAAAAGAAATTTTAATGGGCGTGCGTTAATCGCTTTTTTTTTTTTTTTTTTTTTTTTTTTTACATTTTGATCTAATATTTTCTGAAATTAGTGTACAAGTGGGCTTGAAACCATCATCTGGGGATCAAGAGTGGCACTTTCCATTCTAGGCAATATTGGGCTTTTGCATACTACTAACTGCATATGGTGGGAGATCAGACTCGTGTTTAAATAAACTATACAAAACAATTACCTATAAATTTAATTGTGTGCCAAAAAAAAAGAAAAAAAACTTTACATTTAAAGTATATAAACATTCCACTTATTTCCTGCTTAATCGCATTAGACCCAGATAGATCGAGCCTTTTATATGTAATGGAGAAGGCTACACCTATCTTTTAAAAGGTCGGTAATGATAAAAAAGTCAAATATACTTTTTTCTGTTCTTAAAAAATCAGATGCTCCGATACCAGACGGCTTAGAAGATATATAGAACAAACACCCTATTCAGAGTTACACAAAGCAGTTGACACGAATGATCCTATCTTAGCTAACCTATTTAAATCTTTCAGGATGAGAATCGGTCACAATAAAAAGTCATTGTGGCAAGTTAACAATACCAAAATGGGCGGCTGTGTGTCACTATATATCACAGATAAATAAGCCTATTCCTTACCATTACTTCTTTGTTTCTTCTTTATCCAACCTCTTTGCTACCTCAAACTACAACATGTCAACTGACAAGCAGGAAAGTAAAGAAACCGATAGTTTCGTAAAACATTCGGCTGATGTGTTTAATATTGGAACCATTGGCATCTTTGATTTCTACATCTGGACACTCATACCGGCTATTGGTATTATCTTTTGTTTTATTCACACCGAGCAAGAACGTATATGGAGCTGGACAGGTGCAACCGCTGCAGAATCCCAATCCTTAGAGTCGAAAATCATTGTGTCTGTGATATCAACCGTAATTGGTGGTTGCGTGGTTGCCACCCTGATGAAGGCTGTCTCTACGGTTTCTTTCACATTGATGAAATATCAAGGAGCTACTTTTTCACATTTTTCTGCTGTCGTTGGTGGTTACTCTTCTTCCCATTTACCCATACTATTTGCAGGAAGAAGGTGGTTCGGTATACTCTTGATCTTTGTTATTTTAATAGTGAGTACGGTGACAAAACAACTTGCGGTTGTATCTATGGGCGTACGTCTTGTCTCTTCTAATGACACCATGACATCTTACACACGAGACTATAAATCCTGCGTAGCTACAGAATTTATAGGTGAATTAGGAAAGATGTTGCCATTATCAACTCTAGATGCCTTCAACAGCTTGCGAAACCAAAATGCTACCTATACAAATGAATACTACGACAAAAGTATACCCGAAGGTCTAAGAGGAGAATCAACATTCGTGCGTGAATTGCCCTTTGCAAATGTATCATGTTCCATTGTTCCCAAAAGTGAAAAATTTACAAATGCTGAACCTATGTCTCGCAATTTTACGGCCAAGGATAGCTTAGAGGGAAGTATATCGTCTTGGTACGCTGAGATAGCCTTAATTTTGAATTTAGATCTAGCGGTACAAGGTTCATCCCAATGGGTAGCTTGCACAATTGATATGGGCCACGCAACTGCATCGACGACGTGCAAAGATACCTTGTGTCACACAGAACGTATATCGGATATTACTGCGTTTGAAAGAGCCTATCCAAATGGTGTTTTTGACTTTATGAGTGCTATGTTTAAAATGACTAGACCAGGTTCCGGGGTAACTCGTAATCCATTAATGAGCTGGATATTAGGCGCCAACATAACGACCTATGTTGATATACAAGAGAAAATTCCAGGGGAGAGTGTACAGATGATTCAAGACCGATTAGGAATACTTGGTACAATGGTTGGTCGTATTTTATGTGATTACAACAACAAGCAACCTTATACGGATACCGTCACATTTCAATCGAATTATATCTCTTCCCAGTATTATGTGAATCGTATCTTATGGAAATGGCCCTTTTGGCTGCTGGCCGGGTTTATCTTTGCGGTTTGGATTATATGTATGATTGCCATGCGGATGACACCCGAAAGCAGAATTATTTCAGTGGAATGGTTTATCAGTCAATATATTATAAGAAACCGTTATGGATATCTGTCTGGCAGTGATTTAGTCAAAGCCCACCAGAAAACACTTTTACAGGTGGTCGATGCAAGCTCTGACGAAAATGTAGGGAACGTGTCAGTCATTCAAACGGATACTTACAAAGATATAAGAAATCAAAGAGTGCGCCATGATAAACAATACCAATAATTTATTCTACCCTTTTTTTACATTAATAAAATAATCACTTTACAATTAGAAATATAAATACAAAGTGTCAATTGAGCAATGAGTGTTTTAAACCCAAAAAGCTCCATTAAAACGAATAAGCCAAAATACAAAACGTCGGTTCGAGTGGTATCCAATGAGCTGCAAACTGGCACCAAGAAAGAGAGGTTTAAATGCTAATGGACTACAATGTCATTTACATATAAGAGTTTGGAGCTCAAAGACTGGATATAAAGCAAAGGAGTAATTTTAGCACAAACATAAGCGAAAACATAAACGGAATTGTCTCTTTAAATGATATTTAGTCTCATAATCCTATAGATGGATTAGAGTGTAGTGATTTTTATGTCAGAGTGTAGTGATTTTTATGTCAGACTGTGTTGATAGATTTTGTTTATTAAAGAAAAAAGTTTGGGCTATCCGTGGCAGTAATAACAAGAATTTTCTTTGCTGTGGTTTACTAACAATAGACAGGCGAGAGTGTCGAGTGTAATCATCATGACAAAGTTTGAAAAGTTTTACAGTAACAAAACTTTTATCTAAATAAAGGATGAATTAGCTGCCCAAGGGAGGAGAGAATTTGAGAGTTTTCCGTATCTATGTAGTCCGTATGTTCAATATCAATTTACATACTAATAGATGTATTGGATAACTGCAAAGAACAATATGATCTAATTCGTATTGACAATGATATCAACATTTTTTTTATCATTACATGTGATTTCAATCCACTTGGTCAAAACACTTTTAAATTTATTGCAAATCCTTGTCTACAAAACCGCTACATCGTCATCAATGGTAATATGATAAATTCAAATCAATGCAGTTTCACGATTGTGCTTAAAATCCTTCTGTGTTTATAAACTGTATTACAACGTCAATGATCGTGAAAAAAAAAAGAATCTAGCATGGGACTCTTTCATGTTCAGCATAATAAAAGTCATATCAACCGATTCATGAATTGGGGGTGGAAAGGCATTACCTTATTCGACTTAATTTTATACTGATATGTATATGATATGTGCGCAACATGAACCTTCTAAGGAACTCATTTTTAGTTCTCTGACGTAGATAATTTTGGGACTTCAAAAAAAAAGAGACTAATGGTCGGGTGACAGACTGCATAATTTTTCGGTAATTAAAACATTTAATTTCTTTTCCTTCTCTTCTCTTTTTCTTCTTTCTCCCAAGAAATGAAAATACCTCTATTATTATTATTATTACTGATATCCCAAGTACTTGGATCACAAACAATCATTGAAGTGCTTTCTAAGGAAGAAAGATTTTCTACACTTTTAAAACACCTGGAAGAGCTAAAGCTAGTATCTTTTGTGAATGATCTTAGATCTGGAACTGTGTTTGCTCCGGATAATGATGCATTTGAGAAATACAAAGCCGATATAGCCAACTCAACTATTTTATACCATTTTATCAAAAAGGGTATCAAAACAGACGAATTCTATAACGGGCAGCTGAAAGAAACCCTTTTGGAAGGAGGTCCCGACGATGGTGGTCAACGCATCAAAGTGACAAAATCCAACAAGATTTTCATCAACGAGGCAAAGATCATATCGTCTGACATTCAAGTGAACAACGAAACCTACATACAAGTTTTAGATAGAGTGTTGGAACCACCCGCTTCGATAGGTTTGTTATCTATAAAAAAAATAGGAGTCTTTTTTTTTTTGGGTCGTGGCTGACTATTTACAAATAGGAGCTTCAATTAAGATGAGAAACAAAGTCATGTATGACCTCATGGCATCTGCAGAAATAAGTGATCTTTTAGAGAAGAAAAGACCATTTACGGTATTTTTGTCAACAACAGAGACACCTTTTGAAAATTACAATTCTGTCGAGTCGAATTATTTAAAGTCTAAATATGGTCGAGATGATCTGGCAGTTTATTTCAATTATACGATTATCGACAAAGTAATCTATATGGATGAATTCAAATCTGGAAAGACGACATGTAAAGTGTTCATTGTTTATTTAAATGTAACTGTTCTGATTATTATATATAGTTAAATCACTCTCGGGGGATTCATTAGTAATTACATCGAATAAGGAAAAGATGACTGTCAATGACATTCCTATCACTCAGTCTGATATCATTGCTTCTAATGGAGTCATCCATGAAATCGAGCATCCAATGAAGCACGACGCTATTCATTTCAATACAAGAAAATACATGTATGGATACAATGCTACTCAAATGGTAGAATGGTTTGATCAATATGACCTTGGTAATTACCTGGATCAGCAAGAGCTTAATTACACTTTTTTGGTGCCCCCTTGTGACTCAATGAACGCATCAATGATATCAAAAGCTTGGCTCAGCTATCATATTGTCAATGGTTCTTGGCCCCAAGCAAATTTAAAAGATGACATGTTATTAACAACACAATTCAAGTCACATGATCTTGGCGGAAAACAACAAAAATTACCTGTGTCTGTTGAAACAGATCATTTATATTCGTCATCAATACAATTCGATCATGCCAGAGTGATTGGTGATGAAGGTAAGAAAGGAGATATGTACACACTAAACCCCAAATTTGTGCCTAATTCTATTTTGGAACCTAGTAAATATTCATGACGACATTATTTATCAGATAACGGAACCCCTTTCACTTCCAGGAGACATTTTAGGAAAATTAGTGTTAGATCTGGATTTATCCACATTCATTGCAACACTTTATGTATCTGAAGTAGTAGACGAAATCAAAGAAACAAATGGACTGACGTTATTTGTACCGACCAATGAAGCCTTTCAGAAATTAGGGTTGGTAGCACAATACCTTGTACACCCCACCGCCAAAACTGAACTTCAAACAGTGCTTAGATACCATGCAGTAGCCAATTCATTACTGTATTATGATGATATGAGGGATTCCGTACATGAGCTTGTGACACTAGCAAATTCAACACTCCGTATCAGCCAAAATGAGTCTGGGTCCATTTTTGTTGGTAGACCAGAAGGCAACGAAGGCGTGATAACCCACACTGATACTTTAGTGTCCAATGGCGTTGTCCATAAAATATCTCAGGTACAAATTCCAAACCAAGTGAGGATCACAAATAGCAATCTACTTGTCGGCATCGAATCAAATACCATGATCCAAATCTTGGAAAAGGCAAATCTAAAGGATTTGATTGACCGTGACAATATCGTGGTTTTGGCTCCTTCCGATAAAGCATTCTCTAAAATTGACCTGGACGATCTTTTTGAAAATCAAGACCAATTGGAGAGGTTGGCAAAGTTACATATTATACCAAGAGAGTGGCAAGATAGATGGATCGAAGAATCATCGAATTTGCGTGATAAGAGCGAATACCCGACTCTACTTTCAGATGATGACAAGGTAACCATTCGAGAAAATGAAAAGGGTGAACTTTCGATTGAGGTTAAAAATGGTCGAGAAAGCGATAGGGCACATGTGACTGGTCTGGGACGTGTGTCAGCTGGGGGAGGTGTCATTGCCATTGATAGTGTGCTTATTCCAATCAAAAGAGGATTCTTTGGGCTTCCTTGGATGTGGTCAGTGATTGTTACTTTGATCATTGTCATCATCACTAGTGGTGTATTAAGCATCATCGGTTTCTTTGGATATAAAATATATAACCGAAGAAGATTGGGTTACAGACCGATTTTTTAAATATCTGTAAATCTCCTCCTCTCTTGTGTACATACTTCTGAAATAAATTTGTTTAACTATACCAAAGCATAAAGCCCTACTTTTTAATCAGTCAGCAAAGTAATTTAATAGTATATCTGGTATGTCGGCCTTCAACTGTGTATCATCAAAAATAAACTAGAGAAAACTCAGGCTTTGTACTGACATGCTATGTAGTTTAAACGACTGGCTCTTTGTGCTATTGTAAGAAACTAAAAACGTTCAAGATTTTTAAGTTATTTTTTAGGTTATTATGAAGAGAATGCACTGGTTTATCAATTTAGTATTTGCTTGAGCTTTCCCTACAATAAATTTTAATCATCTAATTTGAAACCATCGTATGATAATCTTTCAAGTGCCTTAATTATAAAAACACATAGGAAATCTTTAATCCTGTCATTAGTTATTTATGCAAATGTTATATTATCATTTCGAGAAAATTTGTTTTATTCCTTTTCTTTAAAATTCATTACTCTATAATATTCTAAATTACTCTTCGTCTTTATCATCAGATTTTTCGTCGTCCTTATCATATTTCTCGTCTTCCTTATCACCGAGTTCCTCATCGTCTTTATCACCAGACTTTTCAGGCTTCTTTTCATCCTCCTCATCATCTCCATCATCTGCGTTAGCTCTATCTGTCAAAATCTGAACGGCATTTTGGTTGTAAATACGGGATACAACAAATACTTCATTAGTCTCATCACTACTGATAAACAAACGACCAAATTGATCTACAGCTAAACCGAAAGGACTGATACAGCCCGCACCTTTACAAGGTGTAGCCTCCTGTAAGATAATATCAGGCTCTAAATCCCAACGAGGTTTATGTCCGACATCATCAAAGTGAATACGAACAACATTGTGTCCTCCGGAGATACCATCAATACCGTGGTTAGCAATGATAGGTGTATCTGTCCAGTTACAAGGAAGACCGACAGAGGAACCTTGAGTAGTCAGATCGCCAACTGAGCAAAAAGTTCCCATGTAAAAGTGAACACTGGAAGCATAAGAGTTGGAAGGGAGGGGCACAGAAGGAGGGCGATTGGATGTTTCGTCTTGGCAATATTCATCCAAATTAAACGTGTCGTTCATGAAGGTTGGGTGTCCCCATTGTGTACCTAAACCTTTACCTAAGGTTGAAACACCCAACATGTCAAATTCAGTCATACAGTAAGGATAACCATAGTTCATTTTTGGAAATTCATATAAATTCATCTCTTCAGCAATACCAGAAACTGCAAGATCTGAGGTCATGAAAATAAATAAAACATCCTTTTTATTTTAGTTTCTATTATTTAAATGACTTACTGGCTTCAGAGCTTAAATCCTCTCTAACAATGCTATTAGATGTGACACCATTAATACCCCATAGACGGGCTTGAGCGTCGAAACCCATGCTACCTTGAGTATTCGCACCAAGGGCCTGAATCTCACCGTCTTTCTCATAATCAAAACCTTGTTCGGGAATAAGACGGAGGTTAAACTTTTTGATCATGGCATCTTTAGCTGTGACTTTGGCGTTTAAATCGGTGACAATACGAGGGATGAACACATGACCAAAAGGGTCTACTGCAACATCAGTAGCCGCATCAGGATCATCGGGATGAATATTCGTTATCACCTTGACACCATTTTGAATAGGAGAATGTTGACCATCGCTATATGGGAATTTGTATACGGAATTAGCAGTAGACACAAAGATATGTCTATCAAAAATAGCAACACCATGGCCGATAGGCTGGTCCATTTCATCACTTTCTAAAATTAATTTGATGTCTGAATTTCCACATTCATCCATACGAACGGAATATAGACCTTCTCCTGGAGACATAACTAAAAGATGGTTGGCTTGATCAAATATGATTTTACGTGGATTTTTGATCTCGTTGGCAAGAACCATAAATTCATAACCTTCCATGACATTTACTTGGTGGGAGGGGGTAAGAGTGATATTGGGTTTACATAAAGGTTGGTCTTCGGGGTTAGAAATAATAAGAGGGTGTTCAGAAGATGCATCGGGTACAAGCACGTTTGCAGAACCCACCCGTAAAGCGCCCTTTGCAACTGCTTCGGCTGTCACACGTTCCTCTTCTGCAATCGCTGCTAACTCTTCTTTCTCTTCGCTAGTAATTCTGCTCCTTTTTGCCAAGGAAAACGAAACAAACAATGTAGCTATGAGTAGCACATAAAAAAATAACCTGCCCATTGTTTAAATCCTAATAAAAAAAAAAAAAGGAGAATGGACACGTCGAGAATTGTCTGCTTATATACGAATTTATAGAATAATTCCCGTTCATAGTCGGAAATAATGTTCTAAACGTTTTGTTGATATTTTGCCTGCATATCTTGCCCTGTCAAATTTATCTGGAATTGCACAGTAAATGCTTACATACACTCTCATAGTTTGGAACTCAATTTCTTTGTTACTTTTTTCTTTCTTTAACCTCTATCCCTTTTTTATTCATAATGACAGATGTGATTACCCTCATAAACGCTAAAGACTATAAGGCACTTGCTCAATACTGTGAGTTTGAGGAGATTCAAGTAAATGATTGTGTTAATCTCATTAACATTGTTTATATATACACTAATCACCTTGAATCATTTAGAGCGCGTCCGGTTCCAATATTATGCTCGGGCAGTTATATCCCGTGTATTTAGCCAGTTGCATTTTGTTAAACGATCTGTAAGGTCACATTGCTTCTTTTCTGGTATACATTATATTTTAATTATTATTTCTCTGAATTAGTCAATCTGCTCGACATGTACGTAAGAGAATCTTGGCTTCTAACAACAAAACACCTGAAATAGATGCCATTTGGTCTGTTGCGACAGCTTTGATACAAAAATCTTATCCACAAGTGTATCAGAACCTCGATAGCTTCCAATGGTCTGAGTATATGGTACCTTTAGTGCAACAGATAAAAGCGGACATCAGAGAACAAATGTTGATTATGATACCGAACGTCTATACTTCGATTGAGTTGAAGCAAGTGCGTGATTACTTTGGTACAAGTGAGGAAGAGTGTTTACAAGGTAGATAAAAGAAAGAAACAAAAATCAAATTTAATCGGGGTGTTGATTACCGTTTGTTTTAGAATTATCTACGAGAGGATGGAGGTTTAACGAAACCACTCGAGTTTTGTTCCCAGTGAAACCAGGTAAAAAGAAATCATTCATTTAAAAACGAATTGCTGATTATTTATGCGTATTCTTTATATATTTATATATATTCTATAGCCCCTAAACCTCGTATCTCGACTAATTCTAACCAGTTTGAAAAGCTGTCAGACATTGTTTTGAGCCTTGAAAAGTTTTAAAAATAAAAATTATAACTCGATTTTTTCATCGGTAACTTGTTTATCAAAAGCCGTTCGTTTTAGATCGCCTTTTAGCCAGATGGTTGGAATGGACCCCACCGCCACAATTATACATGCAACAATCATGGCGAGTTTCATATTTTTGGGTGGATTTGCTTCAGGACCTGCTCTTAAAGCATCTATCACAACAGAAAATATAAGCGTGGCTGCAGTAGAAATCACCCATAGCAAGGAGGATGAAACGGATTCCGGCACAGGATATGATACTAAGGTTCTTATCAGTATCGTGTTGATAAAACTTTTTTTTTTCTGAAATAACTTACATTCGCAAGCTAATTCCAAGTGGATGGGTAATAAGGCATAAGCAAAAAACCCGTTCAAGATGCAAGCGATTAAAATAACACTAAAAGCATTGGGAATCACTATGTTTAGATATTCAGTTTCATATGATGGCATGTCTTGCTCCCACCAACAACTTACTCTCAAAAATCAGCATGAGATAGGTGAATACCATCATGGGCGTAAAGATTTTGATCAGCATGATATGTTGTGCAGTTTTTCCGGCCCAATAACCCGAAAGCATTCCACCCGCGAACCCTGCAATCACACTGGCGGAAGCACAAATCCCAGATTGCAAGTCGGTATATCCAATGGGCGAGATAGCTTCAATAATTAACGTTGCAACCGAGAATACCATACCGCTATTGACCGCACACAAAATGGTTACCCATATAAAGCCAGGATTTCTAGCAAGGCATTTCACCGCCTGTTTAAAATCCATTCGCTCTTGGTTGGCAGAAGGTGAAGACGGAATTCTGGGTGAGCTCGGTAAAAATACGGACGGAATGGTACAGGCGGTAGAGATGATGGATACTACAATTAGCATCCAGGGTACTTGTTCGGGTGTAGGACACAATAATGGAATTAATACGGGCGCAAGCGCCATACCAACGGAAAGCGCTAAAATAGAAATATTATGTTTCGACATCGAGTATTAAAATTAATTTTTCTTACTAGACAATGTATTGGCTACACCTCGGTGTTGCGGTGCAAACCATACAGATGCCAACTAGAAAATCCAAAAATGTTAAATTCACGACATTAAATTGCGGGTGTTTTTTTCTTCTTCTTCTTTTTTACCTTGGCAGATATACTAAATGCCGGAAATCGTCAAGCTTTAATGGTATTTCAGATGAATGATGTACTTACTTGTATACAAATGCTCCACCAAGACTAGCAAAAAATTGGCCCGCCATCATGACCGTATACCTGTGATGTTCAGGGACAATGATCGCTATGCATCGAATCCAACAGCCTATAAAGTTCATTCCAGCCGCAAATAGAACCTAGAAAAGAGAATTCAATATATGCTTATTCTGACGGTCTCAGTAGCTTACATTTGCCTTGATACCGAATCTTTGATATGACCATCCTGTAATCAAAGAACATAGAGTATTGATTACAGCAGATAGATTAGATAGCCAATTCAATGCAGTGTAATTGACCTGCATCCATTCTGACACAGCTACAGGCGCACTTGACGCGCTTGCCCACATGAGTGAACTTGCGCCATTTACCAACATAATATTGACAACATGCAACCAGGCAATCCATGTCGTACCATACACGATTGGTTCGTCGTACAAAACATTAGATGCAGTTATTATACTACTACAGTCATCACCCTTGATCAACGTAACCGTGCCAATCTTTGATAACCGAGCCTTTTCAATATTACTCGTAAAGGATGCTCTCATCATTTGATAATAACTAATAACAAGAAATGAATTTGTTTTATTGCAATTAAAAAAAATCAATTTTAAATTTATACGATGAGTGATTTCATGTTGTAGTGATTAAGGTTCATGTCGGCTCGCTGCGTTTGAAATGAATGTAGATCAGAAACATGGGGATAGCGCTTTTGATGATATAATGTTAATATATTGTATATCTGAGCGAATAAAAAAAACAAGACTACGAGGCAAATGGTTCTTCTTTGTTAAATACGTGATCTTTTTCTTATATGGTTGTATAATCTTCTCTGTCAAAAAGAACCAAGTACTACGAAATTAAGACTTAGAAGCTTCTTTACATACATGCAACATTGACGGATTGATGCACTGTCGAACATTCTTTTGCATGACTGATGATTTACACCTTGCAGATGTCTTTCTGTGACCCAGTCTTGTGTGTTCCTTTGTCTAAAGATCATTTCAACCTTTCATCAGACTTAAAGAGGTAAGGTGATTCGAGATTTTTTTAATTAAAAAAAACCAGGTAAAGATTCGGTAATATCGCACCTATGAATGATTTAATCAAATCTGTTCCGTAAAGTGTTATGTACCTATCGAATTCACTGTTCCGAGCTACATTGTTTGCGTAACTTTAGTCCTGTGGCATATCTGCAGTTAATTGTGCTACAAACATAAAGATTAATATGGGTCGTGGTTCTACAAAAAGATTAAATGGCAAACAATAGAGTATGTGTTACAATGATGGTATATTCACGGCTCGTACGTTTACAGATAAAATTGCGCTGTGTTTCATCCAACATGGCATTGTATAGGCGTCTGGTAAGATTTATAGAATTTAGCAATCTCGGTTATGCAAATCTTTGCCTCTAAAAAAGCTCATATTCATTTTTGGGAAACTTTTTGCGCCTAAATTTCATTATTACATTTAACTGGTACAGAATATTAGGTTATAGTTAATTTATATTTACACGTATAAGTGTGATCCCATGAAAAATTTGGCTGCAGCAGAATATCGTTGTCAAATCAGTACTAATATATTTTGGTTTGCATTTGCTATAGCTTTCTTTTGGTGCTGCTATTAATAGCTACACCTCCATCTGGTGAAATGAGCATTAAGGCAGACTTGTGGGTGGGGTCAAAGAGCTGACCACATGTCCGTAAAAAAAATTGTGGGCCTGATAGATACAAGAACTCTAATTCTTTGTGAACCTTTTACGAGACTTGATTGGAGATCTTAATGCAGATGATTCAAGCACTAATGGATATGTAAATTGATCTGGAGACCAAGCTGGCGATGCTAGGCTGTACATACGCGTATTATAGACCCGCCTTGGCTAAGAAATTTACTTGGCCCAAAGCCAAATGGATAATACGCGTAAGTCTAGATCGGAATCTTGAATAAACAGTGCATGACGCTACTTGGCATAGGCGTTTAACTTAATAGGACTAGTAAGGTTTCTGATTAAATCAGTACTCCTACGATAATTACGTGAAGATATAGCCAATTTTTTGAACAGATATTCTATTTCTAAAAGTATTGTCTTGGAAACCGTGCTCTTGGATATTCCAAACAATGACGCTAGGTAATTTCTCAAGAGTTGGTCGCATTTGGAAATGAGATAATGTTTACGTAAATAAAGCGGGGGCAAAAAAAAACGTACGCAGGGATGTTGGTGGTACACAAAAGATGAAATATATTTAAAAAAAAAATGTGTATTTTTTTTTCCTAAACAGATGTAATTTTATTGTTCTCCCAAAATATACATATAAAAGCTTTTGGTATGCTATATCTAGTAAGAATTCATTACAGCAGAAACAGGTCATGATCGTTCAAATTAGTTGTCTAAATTGGTACAGTTGCATTAATAAGTCAGATCAAGGAGTCCATCATCACCAGTCCTGCAGGATGCCAAAAAGTCATTAAAATAAAAGGCCCCTCTTTCGTTAAAATGAAGTCGCCAACGGATGCGAACTTCCGTTCTCTCGGTAAGACGATCGAGAAAAAAAAAAAGTCCAAGCTTCGTTTCTGTACTACCGCACTACTTATCATACGATCCATAATGGTAACTGTTTATTATTATTATTTTTATTTTTATTAGAACAAAAAGATAAACTTTTTTTAAGGTACGAATTTTTTTTTTTTTTCTGATTCAATCAATAAAAAAAATAAATAAAAACTACAAAAATATATAGTAAATAATAAGGAGGGAGTAGAAGGGGAAAGAAGGATAAATTAAAGGGAAAAATAATAAGGGCACTTTTTTGGATAGATTCTTTTTGGTTTGGGAGTAGCTGATATAATATGAGCATTAACAAACATCTACCATGTGGGTAATACAAAGGAGAGGAGAAGGATGACAATTTATTTACGAGACAGCAATGGTCTTCTAGAAGTAGGAGTAGTTGAGGTATTGGTGATAGGCGAAGTGCGTTGTTTGGTGGTTGATCCTAACACAGGACGTCTATTTGAGGGTATAACTGATGGTCTTTCAAAAACCTGCATGTTATTGCTGTTACTGATTGTGAGTCTTTGTTGTTGTTGGCGGGTTGTTACATCTAATTTATTCGATGCTGGTATAATGCTTTTTCGAACTCTGGTTACTCTACTGGTGCTATTTTCCTTTTTAATTGAGTTTGTGCTTGTCGAAGTATCATTGTTCTTTTGTAAACGAGATGATGCTCTTGAAGTAGTAATAGGCTGTTGTTTTTTAATTAATGCAATTTCCTCAAAGGCTTGATCCAATTTGTTTTGCATCTGTCTCTTGGACTCTGCATCTTCCTTGACTTGTTGTTGTCTTGATGTCTCGGTCTCATGCATTTGATCTAAAACTCTAGTCATCATTTCTTCCATCTTTCCTCTGGCAGACACCTCTTTTCTTAAGCGTGCTTCTAATGGTTGTAATTGAGTTAAGGCTGCATTCATCTTTGCTTCATAGACTTGACGCATGTGTACTTCTTGCTCTAAGCGATCGTACAAGATTTTTTGTTGTTGATCTATTGCTACAGCCATATCTTCCATTGCCTTTTCAAATGTCATGCGCATTCTTGTTTCCTCACGCACTCTCTGTTCCAATTGATAGAGACGATCGTCAACCTGGTTCATTTGACGACGATAATTACGACCACATAATTGAGCTAAATTTACAATGACTCTTTGATCTGCACGCAGAGAAGAGTATTGAAGCTTATTTTCACGACGACTGATGTATCCACGCCAGACTGATTGAATCTTGATAGCGGCTTGGTCACGCTTGGATTCCAAAAATTCGACTTGGTCTTCCTTCTCGCAAAGAGGGTAATATTCAACTTCTGACTCCAATTCTCCTTCTTCAACGGTGTCGTCGTAACCTTCGTCACTTGAGACACAGTTAAAGCTTTCTTGCACAATGGTCATTGCGAATTTGTTGAATTTGTTTAATTTAATAATAACATTGCGAGATTCGGTTGTGCGAACACTGCTGTCTACTGAACTGTCAAGATCGCTGTCCATAATGGGTTCGGTTTCATTGCAATAGACACGTAAGTTCTGTTCTTCTTCGTCTTCGGAATCAATAAAAGATAAAGGGGAATAAGCTATAAAACAATTATAGTGTGAGTGTGAGAGAATGACATTTTTACAGAAAATTCACGTTACCTCCATATGGTGTAACATTAGGCTTTGATTCGGATAGGAAAGTGGAGGGCCCGACGAGATCTTCTGATTGGGCATTTTGTTGGTTAGAACAAAGTTCAATTTCGCGTGCTCTATGTCGATCCTTATTGACTTGAGCAGGTAATTGTAAAGGTGATAATCTACCATCGTCTACGAGGTCGTCGTCGTCATCACTATGGTGAGTCTCGTGCCAGTTGTCCATGTGACTAATCATGGTGGTTGTATCTTGATCAAAATAGTCAACCGATGACAATGCCGCAATTGTGGTTGAGCTGATAAAGGAAGACTCATCAAAATATGAAATTTCTTCTTCATCGTCATCTAAGTAAGCCAGTGCTTTAAGGCATGATTTTGTTGGAAATTCAAACTGATATTGTTCTGGTCCTAAATTTTGGGTGACTTGAAGAAGTTCACCTTCTACTGATGATTCATCCTCGTCGCAGAATCGAGTCTGTAGTTGTAATCCGTGTAGTGAAAACAATTTGAATAAATTTTTGTTGGGAGAAAAAGAGAAAAAGGGTAAAAAAGAAAAAGAAAGAAAAATCAGATACAAAAATAGGTATGTATGCATTGAGGAGAAATATCGGAGTAAGGTTTAGATGCAAGATGTCAAAACAATTAAGAACGCCGTAAAGGAAATAAAATAAAATAAAAATGCACAAGCATGTCAATAAACATATCTAATATTTTTTTTAGTGTCTTATTACCTGAGTGTACATGAACATTAATTTTTCATCAAATTCCTGATAATTAGAATTTGTCATTTGTTTATTAAAAAAGAAAGGAAGGACTACTGTATTTTATTTTCAAGAAAATAAAATACAAGTTAAAGGGAAGGGAGAGGGAAAAGGAATGGAAAGGGGAAAGGAGAGAGAAAGAGAGAAGAAGAGGAAGAGAGAGAGAGAGAGAGATGGATAGAAATAACAAAGAAAAAAAAAAGAAACAAAATGGAAAGAATGGTATTTAAATACTATTTGAACTTTTTATCTGTCAGAATAAAATAAGGGGTGAGATGCAATTATAGGGAGATAATAAAAAAGTGTGAAATTTGTGTCGTCCATGCTCGACACTAGTTACACATATTATGTTGATCTTATTTATCATAAGTACAGTCTTGTACAATGATATTATTATTGTTATTCTAAGTAACAGTGTGTACTAAACAATACAAGTTTATTTAAGGACGTACAATCAAAAAAACAAGTTGGATATGTCGATGACTGAAAAAAAATATGTTTACATCCAAGTATTATATTTACATTATTACTGAATTAGTATTCTCGATCTTATTTGGCATCTTTTTTATTTGATCTGCAAACCTTTTTAAACATGCTTCCGTTCACTCCTTCGTAGGTAATTACTACATACAAATAAAGCCATTTGCAGACCGGGGTTCGGGTGATATCTGTCATTAGATGCACAAGTATTTGACCGTTTTACTTGTTAAATAATCATAAAATTATTTTTAGTTTTTTAGTGTACTCCTTTTTTTTTTCTTTTTATATACTTGACCACCACCATCACCATAATCCACCTCGAGTTGATTTAATATCTTTTTTACTTTTTCCCCCTTTTTGTCAGAGAGAGAGATCATTCAGATCTCACATCTCCTTCTATTGTCTCCTCTATTCGTATCACTCCTATGTCGGTCCATCATATTAATACTCTGTCAAGGTGGCACAATTCATCGTGTCATCGTAAACTAAATCAGGGTTCACACTTAACGCCCAAAAAATCATGCTATAAATGCACTTCGTCCAATTCTAGAGAACGATCGGTGGTCCTTCGATTTCCAAAACTTTATTTTGTTTTTATAAACATTTCCTTTTGCCATTCATGTTCATGTGTATGGTAGGGTTTCGAAAAAAAAAAATTTTATTTATTTGAAGGAGATGGGTATATGAAAAAAAAAATTTTTTTTAAGCACCTTCAGACACGCTTGCCATGCCAGCCATTAATCTCTGTTCGGATGTAATGGGTGCATTCCAGCGTCCGATATATTCGAGTTGATCTTTTCTCTGGTCGCACCATTCCTGAACCGCAATACATTCGGCATGAAACATTTCTCTTGTTACACCCTCGAATAAATTATCAAAGGTATAGAAATTAGTTTCATATTCGAGTCGTCTTAATTTTGGAAACAATTCTAATAAACTTTCAAATCCTGGTTTAGATAAAGGTGTCGTCATGTACTTTGATATAAATAAATTTCGGATTGAAAATCCAGGCTGCACTGTTGTTTTGGCGTTAGGAGTAGCATACGTTGATTTAGGTATAGTGTAGGGTGCAAATCTTTTCTTGCCCGATGGTATTTGTGTTCTCAAATTATTGTAATTGATCATGTCACGATTTGATACAGATGAGAGATCAAATAGCTCTAATGTTTCTAATTGATTGCACCGGCTTAGCAGTTGCCATAGGGCTTGGCTAGATATGCGACCAGTAGGGGATGACCCTATCAATTGTCGACCATCGCTGATAATTTCCGCATGACCACGTATATTTCGAGATTTTAGTGAGCATAGTGTTATCGACCTCAGCAAACTCCAATGCCGTCCAATTGTCACAAGAACAGCATCATCCATGCCAGAATGTAAACCACGGAAGTCGCGCATACGAGGGCAAGCCGTAACTATGGCTTGTAGTAGACCTGACGAATGAATGCCTTTGTCACGGTTATTTCTGTAGACAAAACGTTCCAACCCATGGCCATGACAAGCAATGGTGCAAAACAATTCCGTCATTTCCAAGTCAAGTGTACAATCTTCAATCACTAGACTGTTGAGATTAAGTTTGTTAAAACCAAACAGTTGATTAATAGCATCAGAAAATTGGTCGTGAAGTTCAAAATTAAGTTTCATATATTCGGCTCGTCTACGAGGAGGTTGTAAAGCTGTAATGTGGGAGAATAGCACGGGATTGTTTGTTCCGTTAGAAAATTGGACAGGCACAACAGTATTCTGTACAAATTTCGAATAGCATCCCTTGATTTTGATCGACTTGACTCGAGGTGATATCGTAAGGATTTTCTGAAAACAAAGAACTAGTGTTCTATACTCAAGATTTTCAAATACAAGATGTCTGTAAAGGTAGGGATCGTGACAAACATTATTCCAAGTCCGACAAACACTAAAATATCATAAGTATGTTTGTTTACTGATAAAAAAAATGATACAAACGATTATCATACCTGGAAACCAGCCAACGTTGCGGTAACGGAATATAAGAGAATATTTCTGATAATATAGTGTCTGGCAAATTCATGGAATATGAGATGAAGAAGAAAAAAGAAAATATAAAAAAGAGATTGTTTCTATTTACAAAAAGAGAGAAAGAAATACAGGAAGTCAAATGTTATTTATATAGAAACAGGTACTGAATCACTTTATAGTTGAAAAGAAAAAAAAAAAATCTGACTTTGTAATACAAATGTCTTACGAAATACTATTTTCACCCATACGAAGAATCTAAATTGAATAAGTTTCAGGCACAGCAGATGTTTCTATCAAAAAAAAAAAAAAAAAAAAAAAAAAAAAAAGTCTTAGTTTTACGAAATTTAGGAGTTCTTGTTTCACTGAATTTGTTTGCTCAACTACTACAGAAATTCCTCAACAGCCTTTTGGGGTAAACTATTAGGACTTGATTGTGATTTTTGAGCTTTTTCTCCACACGAGTTATTTAATTATGGTAATAATTAATTCCATTACACCTATAATTAAGTCTCATAATCTCAAATACTGTACTCATACATTCTATATTTATCGATGTTTCGCGCTGTTGCAGTGCGCTGCATGCAATAAGATCTGAGACAGATGTGAAAACTGTTTAAATTATGGAGCGGTCGTACATAGACGTAAAACCTATCATCTGTTATTACCAATATAAACATGATGCTGGTATCTGAGTGGATAATTCTGTCAAATGCAAATTTCGGGTCATCCTTCGAAAAAACAGGTTATGATTCACTGAAGCTTTTTGGTCCCCACTTTGATGCACCTCCAAAAAGGAATAATGAAAAATAGAGCTTCCATGGCCCTACAAGGCTACTCGCTTGAAACATAATTCCAATTTTGTTGATTTTTTACCTTTTATTGGTACCTTATTGTTATCAAGATGCTGCCCCTTTTGTAAAAAAAAATATGTTAAATCTTAATTATGCAATTGAAACTTAGCTTGGGTTGTTGACAAATCTCTCGATATATGTGGCCTAGTGCAGAATTAACATATATTATATTGTACGTGTCATTAGCGTGTGTTGCGCTGAATGAATGTTACTTGGCTGAAACATAATTGTTACTACTAAACTACATCGCGATAGGTTTTTAATAAGGAAGTAATCTACTGCGTAACATAAGGATATGTCCCCCTAACTTTTTATATACCAAATGTTTCAGTAATGGAGTAACTTTAAAATATATATACCCGGGCAGTGCTATAAAAAGGCGCGTCTGGATGAACCTTCTCGAGCAATGGAAAATACCTGGACAATTTTAATATGATCCAGAGTACGACATATTATCCATTTAGACAAAATTATGTGTTTCTTCCCATAATTTTACTATCCTAAACTATTGTGCAACTTTACTGCGTTCCTTATTTAGGGTTAGGAGAACTTTCATCCCACTTTTAAACACATTCTCAAATGTCCTTAATCATTCTTGATTTGCGATGAGGCCATCCCCCCCTAGTAGCCCCCTCCCCTTTCTAAAAACGTCATTCTATATAAAAAGTATCATGTCTCCTGCTTCCCCAGGCAAAACCCTAAATCTACGTGATGACTTATCCAATATTCCCAAAGTAACTGCCATTCCCTTTAGTGATTATGTTTTATGTAGTGATTTTAGAATTTTATTCGAGATTGGGTGAAAAATAATAAACTAGTTCGTTGTTGTTTTTCACCATGTTCCAAAAGAAAAGAGTAAAATAATTAGATTACATCAATTGTTGCTTGTTGATTGTGAGATCTAATTTAAGGACCAGCAGTAGGAGCAGGGTTCATTCTACGCTTACCACCGATTTGAGCGGTGACATTGACGAAACGACGGTTATAAACTTGTCTCTTCTTAGCGCGACCAGTCAAAGCCTTCTTCTTTTCCTGCTTAGCGACCTTAGGACATTGAGACTTAACCTTACCGGCACGAGCCAAAGAACCGTGAACTTTACCCTATTGAAAAAAATATATTTAGTTGGCGGATGGATGGATTGTTTGCTGGTGTTTCGTAATGTACCATATTGGATGATAATAATCTACAAAGAGAAAGATCTTTATTGTTTACACTGGTGTTTACCTGTTATACTGAAAAAAAAAAATTGAGATTTCCCGCTTACTACCGGACAATTTGTCTCATGGTCCGGACATCAAATTTGCGGCCGGACATTTTCACAATAAAAAAAAAAAAAAAAAAAGTTATTAGAGTGTGGGGGCGGAAGGGCAACTTCATTTGCCCAAATCAATTTTTGTCCACATGAATGTAAATTTACATTTCAGATGCCAGACTGCACTGAGTTTCTGAGATCTTTCATAATGGCGTGATGTTTTGCTGCAGATAAGGTTAATAATGTCCATAGTGAGAGAACTGCATTGAAGGTGCCACCCAGCCAAACTATGTTGCATTTTAACTTCTCCTAATATTTGGCTGTATTCCTTTTTTGAGTACAATCTAAGATCGATAATGTCATACAAATTTTACAAACATACTTGTCGAAAGCAATATTACCCTGACACTCATGCACTCGGAAGGAATAAAATAATTGCGCACATAAATTTTATATCGTGTACAACACATGCGTATGTAAACGCCCCCTTTTATTTTCAAAAGCCACTTTACACAAAAACAAACTTGCTGAGTAAAAAGTTGATTCATGAAAAAATCGATCTGCATTCATTTAATTCATACCATAAACTTATTTTTCAATTAATTACACCAATTAAGTGTTGCCTTGTATCACTTGTTCTGGTCGCTTAGACTAACTCGTTATTTTATTTAGATAAATTATACTGGGTTGGTTGTGGCGGCATGCATTGCCGTATTGTGGATAACTGTAAGTTAACCACGGAGAACAGCGGAAAAAGGGTTATTGCGCGGAGAAACTTGTTCAAACTCAAAACCCGTTTGAGAAAAAAGCAAATAAAGAGTAATATGGACCTTATTTCTTGTCACTAACAGACAAACTTATCAATTATTTTAGATGAAATGCAATCATTATATAAATTTAAGAGCAATCTCCTTGAAGACTTTCCATACAATAATCCATATAACCTGTTAACCTCGACTGATAATTTGCTTTGAGATATATTTGGTGCTCAAATAATGTCAGATAACGACCCGCAAACACGTCTTCATCCGTTTCAGAAATAAATAATATGAGATGCATGGAAACAGCGTATATTTCATATTCTGAACTGAAGTTTATGCTTATTATCTCCAGTGGACTGGTTTACATGTTAGGTCTTGCAAACCAAACGATGTTGAGCTTCGGGTACTCTTCGAGTTCCTTTTTTATATATACCTGCAAAAAGTCCGACATACTGTGGCTCAAATCTACATCCTTCTAAATTACCTTGACGTTATTACTGGCAGACGCTTCTTGTAGTCTATAATATTTTTTGTGTTTTTCCCTTTTTTAAAATGCTTCTACATCCAAATAAATCTGTGTACGCATTTTTGTACTTAGCAAATAAGAAGTAACACTTATAAATTTGCTGTTGAACTGTGATGTAAATAAATCTGTAAGAGTTCACCCGGTAGACAAAAGAAGGTTAATCGTCTGCGAAAACCTTCCAACTCTCTCTCTCTCTCTCTTTACTTTTAAATTAAATTTTTCCAGTTAAAGATAAAAGCCATGAAACTGCCAGTTATTAAAATGTGCATGAATGCAGTAAAAATAAACAACTAAAGAGCTCCAGAGCTTCCGAGCTTCAATTACGTTCTTCAAAAAAAAAAAAAAAACTGTTCTCATGTATAAAAACTAGTTTTTACTAGTTAATCGTGAAAAAATAAGACAAGTATACTAGCTGTAAGTACTTTCACAATACCAGCAAGTATGATAGCTTTGATCGTTGCACTTCATCTTAAAAAATATCAAATTTTTCAATATTGGGTTCTTTGAAAAAGATTAAGTTGTATCAAAAAAAAAAAAAAAAAAAAAAAAAAAAAACTAATCGCGTATATGTACCTGAATGTCATTGATGTCATAAATGTTCTGGACAAGCTTAACTGGCACGGATTATATAGTGAAATATGCGATATATTATTGGTCGTAAAATCCTTACTGAAGCTTCCTTGTATGCTTCTCTTTTTTCTCAGTCCAATTGAGTAGTCATGATCAAAGATTAAAATTACGCTCATCTTCAAATACTTTGACACCCAGAATCAGGCTACTCAAAAACTCTCATTGCAGGACACATACAGTCGTTCCAGTGCCAAAGGGCGCTCCAGAAAGTTTGATTTGGCTCTAAAAATTTGGAATGGCCACAAAAACTCTTGATTTTCACTTTCCAAAAAATTGATTTTTAAACGTAAACCACTCTACTAGAAATCTCTAGTTTTATAGAGAGAGAAACTTACTAGAGAATAGCAAAGATATAAATACAAGTAAAGGAATAAACAAATAAAAGAGAGTGCAAAGTATTTTAGAATTTCTCAGTCTTCCGAGTCCAACTCAAACGCTTTAAATATTGCACCTCGTATTTCGTTACGTTTACCGCGTTTTTTTCTACGTCTACCCGTTTTTTTATGTCTACCGCGTTTTTTTTTTCCCAATAAAAACCTTCCATTGAACCTCATAGAACCATCCATTGGCTCTCATAAATCCGCCCTTAGGCACTGGAACGACTGTATCTTAGAAATCCCATCCGAAAAATATTTTTATCTGTCTGAGAACATTTTAAAGTCTGTCCGGGAATTTTATTCGTCCAAATTTAAAGTAAGAATACAGCAGTGAAGCCTAAAGCCCTTTCCAGGCCGCAAAGGGCCAAGAGCGTGACTTAGCAATTTAATTCAAATCCCGCCAAAGTCTCGCAGAAACTAGCTTTGAAGTTGACCGACCTGAGAATCCTCCTTCTTAAACGATAATATGGGTACGTAGAACCATCCATCCATCTAGAATAGAGGATTCATCCATCAAAGCATGACACTAATCAATATCTCCATGCTACTTTATCAATAAACAGCTGTCGGCAAGAATAAGTAAGTTTCATTTTTAATCGTCATCGTCAATTGCCGTTTTTAACCTTAATTTTTTTCATAGGCGTCTTTCAAAGGGAAAGAAGGGTTTGAAGAAGAAGGTGTAAGTATATTTTTTAAACTTTAAAATAAGCAAAAGGACGAAAATTTGTCATTGGGGATCAGCTTCAAAACGACCACCGAAAAAAAGAAGACGTACACTATCGATTTACTTGGATCCGCTAGTGCAGCATTTAGATCAAACTTTTCACATTTCAAAACAAATTCAATTGAGATTTTTTGCACTACAAACATTGTAAATCACCTTATAATTTGGGATCTAGATCGTCAATCTCTGGACATTTTTTCTTTCGGAAAGCACCCTCAATTGACATATTTTCGGTTCATGAAGCAAGGGGTTGGTTACAGTAGTTGACACATTTGATTTTTTTTTAGCGTTGACCCCTTCACCCGTAAGGATTGGTATGATATCAAGGCTCCTTCCATGTTCGATGTCCGTCAAGTCGGTAAGACTCTTGTCAACCGTACCCAAGGTCTCCGTAACGCCAACGACTCTCTCCTCGGTCGTGTTGTTGAGATGTCTCTTGGTGATTTGTCCAAGGATGAGTCTCGCTCTTTCCGTAAGATCCAATTGAAGGTTGATGAAATCCAAGGTAAGAACTGTCTTACCAATTTCTACCGCATGGATATGACCACCGACAAGCTCCGTTCTATGGTCAAGAAGTGGCAATCTTTGATTGAGGCTTTCGTTGATGTCAAGACTACCGATGGTTATCTTGTCCGTCTCTTCGCCGTCTCTTTCACTTCTCGTCGTCGTAACCAAATCAAGAAGACCACCTATGCCCAAGCTGGTCAAATCCGTCAAATTCGTAAGAAGATGTTCGAGATTATGACTGAGGAAGCTGTTGCCTGTGATCTTAAGGAACTCGTTGCTAAGGTCACCTCTTCTGCTTCTCAATCCGCTCAAGATGCTATCGCTGTCCGTATTGAAAAGGCCTGTCAAGGTATCTACCCTCTCCAAAACACCTACACCCGTAAGGTCAAGATTCTTAAGGCTCCCAAGTTCGATGTCTCTGCCCTCCTTGCTCTTCACGGTGGTGCTAACGCCGCTGGTGACGATACTGGTGCTAAGGCTTCCAAGGATTTCGTTGAACCCGCTGTCCAAGCTTCTGTTTAAATAAATTTTCCATTCAAATAGATTCCTTTTATTGTAATTAAAAGAAGGCTTTATTTTGTTTTTATATTAAAATAAAAAATATATATCATAGTACACTTGGGATTTATTGTCTTTCTCGTTCTTCTTTTCTTTGCTCCATTGTCCGTCTGATGATACTAGCAAACCATTCACGGCTTGTGGATTCTTCAATTGATAAAACACGCGTGGTAGGCTTTTTTAACTTGATGTAAACACCATCCGCACCTGTACTTACGTCCTCAACAGTATCTAAATGAATGGCATAGTCTAGTTTTAAGCCATCAGAACGAATTATCATTACGCGAGTAAATGTTAAGATTGCAACGGTTGCATCATGATCGACAATGCTATGAGCAATATACACTTCATTGAAATACTTTCCACTTTCCATTTCCTGAAGCCACATTTGACCCAGTGCTTCTCTTTGCGAATAAGTCTAAAAAAAAAAAAGAAGTGTTAGATCCATCTAACAGCTTAATCATTTGTCTAATACATACAGTGACTATTCCATCTTTTCCTGTATAACGAGGAACTCTCTCGCGAGTCAATTGACCTGCTTCAAATACAGTAGTTGTTTCACGAATACCAGCAGTGACGTTGCTAGCCATATCGAAGAAGCCTACCACAGGCTTTGTAAAAACGCTATTCCTACATGTTAGAAAGGAGCATATCTTTTCGTTTATAATGACCGACACTTACCCTACGATGCCCTTCCCTACACCTCCAACGAAACCTACAACACCTCCACTTTCTGCCCCTTCAATTGGACGTTTCTATGTAAATAAATAAAACGTGTAAGATTTTGTTAACCACAATGTGAAAATATTACGAACCACAAGGCCGGCAACACCACTAGCAATGCTCGTTCCGAAATATCCAACACCCTGGGTTACGCCATAGATGGCATGCGTAGGCTTGTTGCGCGTCATATTCATACGGCGTCTATCCTGGAACTTTTTATCCATTGTGGCAGCTGAGATACCTTTACCTAAACTTCCGGTAAATCGACTCATACTGTCCGTGATGCCAAAGACACCTTTTTTCATAAATCCGCCTAGGCCCTATTATATATATTTATTTATGTATAAAAAGAGGGTGAGATAAGGCAATAAGGTTTTCTGTTGATCATGTACTTACTTTAGCGATACCAATACCTAAATCTTGAGGCCTATCACTCATGATAAAACCTTGGTAAGGCTCATAGAAAAGCTCACCAAAGCCGGAACTGAGAGTATTAAATAATCCGACGGGATTACCGAGAATATCAATACTGCCTAAGACACGATGAATTTGGTATATAACTTGCTCGCGGTAATGAAGTATGATACGCGAGGTCAGATCTTCAGAACTGGCACGGAGATTCTCCACCATTAATGCATTTAATTTGATAGGTGCATCCTATTATTAAATCAGTTCGGATATCTATTAGAACCGCTTATTATAGGTGCTTACATTAATATTTCCGAGTGTCATCGTGAACACATTAAATACGTATCCCATGGGTGAAGTTCTGGCAGTCTCACTTTATAAAAAGTCAATACACATATAATGGCTTGCAAAAAGTGTAATACATACCTCGATTCTTTGTCATCAATCTTGTCTGTTCGAACAAATGATAAATTTAATCGCATAGGTTGAATACAAAACTCTTCGAAGTAATACAAAGCTTCTGCTTTATCAACAACTGGTTCTGCTAACTGCATAACAAACATGTCATCCCTGTTGTCATAGTTAGTCAAATTCCCTTTTTTTTTTTTCTGATTAAAATTCAAAACTTACTGAAGTTCTGGTTTGTTCGCGTCATTTTGGAATTGGCCAAAGTCTAATAAAGCATATAGAAAGTCTTCGTCAAGTTCAAATGTCATTTCTTGTAAGAGAATCGAGAACAATTTGAAATATAGCACGCCATGTCCTAAGTCTATGTGTCAGCCATATCACTATGTCAATTTTTTTTCCGACTTACGATCATCTTTAACTTTATCAAGAGCAATATGTAGGGTTGGGTGTGTTGAAAGCTCACTTGACACCTTGGGGAGCGTGGAAGGATAGCACAAAATGGGATAAGTTGAGCCACACAGTTGATTATCAATCTATATAACATGTAAGCAACTTAGATTTATAACCTGTCTATTATTAAAGCTTACTTGAAGCCATTGAATGCTTAGTCTGAGGGACTGATACATATTGGAGTCAGTATATTTAAAATCGAAGCCCTTGACAGTAGCAAACATGATTTCCTATTTTAGAGATATAGTTTAATAAATGACCTCAAATGACTAACTGACTACCTACCACGGCATCCTTATTAATAACAGATACACCAAAACCGGCTAGGTTCAATTCCAGGATATAATTGGTGACATGTTGAACATTTACTGTTTCAAAAGTATCTCTTAAACTTCCCTCTCTTGACGTAGACGCCAAAGTGGAAGTACCCGATGATTTAGGACGATACAAACTCTTGGATAAATCAAAATCGGTTAATCTTAAAACGAGAGCAGAGTCATCAGCCATGATATCAATTGAGAGGGTATTGCTACCAATTGGCCCATCACGTTGTTTCAAGTAACGGAAAGGAACTTGAACACCAATCGCCTGGAAGTTAATGCTACGATGTCTATTTCCAACAAGTAATTCTAGCCGTTTCTCTTTGGCTACAGGTATATCCCAAGAATACTGAAGTCGATCTCCTGGATGCAAAGTAAACAATCGAGGCTCTCTGAACGCGCGTTTCTGACTTGTTTTAAGATCGTATTCATCTAATTGAAGCTGCTCCTGTCTGAAATTTATATCTACGCTTGATTTGTTAACGATATAGTATGGCCAATCGTCATCTTCGTTAAAGGTTATAAAAATAGTTGAATCTTGAATATGAATGGAGACACGGACAAGATAAGGGGTTGTTTTGTCACCTTTGTCCACCTTAAGATAGGTTTTACCAATTTCTTGTATATCAAATGGTGAAGACCAGTTACCTTCCAATCCTTGAAGTTGAAGACACAACCATCTTACATTTGATTTTGTAGTTTGGTAAAGGGGCATTTTCTGGTATGAGTCAAGATTTGTCACATCAGTAGAACCAAATTCACAAAACTTGAAGGGTACGTCCATATTGTTTTTCAAAATATAACGTGGCGTAATTGTAACAAGCTTAGTCAATCTTAAAAGCCCAAAACCTTCTTCCACCTTAATACCAGCATGTCTTGCATAAGTGTCTGTTTTGGAGAGTAAAGTTACATCTTGGCTATTTCCCACAGCTTCAAAACTGATGGGGTCACTCCATTTTGAGTCGTTGATCGAAATTTGTGAACGATTATGATGATCGATATCAGAGTAGGAGTATATCGTCGGCACAATTTGTTCTCCTTCTTTGTAGGCTGGAATACTTTCTATTGGAACGTGACCTTGACGATATGCGTGTCTGGGTCTCAAGGAAATAGGTAGACCGGATTTGTTCAGAATAAGATAAGGGGCGTACACACTGATATGCAAAGAGTCGGTAGTATTTGAAGAACGTGTGATGTTCATTCTAAGATTAGTAGGTACATTATTATGATCCGTAATTACTAGTTTCTCCCCTATGGAATTATAGTTTGGCGTCGTTCTGATTATTGCAGACTCACTGCATTTATACCTGTCTGATTTCAGGTCTAATTGAATTGTGAGAGCTGAATTACTCTTCATGTTGTGTAGCTGAGCAGTCTTTCCGGTTTCAACAAGAGTGGATATGCGCTCACTAGTTACTTCATTGGTCAACATGAGATCGAAATCAAAGGGTAGCAAGTTTTCAACTTCAACAGGTGGAGAAAATTGTATTTTCATAAAGGGATACTCCTTGACAAGTGGATTTTTCTTGTCATACTCTGCATGTACCTGAACCTTATACGACATAATATTATCGGGGTTGACATCTTTAGGGGGGCATTCAACGCATTTAGGGAAATTGGGGAGCAGGATATCGGACCACATAAACATTTCTTTACTCCATCCGTAGTCATCCGATGGTCTAACCACAATCCATCGGCTATAACACAAATCGATTGGAACGTTGTAGACTTGACGCGAATTCATTTGGACAACATCCAAGATTTGCCTGTCCTTTTTGACGATAGCAATTTGCAAGTTACTATCTGAGTTGTTTTCCAACTGAAGACCGCTTCTGAATGTAACAGTCTTGACGTGATTTTCTAAATGAATGTCAACAACCAAACGGTGATTGATCCCTTTGACCTCAGGTTTTAATCGGTAGGCAAGATCCCCTTCTTTATCGAGTGATATATGAATAATCGATTCCCAATCATGTTTCATGACCTTGATACCGACAAGGTTCTTTCCAATATGTGTAGACTCTCTGCGCTTTTTCCAGTCCCGAAACGTCCAGGGCAATGTCTGTCCATGCTCCAATACATGAATTGTTTCATTATCACCGACATCCGAAGACATATTCCAGAATTTGAGATCATATCCGGTAAAATTTTGAATGAGGTAAGGTTTTACTTGATCCTGAGCAGTTTCGGCAAGTTCCTAGTGGAAAATAATTAGACGCCAATTTGTTAAAGTGATATGATATATTTACTCTGGATTCTGAAAGCGTTGCTGATACGGTCAAGAGACTTTCAAGGAAGACATGCGTGACGTTCAAATACAAGAGGTCTTTAGATTGTAATGATACCTGCGTAGATTTATCCGTTGCGTCTTGAGCCACCTTGATACAGAAACTCCAAGGTTCCACTATCGGCTCCCAGTGAGAATTTTTAAAGTTAAAGTTGTTTGCTTGAAGAACAAAATCAACATCGGCGTGAAGTGCTCTAGTCCAATCGGAAGCGGTAATTGCAAAGGGGTTGATCTGGATGTCAATAAATGGCAACACGTGTAGATCCTCAATCAAAATAATTTGAATTCCTTCAAAGGCAGCATACAACTATACACAAAAATTAGAAAAAATAAATAATACATTTGTAAGACTAATAAGAACTTACTGATTCTTTGGACATGACAATGAAAGGTTCAATTCCTTTTTTAGCAGCAGGAGTATTTTCTAGCGAATCATTTGTGATCATATGTTCGGTGTTGTCTGGGCTAGCGACGATTAATCCAGATGGGGATGAAATTTCTGACATATCATCGGACATTGAAGGTTTTGGTGCTTCGTTTTTATCATCGTTACCCATGAGTGCCATGACCTTATTGACGACCGTCATAATTAGCATAGCATCTTGATAAGATAAACGAAGGATGATTGGCTGAACTTCAAGCTTGATTGCCATTAAATTATGCACGGAATTTGATGACGATGTTTCCATTCTTAGTAACACGCTAAACTCCTCCACTAGATGCATTGTCGACTCTTCGATATTATCCATTCTACACAATACCATACCAATACCGTCTAAATTTACTTGTAAGTGTACATCTTGAATGACAGTAAGCTGATTGAAGGAAAGAATAACTGCCTCAGAAGCCTCATTCTCAGGAGCTGCAAGACAAATGACTTGGAGATCTACAACATTAACATTATATTTCAACACCGAAGGAGGGGTTCCACCTTGGTTCTGTAATTGCTTTAACTCGTTTTGCTTATTTTCATTATTGTTGCTATGAGACTGCACGAATTTCTGAGCTTCTGTAGGTTCGACAACAACGAAAGGACTCATAAAGAAGTCTTTCAATAAGAACAAATAATCTAAAGAAAGCACTATTTTTGGGCTATCCACAGTGACGCGTACATCCATAGTGGGTACCAAATTATCTTTGTAGGATGAAAGCCTGACCTGGAATTGAGGACCCTCAAGTTTATTGGCCGGAAGAATCTCTCTGAATTTTGATGCTGATTGAACTCTTGTATCAGCAAAGTTAACAGATTGCATTGCAACCTCCATAAGCATTGATTCGTTGGACATGTTTTGTAACTTTAAGCATATTCCGTCAAATGCAAGTCTTGATAGCATCTCATTATTTTGATCGCTACTATCTGCACTCTCGCCTGCCATAATATCAAGATAAACAGTGTTTAATGTGATGATAAGATCTAGAGTAACTGTAGGCTTCTCCTCCTTTTTCTTTTGGACTTCTGTATTGTTTGTTTTTACAGATTTGTTGGATTCAGATGAGCTACTTGTTGCAACGTCGTTATCTTCAGAAGTTATTTGTTTTTGACCTTGATTTGTGTCTTGAGCATCCGTATCAGCAGCACCAAGGAAATTCTTTTGAATAAATTCCCAAGTCTTAAGAAGGAGCTTGTATTGCTTTTCCGTCAGTGCTAGACGAACGTCCGAAATACTACCTTCGATCTTGGAGCTAGGACCTATAGAGTTCTTGGGGTCTTCGGGACTTTCAATATCAAATATAATATTTACATCATCAATAATTGGGAAATGGTGTTCAACAGAGTCAATGTCAGTACCGTAAACAGTATTTGTAGAACGAAGACTGATATCATAAAGACCACAATTAATATGGGCAACAGGAACATCGACAGAATTTGGTATATCATTCAAATTTCTGCGGGATGCAGTTATAAATTTGTTACTTGCTCTGATTTCACCCAAATGCGCCACAAGAGTTTCAGTGTTTTTATCTTCGCCCACGGGGAAAATTAACACAGGGCTACTGACAAGAATGTTGAATTGAAATCTATTACCGCCCTCCTGGTACTGTTGTGCGGTCTCTACAGCGGCCGTTTTGGCTGCGTCATAGACGTTTTTCATTTCCAAAAACTCTGATAAAAATTTCAGTGTAGGTTTGACGGATTCAGTAACGAAAAGTTGAATGGCACCCATTTTGAGATCGAAATTTTGGTTGTAACCAGGGAACTCAGGACTTTTGGAGTCAAATGTTTGATATTTAAATGAGAAAAGTTCATCGCCCAAGATACTAACCAAATAGGTTTCAGATCCAATCGATGCAACATTATTTCCGGCCCCATTAACAGTGTCATCTGACAAGGTGAAATTACCAAATTTACCACGAACTAAAATTGTTTTCGGTTCGAGTAATATTTCAAGCTCGCCATAACTAAGCTCGCCAGTTCCTAATCGGATACCATCGTTGTTCAAAATTAGGTTGACGCTGTCTAGTTTGATAACAACCTTCATTCGACTGTCATTTGTCTTAGCGGGGCTTTCTACATTTTTGTTGTCTTCTTGAGGATCCAATTCAGTCTTGTAAGCGGCAATAGAATCATCATCATCATAGAAAATATCACCCTCAAAGATTTCTTTGCCTTCAAGTTTAGGAGTGGGTGGTGCGGTAAAAGTATTCATGATCCAGTTGTAGATGCGAAGAAGAGACTTTCTGGTGACAATAACAGTAAGGGTAGACAGTAAAACATTGACGTTTTGGTCAAAACTTTGGTATTGATCTTCAAATCCAGGATGATCTCGAGCCACCTTTTGGTAACGGATAAAAACTAAGTCCTTTTCTTTTGAATCCCCATTTTGTTGATCTTTTTTGATGATTTCAGAGGTAACAAGATTTGGAAAGTCTCCTCCCTGGTCCATCTTGTCAACAACCGTAAGTGCTTTGAGTGAAACCTCAACCATTAGATCCAAAGGTCGCGTTAAGACATTCAGCTCGAATTTTTCCAGAAGAATTTCACATAATAAGGTTTCTTCTAATGCACTTGTTGATTCATTGAGACTCGCTGAAACTTTATCGACTTTGAAGGTCAGCTGGAACTGACGTATATCTGACTTGGGCATATCTGATTTGGATATGATGGATGTTGGAGAAGTAGGTCTATCAACCGTTTTCTCACTTGCAGAATCAGGTAATATATAATCAGCGTCCGGTGCACCCCAAATACGTTCGGTAATAATATTGTTTGTGCTTGATTGATTGGCATTGACTATTTGTGGTCTTTTCGTAGGTTGGTTTATTTTTGTCTTTTCCTCTTCATCCACAGGAACAATAAAATCGACAATCTTCATCAAAATCTTGTATTTACTATCCGATAAATTAATCGAAAGTAGAGGTAAATGACCAGAAATTTTGAATTTTGTGAATTCCGATTTTCCGGGTAGAATACACATTTCGATCAAAAAATTCATGTCAATACGTTCAATAAATCTAGCATCTACACCATTTCGGGGAGGATTATCCTGCAATTGCCACAGACATTCTTCTGTATTCGTGCCAATCAAGACTTTTGTTTGACTTAAAGAAAGATTAAACCTATCATACATAAGGTCTCCGAGTGTTTCAACATCTTCTGGGGTAAAGTTTCTAATGTCCTTGGATTTAATTTCATTAACAACTTTTGGGTCTGCAAGTTGGCTGTCAATGTTGATATGACCTGCATCAATAATCATCACAGGTGATTCTTGACTCGTCAAACTAATTTATCGATTGTTAAGAATGAAGTAGTAGCAAATCACGTTTGTTCCATGCTTACCTTTCAGGAATAATGATAATTGGCGCGTCCATATCCACATTGAGGTCAAAAGTGGTATGTGTCTCCAAAGCAAATTCAAGACCAGCGCGGCTTTGAGTTTTAATAACTTCAAGCGTATCACCGGCAACGGCCATCAAAGCATTTACACTTTCCATTTTTGAACTGGGTGGCTTGAAGAATTTCATCACACCGGCAATTACTTGTGGGCTGTAGATAATTTCCAAATGTCTCATTTTCAATGAAAAAGCATTATCTGCTATTTTACTAAGGGGATTTTTTTCAAATACAAAAGCGAAGAAAGGATTAAATTCATCTATATCAATCATATCGATAGTCGCGATAGACTTTCTTTGATCCTTTTCACTCAGGTTGTATTTAACATCGAGTAGAGAAGAACTAGAATTCTGTTAGATTTACGTACTTATTTCAAACTACCTTACACTTACGCTCTGTTTTTTCCATTCTTGACTCCAATAAGCTGATGATAAATTGTGTTTTTGGTAGATCCATCGTATAACTGGAGATCGCCCAGAGCAGCAGCAAATGTCATGGATTCGACATACTGAGTTACATCCACGCTTACAGCATCAAATACGACCGTTAGTAGATCGGTTTCCGTTGGTTTTTTCACGTTTTGCTTCAACGTAAACGAACCACGATTGAGCTTGGTTTGTAAAGCGAATTTGATAGTCTAAAAAAATTGTCAGCTTTCGCATATAATAGTAACAGAAAAACACGTACATCCTTCGGAATATCTACGGCAGATGCAATATTTGCTTTATCCTCATCAAACTCGATAGCATTATACAATTCATTCTTTTGCTCCTCCGTCATATGAATGGAGCCCGCATCATCATCGTCAGCATCCTCTTCACCACTATTGGCGGGTTTAGAGCCACTGATCCATCCCCACCAACCGACTTTGGCATCCTCTGCTTTTTTCTTCTCGATCTTTTTATCTAAATGAGATATTGTCAATTATGATTTCCAACAGATTTGATTTTCTTATTACCTGTTTTAACTTTCTCTCTACGAAGGTTTGCCTTAGCAATACTTCTGTAGAATCGAATGTCTTCGAACGACAAATCATGCTCTAATTTTTTCAATGTTTCCAATTGTTCAGGTGTAGCGACCTTCATTTTTTCGGCGACGTGACATTCAATATACTTCAATCGTTGATCACGACGGGTTTTGAAATGATCCCAGGTCCATTTATAGTTCTTGTCATGAATTTCGGACAAAATGGCTTTCCCAGCAAATTGTAGATACTCTTTAGGATGCGTCTTGGCCGTCTTTCCTTTACCTGGGTGAAACTTCAAATACTACATAAAATAAAATATTAATCAACCATTAAGTTGATCAATGTCACTGTCTTACCTTTTGCTTTTTAAGATTGGCATGGAATAAGTCAATCATCAAAATAGCATCACGATATTGATGATCATCGAGACCGAATGCAAGCTCATCGAATAACATAGTTATATCTGTTTTTGGTACGTCTTTGCCATACTCCTTATTGAGTTTGATCTACAGCAATGAAACACATTCAATTATTTGGTTTCACGACATTTTTTTTTTCGCATAGAACGTACCTTTCCCCTTCCAGATACAGGTTTTAAAATGTACTGGTGCTCTTTGGGAAAATTAGATGAGGTAGGAATCTATTAATAGTCATGTGTTAGTTTTAGTAACTTAACTGTATTGACTTTTTTTTTTTGTAATTACCAAGTCGGTATACACTTGTGCAGCCTCTTCATGGTGCATTCCTGCAAGGGATCGACTATCTGTATTCCAGTATACTGATAATGACTCAAGTGTTGCAAGCTAAAAGCAGTTTTTTTAGTACGTCATGTTGAACGTTTATGTTTTTCTTACCTTATTGATTGTCTTTGTCGTTTCTGTGATGAACTTTGGTTTCCAATCAGAATCAGTGGATAAGGCACTGAGCTCTTTAAGAGTAATACCAGCAGAAAATGGATGGCCAGGATCCGAGATATTATCTTCATATCGAATATGAATATTCTTCATTGTAAATTGAAGATTATCCACAATCTTTGTTGTTAACTGACTTATAAACCCATCTCCTCCCTTGTTATTCTTTTGCTCTGCTTGTACATCAGACGATTCCAGCATCTCTGCCGTAGAGAGACGTCGGCGTTTTAATTCTTGAGCTCGCTCTTCCTCTTCCTCAACAGTGACCTGTCAAGCCGAAAAAAAAAAATTAATAGCGGGAAAACATCAAGAGAATTACTGCCTCTTACAGTTGCTTCATTTTTGGGTTCTGCGAGCAAATAAACATGATCGATGATCACTTTTACAGGCTCGTTTCCCAGGTTAGACCAAGGAATGACGAGTGTGAGTTCGCCAAGATAGCCTTAAAAAAGGTAAACTTTAATGGACCTTTCTACTGATAAATCACGATTCCCTTTTTTTTTACCTTCGGATACGTTAATAGGCAGGTCGAGTTTATCGAGAGCATCCCGACGAAGCTTAAGATTTCGAAGGTTCACCTCGCCTATAAGTAGAATAAGACTTTAACTTATGCGCGTGTACTATAAAACAAGGCAGTTTACCTTTCCACATTCCAATCTTGAGCTGGTCATAATTCAAATTAGAAACATAGTTCTTTAGAAACCTGTTTAGGATGTTAGCCACAAGGGATTCCAACATTCTTTTTTTCTAAAACGAGAATTTTTAAGGAGAAGAAAGAATATACAAGAAAAAAAAAAGTGTGTCTTTTCAAAGCGGAAAGCTAACTTTCGCATTACTTCATACACGTGATGTGCATACATATCGTCATTTCTTTATTCAATTCTTTTTATCAAAACGCTCGGTTAAAGGTTTAATATACTTTGAGTGATATTGTGGAACTTCAACGCTACCAGGTGCTTGTAAAAGTGTATCAAAATAAGCTAAATAAAAGAAAGCATGCTTTAATACGAAGATATAATGTTTGTGAGTCAAGTAACCTACACTGGTAAATATCGCCGTCATATTTTGCAATTGGTGCCTTGAGCACAAAATCTGGTAATCCAAATCCGTCTGTAAGACCGATCACTTCTTTTCTCATACTTTTACAAAGCTATAAAAAATTTGCAAATATATCAGACTTGTGTACAATTTAACTCTTGATCGGCCTACCCCTAAATATTCCTTTTCGATATCTTTCATTTGCTTCGGGCTGATAAATCCTTCCATAAAACCTTGATCTCCGAATGTAACCAATACATGAAGCCCCCATAACGCTGTCATTTTTCTCATAATGGCAGTAAGGCCTGGATCAAGTGTTGCGTCGGAAACACCAAATGTGCGGGCATTATCTGAGAATAAAAATGCGGCGCAATGAAGTTCAGCTACTCTTACAGACTCTAACAAAATATCGTCATGATGTGCGCCCTCATTAAGCGCCTGCTGCAAACTATAAAGCTAAAAAGAAAACGTTAGTTCTTCTCGGAAATGAGTCTATAATAGGGTAATATTACTCTTTTGACTAGAATAGAATGTAATGCTTCTTCGATCAAGCTAAAATCTTTAACACAGTCACTGATAACATTGACAGACCAATGGTCTAAGGCAAGTAATTTTTTCGCCTGATTAAAGTAATCACAAGAACTTTGATATTTTAACTCTGGATAATTATCATATTGTAGTTTCTGCTCTAAGAGGTAAAGAAGGTAACGAGTGGCTTGTTGCAACAAGACAACGTTATCCCCTCCTCCTGTTGTAATCACACCCCAGTCTCCGATGATACTCCCGAGAGCATTGTAAGAAGAATAGGCATGCCCACCACAACAACGACGGCAAATTTCAAGGATTTCGGTGGAGTAACTTCCCGACAACCCTTTCAATGAAGCAGAAATACAGTGTACATCACCCATATGGTTCAAATAAACCATCGGATCCATTTCACCACCCGCAGTTAACACAGCAAACTGTTTATCTAGAGTCTTGAAAGAATTTTGAATCATGTACATAAAAGAAATTGCTGGTAGGAGCTTGACATAATGAGACTGGTAGTCCATGATTTGTTGGTTTTTAGTTCCTTGTCTACGAACAACACCATATCTTGTAGCAATGGTCAATGCTTGTGTAACCAAAGTCAGAGTCAGTGTGACTAGGGCAAACCTTTCCGGAATCAACGTGGCATACATCACCGCAGGATTTGGGGCCGGAGTAAAATCACCATTTCTTTCGATATTTACCCACTTTGCCAACATGTTTGTTCTTGCAACACGAGCCTGATGGAACTGAATCCAACCATTATCCACTCCCTGGTGACCCACTTTAGCACCAATATCACCGGCTTGAATGTTTGGCATTACCACGCCAGTGACCGTATCGCGTAATTGGATGAGAAACCAGTTGAGTCCCACATTTTTCCCATCAATGATGGTTTGTGCAATGACTACCGTATGTGTGGCCGTCTGTCCAGCCATACCAATCCACCATTTTGTAGAAGTGACAGTGGGTGAATTAATCACGAATTCGTCTGTTTCAATATCAAAAGTTGCCGTTGTCTCGATATCACGTAACGCAGAGCTATGTCCTAATTCGGTCTTTTCACATTAGTGTTAGTATTTACGACAAAAAAGAGAAAAAAAAAAGTTAAGTTTACCATGGCGAAGCATCCAACCATACGGAACTCGTTTATATTTTCAATCCATGCATCTTGCTGTTGTTTACTACCAAGCATTTGGATGACGTTACGAAATAATGAACCGTGAACACCAATACGCAATGCAAAACTTTCAGAGTATAAAAGTAAAGCCTTGCTAATTTCCAAATGGAACGCCTCGTCATTAATTTCACTGGAAAGTTTATGCAGACGATATATCTGTCCCATAGTACTGCAGATTCATCAATTAATTATTTGTATGACGACACTAACAATTCACTTACAACTCCCGCATATCCTCTCTCGTAAACTCCAAAATATTCCTTGGGGCTTGAACTACCAGCTCAGGATCGTGCTGAATAAAATCGTAGGCTTTTTGCTAAAAGAAGAATATTAAGGATCGTTTTCTTTTGAGGGATAAATCTTTTTTTTTTTTTTTAGTACTCTAAATTTATATTGGTCTTCGCCTCCAAACCAAAAATAGGACAAAGCTTGTATGTCGAAAGATGCACTGGCACGTTCTCTTGCCATATCTTTAGGTGCCTCCAAAGACATAGAGGATGGTGTTAAATTTAGCTGATTTTTGATCAACCGAAGTCTCTCGATAGCCTTTTGGGTGTCTGGTAAACTCATATTTGTAAAACAAAAACAAAGAAAAAAGGGGGTGAAAAGGGTCGGTTCCTGCATGACACAGCTTTAAATATCTATATTTGTTAGTAGATGGTAAATGATTCTCCGACAAAAGGGCTGTAATTCCCTTTTTTTGAGCACCTGTCTGGTTTACGCGCTTTAAACAGATTTTTTTTCTATTTCAACCCTGAACTAATCATGTCATCTACCAATATGATATATTCATTAACAAATATAAAGGAAGCCCTTACTTCTTCATCTTTGCGTGGTGTAATGCCTTAAAATTGTAACGAATCGTATACGAAGAAAATCTTGATCAGTTTCATCAAAAAATTGTTGATTTTCAAGAAGAGTATGGGGGTCAAACCAAGTTTATGGACTACTTTGTCAAAAACTGGTACACAGAAAACAAGTTCAAAGTTTAGAGCAGATCGTACGAGGACCTCCAATTCTCGCAAATGTTGACCAACAACTTCATCGATTCTCAGCACAATCATTTCAAGACCGTGTTCTTGGGCCAAGTTAGAAACAAGAGACTCGATAAGCTCGTCTTTGGTTTAATGAATGATATCGAGTATAACCTCCTTCAATAATTTGAGAGGGTTATTCAGGGCAACAGTGCGATGTCACCCTTCTTTAAGCAGCAAAGAATTAGTGAGCCTGAGGCCAAGGAAGTCGATGATCAGGATATAAAGAGAATGGTTCGTGATCCCTCAGATGTATATAGTCAAAGAATCAGAAGGTATCAGGTTAGCTCCTTTATCAATGGTACTTCAATCGATTATTCAATTGAAGTAACCATTGACGATGTCATTATGTCTTGTTCCTGTGACGATTTTGGAAGCTTCCACTTTTACATAGAAATTCGTATGACTTATAGACATTTCGACCAGGACCAGCAGTCCAGTCCGATCATGCCTATTTACAGTACAATCCCTGCTATTTACGGTCTATCCATTGACTTGGTGTCTAAAATCCAATGACCCAGCCTAGGAAGTGGCAAAGACTAGTCGTGGCCGTAATATCGCCAAAATTGTAATTCGACTTTAAAATACCCAAACTTAAAAAAATATGAAATGACAAGTGAATAATGATGCTTATCCGGCGATAAGATTATTACAACTCATGTGAATTTCACTGCAAGCAACATTTGAAATCAATGCTTGCTTTTATTGCATCAATAACGTAGTTGGTTCAATACAATGCTTTTTCGCTTGCGATACCCAGTCTGTTATTTTGAACAACATATCCATAGCAATTAAAATAGATAAGAACAACCCAATAGTATGTAGATACACATATACTTTGCGGATTCATGTGCTTTATCAATATGTTTTCCTGCAGTATGTATCTGTTTTAAGACATTGGCTAGTTTTTGTCGGATATAAGCATCACATTTGGCCTTTTAAAACAGGCACTTTACCTGATAAAATGCAAGTGTTTACTATATACTTGACCGTTTCAAGATATGCAGTCTTTGCTTTATCTGAGGATTGGTATGACGCTCTTTTAAGTCGTACGTGATTTAGCTTGATAAGCGAGAGACCTATTTATAAGCAGGTTCTCTATCGAGGGGTTTCCACTTCTCACAAACGGGCAATAGAACGTTATACAAAGTTCAGGCAACAATATTTTTGAATTGAAAGCGTTGTCTCCTTTCAACAACAACCACAAAAAGGGTTCCTTGACAGAATGGGGCTAACATGTACCGACCACACATGTAGCAAAATCCCAATTATGCCCAAAATAACCACTGCTAACTATTTGCAATGCATCATTAAATTTGACAAGTTTTATCAAAGCAGTGAGTAACTAGTAGATATACACATATGAAAAGAAAGCATAGGGTTACAACAGTAGTGGATGATAGAAATAGAAATCAGATTTTCCCCATTGTGTGTCAATTAATACAACTTATAAAGTCTACAAATATCACTTTCCAACACTACCAGCGGGATGGTTTCACATCTTAATTAATGACTTGCAGGAAATGACGAAATATAATCTCTGAAATCGCCATGGCTAAACAATTCTTCAATATCCCTTCTTGCCGCAGAAAAGCTCTCGGGGATACAAACTTTTACCTCCAAGTGGATTAATAATCCAATGGCTTTACGCGTCATGCCTTTTTTAAATCCAAGCGGAGTCTTGGGGGAATATGATGGAACATTGTCAATTGGCTTGATTCTTTTTTAAACGATACGGAGTTGCAAACAAATTTGCATTATAAAAATTGAAAGAAAATATGTCTCTCTTTCACTTTATTCTTTATTAAACATCATCTTATTAAAAAACATGTCTCTTACATATATCGTCACTGGTGCCTCTCGTGGACTTGGTCTTGAATTTGTCACCCAAATTGCTGCCAAGGGCCATACTGTCTTTGCCTTAGCACGTAACCCTAGTGCTTCCGAAGGACTTCAAAAGTTGGTCGATAACAAGAAGGTCTTTGCCGTTCAACTTGACACTACAGATGAAAAATCAATCAAGGTATATATATCATATAAAAGTAACGAATCTGTTTTCTAATTCTTTACTTTCATGTAGAATGCTGTTGAAGAAGTTAGCAAAAACGCACCTCAAGGTGTTGACGTTTTAATTAATAATGCTGGTATCAGTGGAGACCGCGGAGGAAACATCAGAAAGACGTAAAGATCAAAACCTCCCCCCTTTCAATTTTTAAAATTAAACCTAACTTTTTAATTCTTTTTTTTTTTACAGTGCTGATGAAGATTACATCAATGTTTTCACCACCAACGTTGTTGCTGTGGCCAGTGTCACCAACGCTTTCTTACCATTACTTCGTCAACGTGGCCAAGATCACACAAAGAAGATCTTAAACATGTCTTCTATCCTTGCTTCCATCAGCCAAATCAATACCATCAACCCCACAGGAAAGGCATCCGCTTACTCCGTGTCCAAAGCCGCTTTGAACATGCTCACAAAGTTAACTTCTAACCAACTCGCAAGCGAAAATTTCATTGTTTACGCTTCTCATCCTGGTTGGGTAAAGACGGACATGGGCGGTGACGATGCCCCCATCGAAAAGAAGGACTCCATTGCTGGAATGTTAAAGGTCATTGAAAATTTGACACCTGAGCAAAATGGTTCCTTTATTGATTTTGAAGGAAATCAACTCCCTTGGTAAACAATTTAATACATACATAATAATAATAAAAAAAAACTATATACATATATGCAATGTCTTCATTGAAGCGCGCAGCAACGTTTTTTTTTTTACTACGCGATTGGGGGAAATCCGACGTTCGTTCACCAATGTAAAATCAAAACATTGAGTCGGGAGCTTAACTTTAAAATTACTGTTACTGGCATTAGTCATCAATACATTCACGCATACACACAGACACATATATTTTCAACAATAGAGGTTTCGCGTCTAGTAATACCAGAAGCTTATTTTTTTTTTAAATGTCAATATTCCCAGATGACCTATGATATATTCTTTAACGTCTTTCAATTACCAAATTAAATTTCAAAAAAAAGGCCCCCATTTTACAATTTAAGGTATTTCACATTTATGTAGCATTTATATTGACAGCTAGTACGCCTTCATCAAGACACAAAGTGACAAAGGCATTTTGGATATTAGGGTAGCGAAATAATCTATCAACAATGGAGAGCGCAAATACTTGTATGGTCGGATCAACACAAACTTATTGGTTTTAAGTATGAACGATTTGTTTTTCTTAAACACATGATTGCACGGCTTCTGTTTTTTAGAAAATGTCCTTATCTTAACAAATATCGTATTTTTCACTCCTTTTGGTTAATAGTCCTAAGCCCATGCCGGATTTCGCGTTAATTTATCCGAACAAATGCCAAGTAATACACGTACAAAAAAAACTGTGAGAATCATGGCTTGCCTAAAGAGAAACTACCGGTATTTTAACTCGTGACAGATTCATCGACAGTAGAATGAGACATTGAAGGAGGTATCATTTATCAAGTAGATATCCTTTGTTCGAGTCTTTTCTATCTCACAAAGAAAGGGGGGGTAATTAACGGCTCATATCATAACTTTGGAGTGCCACATCTCCTCCAAAAACAATATAGCCAAGTACTTAGCAACAGAGAGTTAGTCCAAAAGTACAACCCTCTTTGTGAATAAACCGGAATGGTTGAATAATTTTCCGTCGCGTATCAGTTGACATCAACCCCCAAAATGTCACTTTCCTGTATCACAATAGCCTAATGGATCAAAACAAAGGGCTTAACATAGTCTTTACTACTTTTTTCTCAACTCCCGATTTTAGATTGCTTACCGTCTTTTTCATCCCAAACCATGACGAAGCAATAAAACGCATCAGGCGCGTGGCGACAAATTTTTTTTATTTTAATCACGGGAGTTCTCATTTAATAAAAAACAAGATTTTTTTTTTGTTTTGCCTTATCTCTCTCTCCCACACTTCAAATTATAACTTTAAAAATGTCTCTTACATATGCTGTTACGGGTGCCTCTCGTGGACTTGGTCTTGAATTTGTCAACCAAATAGCTGCCAAGGGTCATACCGTCATTGCTTTAGCACGTAACCCTAGTGCTTCCGAAGGACTTCAAAAGTTGGTCGATAACAAAAAGGTCTTTTCCGTTCAACTTGAAACGACAGATGAAAAATCAATCAAGGTAAATCTTTTTTTTTTTTCTTCTTCGTATGATTTTCGCATGATGATTAAATCATTTATTAAGAGTGCAGTAGAAGAGGCGAGTAAGATCTCGCCTCAAGGAATTGACGTTTTGATCAACAATGCTGGTATAAGTGGAAGTCGTGATGGAAACATTAGAAAAACGTAAAGGATTTTTTCTTTTTTTCACTTTTATCTAGCAGAGCTCATGGTATTAAAACGAATTTTTTTATTACTTTTTTTTTTTGTAGCGACAAGGAAGATTATATCCATGTTTTCACCACAAATGTTGTTGCTGTAGCTGATGTCACCACCGCCTTCTTACCTCTGCTTCGTCAACGCGGTATAGAATCTACCAAAAAGATTGTGAACATGTCCTCTGGTCTAGGATCCATCGCTCGAATCAATACAATCAACCCTACAGGAAGAGGATCTGCTTACTCTGTCTCAAAAGCCGCACTCAACATGCTGACCAAAATGACCGCGAACCAACTTGCGAGTGAAAACTTTATTGTCTATGCTTCTCATCCTGGTTGGGTCAGGACCGATTTGGGCGGTGAAGACGCCCCTTATGATAAGAAGGACTCCATTGCGGGTATGCTAAAGATCATTGAAAATCTGACGCCCGAACAGAATGGTTCCTTCATTTTCTTTGAAGGGGATGAACTTCCTTGGTAAATTAAGGAACATCCCTTTGAACACAATAATAAAATGCCTATTTTTTAACTTGGGATCAATGAAAGGTTAGATGTTTTTTAGGGGGTCTGATGTCTTTATCTCGGGTGCCCCAAATTACATATACATTGTGCTTTACTACGTCATGGAGACACAATTATATGATACAAAAATACTTTTTGACGAACTCGACCCAATTTTTATTTTTAAATATTTGAGTAGAAATGACTTTATATTTTTCACCATTCAAGTTTTGAACCAGTATAATTGTAAAAACTACCATTATCCTGTGGTTGAATGGTATCCAACACCTTTAACATACCAGCAATAGAATCCGCTTGTTCCACTGGCGCACTCTCTCCACCCATATCGGTCTTGACCCAACCGGGATGTGTCGAATACACAATAAAATTTTCCTTGGCCAAATGATTGGCAAACAATTTTGTCAACATATTTAATGCTGTCTTACTCACATCATAAGCAGATCCATGTCCACCCGGATTGGCAGTCGCAATATTTGTGATGGAACCCAAAATAGAGGAAATATTCAAAATCTTTTTCGTTGTTCCTTGTCGCAGTAAAGGTAAAAATGCTTGTGTCACATCCGAAACACCACCTACGTTGGTTTCGAAAATTCGCACATATTCTTTCTTTGGACTATAGACAAGTGTTAGAACGCTGCACCTATCAAAAAAGATTTAAACTTACGTGTTTTCAACATTGAAAGTTTTGGGACCATTGATACCAGCGTTATTGATTAAAATATCGATGGCTCCAGCACATCTTTGACTTACTTTTTCTACAGCTTCCTAATAGGATGATAAAGTTAAACACGACCTGAACTCTCTCTCTCTCTCTCTTTTCTTTTTCTCTTTGGAGGTACCTTGATTGAATTTTCACAAGTCGTATCCATTTTGACAGCAATGACATTTTCACGATCTTTCAGTAAGGCCTGAAGAGGTTCAGAAGATTCAGGGTGACGAGCTAAAGCAAACACAAGATGACCTTGCAAAGACACTTGTTTTACAAATTCAAGTCCAAGTCCCCGTGAAGCACCTGTAATAACATAGGTTAAAGTCATCTTTTTCTTTCTTTATATGATTGTTTAATAGACTAAAGAAAAATAAACAAAAACAAAAAACGAATTTATCTTTTATTTATTTAAATCAAATCTACACTGGGTTTTAAATCCCAAAGCGTGGTAAAATCAAAAAAGATGGAGGTAGCACATCATGGAGAAAAAGGGGGGTTTTTTTTTTGCTCATTCTGACTCTTCCTCCTACTACTACCACTTGATTTTATTTCCTTGAAAGTCAATAAAGGAACCATTTTCTTTTGAAGTCAAATGATCTAAAACATGAAGTAAACCCTGAACAGAATCCTTTGGTTGAACAGGTGCATTTTTCCCACCAAAATCAGTCTTGACCCAACCAGGATGAGCAGCAATCACAATAAAGTTTTCCTTGGAGAGTCGGTTAGCCATCATACGCGTCACCATATTTAATGCTGCTTTAGATACACTCAATGCGGGTAAGGTTGGCTTACTCATACCCCCAATCGACCCAATAATCGAAGACATGTTCAGGATCTTCTTTGTCTTTTCCTTATCACCCATACGAAGTACAGGTAAAAGTGAACACGTCATGTCCATCGTACCACACACGTTGGTCTCAAATACTTGCATGTACACTTTTTTCGGACTTTTTTTTTTTTAAAAAAAAAGCATCAGTTAGCTACCCTCTCCCGCTATAAAGTAGTAGTTAAAAAAAAAATAGTTACGTTGTATCCAATGTCAATTTCATATCACCACTGATACCAGCATTATTAATCAACACATCCACACCTTCAGGCGCGTTTTTCTTGACATGTGCCGTTGCTTCCTTGATCGATTTCTCACACGTGATATCCGCTTGAACACCAAACACGCTCTTATTATCAATGAGTTGTTGTAACCCAGGTGATTGTTCTGGGTGACGGGCAAGCGCAAATACTTGATGTCCTTTAGCCGATAATTGCTTCACAAACTCCAATCCTAAACCACGCGAAGCTCCCGTTACAACATACGTAAGCGACATTCTTTCAACACACAAAAAAGTGAACAAGAGAGAAAGAGAAAGAGAGGGTGGGCGTTTTTTTTCTTCTTATATCATGCTCTATCGTATTTAATTAAAAAAAAAAAAAATGGCCGTTGTCAACTGGCAATATGACCAAGTTGGTGAACCAAGTGACACAAGAAATAACCGTAATAATGAAAGTAAACAAAGGTAAACCCTTTTATAATATAGGATGGGCTTTCTTTTTTTTTTTCTTTTTTTTTTATAAAAAATAAGGTGTATACTAGAGAGAGTTCTTTATTTAGGAGGGCTGCAATAATAAAATAAAAAAAGAGAGAGAGAGAGGTATTGGATATTAATAAAAGAAAACATATATAGAGAAAAAAAAAAAACTTACTTGTAAACGATCTTTCTGGTCTTGATAGGAGCCCACTTGAATCTCTTCATGTAGATGGACAAGACAGTCAAACCAACCAAGATAACAGTAGCCTTCATACCCATCTTCTTACGATCATCGTGTTCAGGTTCAGAAGTCCAGGCAAGGAAAGTGGAAACATCCTTGGCCATTTGAGAGGTAGTGGCAGGAGTACCATCCTCATACTCAACAACACCGTCAAAGAGAGTACGAGCCATAGCAATAGCTCCACCGGGGAAATAAGGGTTATAGTTCAAACCTTCACGAACTTCAACACCTCCGGGAGCATCAACATAACCTGTAAGAAGAGCAAAAACGTAGTCCTATATTTTTTTTTTAAAACTAGTTCAGTATCCCATCCCTTTTCTCCTCTTTCTTTTGACTCTATATCTTTGACTTACCTCTCCACCATGACGGGCCTTACAGATCAAGGAGAGATCTGGGGGAAGAGCACCACCGTTAGCAGCACGAGCAGCTTCATCATTGGGATAGGCCTTGGGCATATAATCAGCGGTCTATCATGATCCACATTGTTAGCTATTCATCATCTTTTTTTTACCAATGCATTGTTAAAATTTCCCCTCCATAAAAAATCCACTTTACCTTGCCTGGTCTCATAAACATCTCACCTTGCTCATCAGGTCCATCTTGGTACTCGAACTCTTCAGCCATAGCCTTGACTTCGTCCTCAGAGTGAGAGACACCAATCAAGTTTCTCCAAGCGATACGGTCAAGAGAATGACAGGCTGAACAAACCTCTCTGTAAACTTGATAACCACGACGGATACTTTATATAAAAAAAAAAATCATTGAATTTAAAAAATGTTTATATGCCTATCAAGTGAGGTTCTACTTACGAGGCATGATCAAAAGTATCGAGAGGACCGGTATGGGGCCAAGGATGAGTAGGAGGATGAAGACCTTCATCAGCCATGTTGGCAGAGACATCGGCATACATGTAAGCACCAGCAGTGGCGCCAACAATAGATGCTGTCACAAGACCGAATTGCAAAGGGTTCTTTTTCATTTTATATATAAATAGACATTAGTTTTTTGTTTCGTCTTGTTTTTTTTTTGGGTGTGTGTATGTGCTTAAAATCAATGAAACGTACAGATGCAACGGTAGGCTTGGTAGAGGCGAATCTGGCCTAAAATGTTTACATTTTTTTAAAAAAAAAAAGAAATGGAGATTAACGAAAAAAACTGATCAGGGGTGGTAACCCAAAAGTTGACATGGAGAGGGGGGGTTGTACCTGGGTGGTGTTCTTAGCAAATTGGCGAACTGAACGCTTTGCTGTGTTTGAAGCAATCCGAGAAAACATTAGAGTAGGGGGTTAAGTAGCCAAAATGATTATTTAAAAAGTTGAAGGCTATTAAAAAAAAAAAAAAAAAAAATATCCTCCAATTATTTAATTTTTTTTTTTTTTACCCTGTTGCCACCCCAAGCCCTTTGACAACCCCCCTTCTTCATCTCCGCCTATTTTTTTTTATTATTTTGGGTTTTTTCTCTCTCTCTCTCACATAATCAAAAAGGATGACGTAACGTTTTTTTTTTTATTTTAAATTTTTGTGTGTTACCCACAAAAAATATAGATTATGAACCTAAACGTTGACCTGATCCCCAAGTGTGTCTACCAAACATATTTGTTTGTGGTGCAGCTGTAGCTGTACTACTAGAAGAGCCGGGCGTTGATCCTGGTCGACCAAATCCACCTCGAAATCCGCCTCGGGTTTGTGCAGGAAATAAACGTCGGAGGAAGGAAGGCGTTTGAAGGTAGCGTTGTCCGCCTTGATTAGGATATATAGTTGTCAAATAATAGTAAATATGCGCAGATACAAGTCCTGCAATTGATGCCTTGGGAATCTCTCCTCCAGACATTAAAAAGTCCATTAAAATCATCGCAAACGGAAGAAATTTTGCCTAGGATTGGATATGAATAAAAAAAAAAACTGATAAATATATACATAGAACACTTTTTCCCCACTCCTATTTCCTTTCTTCTTATATACCTTGAGTCGAATACCAAACATAAAGGTAACGGGTGTCTCTGCATTATGTTGTGCCCATAAATACGCAATCGACAATAAAAGTCCATCACTCAACACGTACATTTTAAAAATACTTGCCGCAGCCAGCTGCAAACTTGATGTGAACAAATGGAAAAACATGTAATCCGCTGGCTGACCTTGAAATGTCTCGTTCTCTAACTGCAACGAATTACGGTAAAGAAAGTAGACATTAAACGCAAACCCGAGACTAAACTTGTTATAAAAGAAACACGAAACAAGTCTCCATAACTGTCAAAAGCACACCCCATGTTTAGTCTCTCTCAATTTCTTTCTTTTTAAATTATTATTTTACCTGTAGCTTCGATTGCACCGATGGCCAATATAAAATGAGACTGGAAGGATGAATCAGTCCTAAAGAGCCGACCGTGGTTGTCGCAATAGAAAGCGTGAATAGTGCTTTGGTAATGGGTGGAATCGATTGATACCACTCCACAATCTCGTTGCGTTGAGACGGTTGTTGTGGTGGCATTATGTTTTTTTTTAAAAGAAACAAAAAAGGGTATTTTATTATTTTGTCACCCAATTACGCACGCGCAACACTTTTGTTTAACATGAAAGGGTGACTGTTTATAAAGTTTTTTTATTAAGGTATAAAAATAGAGAGTTCAAGTAAAAAAAAAAAAAAAAAAAATGCATATTTAAATTTTGTTCATGGCATATAAAAATGTAAGGGGGGAGAAAATGAAATCATATTAATCTTCGGTCTTCATGTATTCGGAAGGTCTTCTGGCTTTAATGTTGGAAAAGTTCATTGGACTACCAGATCGGATACTACTTCGATCGGGTGACAAAGGTCTCTCGGACATGGTGGAGTCTCTATAATTATAATTGGATGAACTGTACGAAGGTGGTGGGTTTAAAAGTGGCGTCACTAAAGAACGGCATGATTGTAAACGGGCCTCTAAACTCTATATCGTTATATTAAAAATTAAAGTGTTGAGTTACAAGTCATCTACTTGAAATGGGTAAAAACACATACTCTGACTCTGCCAACCATCTCTTGCACCATTTTCACTGGATTAGAAGAGGCAGAAAGTGATCCACTGGTAGGCGTACGTGGTATACGTGTCGTTCTGTTTCTAGAGTATGGATCATAATAATTCGTACCACGATCAGGTGTAGGGGATCGATTCTGTTGTTGTTGATTTAATGCTGCTTGTTGTCGATTCTTCTTTTCCATCTCTTCTAATTTACTCTCTAATTCTCCAATAAATTCTGTTTGTTTGGAGGATTGTCCACGCATCACGGATAATTCTTGATTTACCTCTACACAAAGTTATTCAGTCACAGCCAACAAAAATAAAGAAGCCATATCCCCCCTTTGTTTTTTTACCGTTTAATTCATCTCGAAGTCTTTGAGCTTGTTCTGTCAAGTTGTCTTTGGTGGAAATTTCATTTTCTAAAAATAACAAGTGTGTGAATATTTTTTGAGGAGGGGAGCTGAATAATCAAAAAAAAAAAAAATCGTGCATCTAGTTGTATTATATACCAAGAATAACATTTCTCTCAATAGCTCTATTCAATTTCATTTCTAAATCTGTTAAGGAAGAGGTAGCAGCTCTATGAAAAGACATAAATACAGAGTTAAGCTGACGTTCCTCCCCTCTCTCACCCCCACAACTCTCTTTTTTGGTTTGTCTTACCTTTCAGTTCTTTCTAAATCGTCGTTATCTAATTCTAATTCCAGCACTTGCTTTCTAAATGTGTCTTCTGTTGATCTCAGAATGTCAATTTCTCTCTGCATTTGGACCATGGTAATATTTTGCTCATGCTTTGACTCTGTATATTTAGACTAGCAACGGTAAAAGTTTGAAGTTTTAGCCAAACACAACAGCAAAGAAGATGATGTACTTTTTTTATACCTTCCAGTTCTCTGCATCTCGCTTAAAATGCTCACATCGTGACTTTAAATCATTGTATGCCTTTTCTGTCGTTTGCAACTCCTTTTCTAACTCTTCTTCTAGTTCACGAGAGGAAACTTGAAACTCATCGAGAGCAGCTCTGGTATCTTGTAACGTATTTTCGAGGTTTTCAGAGTGTGCTCTCCAATAATCTAATTCTTCTTGTGCAGAGTTAAATTGCCTAATGAAAACAGGGTTACTATTCAGGATGTTCCCTCTCTCTCTCTCTTTTCTTTTTTTATTAAAGGGTACATGATGCGTGAAGACATGTTAATATCGTTTGTCATGAACAGATTTTAATAGTTCAAAAAAGGAAGGGTGTGTTTGCTAAACAAAGAGTGTATGTGTGTGTGTGCGTGTGTATGAGGAGTGTGTGGAGTGGAGGGAATTCTATCTCCGCAGTTTAACCCTATACGCACCCCCACTTGGAGAGGGAAAAGCGGGATGAGGCATTCCGAAAGTGTCTAATAGAAATGGGGATGGGAGAATCCGCCGAATACGTGCATTACAAATATTCAATGCAAAAAAAAAGAAAAAAATTACAAATTCTAATCAGCCCACGCTGTTTAATAATAATAATAGGTAATTGTCAATTCGGATGTTTATATCACATGGGGGGAAGAACTCTTATCGATTTGGTATCACAACCACTGTTGGACCCCTTTAAACCAACTTTTTTATCTTTTGTTTCTTATCCATAGAAACCTTACGTAATATCTATATTCTATCTCTATTCTATCTCTCTTTACTTTCTTTATTCATATCCTATCTATTCTCCCACTTTTCTTATTGCAACAAACAAATGATAACCTCCCCTATTCCCCCTTTCATCCCCGTGAGTCACCCTGACAATAAAAGGCTCTCTCGGATGGTTCTTTTGGCTTGGGCGAATTTGTGTGTGTGTGTGCACGCGAGCGCGTGGCGAATATTGAATCTCCACACTCCCATATATTTATATTTTTTTTTTGTGTGGGATTCCCAAATAACAATCAGCATTTATGGTAATGCCGATAAAGTCTTGAAACACGCTTAGCTTGATAAAATAGGACCTCCCGCTTTTTACATGTGGGTTTCTTTCCCCCCTCTTTTTCTGAAAGGATGGAACATCTATTTTTCTCTCTCCACGTGTAATTTTAAAAGAAAAGGACGGAAGAAAACTATCGTCCTTGTAAAAAAAAAAAAATGAACATCAGATTTTTTTTTTAATTGTACTAAACACTTTATTTCGTCAAAAAAAGAAAGCTAGCCCTAAAAAAAATGGCGTATTGAAACACTAATTTAGAAAGGGCTTAAACTTAATCGTAAATAACCAAAAAAAAACCTTTGGAGGGCAGCTTTGAAAAGCCCATATTTCTAATTGAAATTGTGTGCATTTCATCCTGCTTATTCTTAACAGCTGGTTCCTTTTCAATGAAATAGTGTGAGGGATTTTCTTTTCTATCTTTTTTTTTTATATGAATTGACAGAATGGCTTTTGCGTGAAGATCGTTTTTTTTTCTGGAAATAGACGCTAATTCTAAACTGTAATTGTTTATAATCTAAATTAAGAAAAAGCTTTTTTTTTTTTTGTGTGTAGGATAAGAAAATCCCTCTGCGCAAAATAAAAAAAGAAATTAATGCAGATAAGAAAGGGGGGGGGGAGGAGGGCACCGAAACAATTGTGACTATAATATTTAAGTCTCAAGGTGTGTAACACGGTCTGTGCTGTTCCCCCTGTGGGAACATCGGATCCGGGATGTTCCATTGGAAATTTATAGCGAGGTTCTAGAGTTCTTTTTCATGTCATATTCGCTTGTTTAAAAAAAAAAAAATTAGGTATAAATGATTCTTTCTAAATTTTTTTTTGTTGTTGTTATTTTCCCTCTCTTTTTAACTCCATACTTTTATTACCTATTATATCAATGAAAGCTGATTATTGTGTCGATTATTTATCACATTGTTGGAATACAGATGATTTAATTTCTACCTTTCAAGAAAGTCGTAAACAACGCCAAAAATATATCATCCATCCCGTTACCACGACAACATTTCATATCAATATTGAATCCAAATCAAAGAAATCCGAGGAATACAAATCTATACGATTTCAAAACGCTCTATGGAGAAATATGGCTAGGCATTGTACCGATAATCTCTGCAAATCTAACAAATTAGTCAATCCAGCTACTGTCAGTTGGTAAAAACTCATTTTATATATACATATAGCATTGCTAATAACAGATGATTAATTTTTTTTTTTTTTCGCTCATTAGGCAAAAGGAATCTGATATCACATGTAAGTTTATAAATAACACATATTTGAAAAACACAAAATAATAATATTATTATTATTATGATAGGGCTTTATGGACCAATGTACACAAACAACAAAAAGAATAATTGTTATGGTACACAATCATCTCTCCAAGGTCTTAAACCCGTTTTGAAAAAACAGAGTAACGTCACTCAATCATTACCGACTTGCTCCGACAGTCTGAATATTTATGATTTTGATCCAACTTACACATTATCCGAATTTGGCTATACCTCCTCCTCCTCCTCCTCCTCAATTACGTCGGGTCTGTGTAGCACCAGAAGTAGCTTCAGTAGTGTTTCTAGTTCCAAATCCACTGCCTCCTCCTCCTCGGTCGGGGTTCATTTTAATCCTGAAATCATCGAGATAGAATACCAACCCGAATATCCTGTATCTCTCAACTCATATTATCAGCATCACGGAGGAGGTATCCATGATGATGATGATGAAGACGATGAAGATGATACCTTATGGCCTCTTCTATTACAAGCAAGTGAATCTTTAAAATCTTCAACTTATACCCGAATCTCCTCTGTATTCTCAAAAGGCTTATACCTCGTCGGTCAAAAAAAGGCACATCCAAACCATTCTTTACATTTGGTCATCCTAATGGCTTCCATGATGAAATCCGTTGTGTCACTGACAACAACTTGGGTTCTATACCAGAGTCTATCCCCTTTATCCTCATGGTTAGCTCCTAAGCCTCTTGATACTACTGCTGGTCAGTCACCCAAACAATCAAAAAAAGCACGTCTTATCATCTTGTAAATATTCAATTAAAACAAAAACAAAACAAAAAAAAACTCTTATTTATCCTACCCTACCGTAAATACATATATATATATATAAAAGTTATTATGCACATTATGTATATTGAGATGCACACAGATAGTTGCTTATAAAGATAATATCAGTATTTTTTTTTTTTTTTTTTTTTTTTTTGTAAAAAAGGGCACATTTACCTAGTTGTAGTTTATCTTGAACAAATCTAGTTTTTTTTTTCTTCCAGTATATAAACAGTGCGCCCACCCCACGTTTATGGTGTGAATATAATATATTATCTTGGCATCACAAAAGCTCTGTAACATCTTAATGCATCCTAAAAGACATGCCTCCAAACACAACCATCCTATTGGGTTGATAAAATACCCACCCACTCAAAAAAGAGCTCATGAGTACCTTCATTACCCACAACTCGGTACTACAAACAAGACTTTGTTTATAGTGGCCATTTCTTAATTTTTTTTTCCCAATGGTGAGTGAACGACTAGCTATTTTCAGAAACGATTAAAAAAGGTAACGAACAACATTTCTTTTTATTATCTGGGCGCCAATCGACTGGTGTTTCATGTCTGTTTGACCCTAATAAAAAAAAAACAATGTCGTCTTATCATGAATTCTCCATAAACAGTTACAAAAAAAAAACCGGATTAAAATAATCTGATTCCATCCTTTTAGTTCGAAATAGGATTTTTTTTTTTTATTATTGACAACAAAAGGAATTTTTATGATTAACTCGTATCCCCCTCGCAACGCTCCTTGGTAACATGAATGAGCTCATTTAAGAGAGGGGAAAGGTAAGATAACCCAAGTTGTTTAATATAACAATGTTATCAAAGTAGAATCTGTTATCCTTCCAATAAAGACCGCTTACTAAAATTATGGTTCTAACATAAGCTCCGTCAATTCATAAAATCTTTAGTAAACAAATAACATCCCTTTCTTTACACTGTAACGTAGAAAGCATGCAATCTTTATTGGTAATTTCGAATGAATTTCCCTCCCCCACCCCTCGCCGCCTGATTTTTTTTTTTTTTTTTTTTTTTTTTTTTTTTAATAATCAGTTTTTATAAAAATTGACTCATCTTATTAAAAAAAAGGGGGGGGGGAGGCGCATAATTATTGTTTAATTCAACTCATCCGTTGTGTTTAAATAAAGAACCACGATGAAAGCTGACATCATTTACAATTCGAATACACAAATTAAAAACCTGTCTTTGTAGGGGAAGCTTTCATTGCAAATTTGACTTATCATCGCGGTTAAAAAAAGAAAAAAAAAAATCAGCCACTTGAAGTCATCATGGTCTAAATAACAACTCAACAGTAATGAGATCACCCATTGTAACCGTGGATTTATGTATCTTGATGATAATGTGGTGATTGGTCCCCCCCCCCTTTTTTTTTCCAGTCGTCATTTTTTTTTAGCTGTGTGTGGGGTTTATATAAAACAAGGCTTGAAGCTTCTACTCAAATTTTGATTTAGGTTTATATACAAACACTACAATAGAATATAGGAGCTAGGCTATTATTTAAATTACCTCTAGAATTCAAACATGCTTTTTATATGAAGGTAAATTTTTTTGCTGTTTTTGTTGTTGCTTGAAATAGATAACATCAAGCGACAATAAAGGGATTAAAGTACTTAATCAACATTTTTACTCAACCTTCTCTTAAAAGGTTTCGTATGGGGGAAAGCACTCGCATCTAGAAGTAATAAATGAATAAGCCATTTGTATAAATAAAACTGCTTCACTGGCACTTCTTCAGGTTTAGATTTCGTGTTATCACTTTTTTTTTTTTTTTTTTTTTTTTTTTTTTTACATACACAGTGTTTGTATGCCTGCAATCATAATTTCTATAGTTTCAAAAAAATAAAACACATACATGTATACCGTAACATGCAGAAAAAAAAAAAGACGGATACAAACACTCTGCGTTTCAACGGAGTTTAACTATTTGTAAGCCAAAAAAGGTAGGCCAATCTTTGCTATCATTAAATGAGAAGGATCTTCAACGATTATACAAAAGCTTTCTTTTTTTTTAAAGATAATATTCATGTTCTATTATAATGGCATTTACAAGCATTAACCCCACTATGTTATTTCATCCATGATAACAGAACGTCGCCTAGAATGGAATCATTGCGTATCTTTGGATGAAGTCCCACACACACAAAACAGAAATAAGCTCTTACGTTGCTTTGTATATGTAAGTAGTATGTCATCACTAAATATAAAAAGGGTGAATAAGGCGTATTGTAGTGCCATAGTATTTGGTTTCGCTGATGTTTGTTATGCCTACATACTCTCTTTCATAACAATCAATAAGGTATATTTGAAATTCAACAGGACAGCGGAAAGGGTTATTAGCATGATTAAAAAAAGAAAGAAAATCTGTGCTGGTCTATGAAAAGGTTGAACTCCTATTTAATGAATCAAAAGAAGAAGGGCCCGATTACACACAGAGTAAGTGTGGGTGATAAATGTTTTATTACTAAAAAGTGATATCATGTAAAGGATAGCTTTTCGTCAACACAGATGATTGGAATATTGCAATCATTTATTTAAGCCCCCCTTTTTTTCTTTATCGTACTTGTACACTTATTTGTATTCTGTTCAAAGATTACATTGTTTGTTTTCATAAACAATCTCCCTTGTTTAAGAGTATTTGACATTTTTACAACGCAGACTTTTTTTTTTTTTTTTTTTTTTTTTTTTTTTTTTTTTTTTGCAAAATTAGAAATTCTAACGCGTTTTTATCTTTTCTTTTTTTTTTTTTTTTATAACCAGTGAAAGAATATCTATTTTGATTCATGGGACACCTAAAACTTATAGTTAATCAACTGTCCTCCTTTTAACCGGGATAATTTCTGAACTGGGCATCAAAATTTAGCTAAAACAGAATAAAACAACCCAGTGAAACCTAAATCTTTGAGAACTACTAGAAAAAATAAATCATGGCGGCTTTTTTTTTTTTTTGCTTAGAAAAATTACCAAAATATTATGCATGCTGAACAGATAACAAAAAAGAAAATCAAGAAGTCTTTTATCGTCCCGGTCAGCATCCTTATTAAAAAATTTTTAGAGGCAACAGTATGAAAGTTATTGATGAATTTAAAAAAAAAAAAAAAAAAAAAAAAAAAAGATCTGCGTTGTTGTACAATAAACCTGAAATGAAAGGTTTAAGCGATCACGTAAACCGGTTCTTCTTTTTAAGTATTAAGCTTTCACAAAAAAAAAAGAAAAATTGACTTATAAATTCTGTTATCGACATGTAAACAGTGACATGACACATGGTGTTCTAGCACAAAAAAAAAAAAAAAGAGGGAGGAAGCGACGTCGGTTTACTAAAAAAAAATTGCTACCCAATAACAGCGGCCTTTTGTACTTACTCAACATGAATACACTCTTTTCCCACCATGTCTTGGTGTGTGGTACGATTTTTTTTTTTTAGTGTAGTTCTAAAAAAGAACAATACCCTTAAGGTATACATTAAAAGCCTGTCATTCTCGAAGATTCCGCATATTTGTCATCAGTCCATTTGGTGAAAAAAAAAGCCTTAAACATAAAAAAAAGGTGGGTGAGACAAGTTGAGTACTTGGGGGTTAGTATAGGCAACAACAACGTATCCGGGGGGGGAACCTTCTCACACCCTGACGTGTTCAATCGGAAAGAAAAAGGGGGTTGTCTATCAACGGCTTTGTTATCAGTTCTTTCCATGAATTTTCAACCCTGCAACCAATTGCCATATATAGGGAAAAGAAAAAGGGGGGCGCTTTTTGAAAAAAAGGTGGGAAATCCCACAAAAGTTTTTTGTTATCTTTCATGTGTGACTTGTTCATCGGAAGACATTTCAGACACATTTACGGGTAGTTTTTACCCCTTCTCTATTTGATAACCCGTTCCTTTCCTTAATCTTGACTTGTGTGTCTCTTATATTAAAACCCTCTTTTTTTTTTTTTTTTCTTCTCTCCCTTTTTCCCTTCCCTTTTTTTCTCTTTCAAATAAAAAAGTTCTTATACACAATGACCACTACTACAACATTAATTCCAGCTCATATGATGAAGAATTCTACAACGAACAGTATGATTTTAGACTATTTATTTTATCAATCTATCCAATCCAGACTTCAGAAAGCATTTGTTCAGGGCGAAATAGCTGATAATAATGCTATCGAGTCGGTCATTGATGGTACTACACACATATATTTTAAGGTTTTTTTTTTCTTTTTAATAACAAGTACTTGTTTTAGACATATTATCATCAAATCATGGCAAGAAAAAGGATGCCAAATTCGAACAAAGACTTAATCTTTGCCAGCTGACAAATTTAACCATTGGTCGTACGCATCATGTGACATTTTCTGCACCTTCCTACACCATGCCTACAACGATAAGACGACCTCATCATTATTCAACCACACATTTATTCAACACACCGTTTCAGGCACTTTATTGTCGTCGACACAGACGGTCGCATTGTCCTCAAGCCTCTTGTCTGGTCAAGGGAGGTCCTGGACTAGCAGAAGCGATTCCAGCCTTTCTAAAGACCAGTGCCAATATGCTACGCTCGGTACTGGATAGTGAACACAATGACGATAGGAAACCCTTGCTAGTAGCAGGTCAACAAGTCATGGGCGGTGGTATGCCACCACGATGGTACGATTTATTTCTTGATTTGTTAACCCAAGCAGCCATCCAAAGCTACATGTGTGATGGCAAAACAGGTCTCGAGACCATTTATGAGATTTTCTCGTATGGTTATGTGGAAGACGAAGACGAAGAAGATCAGCTTGAAGAAGAAGATGAAGAAGAAGAAGAAGAGGAAGAAGAAGATGATGTATGGACAGTGAAAGCTTCCGATCATCATTTACTCTTTCCAAAGACAAGAACCATGTTTCTATTCAAAATGCAAGTTCACGAACGTGAGAAGGAGGTAAAAAAAAAAATAAGCTTTGTATTATGTGTGTTACTTTTTTACTTATATCCTTATATAAAAAACCAGTTTCTTCAAATAAAACACAACGATTTAAATAAGCATTTCATGGAATTGGAAAAACTCTATCCACTTGTATATTTTGAACGAAACATGTGCGATTTTATTCAAATGCTTTTGGAGGAGATGGACATACCTGCATTAGATAAGGTAAAAACATACACACAAAAACAATTTAAAGTTTTTTTTTTTTATGTATGTTTATTCACATGAGATTTCTATTGTATATACAGTGTGACACTATACCAGATATAACAAGTCCATTAAAATCACCCGAGGATTTACCCGAAATTCAATTTATCCCAAGTCTCTATAAATACCCCAATGACGGTTCTCTCTTGATGCCCGAAATACCTGATACTGTACATGAAGAAGAAGATACCCATTCAAAGAAACGTCCCGCCTTTCATTCACAAGATGGAAATCACAAGAAAATTCGTCACTTATAAGTCGTACAAAATAAACTCTCCACCAGCAAAAAAACAAAACTGACACTTTTTTACACACACACACACATAAAAAAAAAACCCCTCCTCCATCTTTTCATGCCGCCACGTGAAATCCCATTGTTGGCTTTTCCCCGCCCCTGAAATTATATATACATAAAAAAAAAAGTTTGTTTGTTTGTTGGGCAAATCTTCATATTTTATCATTGTCTCATGTGAACAAAAAAAAAAAGTAACGGATAAGGGGTGAGTGTTGACAGTTCCATGTAGATTTGTTTTTCTTCTTTAACGGCCTGCCACCGAAATTAACATGAGAGACATGGTCACAAGTAACAGCACAGAAGTCACCAACACCGTAGACCGACTTGCAGGAAAATAACCATGAATCATTGCCACCTGAGCATGGAAATAACGTATAAATGCAAAAACAAGAAACAACATGCTGATCAATATAAATAATAATCCAATCATTTGACCGTCTAGCAAAAAAGATGTATGTTTCGTGGGATGCGTCATGGATCTCTCTAATCGAAATAACTGTGTGATACCTATCGTTTTTTTTTTTAAAACATGGTGAGTTTAAACTCCACTCCACCCCCACACACACACAACACACCATTCCCCCTTACCAATGCCTACAGAGATCGTGGATAAACTCGTCCGAAGCCACGCTAAATACGTTCGTTCATTTGCTAATAAATATCAATATAAATAAATGATACAATAAGTGAGCTGAATTTTCTCATTTGTTTATCGTCACATGACAGGCGATTAAGTATTACCTAAATGGTCTCGAGCAACGCTTCCCTTGTTCTCGAGGTAGACAGAGGTAGAATAACGATCAAACATGGATTGCCAATATGAGTGTGTCAATAATGGTTTATTCACAGCTGTCTCCTGCGAAGAGGAGGAGGATATGTGATGACTACTACTGCTGGCAGAACTGGGAGGCTTGACGGATCCTCTTCTTCGTCGCATCGATTCGTTGTCTTGTTCATATAGGCCTTCATCCGTGATTGCATAATCGTTGGATGTTTGTCGTTGGATCGAAGTGTAGTTTCTATGTGTTGGAGAGGATAACAGTGGGGTTTGATCGGCTGTGTTGCTATGGGTGCTTGTATACATGATGAAAGAAGAAGAAGAAAAAAAAATGAAAAAAAAATGATAAAATACATTTCAAATTTTTAAAATTCTTATTGTAAAAAAAAAAAAAAAAAAAAAAGGGGGAATTCAGGAGGCGAAAAAGATGTTTAGAGTGTAACACCAATAAAACATGGATTTATTAACCTTTTTTTTTATATACTTTTAACAGTTCTAGGGTAATTCTTTTTTCTTTTTTATACATTTATGATCTGGATTGATCGAGGTTTTCCTTGACACGCTTCATGTACTCACTGGTAGAGACATAATGCTCAGGCTTGAGGCTACATTAAAAAAAAAAAATTAAGGTTAGACATCCGGAACTTCAAAATTATTGCAAATATTGCGCAATCGCATTTGGCTCTAAAAAAAAACTTACTTTCTACCATGGATAGCCAAAGCTAAATCTTTGGTCATGACCTGATCTCTTTGAACAGCATCAATACATGATTTTTCAAGGTCAAGACAAAACTTCTTTAATTCTCCATTGTTATCCAAGTTAGCACGATGAGCTAAACCACGAGACCAAGCAAAGATAGAAGCAATAGGGTTGGTAGAGGTAGGGTTACCCTTTTGGAACTCACGGTAATGACGAGTGACTGTACCATGCGCTGCCTCTGCTTCCATTGTCTTACCATCGGGTGTGATCAAAACAGAAGTCATCAAACCAAGAGATCCATAACCTTGAGCTAAAATATCCGATTGAACATCACCATCATAGTTCTTACATGCCCAAACAAATCCTCCCTTTGACTTGAGGGCTTGTGCAACCATGTCATCAATCAAACGATGTTCGTACCACAAATTGGCACTTTCAAAGTCCTTGCGGTAATCCTTTTGGTAGATATCCTCAAAGATATCCTTGAAACGTCCATCGTATTTCTTTAAAATCGTGTTCTTGGTACTCAAGTAAAGTGGCATCTTCTTGGTAAGTGCCATTTGGAAACAACTGTGAGCAAACCCATTAATGGAATCATTGGTATTGTACATGGCCATACCAACACCTCCGTTTTGTGGGAAATCATATACCGTCCATTTCTTAGGTTCGGATCCATCAGCAGGTGTGAATGACATTTCAAATTTACCAGCTTGTTCAGTGACAAAGTCAGTAGAACGGTACTATTCAAAGTATACTTGTTAGCTTTGACCAACCCTTATTACTACTACTTCTAGGACTTACTTGATCACCGAAAGCATGACGACCAATCACAATGGGTTCGGTCCAACCAGGAACAATACGGGGAATATTATCCAAAATAATGGGCTCACGGAAAACAGTACCGTTCAAAATGTTACGAATTGTACCGTTAGGAGACTTCCACATTTGCTTCAAGTTGAATTCCTTGACACGACCTTCATCAGGTGTGATAGTGGCACATTTGATACCTACATTGTACTTTTTAATGGCCTCAGCTGCATCAATTGTAACTTGATCGTCAGTCTGTAAAAAATTGAAGCGTATTAGTCATACAAATATGTCAAAAAAAAAAAAAAAAAGAACTTGCCTGGTCACGGTATTCCATACCAAGATCATAGTACTTGATATCCAAATCCAAGTAAGGCAAGATAAGTTTATCCTTAATATCACTCCAGATAATACGTGTCATTTCATCACCGTCCAAGTCAACTACTGGGTTTTGAACACTAATGCGTGAACCGCTCGAGTAATGAGCTTTAGCGAGAGGACGTGTTAAAGCGGCAACAGTCGTCTTACGAACAGCGTTTCGGATAGCAAGCATCTTTTTAAAAATTAAAAATTGAAAAGAAAGTAGAGAAGAAAAAAAAAAAGATCACCGGGGAAATTTATATCAAGTGTTTTCCTATTGGGTCATGGATTGGCTTCTCTTTTATGACTCAACATATACACACCCACAACAACCCCCACCTCTCACTTCGGATGTTTAATAATTGCATTACACGAGATTTCATTTTTTTTTTTTTTAATATTCCTGCTTTAAATCAGATTGTGGTTATGTTTAAAAAGAAAGACCCACAGCAGCAGCAACAGGCTGCATTGGACGAGATACATGAAAATATGAGTTTTTCTGTCAACAAATCAACTTCTTCACTCAGTCCCACAGACCACCCTATACCCGTCACCCCAAAAACCCGCTGGGCCAGTTTTTACCATGCCACCTACCTCAAGGGCTTGGCAACACGTTTGCTCTCACTCGTCATCATTCTAGCCGTTCTTATTGTCATTGGCATTGGCTTACTCTATACCGACAATTTACCCAAAGAAGAGGACTTTTCTCACTTGTCATTTGACTGGAAAATAAACCCAAGTTCTTATTTGACACCATGGAATGCCTCATTTCAATACAATGTCCTGCTGAACGGTCATGCTCATTCCACTTATAGTGACGGAAAAATGAATGTCCGGCAATTATTAGATTGGCATTTAGGTAAGAGAGAGAAACAAGGACCCCCCATTTATAAGTCTTTTTTTTTAATCATCTTCCCCACACACACAAAAAAGCAAATGGTTATAATGCTGTCATGGTCACGTAAGGGGGAATTTTTTTTTATTGCATCGTCATGCATGGTTTTTTTTTTAAAGTTTATTTATTCGTATAGTGATCATAATACGATCCGAGGAGGACTTGCAGCGGAGAAATTAGCTTTAGCAGAATACAATCAATCCATCGTTGTGATACCTGGTATGGAATACAGTTGTTGCAGAATACACATGAATTTCATTGATATCAATGAGACCATCCCCACAACTTCTCCTACTCCCTCCGATGAAGAACTACAACGTGTCATTCAAAAAGTGCATGATTTGGGTGGTCTCGTCATTGTCAATCATATTCCTTGGAGTAATACCACAGAATTTGGATACCAACTTCCCAGATTACCCAACCATCCTTCTCTCGACCAATTAATTAGTTGGGGTGTCGATGGCTTTGAAATAATTAATCAAGATGTCTTTGATACACCTACCTATCAGGTGACCGCCCAAAGAGGTCTTATACAGATGGTCGGTCTCGACATTCATCATCCGTCCGTTGGCGCACAGACATGGCTTACCCTCCAAGCCGCCAATTTCACAAAAGCTGCCATCATGCAGGAAATTCGTGCTAAACAAACTTCTTTTTTATTTGACCCTGCCGGAACCCCAACCCGTGTTTACGTGGACTCCCCTTCTAGTTACAAGTCCTTGTTGCCTCTCACCTTGTTAGGTTCTTATTTTAGCATGTTTTATTCTGTCAGTAAAGGCATGTATAGTTTTCAAGGCACGTTTTGTCAGCCCGAGGTATTTTCAATCAATGGCAGTGTCATTGGCTGGTTTATCTTTTGGATCATTATCTTTATCATTGTATTTGAACTCACCCGATTATTTACCATTTGGGCAACTCAAAAGATACTTAAAAAATCATAAAAAAAAAAAAAAAAAAAAAGCTGGCTTTGAAATAAATCCGGACCGGGATACCAATTAGAGGCTCTGGGGACGTAATATGTGTGTGTGTGTGTGTGTCAGTGTGTGTGTGTATATATGCATCTTGGGGGCGGGGGATAGTATTAAGCCGATGAAGGCGGGTGCATTTAATAATTCTTTCTTCCTTTATTATATAAATTAAAGTGAGTAACAAAAACCCTCGAATGCAACAGAGACGGATGGATGCATGAGAGCAACACTATGGATGGATGAAACGATACTAACGTCCCTCCCCCCCCCTTTTTTTTTTTTTGCGTTATCAGTATGGCCGACTCAGCTTCAGCCGGTGCTTCTCGTGGTATGATTTTATGTAGACATTGACGAATTTTGAAAATAAAAAAAGCTGACAGTTAAGTAACAACATAGGTCGTGGTGGATTTGGACGTGGTCGTGGTGGACCCCGTGGTGGTCGTGGTGGTAAGAATTTTTTAAAATGTGTAAAGATGGTGTTTGAATACAATAGACTAAAAACAAAGTTATCAATTAAAAAAAAGGTCGTGGACGTCGTGGTGAGGAAAAGAACGAATGGGTTCCCGTTACCAAGCTCGGTCGTCTCGTCAAGGCTAACAAGATCAAGTCCATTGAAGAAATCTATCTCTTCTCTCTCCCCATCAAGGAGTATCAAATTGTTGATTATTTCCTCCCCAAGCTTACCGATCAAGTCATGAAGATCATGCCTGTTCAAAAGCAAACCACTGCCGGTCAACGTACTCGTTTCAAGGCTTTCGTTGTCATTGGTGATGAGAATGGTCATGTTGGTTTGGGTGTCAAGTGTGCCAAGGAAGTCGCTACTGCCATTCGTGGTGGTATCATCCTTGCCAAGCTCGCCATTATCCCCGTTCGTCGTGGTTATTGGGGTTCCAACCTTGGTGAGCCTCACACCGTTCCCTGTAAGGTCACCGGTCGTTGTGGTTCCGTTCTTGCTCGTTTGGTTCCCGCTCCCCGTGGTACCGGTATCGTTGCCTCTCCTACCGCCAAGAAGGTCCTCCAATTAGCTGGTGTCACCGATTGTTATACTACCTCTCGTGGTTCTACTCGTACCCTCGGTAACTTCGTTAAGGCTACTTTCGCTGCCATCGGTAACACTTACGGTTTCTTGACTCCCGATCTTTGGGAAGAGTCTGAGTTCTCTAAGGGTCCCTACCAAGAGTTCTCTGATTTCCTTGCTCAAAAGCAAAGAAAGTAAATTATCTCTACTTCCCTTTGATACTCACTTCTTTCATAAACAACATTTCTTAATAAAACTGAAAAGTGTTATATAATAATCTCCCTTTTTTTTTTTTTTTTTTAATAAAAAAAAAAAAAAAAAAAGAGAAAAAAAAAAAATCAAATAAGGGTCTGTGCACGCAATGCGTTTTTTGTTGTTGTTGTTTATTGTTTATCGTCTTACACAATCCAGTTCATTCCCCCAAAACATTGAAAGGGCGCTGTAATGCGATCTGTCATTTGAAGTCTAATTGACAGTTTTAAAAAATAGGAAACAGCACTCTTACCGCACCGCACGCCTCTTTTCGCATTGACAACAAGCAGCATTTTCGGGGCCCAAAATAAATGATAGCATGTAATGGCCTTTATCTTTATTTTCTCAAGCAGCCCCTTGCGTAAGTTGCAACAATGCTTGTTTCTTTGGTAATAAAACTTGCAGCCTTTCTTCTCTTTTTGACCAAAATCGCTTCAGATGGGATCAGCATTACACTTTAAAATGTTCTATCCCATCCCCAGACAAATCAAACTTTCAGACAGGACAAGATGTGAAAGCTTTTTCTTTTATCTGTAGACATCATCACCCGAAAAACGGAAATAACCACGTTCTATGTCTGGCAGCATTGACCATTTACTTGAGCGGTAGTTTACTACCACATCGTGTTGTCTTGGTTCGTCTAAATCATCAAAAAAAATGTATCAATAATTCAATCATCATACTTTGATTCTCAGTCGGTTCACCATCCCCCTTTTTTATTTACGTCTGTTCGATCCGTCGTTCGGGGGTTTCCGCCTCTCCGTTCATCAGAATAGGACACGCTTTTTTTTTAGTGCCTATTGTCTACCGCCAATCAATTCATAAGCTGTTCTGAGATTGTAGAAATAAATAAAAAATAGCAACTCCATATGAGCTAGCATTATTTATAAAAAAAAAAAAATGGTTCATGCAAAGATCCACAAAAGACGTTTTTAGATGTTGGAATTTTGGTTTCCAGATCCTTGATACCTTGTTTTAAGTTTATAGTGTTCTTATTTCTTTTTGTCGATATACTGATCCAGAAGAGTAGTCGTACTCATGTTTTAATATGATAAGATCTGATATGTTTCTAACCATCATATGCACTCTTCCGACCAGAACCTGAAAAAAAACAAAAGGACGAAAGCAGCTTTTGACATCATCTTGATTAAAATCACCGATTTCAAAAGTTTAGACACGATCTTTTTTGAGCTTAAAAACATTTCTTTTTTTCTTTTTTTTTTTTTTTTGCATAAAACAAGAAAAATTCTGCAAGTAGCAGCCATCAGTATAAAAAATACATACGTCTCTTTTATTCTTCATAAGTTTTGTAGTATCTCTTCAGAAGACTATTTGTAAAATACAATAAATTGATATATGCTTAATCAGTTATCATTCTCTCTTTTTTTTTTAAAATAAAAAAAAAAATTGAAATATAAAAAGGATGCATGGAAAGTGCAAATTGTGTTTCCTTTTCCCTCTTTAAAAAAAGTCGGCTATTTAGAAGAAAAAAAAAAATGCTCAACTTCTCACTATGAATCGCCATTTCAAACTCATGGATTTGGAAAAAGCGCAAACAGGCGAGGTTGCTGTGGCCGACCGTATTTGTTGACGAAGACAGACCAGTTGTGATGTTTATACAACTTGTACTGGTAGCCGCTCCTGTTATTCTGGCGTCTGTATAGGCTGCTCTATTTGAATATTCATCTGTTCGTAGATGGAGAATGTTATTCATCATAACTAGCACTGAGAATGGGGGGGGGGTTGATTGGTTACCTTCTCCTCTGAAAAAAAAAAGAAAATGCGAATCATGTTCCTGATTAGTTGGATGATTTCATTTAAAAAATATTTATAGGTTTGCAATACTATCAGCAGTATTATGTTTAATAAAATCTTTTGGCATATTTGATCTTGCTACGTTTTTTAGAACTTGATTAAATGCATAAGCGTACACAAGGTTCTTTTTTTTACATGAGGCATGTTTATCTTCGTCTAATGTGATGGATAATTTTAGTAGCGAAAGACTATTTTCTATCTCTCCTCAATGGTGTAGTTATAATTTAGACAGAGACGAGAAGAAGCAATAGTATGACCTGTTTAGCTACATGACTTACAGAGATGTCCAGATGATGATGATGAAGCTTGTTCCAATCTTCTTATTTTTCTAGCATTTACTTTCATTTGTTTCTCCTCTGGCGTAACTATCTTTTATTTTTTTATGAATTATCATAATAGTTAAACGAATATATGTAAATGTCATGAAGTGACGATATCATATTGTATTTCCGGGTTCATCTTTTTATTTCACTAGGATTAGCACGGTGTCTTTCTTCTCCAATTCCAACTACACGTTTTTGTCTCTCTTTCTTCTAAATTCATTGTTGTGATTCAGGGTAAATTATGGTGCGCATTATACGAAACAAAAAAAAAGTGATCGGGGGAAAAAGAAACAATGTATCCACTGCCATATTATCTTTTAAGCATTGTCAAAAGTTACGTCGGCTTTTGTTCCGATGATCACCACAATTTGAAGTTACATAATTGGTTTTTTTGAGGTAGTTAATATTGTATCTATATGATAATAAAAAATGTAGCTTCATTTGTTGTAGAAAAGAGACAGGTCGCTTCTTGTTTTTATTTAAAATGAGATTGACATAATTTAATAGAAGTACTAAAGGGGATGTTTATTTAAGTGACCAGCACTGAAAATTCTATAACAATTAAAACCTTGTTACATATCACTTGATTGGCCCTTATGCTAAATCTATGAATAAGGTGAAGATAAAAGAAGGGAGGGCTTAAAACTATCGGTGTTGTTATGTATCGTAAAAAAAAAAATGGGATGCATGTTTTCAAGGTTTTACATACATCTGTTGTAGTAACACTGAATCGATCTTCAGCCTCACGTCTTTTCAATTTACGGAACAGTTTATTGGAAGCAGTCAAACCAACATATAAGTAAGCGTCCAAAGCCACCTTATATTTTTTTCTGATTGCGTTCCCTATTTACTCACCCAACCTTTTGTGTACTTTGGGTAATCTTGTATATAAAGTCAAAGTTACAGCCAGAATAAAATATTCCATTGGGTTTTATTGTCTCATTGGCATAATAGCTGTAAAGAGTATTTTTTAACACCGCCCTAGTTTCATATACTGTGTGAATTTTTTGCTGCAGCATAGTAAATTGATTTTTTTTCTAGAATTTCTACTCATCATCATACATCACTAGAATAACAGAAATGTAAGGCTTGTTCTTGCTTCATCATTTAATATGATTCTTTGAGGTATCTCGTTTTTTAAAAAAAATAAAGCTGGATTAAACCGCGTGGCACAAAAATCCCTTTTATCTACTATGACTTTCAGCTTTCTTTTTTCTTGAGTAACAGCTGATTTCTCCTGTTTACCATAAAAAAAAAAAAAAAAAAAAAAGATGGCACAAGATCATATTAAGCCTGTTAGAATAATTTACTCTAATAGTATTGAAATACGTGGATTCAGTTCTGGTACATTTATAAATTGTAATTTTTTTAAGAATTAACAAGTTTTTGTGGAATATACTTAGCATAAATACAATAATCATCTTAGTGATTTACTATAAAACTTTACAGAATCTCTGAACTTGGAAGTGCTTTAGTGTACCCATTTATCAATTAGTGCATAAAAATACCTCGACGAAGAACCCTTTGTTGACATGACTTTTTTCATGTCGAATTTGCTTTTCTAATCCAATTAATATATGAAAATAAACTTGATAAGTACGAAAAAACTTTTGACAATCATGTTGATTATATTTACGAATAATCATGTAAAGATGGTATAAAATTATTATTGTGCCTTTCATGGATATGTAACAAATAACTCAAGCGGTAATGACTTTTAACCTGTTGCTATATCTGTCATTAGAAAGAGAAGGAGTATATTTTATCTTTACACCATGCATCATAATAAACCACAGAATAACTTACGAAATAAGAATGAGTAATGAAAATGTGCAGCAAATGGAAAAGATAGAGAAGAAAGGGCAACATCAACAACCCATCAAAAACGAACAGGTCAAAGTACAAGAAATGTGGAAAAAAGGTCGTCTCCAAATATATTATATGACTTTTAATAAAAGTGACTTTCCGCGAGAGTTTGCTTTAACGCTTAAATGTGCCTTTTTATTTTTTTTTCTTCTTGAAAAATTGAGGAAAACTGTGGTGACCTAGCAGGGCTATAGCCATATTAGAGCTAACAAAGGTTTATCCATGCTGATACCATTTGTGATATAAGCTTAACAATAAATGTCATAGTAAGAACTATAAGGATATTACAGCACAAGTCTAATTTAGTGCGTCTGAGAAATACTTAAAATTTAGTTTAAAGCAAAGAGAGTTAAGAAGACAACATTTATTATTAGAACAAGACTAAATTAAGGACTATGTAATAATCGTATACATTTTTGGTTAATCAATGATAACTTCAAGATAGCACTAAAAATATGGACACAGCAGACAGTCTTTTATATAAATACTCGTATATTTCATTTATTAATAAAGAGAAAATGTATATACCACCCCTCTTTTTCCAAATATAGTAATTACCACCCCTGTTCGGTCACGCCGGACAGAAAATGTCCGGTGGAAGTGGATCACTTTATACCCATTTATTAGGCTCCTTTGTGGATCACTTTATACCCATTTATTAGGCTCCTTTGTGGATCACTTTATACCCATTTATTAGGCTCATCTGCGGATCACTTTATACCCATTTTTTAGGCTCATTTATAATGTTTTTTTGGATCACTTTATACCCATTTTTTAGGCTCATTTGTAATGTTTTTTTGGATCACTTAATACCTATTTTTTAGGCTCGTGTACAGTGTATTTTTGGATCACTTAATACTTAGTTTTTAGGCTCATGTATAGTGTATTTTTGGATCACTTAATACCTATTTTTTAGGCCTATGAACCAGGTCCGAATAGTTGTTTGAGGAGAGGCGGGGGGGGGATTTAGGTACCATTTTACTTTTTCCAATTTACAATTTACAACGATCATATAAATGAACAATCAAGAAAGTATTGCTGAAGGCGAGCGTCTCATTATTCCTACAAGAGTAGAAGTAGCCCCAAGAAATCCCTTAATCGAGACACTCTTCATAAAATTGAACCAGTCCAAGAATGAAGTATCACTTAAGGAAGTTGATGTCGAAGATGTTGATGACACATTGATTAAGGACAAGTTGACATGTGGTAAATGCCATAAGACGTTCAACTCGAGATCATCCCTGATCAAGCACTTGAAGGTCAAACACCATATTGCAATCGTTGGTGTCAAGCATGGGCGTCCTGACCAAGGTGGAAGGCTTGCATACTATATCCGCCAGCAGCAAAAGAAGGCCGATGGAAATTCTGTTTTGAGAGTCGATGAAAAAAAACTTAAGAAGCAAATAAGGAAACAAATTAGTTATGAGGCGGTAAAAGCCAAGAAGAGAGCTGAGTGGGCTTTGTTGGAGAGTAAGGACCTTCTTGAAAACCTTAAGGTTTTATGGGATACGTCTGATGGTGTATGGAGACCAGATTTTGCCTATGTACAATATGTTGAAGATGTCTCTCCCATTTACCAATTTCTCATCACCAAATTATGTTTGGAAGATTCATATGGATTGAGGGTAACTATTTCTTTGAGTATTCTGGAAATGATGTTCGAACGTTTTCCCGGAGTGTTCGAGCAAAATTTTGACAGGGAAATTGTCCTGGAAGCTCTGACACCCTTGAAGTATAATCAAGGCAATGATAAAGAGCAGGATAGTGTTCGTATGAATTTTGACTTTGCCAAAGCAGATTGTGCAGAGATGAAAAAATTGCTGGAGGATCGTCGAAACTGCAAGGATATTAACCGAGCCAGACTTGATATCATGCACAAATTATGTTTTATGATACAAGTTCACTTTGGGGCTTACGATTTTGATTTTAATATCGTAAAAATTCGATCCGGTCTTTTCTGTTCTTTGTTTGCTTCCGCCTCATTTGATTTTCAATAAATAATTAAACACTGTTTGTTCCTGAACGCATATCCTTAGTTCATTAATTAAATACATAGTTGCAAGCAACACCATATCAGTAACGGCTTATATATAACCAACGCGGTTTAACGTACAACTGAAAAAGATATTTGTCATAAAAAAAAAGTATACAATTATTGCATATTGTATTCATGCTTGTTTCAGATATGCCTTTTAAAATTTTTTTATTCATTTATTACGACCGTGTTTTCATCTATTTTGTAACAAAACAAGCGATTAGTTTAGATTTAGAAGTAAGCTAAAAACATGTAACTATATTACCTGTCTGCTCAGACGGAATGTATTTCTTGAAGGTCAAGTGTTTGTTCCAAAACGACTTGACCTTGTCATCTTGGTGACCCAAGCGTTCCATGGCTTCATGGTGTAAGAAGCTGATCCAAGGCCAGGCCACCTTGATGGACCTCTTCATGTTAAAGGTGACCCAGTGGTTCCCACCAACATTTTGTAAAACAATCGGCAAAGGTGCCGGACCAGGGGGAGGTCTTACGTTTGCATTTTGAAAGACTGGCAGAAACGTCAATCCGTGTCCTTCGTACATAGCACAAGGATAAATGGCGACAGGCCTTTGAAACGTGTCTGCGGCTAATTGGGCACATTCTGGTGATCGAAGCCATTTATCCCGTCCATGTTCGTGTTCTACCAGTCTTTCACTCCCAACTACTCTCTCCAGACCACTGCAGGTACAAGTTACCATGTCGTTTAACTTAAAATGCTCATCAAAGCAAATTTCGTACTGCTCATAATTAATGAGCAGTACATCCCTCATAAGCTTTTTAACTTCCATGAAGCGCTCTTCGTCTCCAAAGACCTGGTAAGACAGAGCCCTAAACCCGCAGTGGCCATCATCACCAACATTCACAATTTCTGTAAAACTGTTACGTGGAAGATCCTTGTCAACATAGATTTCCGTGAGAATCTCGAAATTCTCGTTCGTGACAGCTATACACACACATATATATATATATTGATGAATGAGTACAATATGAAGATGTGTTTTCATTAAATTTTATACTTTACAAATCTTTGCCTTCTTAGGAAGACGAAGGCGTTCTCCAGCCTCATACTCGGTATTCTCGGCTGTATAAATATTTAAATTAGTAAAAATAATGTTGTATTTTTTAAAAGATTCTTACACGGCTTGGCTCTCTTGGGAATGTAAAAAACAGCTGTGTCCCTCTTGATAACATTGTCCTTGCCAACAACACCATTCTTAACAGCGTCTGTAAATACAACATTCATAAATGGTAAGGAAATGAGTTATTCTGAGCCTAGTTATGAATACATTACCCTCTTTGTTTTGCTTGGAACCACTGATTTGACGCCAAGGAGAAAAGCTTTTTTCTTTAGCAGGACGGCCAACTTTAGAGATCGTCTCACTTTTTGGTAACGTAACTAAGCTGTCAATGCTTCTTGAATTTTTAATAAACTCCCGGTGATCCTCCAGCGCCTTCTTCAAGAAATCACCGAGAGCATTTGACTCAGTGACTGACTGACAATTACGGTGTTGGAGTTCAGCTTCCACCAAAATGCTGCTAAATTCGTCAGTTTTGTTTACTTTGTCTTCAATATCAACTTGATGAAACTCAATTCTTTGTTTATCGTCGGTATCTGGAATATTGACAACAGGAGTGTTGGAAGCCATGTTGGTGTTATACGCAGTAGCATTTTTTAGCAACCACCGACTGCTGATATCCCCAACAGCCAGAACCTTGTCATCCATTCTTACAATTTCGTGTTTACACGGCAAAGCATAAATTATACGGTCACTACAAGAGCAAGTATTGTTCATACATGCAAGTTTCTTGTCATTCGACATCATTCCAGCCTTTAACATGGACTTTTGGATGGTAAGTAAAGCCCTTGCAGAGACCTTACCTACCAATTCGACAAGTCGGACGTTGTTGCGAATCATACCATCGACATAACAGCCTTCTTTGATTCCTGTCATTTTTTGTTTAACAATTTGTCGGTTGACATATTTGTCTACTTCGTCAAATGATGAGAGCAGGTCCAATCTTGTCGACATAGATCCGCTTTTTAAGGCACTATGAGTGCCTTCAACTCGTTGACTGGTAGTACAGCCAAAATGGTTGTACATTCGGGTGATATAGCCGGCCCACTTATCCTTGCAGACTAACCAGTTACTTTCAAGATATACTTGGGCCTTTTGGGACGAGCAATCTTGTAACAAAGAATTGTTCGTAGCAATTACTTTGTATTTACTGCAGGCGTCGTTGAATTCGTCTTCGGTGTATGAAACAATCATTTCTCGAATCAGCTCAATGCATTTTTGCTTGTCTTCAGATTTGATGAAGATATGACTTAATTCCTTGTTAAAGTTTTGATTCATATGCCAGGTGCAAAGCATAGTTTTGCTGTTAGGAAAGACCTGATCAATAGCATTCATTAAAGCCGAGCACTTATCAGTAACAAAGATGGGTTCAATGCCCTCACGGGAACAGGAAAAAATAGCCTGCTTAAATGACTTCAAAAACCAGACATAGGTTTCAATTCTTTCGTTTGCAACGAATGCATAGGCAATAGGTGTTGACATAAGTGAGTTACCACCGACGTGTGATACGCTTTGGATTGAAATCAAAGGCATGCCAAGGTTGTTAGTTTTATATGTAGCGTCCATAATAAAAACTTCACCTCGACTTCTAACCTCCTCCAGTGCGGTTTCATGCATAAAGAAAATAGATGTTAAAGAACATCTACTTTCACTACCATTCAAAGCTTTTTGGTAAGCCATCAGATAGCTTTTGTTACTGATATGGGACATCAAGTTTCTGGCATCGTTATCAAGAGAATTGACGTTGAATGATTGAGTATTTTCAGCACTCCAGTTACGGACGTCATCATACGACAAAATTGATTGTCCATCATTACCCCCGAGAGTTCTACGTATCTCAGGAACGCTATTGCCTGCTTGAATCATTTTTGTAACGAGTTTCACAGTGTTCTGATCCAATAGTCCTCTTTTTCCTTCGGGAGTTAATTGAACCATTTCCAATGATAAAATATGGTTGTGCAAGTGTTCATGGTTGGCTTTATTAGGTCGTTCGACTGTCCAAACCTGTATACGCTTTGAAAAATTGATTTTCAATATGAAAGGGCAGTCGTCTTTGATGCTCGTTCTTGTTCTTTTTCTCTCTTCAGGGTTCTCAATGGCAAGTCTACAGGCTTTTCCACACTTACAACGAAGATGAAGGCGTCTATCTTTCTCACTCTTAGCGACAATTAACACGAAGTGGTTTTCGATAGCCCACTTTTTAAGGTAATGTTTAATTTCCTCTGAAGTTTGATATTGACTGTTGTAAATAGTTTCATCCAAAGCATTTGAAACTGAGTAAAATTCCATGGTCGATAAAAATTTATGATAGTAAAACAATAGAAAGGGGAAAAAAACTTCAACCCACACTGCTTCTAAGATGCCCCGGCTCTGGTAGCGGGATATAGAATATACGAGCACTGTACTACTGATTCCACACCCCGTAATCCAATGGACAAAATAAACATTGAGCAGATCGTTCTAAAATAAGAAATGCATAAACAACCCATTTTAAACGGCAAAAATTATTCTGTTCAATTTCATCGATATCACCGTTAAGTTGAAAAAAAATTCATGAATGATAATGACTCAATAGTTACCCATGCTGACACCGCTTTTAGTTGCTATTAGAGTACAAGATAAGCTGGAGGCGGGGTATAATTAAATTTAAAACGTACTATATCCCTTTTGTATACATCTTTTTTGAGGAATATAGCAATGAGGTCATGGTTTTTTTCCTCTTGCATTTTTTAAATAAAGGCGGATACAAAACCATCATCCCTTCTTGTACTTCCAAACATTAAGGATTGCCACTAAATGGCTGATTTTCGACAATGCTCTTATAATGAAACATCTGGAGATTAAAAAATAAAGATATTAAACATTCTGCAGTCTTATAAAAGTAAATAACATTTAAGCTAAAGCGACAGTAAGAACAGCCGATCATACGGCCGTGAAAATTTTCGCGCATGGAAATATAGTGAGCCTAAAAAATAGGTATTAAGTGATCCAAAAATACACTATACATGAGCCTAAAAACTAAGTATTAAGTGATCCAAAAATACACTGTACACGAGCCTAAAAAATAGGTATTAAGTGATCCAAAAAAACATTACAAATGAGCCTAAAAAATGGGTATAAAGTGATCCAAAAAAACATTATAAATGAGCCTAAAAAATGGGTATAAAGTGATCCGCAGATGAGCCTAATAAATGGGTATAAAGTGATCCACAAAGGAGCCTAATAAATGGGTATAAAGTGATCCACAAAGGAGCCTAATAAATGGGTATAAAGTGATCCACTTCCACCGGACATTTTCTGTCCGGCGTGACCGAACAGGGGTGGTAATTACTATATTTGGAAAAAGAGGGGTGGTATATACAGGCTCTCTTAATAAAGACATCTTATAAACAGTTTCGAATTACTATAGGCTTTCTATTATTTAACTTTACCTTAAAACACAACAAAAACCAATCACAAGTCAACATTTTAGCAATCTTTAACATCGTTTTTATAAAGTAAACATATCGAAACGGGCTTTCTACATGATTTTCATTATCACATGGCACAAAACAAATTTTGTATATCAGATCTTTTCCTTGAGAGATGTCTACTCTTTTTCGCGTCTGTTTTTTTAATTCAAATTCAAATTACTCGCCATCAGTGGCATAGACTGTTTCAGCAAACCAATCAGAATGTTTGAAAATTTCAAGCGCATGTTTTGTAATTAATGCATGACTGTACAGGACGGATATGTAGTCATCCAACCCATAAAACTCATTTTCACCTGCCTAAATCACTGTCCTCGGCTAAAATCAAGCCTGGCACGCTTAAAGCTCAGGATTCAGCCAATTATAGTGTGCCCCTGCTATTTATAGTCTGACCGCGCATATTCAGTCTAATCACACATATTTACAGTGTAATACACTGTGGGAAAAATATATGAATATATTAGAAATAATTGTATTTTTGTTTGAAAAATATTGGAATTTTCAAAATTCCAATAATATAGTTGAAAATAGTTGTAATATAATAGGACAATATTTTTATGGGATAAGTATTGTACAATAAAAATACAACAAAATCACACATAATTTCAACATTGGAATTACGTTGTATTTTGGTTTGAATTATGTTGTGCAATAAAAAATATTAAAAAAATGTTGTACAATTGTTGGGTAATTATTCCCGTTTAAAACTCGTGATCCAATAAAAAAACAACACTAGTCATACATTTTCCAATTGTTGAAATATGTTGAGTATTAGTTACTTAAGTTCGAGGCATAGCCGAAGAACTAAACTTATTATCCGAAGGGAGGAGACTCTTGTTGTGTTACCATCTTTTCTTTATTAATTCGAATATTCAGAAAAAAAAAAAATTATAGTAATAAATGATCATTTGGTAGTAATTATAAACCTTATCAATACAGAAATAAAATAAAATAAATAAATAAGGGTGGGATAAAATATGAGGGTGGGACAACAAGAGTCTCCTCCCTTCGGATAATAAGTTTAGTTCTTCGGCTATGCCTCGAACTTAAGTAACTATTATCCTTCAATAGGTCGGAGACTCTTGTTGTGTATACAGAGTAAAGCGACTCTACTTCACAGAATAAGATCCGTAAAGTTGGTGGCGGAAGCCCTATTCAATCGGTAGTATGTATCAAAGATCGAAGAAGATGCCCAGGAACCATGGGTGAGCACATCATCCAGTTTAGCGCCAGCAAGAATTGCTCGTGTGGAACCGACAGCCCTAGCCTTAATTGTCTTACGACTGGAAGTGGAAGCTGTACATGTAGTGGTAGCTCTACACAAGATGGACGTGATATGCTTGCTAATGCGTTCAGACCCGATTGCTTTGTTGTGGTCGGTAATGTTGCGAACCAATGCCGTATATAAAAGGTGTGGAAGTCGATCATGTGAACGTACAACAGGAGCGAGAGAAGCGAAGCGATTTTTGTATTGTGTATAGCACGTAACCAGACAAAGCATAATGTTTGAGTGGGCCGAAATATTCACTACTTTTTCGATTGGTCTACCAGCCCGTTTTTCCTTAGGTGCCAAAACCACCAAACGGAGAGCGTCGTTGACCACCAAAGTCTTGCTATCGTCGATGCGTTCAATATCAGATGGACGTAAGAAGCCGGTGATACCCAAAAGGAAACAAAGTTTTTGTGTTATTTGTAGAAGAGTCATGTCGCAGTTCTCACCCCAAGAAAGCATGACATCTATAGCTGGTTGTAAATTGATCATAGGGAAATCAAAAGATAGAATCGCGTTACTTTTCAAAGCGGAAAAGAATTCAATGAAAGCAGGATTAGTTGTTATACTATCACGTTGAGTTTGTTCATATAGTTGTAAGATTGCTTGTTTGTATTGTAAAATAGTGGCGTAAGACCAGTTGTGATGTACCCGGCCATATGCTAAATAGTTAATGATATCAATAGCATTAACAAATTCTAATACGTTACGATTGTGTTGGTTACCCCAGTCTAGAAAACGTTGTTGTGTACCATTGTATCGTTTTTGTTTAAGTTGGACTCGGTGAGGGTCGAAAATGATAGAGGAGGATTCCTCACTGAGAGTTGAAGGCTCATTTGTCCTCTGTTGTTTAGTGGAGTTTATTGAACCACATGCCATGCCATTAGCTGCCAGTGTTGGTTCTTCTCCAAAAGCGATTGAGATTGGCCTGGTGCCGCTAGGACCTGATCCCTCGGAATCAAAGTTGGTGGATGCTGTCGAGATAACTGTTGTAATCGGGGATACCAGATGGCTCCCATCCAGTTCGGCGTGATGATTGTGCATTCCTTTACCTGGTCCATTTGTATCTTCTGTAAAATTAGAGGTATGAGATTTCACGGCGGGCAAAGATATGGGTTTTGGAATTCTGTCCAACGAATTGACATTGCATTGGTGGCTATTGCCAATTGGTCGAATTTCCATGTCACAAATTGTGAGCATTTGTTGTTGTGACGAGTAGCAAAGAGGTCGATCGTGTGGCGTCCCCAAAGTTGGTCTAATTGTTGAAATATGGTGGGTGTCAAGCTCCACTCCAATTGTTGGTCCAGTTGTTGGCGTGATGGCGTGTCCGCAGGATTGAACATCGTTGCTACGTAGTCCACTTTGATACGGGTGTTGGTCTTCAAGCATTCCTGCCATATGCGCTGTGTCAAGTCTAGTAACGGTTGGGATCGAGTTCCGCCAAAATGGTTGATATAAGAGACGACGGTTAAATTGTCGCAATAGATTTGAATTGCTTGCCCTTGGTAATTTGGGTTGTGGACGATGAAATAAATTACTAATAGTTCGAGATAATTTATATGTTTTTGCTGATCTTCGGGCTGCCACGTACCGTTGATAACGCTGGTACCATCTACTATTCCCCATCCGGTCATAGACGCATCGGTGTACAGTTCGTGGTGACTTTTCTCCGGGATGAAGGAATGACCATTCCATTGCTGCAGGTGTTGAATCCACCATAATAGGTTCTGCTTGGCTTGAGTTGTCAGTGTGATGGATGGGCGTTGCGAATGACGTAATATATTGGCTTGTTGTATTAATTGACGGGTGTGCAAACGTGCTGGAAACACTGCTAATGATGTTGCTAGAGCCTTCCCTACGAATGATGTCAAAGCTGTCAACTTGACCGATGACTGATGCAGTAGCTTTTGGGCCGCTCGTCGTATGTCTCGTATCTTGGCTGTTGGTACCGTTAGCGTCATGGATTCCGTGTTGATCAGAAATCCTAGGTGCTGAATACATTGAACAGGAGTTAGTTGTGATTTCTTGTGGTTGATTAAGAAACCAAGACTCGTTAGCTTCTGTAATACCTTGGTCGTGTTCTTTAACGTTGCCACCGCTGACTTGCCGATGACCAATAAATCGTCGAGGTAAGCTGAGAGTATTATCCCTGAACGTCGTGCCCATTTCAATACCGGTTTTAGTACCTTTGTAAACACCATTGGACTCAGTGAAAGGCCAAAGGGTATTGTCCGGAATTGATAAGTGTTGTTGTTCCATTGAAAGCGCAGATATTTCTTGGACGATTCGTGAACTAGCACGTGCAGAAATGCGTCCGTCAGATCTATACTGGTCATGTAGTTGTTCCGTTGTATCAATTGACAGATCGTTTTCATAGTTTCCATTTTGAATGGAATACGAGGTAAGTATTGATTTAGTGGTTTGAGATTCAAAACCGGTCGATCCCCGCCTGTCTTCTTTGGAATTGTGAATAGCGTCGAATGAAAACCGTACTGATCGCTTTGGTTTGTGATCTGTACTTCTTCTATTGCTTTCTTCACTAATAGTGCCCGAACTTCCGCTTCGACAGTTGTTCGTTGAGTGATAGACAGGTTGGGAAATTGATGGCGTTGATGTTTCGAGTCGTAAGTTGTTGATATGGGGGGTGAGGTTATAAAGGGGATTCGATATCCGTTCTTTATTACGCTGTTGACCCATTTTTCGGAAGAGAGTTTTGACCAAGCGAGAGAAAAGGAAGATAACCTTCCTCCTACTATTGTTGGTTGGGAGTTTGGGGGCGTCTCTGAAAATTTCGTCCGTGGGAAGATGAAGATGAAGAATTACTGCGTCTTGGGTGCGGAGTTGTTGCTCGATTACCCTGTGATGCTGATTGTCCCACTGGAGGAGCACCATGTGATTCCCGTTCTGAAGAGCCTTGTGTTGGTCTAGAGTTGGCAGATGTGGGTTTTTGACGTCCATGGTGTTTATGTTGTGGTTTACGGCTAGCTGCTTGAACTGCCTTTCGAAGATTTGTGCCTTCAAGAATTGCTTTAGTATCTTGAAACAGTGGTTGAGGTGAGGGTGTAAGCTTGGTACGAGGCTGAAGAGGTGGTACCACCAGACCTGTTTCACGAGCAACATTATCCATTCGAAGCTGGGTAATGTAAGATGCTGAGTCAGACACCAACGTGTGAATGGTGTTGATAAAAAGAACGACATCTGCAACCGGTACAGATGTGGCATTTGAGCGAAGGCTCTCATGCAAAAATTTGTCCATAGGACGAGTGGTTGCTGCCAAACGTCGCTGAATCTCAGAAAGCTGATTGTCGGTTTGTTTTGTAAAACGCCCAACATTATCTGCAAGATTAAGAGTAGGTGGAAGATACTGTCTAATGACGTTGCGAGGGCAAACATGAATGAATCGTTTGCGATCGAGTTCATCCAATGGGGATCGGAAGAAGTCCTCGCACATTCCCGGTAGAGCTTGTTGCAATCGCTCAGTGGGGATGAGATCTGTAGCCACAGGTCGTTCAACCACCTGAGGGTCCACATCCATCTCTGCTTCCATGGATGAAGAACGGGTTGAAGCTGATTGTTGCTGCAATAATAGTCGTATCTCTGCCAATTGTCGAGCCAATTCGTCGATTTGGATGTTGGTAGAAGATGAAGTTTCATTATTAGACATAATTAAAAATATAATGAAAATCTAGTGGATCGACGGTGAAGTACCAGGAGCGAAAGAAAAGATGATGAGGTTTATAATTACTACCAAATGATCATTTATTACTATAATTTTTTTTTTTTCTGAATATTCGAATTAATAAAGAAAAGATGGTAACACAACAAGAGTCTCCGACCTATTGAAGGATAATTGTTTAAAATTGTTGTAAGATAAAATGTTTGAAAAATAATGGGTAATAATTTATTTATAAGTAATGCATAAATGTACAGAACCATGTATACATATTAATTCTAAAGAAACCCATTGTTTTGTCAATAGAATTGTGCTTATGTTGTTAAAAAAAATATGAGTTAAACACAACCCCAAACCAAATCGATACGTCCTATGTCCTGATCGCTTAATGATCCAATTTCTATGCCATAAAAAACGACGTGTGAGAGCATGACGACTTTAAATGCATGGTTTAGGTCGTTGTTCTTCAATTAGTAATGACAGTCTTGTTCTGCATTGTACTTTACTGGGAAGACTGTCTTGACCAAGGCAAAGTGCAACCCTTCATTACAGTACATGAACAGCACTTGTCCATACTTCAGCTGTGCTGTTCTTTCGATACACCTGTACAGAGTCCTACTGTCATCGGCCTGTGTACAGTAGACTAGGAAAGTCCCCTTGCTCGATGGTTTTCCCGCGAACTTCAACGTTTTACCGCTTCTGATTGGGAAGTAGCTTTCCACTGTTTGAGCTTCCTCATTTAAATTGAGTGCTCTTTCTATGGCTGCCCCCTCTAGTTCAGAACATTCATGAAATCTTTCAACAAGATTTATGCAATTCTGTTTCGTTAATTCTTTTCCATAAACAATTGAATTGCTGTTTGTAGGAAACCAGTTTGCTTTGTAAACAGCAGCGAAATGAGATTTGACGCAATTACTTGCGTTTTCGCTTGGCTTTTGGCGTGATTTGATTGAAGATTTGATACTTCCAATCAGTCTTTCAAGTGGCCTTGCACTTATTAAACGCATAGGTCCTAAATTAGCGATAGCATCACTTAGGTGATTAATATAGTGCATGTAGACTGTGGATACATTGGGGTGGAAGTTTGCCATCATAAACTCTTGCCATTCTTTAATGCAACTATGATAAATGTTTAATTTACGTTTGTATTAGTAATAGTTTACACTGATTTTTTATGAACTTACCGGTTTAAATCTACTAAATCGATTTCTGATATGCTGTATTTCTGCGTTATTTTACAGGCATTAGAAAGAGAAACAATTGCTCTGCATGCATTATCAGTAGCAGTCTCGTAGACATGTAATTGATCCAATGACATTCTTGATGTTGATTTGGAAGCTGTTTCTTTTCGAATAACATCTCTTTTTTGAAGTTGAAGAGCTTCTACCACAAGAGTTGGCAATATAAACACAATAAAATCAATCCAGTCTACACTGCGAAAAAAACCGGACTTTTTGTGGACATCTATTTTTTAAAAAAAATAGCTTAAGTTAAATAAATTTGTCTTGTATTATGTTTTGACATTTCCTACCCAAGAAAGCTCCGCTAATACTACAGCTGTGCTTGTTTTGTTGGGCCTGTTGCATTTTTGCAGATATAAGCACTCGATACTTAACACGAAGGAACAGAGGGTTGCTTGCATCTTGATATTTTTGACCATCATCAGTAATAATTGCCCATATTTTGCCGCCGACGTTTGCTCCCCAGAAATGCATCTCGTCTAATCCCCAAAAAAATGGGCCGTGGAAACTATTTAAAAGGGAAAGTGGTGATTTTCGAACAATGCCATTTTTCTAATACCAACGAATTAATGATTTTTTTTTTAAAAAAAGAAGACTCTTAAAAAACTTACTTCGTCTCCTTGAATAAAATCTTCGGGTTTTCTAATTAATTCTGTAGAAATGCCACCTTGTGTAAAGGGATAGCACATACTTGCTTTAACCCGCATAGCTTCGGTTCGACATATGCGGCATCCAAAACAAGCTTGATGGCCAATATGACTACAAAGATCAGCACATGCTGGGATATCACCAATAGCTACCACGAGAGATGCAGTAAGAAGCTTCTGTTCGCCACTGTTGTGTTTTGAGGTAAGTAAAATTATAAGGCAGTATATAAGTAATTTGAGACTGTTTATAAGATTGTCTTTATTATGAAATAAAATGATCAAGTATTTATATAAAAAAGACTATCTGCTGTACCACTATCTTTAGTGTATCTTTGAAGTTGTTATCATTTTCCCAGTGTGTATCCTGTTACCTTTAACTGCTTATTTTGTAAATATGTTACACTTGGAATTACTGTCATCTTAGACACATTGTACTTCCATATCCTTAGTAAGCCTTAGTCACTGTGTTCTTGTAACCTTGTGATATGATAGTACTAACTATCTATATTGGGTAATTGATTCCTTAATCATTCTTAATGTATTGATGTCATAGATATAGGTTTATTTAATGTAGCAACCATATAGCAGATCACCACAGCCACTACTAAACTTCACTAGCATTCCATTTTTTTCTAATTTTATAAGCTCTTGATATGTTAGAAAAAGAAAACTATGCATATTGTACGGTTTTTTGGGACCTGGTATGATTGTGGTAATCAAGATATTCTTTTTTTTGAATCTGGTAGAAAAAACATATGTGTTATTTTTGTATATTTACATTGCAAAACATTAAAGACACTAACCGTAGCTCTGGCGATAGATTTAAAATGACAAATGCTACTACAGTCATGCTTACACCGCCCCTTTTAAAAGGATTAAATCCATCAGTATACATCGCCAGATCCAATTTGTAATCACTTGTGGGACACTCTTCATTATGACCGTCCCATTTATCTTTAGCTGTTCCGTCGAAAATATCTTCCAAAAAAGCATAGTTACTACCTGATTTGTTAGAATAAAAGGCAGTATGTCTTGTCGATTTATAAGAGATGTCCGATCTGAATTGAGGTGTCTTAAGAAGATGCGCCAGCTGCTTAGCAAGAGAAAGTTGCTCGATTTGCGCTTTCGGTCTTCCTGCATCATCATAGCGATCCTCCTGGCATTTAGGATTACTACATGCTCGGCTATTATCTCCGGGATAAAACATCTGACATCCCTTTAAGCACATGTCATACTTATCTGTTTCAACAGGGCAAAATACAGCAAGTTCTTTCTTGCTCGATCGAAATTGGGTTAAGAGCGTTTTGTGACCTGTCAAAATTAGTTGTGAGCTAAATGTCATAATGCGCTTTATCCTAAACCCTTACCAACGCCAATTTTCTCCAAATAGCAATTAACCCATTTTATGATGCGCTCTTTGCCATTTTTAGATGCGCCCGACTTGGCAAGCAACGATTCAAACTCTATGCTTTTCTTTTCAGTATAGCTTAGGTTAGCGAGTTTGTCCTGATCGACAGTGACGTCATCAGGAACCCTAGCGGAGGTTTTGAAATTTTTAAGATTTAGGAACAGGTTATTATTGTAACCACCATCTTTGTCTCTGATCCATTCTTCTTGAGGCTCTTCCAACTCTTCAATAGCGTCAGCTCCAACATCTTCAGACTGTGCAGTGAAGTCTTCAGCAGGACCGTCGTTATCTGCTGCTTAATTAGAGTAAGAAAAGTTTAAAACAATTTAATAATTTTTAAGTACCTTCATACACAAATTCCATAGCATCTCCTTCTGATTCAACGACGCTAACTGCACGAGCGGAACCTTCCATTGGAGAAACAACATTTCGTTCTTTAGAGCACATCAGATTAGTACTTTTAAATCGTTGCAATGAAGCTAAACTCAGTCACCTTGTTCTCTTCTCAGATTCAATTGAACAATTTTTTGTTTTTTATGGTCTTTTAAATGCTTCTGCAAAGACCTTGGAGTAGGGTATCGTGGGCAGAAACTGCATTTGACTTTCTGTACCATTCTATGTTATTAATGTTTTTTGTAGAACTGATTGATGAGTAAGAAAATAGAGGTGGTATTGAGCTCATGTTTCGGGCCGGATTTTTGGTGACTATTGTTTATTAACATTATTCGAAGCTTACTTTTCGTTTGAGCTTTTTTTTCCTGTTTCTTCATCTTTCTCTCTAAACGTTACGATGCCTCCCAGACAACAAGGAAAAACACCATCAAACGAAGAGTTATTTAATGCTTTAAATCAAGTACAAACCCGTATGACAGAAAATCATAATAATGTGATGGACCGACTCGATCGTATGGATGCAGCGATTGCTGACCTGACGAATCTTGTCCGTCAACATGTGGAAAGGGCGACTGCCGTCGAAACGACACAATCATTGCGTGTCTATCAAGGTGAAACAATTGGCAATCGTATACCTAGACCTTCCAATCTCAACGGAAAGACCGGGTTTTTCCAATACTTGCAAGCCCACTTGGCCGAGAATGATCAGCACAATGAGTTGTACCTGTGTGTTAACCGTGCCGCTCTGGTAAGTGTACAAAGTATGCGAAATGCACACGGGGAACTGGAATTCGTTGGATGGGGAGGGCTTGGTCATGACTATAAGCTGGAAATGGCTGAGAACACGTTGGAGATTGCATTGCAAGAATACAACGAGTTGGATGTTATTAGACGATGTCACGATCTTTGGCCTTGTCTGTGTTGTGAAATAGAAAGGGAAAGGGCAAGTACTGTTACGACTAAGTCGTCTCTAATTTTTATTTAAAAAGAAGATAGAGATAATTCTACAAAACTATCAAGGGGTATTTATATATAATTTGAAAGGTATCAAGAGGAGGGTATTGACAGTGACCAGCACCGGTGATTCCATAACAAGCAAAACCTTGACAGTCATCACTTAATTGACGGTTCTACTAAATATGGGAAAAGAAGGCAGAAGGAAGAAGGAAAGACCAAAGCCACGTAAACAGGTTTATGATTTACCAAACTTAGTTTACCGAGGTCAAGAAATAAATAAATATAAAGAAGTAAATAAACAATTATACAAACAATAGCACTCATTTCCATATACGTATGGCTCAGGTCCTATGAGACTCTTCGCTCGATACACGTTACACAGCATTGTTTTATTGATAGAGGTAAATTGTGGAACAACTAATTCCCACCAGTGTGATTATATGGAATCATGTCCTTATTGGATCATCTCCGATAGTTCTACTCTAGGTGTGTTATTATGTTATCCTCAACAGTCTGATCATTTTACAGACAAAATGGACACAAATGTCCGCCTACCAGAGACGACAAAGGTAATAAATGTGTAATTTATGTGATAATTGAAAAACGTATTAACTAAGTCAACTTTTCTATACTTAAAAGGGATCTTCGACGTCACAGCCGCGCACTCGGTGGTAAAAGGTGGTAAAAAAGTACCAACTTAGACCACCTGCGGTGGTAAAAACCCTTGATTTTTTATCCCAGATGTGGTACAGGTGGTACGATTTCACCACCTCTGGTGGTAAAAAAAACAAATTTATACCACCAGAGGTGGTGCGTTTTATCCACCAGTGGTATCATTATACCACTTTAAATGGTTCAAACACTCCAACAGTTGTATCTTTTTACCACTTTAAACTGATGTATTGTTCCGTCTGTTGCATGTTTTTACCACTTTAAACTGATGTATTGTACCGTCTGTTGCATGTTTTTACCACTTTATATTGATATATTGTTCCGTCCGTTGTTTGTTTTTACCACTTTAAAATGTCTTTTTGTTCATTCCGTTGCATATTTTTACCACTTTAAAATGTCTTTTTAATCATTCCGTTGCACTTTTATTACTTTAAAGCATTACATAATCGAAAAAAAATTTACGTATAAATACACAAAAACTGTGAAAAATTGGGGGTATGGAAAACGTTTTTATTGGTATTTATTTTGTATTTTCACTTCGAAGCTACTGAACGTGCATCCATATTATCACCAGAAAAAAATTAAATGGAAATATTAATTAACTTACTATCAACAAGATATAACGGCAAAAAAGTCTTTCAATAAACCTCATAAAGAGCCAAGGGAATCATAAGGTATAACAGCATATAAGACTAAGAAAAAAGTTGGACTTCCCTGAGAAATACAGCCTAAAATAAAAAAATGTAGCCTAAAATAAAAAAAAATCGCCCTAAAATTAGAAAATACAGACTAAAATAAAAAAAATGCAGGCTAAAAAATTTTTCTATGGCCTAAAAAACATTTCATCAGCCTGGAAGAAGCTTGTCTACATCTTGAAGCCTTTAATATCAGCACAGAAAAAGCTCTGAATCTATGCAACACAGTTAAAAAACGCAATGAAAATGTAATGTTATCTAGTACCTTCACCATATGTCACGAAGCGAATATACAAACTTTCTACGGAACTTATAAGCCAGGAATAGGATGAGTATTTATATATGCTATATTACCTTTTCTTTTTGTTTAGTCTTTTCTACAACCTGCGAGATTGTAACCATATCATAGATTACAAAACTTGGGTTGTGTAGATAAGAATTTACGAAGAGAAAGAAAAGAAAGAGAAAGAGAAAGAGAAAGAGAAAAAAAAAAAAAAAAAAAAAAGTAAGTTTATTAATCCATTAAATTATTCAAAGTGCGAATTCTTTGAAATTTTTAGTAGTTATCTTCTGGCTATTTTTCTTCTAGGGCGGTGGATACGGTCGTCTTCTAAAGTCTGTTCAAGCTCTTCTACACCAGTATTCTCATTGCCGTGCAGAGGGCTATTCCGTTCTTCCTCTAGTTCAGCAATAGAGGGAATAGTCTCTTCGTCATCCGACAAAGATCCTGCTTCCCGGGTTGACACGTTCTACAGAAAACGCATTAGAAACATAATAATAAATAAGTGTGATTGTTTAGTCATTGTATTACCCTTTTTCCCAGTCTGTTGTGGGCTACACTTGCCAACAACCTTTCTGCTCCCCAGTAGTTCTGACATCTATCCAAGTCTATTTTACCTTT